GCGCGCATGGACGGTGCTGTCTTCACACATTACCTTGCCGCCGTGGGTTGTACCACTTGGTACTTGTTTCCCAGCAAGTGTACAAACAGCAGTCCAATTACGTTTTATGAGGGACCATTAATAATGTATCGATACTCAGAATTGTATCCTTACATACTAAATGATCATTAATACATTAATATTTAAATTCCACACATAAGACAGAGATCCGCTGTTAGTCATGGATAACTGAACAATGCACATGGCATGTACTGTACATCAGTGGCATAGCCAGGATTTTTTTCGGGGGGGGGGGGGGGGGGGGGGGAGGTGGACCAGCATTTTAGGGGGGGGGGCATCAAGGGCTGACCAACAACAAAACGTTCCCCAAATTTTCAAAGCACCGACTGACAAGCCAGGTGGTGAGAAGCAAATTTAAACAAAAGGGGGGGGGGAGGGGGGGGGAGGGGGGGGGGGGGAAGGGGGGGGGGGCTGGACCTCTTTTAATGTTTCAGGGCACTTTTTTTATGGCACATTATTCCAATTTCATATATCGGTTGGGGTTAAGGAAATAAGAATCAATTGAAATACTCACTGACTAGATTCTGAAATTTCCTTAAAGGGAATATACATTGTACATCATTTGCTTTTGCTGTAATTTTCAGAAATGGATGGAATTGGGGGGTTGGAAATATATAGCAAATATAGTTACACTGACTTTTGGGTTCGAAAATGCTATAAAAACCAAGAAAAACAATCATTTTTCTGTAGTCTGGTTCCCTGACTCCATATAAGAAGAAACAGAGCAGTTTACATACATTGGGGAATTGTAAGGTCAGGGAACCAGTCTAGCTGGCTTGTACCCGTTCATAGGTGTGTAATCGATTGCAAACAAGTGCGATGGTCAATTGGGGCCAGTATTTGAAAAAAAAAGCCAGTTTTTTCCAACGCTGGTCGGCCGACCAGCGTTGGAAATTGATACAAAAATACCACTTTTCTTAAAAATGACAGTATACCAGGTACCATGATTTTACAGGATGCTTTACACTGTCATTCAGTAACAGTCCAGCAAGGTATTTCAAAATGATTTGGTAATTTTATTTTTTAATGTTTGCAAATGTTGTATTTTCCCTTTAACCCTACAGCTATAAATCTGAATAATGTGCCAAGAAAAGACAGCTACATGTACATTCCTCGTCTGGTTTGAAAAAAGACACTTCCTGGACCAGGGGCAAATTTCCGTTTTCTTTGTGTGATGGGGGGGGGGGGGGCGGGGAGGGGGCACCTGCGAGGGGGGGGGGGCACTTGGAATTTGTAGGCAGGTACGTGTACATGTATACAAAAAGTGATCAATTTCCGAATCCACCTACGATAAAGAACACCTGTCATAACAGCCTTTAATTAATGACAACATAGACGTGTTCTTTATGACAACAAAAAATTGCACCACACAATAAGATCCCCATCCTCATTGTTTGGTTTTCAAATCGATGATGAATTTCTTAATACTATTCATTCTTTTAATATTCCCCTCCTTACAATTTCTTCAAAAAAGTGCAGCATACACGTATGCGTACGGAGATATAGTTATCACTGAGAAAGAATTTCTAAAAACTATTGATTCTTCCTTTGCTGTACTGTGGAGAATCAATTTACAAGAAAAAAAACCATGCTTGTACATGTGTATCTTGAATTTTTTAGGTTCGCAATAGACTCACACTAAAGATATGATCTGCTGATTTTCCCACAGCGGTGTGAAGCATGCCGTGGGCTTGAGTTGCTTATGTTGGCTGGTTGGTTGGTTGGTTGGTTGGTGGACACTTTACTCGGCCATATATTGTATTCATACAACTCAAGTAAGCTCTTTGCAAGTATTACCTGTTATAAGATGGAATTGTTTTGCGCCTTTCGCCGACGTATTACCTGATTACAGCTTTGCATTCGAAGACCAGTTTTGCAAACACTGTTGCATAATGCGTATGCGTCTAATTTGCATACTTTTTGCATATTAGATCACGCCCCATTCCGTTTCATTTCTGTACTCTCAAGACCTGTACGGTATGGCCCGGGTGGCGGGTGCACGGATGGTGCCGTATAGCCGTCTTCACACGTTACCCAGTCTCGCTGCTTCCCGGCCACCGTGGGTTGGACCACTTGGTACTTGTTATCGTACATGTATTGCTGTGCAGCAAGGTTATATTCAAGTACATTGATTTTCTGGCAAAGCTGTCAAGACTTTAAAAAATGTGAAGTACACCTGCTGCGACCTGCAATCACAATGCATGTCCAATGTATACTTACAACCTAATCATTTAACACAATTAAACAGAAATTAAACAGAGAAGAACAATTTTTTAATGGGCTCAGCATGTTCATAAATTTTGTTATTGAATCAAATGCTGAAATACGTAAGGCAAAAACAAAAATAAACACAAATTTGGGACCGGTATTTCAGTTTCCCTCAACCAAAACATATTTTTTACCATATTTATTGCTGAATTTATGTAAAATTCCAGTTAAATTAACTCAGTTAATAAAACCCTCCCTCTCTGGCTGGCAATTTCAACAAGGCCAGCCCAGCAGTCAAAATAAATCAAGTAACTGTTTTTAACAGTTGAGTGCTCCCTGCCTTCGTAAAGCAGGATTGGCTGGCTGTGATTGTTATGAATCCTGATATAGCTGTGTTTTGACTGTAGGAGATTGATAAGCTGGCTGTGCATACCAGTCACCTGCTTCTGTCTGTTGATAGAATCTGACTGTCACAGTGCCTATTGAAATATGATCTGACTGTTAGTGACTAGCCTGTGTAGAAGGCATGGCAGGGGAACGGGATTGAACTTTTGACTGTCTGTGACTGACCAAACAGAAGGAGGGTTTGAAAGTCACGTAAGATCATTTGCAATTAACCAGAAGTGCCTACCGATTTAATGACAGAAACCTTGCTCAAAGTGAAAACTGTGGATTTATTCTGCCTGGAATGGTTTCGTTGTGAAGAATCTAGTTAGGAGACCCAACAAAATTGCGGGTAAATTTTCTCTCTTTTCTCAAAATGTACAGTATCCACTGAGCTGAAACTTCAACAGGTTAGTTGTTATGCGCCCTACTTACGATTTTAAGCAATTTTGTTGCTTCAAACGAAAAAAAAATATGCAAAAAAAAGAGAGAAATGATCCTATATACCTTTTAAGTTTAAATGGCTTAAAATCTAGACAACCAGTATTTTAATAAAATGCAAACAATTGTGTTTCCACCAAGTGCCGAAATAATGTGTACAATTGTCGGTGAAATACGGTAGATCTTGTTTAAATATACAGTGACAAAAGTAACCAATAATCACCGCAAACGCATTTATTTGCCCTTGGATTTAACAGCTGGACATGAAACCACAGTTCTCAAACTCGCAGTCAGTAAATATTAAATAATAAACCAAATTTAGGGAAATTTATGTTTGATGTTATTTCCACATTTGAAAGGTGATTACATGTATATGGAATCTAAAATGAAAATGAAACAGTGTTCAAATATGGAATATAGACCTACTTAATATTTATCTGCCAATTTATGTCTACATTTATTTACTCATTTTGAGATTTGCAAATTAATGGTGAAAAAAAAGAACATGAATCCAGGAAGAGGATTTTAAAGGAATGCATTCAGCAGAATACTACTGTCAATTTGTCACCATCCATGCCATCTAAATTATGTTGGGAAATAATGTTGCAACCTGACGCCACCTTCGCGATTGTGTACAAAGTCTATGGAAAGTCAAGAAAATTTTCTAAGTATTTCCTAACAAAATTGGAAATATATCTCCATCTCGTATCTCCGTACTAGATTCATGTCTTATCATCATTTTTGCAATGATTGACCTCCATTTTGAGATGGATATAATAGAAGAAAAAAGTGGCGTCAGGTTCCAACATTTTTTCATAATGTTGGAACACAATATTTACAGCAACATTTTACTTGAAATCCCCATGTAGTGTAGAAAAGTGTACAACCATTCCTCGCTTCTCCCCCCCCCCCGCCCACCCTTTTTTTCACAACCATCATCAACCACACTACTCCTAGAAGGCTCCACGTAGTGGAGCCTCATAGTTCTAGGAGTACTACAACCACACAGGCATGACAGGGCCCATAATTCATAATAAAAGCGGGTTGCGTCAACTATATTTCTGAAATAGTGGCTAATAATAACGTTACTAGGAAGATCCTAATTCATTCATCAGTTCATCAGGACATCAATTCCAACAAAATCATAATCGGTGAAGCACCAAAATAAATTCATACTTACCAGCGCATTACCCTGACGAGACAATCGCGTTTTTCTTGCCGAATCGACCACCGCGCCACTCGCCTTTTTTCGTGAACTTGTTTACGATTTAGCGCCCTCTCTTGTTACGGTAAGAAGTAATTTTGCATGTAGGGGTAGGCGTGGTAAAAGTCAGGGGAAAAAGAGGGGATATATATAGATGGGTTTCTGTCATTTATTATACAAAAGACAACTAACAACTTGTGCTACAGCTATTTTAAACAAACTGTGAATCTGCTGGACACAAGCAATTTTAATCATTCAATAAAAATAATTAAATAGGGGGCTAAAATCCGGCCCTGCCGTGCTGTCAAATGACTGTCAGCGACTTTAAATAAAGTTGTTCAATGAAAAAGAAATTAAAAATTCTATTCTATGGGAGTATGAAGAAAAAAGTTTTGACCTTAAACAAATTGAAAGGTTGCCCAGTCAACACTATGACAACCAAATATTAGATAAAATTATTTGAAAATTGACATTTATCCATCTTTGACAACAAGATATCCATCTTTAAAAAGGAATTTTTAAAACTCACTTTTAATCAGTGGTTCCCTCAAAAGTCGGAATTCATAACATGCGCAAAATGCAGGATACCATTCAAAGTTCAGCAAACGATATTAAAATGCACTTACGTAGCGGACCGTTGCGTGCACACATTAGATATTTTTTATACCCGCACATGCAGTAGTAATCCAAAGTGTTTACAGAAGAAAATAAATTCCAAAATGGCTGTCACGGACGGGCCAGCGGTGAAAGAAGAAGAAATAAATGCCTTGACTAGGGAGGCTGAATCCCTGAAAATCAAACTTGAAGAGGAAAGAAGAAAGCTCAATGATGTAGACTGTGAGTATCTTGTGAATGGCCGTTACTTTGGCATGCATTTAGTTGTGTTTTGAACGTGTTTGATAAAAATGATGGCGATGTTATTTTGTGGGAGTGGGCGGGGCTGCTATGGTCTATTTGCAGGGGGGAGAGAGAGGTTGCTGAATTAGCTCCAAGAATAAAGCATTGAAAGTAGAATGCAGTGTCTTTGTGCCACTTTTTTCGCCATATTTAACCTTGATGATTGCCAGACATTGAATGTAAATAATGAAATGTAGTTTTGAAAAAATGTGATTTTTATTTAAACTGAAAAATTGTGAAAAAAAACCTTCCAACTAAAATGGACAGTTTTGGGAAAGAATTCCGTATACAGACGTCACTTATCTGCCGCCAAACACATACATTTTCACCTCACCTTGTGATTTCATTGAAGATGAATCCAGGAGTCTCTGCAAAACTGAAAACATCTCGGGAAAAATGTGTTTTTGGAGCTCATTTTCAGTGCACACATCGTTCGGGCAGCAGACATAATTTACCAATGCCATTTTACTTAACATTATTTGAGTTTTTCAGTAAATTATGTAACAGCATGGAGTGTGTTTTTATTCCTCCATGGTAACAGTATTCACTGGTATGTTCTAAAAATTATTTGCTAACAGTAATAGTTTCGAAAAAGATTTGTTCATAAATTCAAGTTTTCTTACCCTTACTGTTTCCATTATTGTTTAGTGATGGTTGTAGCCGAGAAGCTGGACACATTACCACAACTCAACTTGAAACCAAGAAGGATTCTCAAAGGACATCAGGGCAAAGTTCTGTGCTTAGATTGGGCTCGAGATCATCGACATATGGTGACATCATCACAAGATGGCAAGATTATTGTATGGGATGCATTCACCACAAACAAGGTACGTAAATAAAACAAACCTGTTCTTGCAAAGTCTCAAGTTGTAAGATATTCCGCCATGATCGATAAGTTAGTTTAAATGAATGTTAACAATTTGATACATCATAATTTGAAAATATTTACGTGTACAATATTAAATAGGTTTTCAAAATATAATATTCTTATTTATATCAGGCTTCCAGTGGTAAAATAAATCAGTGTATTGTATGCTTTCGTAAAAGTGCTTGGGTGACAGCAATATTATGTCAGTAAAAGTACCCAAATGAGGACAATATTATTTTTGATATTGTTCTCATCCGGGCATTTTAACAAATTGCGCTGGTTCCCGCACAATCAAGAGCAACGAAACTCATTGTCAACCAGTCAACAGTCAAGCGAAGAACATGCGACAAAATTTGAGAAATAAAGACTGTGTCCTGAAAATTGATTTCTTGCAGGTCAAGTCAGCCTGATATAAATAATGATAACAATATTGGATGGCCTTTTTTTCAGGGAATACATGTACATGAATATACAGCCTGTCTCAAAAACAATGGTACAATCAGAACAAAAATTGGTTAAATATGAAATTTCAAAATAAGTCATTCTTACTTGGCATAATATTAAAGAACAAAGACTGGGCTTTCCGATTTCGATTTTGTGCCACTTTTATGCATGGGCAGAGTTGTTTCGAGTACTGTGCCATGCTGTCTTGAAGCTCACAAAAGATTGCAACTTGGCAAAAAAAACAAACTCGATTTTTGTGTTCCGCAGTAAACTGGAGTTATCTCTGGATTGACAAAAGCAAATGAGATGAAACAAAAAGTGTTGGACAGCCTGGTCTTTTTTCTTTAATGTGATGCTCAAAATGACTTACTTATGTTGAGATTTAATATTGAAAAAAAAATTGTTTTCGATTGTACCATTTTTTTGGAGACAGGCTGTATATAATTGCACTGCCTATAACAATGTTGCACTCCTCTTCAACTCGTGCAATACTGTTGTAGCTTGTGCAACATATTTTTGTATCCCCCTCAAATATCCCCCTCAAAGCCATCCAATATTATATAATTGCAAATATGCACTGTAACTGTTCAAAAATATTGATGTACATCAGGCTTAATGGGTGGGTTCCAGTTGTGGAGTAACAACTTTCAAATGAATGGCTATAAAGAAGAATGTCTTACATATGAATTATATTGTTGTGTTTCTATAGGAACATGGTATCACTATGCCAACGACCTGGGTCATGGCTTGTTCATATGCTCCGTCCGGCACCATAGTGGCTTGTGGGTAAGTGAAATGTAACCACCCTCAACCCATCAGAATCCAACTGCATGTTTTGTTTGATTCTGTTGGAGTGAGGACTGCATTTGTAAACTGATTATGCTTTACATGGGGTTAGGCATACCACCATAATCAGTGCAACAGTTTGGGTGTTGAGTTTACCATATGGGCAATTCCACGGTTACTCACGTTACATTTTTGATGTACTTTTGAGTTTCCTTGGGCTGTAATTACCTTACTGAAAAGGTTTAATTACTGTTATCCCCATGGTAGATCAAGTAGACCTAGACCTACCTAAGCACCAAAGATGACATCCAGAAAAATGTGTTATGTATGATAAACAAGATGCACAAAATCGGTTACTCACGTTACGAAAATGTAACGTGAGTAACCGTGGAATTGCCCATATGGGTGTTGGAATTTGCAGGAGTGACGAAGGTTCCTAGTAAATCACTCAAGGGGTTGAGGGTTAAAGCTTGCACAAAAGTCATGCACGATAGTCTTCCTATATTAATATCATTTCCCATTTATATTGTCCTATAATTTTTTTTCTCCATTTTCAGCATTCTGTGCAGTAGACACACCTTTGGGATCTGCAATGCATCTTTTCCTATTTTTTTTCTTGGGAATCAAATATGCCTGAAAAGTGATAGTAGACAGATCTTGTACATGTTGTATGCAGAGTGTGATATAACACAAAAATTAGTCAGAACAGAAAATGACATGGCACAACAAATTTGCGTGGACAAATATGGTAAATGGTTGATAAATGTCTGCGTATGAATACAGATTGTAGAAGTTGATGTCACTCAAGAAAGGTCAGCATACCAGGTGTTATTTTTGTTTTTGTTTGAGGAATGAAGTCATTGTCTGTCAGTTTGATATTAATTGATTTCATTGGTTATTTCATACAGGGGTCTTGATAATAAGTGCTCAGTGTACCAGCTAAGCCAAGAGGAAGATTTGTCAACTAAGAAGAGAGCAGTTGCCATGCATACCAGCTACGTGTCCTGCTGCACATTCATGAACTCTGACCAACAGGTAAGGGGGAGGGGCCAACAGGTAAGGGGAGGGGCTAACAGGGAGGGGAGGGGCCAACAGTGAGTGGGAGGGGCCAACAGTGAGTGGGATGGGCCATCTCAAGGGGGTTGTGGTAAACATAAAGGAGAAAGGCCAATAGTGGGAGGGGGGGGGACAATAGGAAAGGGACGGTACTTGCAAAGAGGGGCGGGACCAGCAGAATGTAAGAGTGGTCATCATAATTGGGAGGAGCCAATTGAAAGGGGAGGGTAAACATAAAGTGGGGACTGATTGAAGTGTCAACACAATGGGCCAATAAAAAGGGACCAATAAAAAGGGGAGGAGCAAAGGCCAAGTGTAGGTCGTACTGACTGACGGTCACTGGGAGAACGATTTAATGAATTTATGCAGTAACTTATAAAAGTTAACAAAGAAATTGATTGGAGCGGGGTTTGAACCTGAGAACTCCGGATTGCCGTTCCAAAATTTCCAATGGCAGATATTTACAATTCACAAGGAAGTGATCATAATGGTGATCATGTGAACAATGTGAACAATGTGATCACAATGTGAACAATGTGATCACAATGTGAACCAGCGACACAGGAACTGCATGCACTGGAATGCTAAGTTCAAGAACAACACACGGTCCACCTCCACAGACTTCACAGACTTTGTGTGTGTACAGCACAAATGGGGGATTAGCGTGTTTGGATGTCGCCCGGAGGCAAGTCGAGGGCAATTATGAGGTCTTAAACCATCAGCCGTGACTATGTACATGTATAAAAACAGCCAGTGCGTGTTATTTCCTCTGACGCGAACTGGTTAAAACTACTGAAAATGTACTTGGCAAAACATTCTACTGACTGGTTTTTTTGGCCATTAATTTGGTTGTCTTTTCCTGTTGATTAGATCTTGACGGGTAGTGGTGACAGCACCTGTGCTCTCTGGGACGTTGAGAGTGGTCAGTTATTGCAGAGTTTTCATGGTCATAACGCTGACGTCATGGGCTTGGATCTGTCCCCCTCAGAAGCATGCAATACCTTCGTATCAGGGGTAAGAAAAATCCACTCGTTTGTATTTATTTTCACTAATTAATGCTATCATGAATAATTGTAATGGAATGCAGTCAACTTTTTAAATTGTATTGGTATTAACCAGCAGACTCTGCCAAAACCCAATGTTGATGTTGTAATGTTTTAATGGATCCAGGACCGCATGCAAGCAACTTTACTGTTACTTTACTCAGGACATGATATCCAAAATTCCCACAGATAATGCCTAAATTTGATTAAGGGAATAAATATGAGCTTGGCTGGTTTTGTACCAGGGGCCTGGACACTGATACTGAAGGTTTTAAACACTCTTGTCTAATACTCGCCAAGCAAATATTTATTCCTATTCTTAAATACCTTTCAGTCAAAAATTCAAAGCAAGTCAAAAATAATAAATTTTCAACGAGTTTGTTCAACAGTTTCCCCCTTTTTTTTGGAAACACCCGTCTAGTTATGTTTATGGTATGTGCCTCTCACGAGTAGTAATAAAAATATCCTTATATGGAGATAGGCACGCATGTGGAGCGTATTGCGCGATGTGGCACAGAACGCAGCGGTGCCGGTGTAGTGTGAATTTAGGACTCTATGAAATACAGACTTATTGGTAGTATTGCGCATGCCTAATTGAAGATTGGAACATTCAACCAATAAAAGGGTAAAAGGGACCAGATTTCATAGGAGTCCAAATCTCATGTGACATCAGGAAAGTGTTTAAAACCAGCCAGTCAGTGTTTTAACAACCATTTAAAACCACCCACATGATGGGCTCTCGACCAATAGGAATGGCTAAACTGTCTCAGGTATTTATGAATACTGTATAGTGTTGGATTATGGTTGTTTAAAGAGGTTGTGGAATGCTTGAAGACATTTCCGTCATTTTTCGGGTATATGTAGCCTGAGGTGTGATGAAATAAAAACGACTATTGTTTTTGCCATAAAATGAGTACAAAAGGTACTTTTGAGAGCTGTTTTTCAAGTCCTGTCATGCCTGTTTCGACCCGAACGTGCAATTTGTGTAAAAGTCGTCGTTGCGGGCAGCAAACAAAACACAGTAAATCGTGACGTAATAAACAGGACTCCCGATGCAGAGTAGCATAAACGAGTCCTGTTTATTACGTCACGATTTACTGTGTTTTGTTTGCTGCCCGCAACGACGACTTTTACACAAATTGCACGTTCGGGTCGAAACAGGACCTGAAAAATAGCTCTCAAAAGTACCCTTCGTACTCATTTCATGACAGAAACAATAGTCGTTTTTATTTCATCACACCTTAGGCTACATATACCAAAAAAATGACGGAAATGTCTTCGAGCATTCCACAACCTCTTTAAAGAAAATGTATCAGGTATATTTTTATTTCCATGCAGGGATGTGACAAGCAGGCTCTAGTGTGGGATATGCGTTCAGGACAATGCGTTCAATCATTTGATGGCCACGAATCAGACATCAATGCAGTCCGCTTCTTCCCAAGTGGAGATGCCTTCGCTTCAGCATCGGATGATGCAGGGGTGAGTATGGACGCTTCCTACTCGACAATCAAACAGTGTGCATTGACCAGTCAGACCAAGCACTTTTGGTAAACCATGATAGCTCAGTCAAACTCAGTATGAGTGTGAGAAATGTATGCAAGACACAGGCGGGTTGAACAAATGACCAAATCCAAATTCATGTACCGGTACGTGTATGCTACTGATCAGTGGTTGATGAGAAAGTTATTGATGGTTTTAGAAGTGCTAACATGTTGGAGAAATCGTGAACACTGTTTTTTGCAGTTCGGTACATGTGCTCAAAGCTAAGAGTAACTTCGTTCATGGTCCCTAAAAGTAAATTTGTAACCGGAAGCATTTTTAAAAGGGAAAGTTAACACCCACTGTTTAAAACATGAATACATATTTTGAGTCAGAAATCTTGAATGGTAACAAATTTTGATGATTTGTTTTCTTTCTTTTTTTGCAAACAGTGTCGTTTGTACGACCTGAGAGCTGATCGTGAGATCAACTGCTATGCCAAGGAATGCATCATCTTTGGAGCCACTTCTCTGGATTTCTCTCTCAGTGGTAAGAGTTTTTTCCACAAGCACTCATATTTTGATCTTCATTGTGACAGGCAGTCAGTAAAATTATTTTCTTGTTATCTTCATTTTTGAATGTTTTCATTGCATGCAAACTAGACTATTTGGATGAGGCCAAATTTGGTGATGTTCATGTTTACAAGGAGAATTAGCCTGTTTACTTTTGTTTATTGATCAGTCCTTTTTGACGGTTTAATTTAGTTTGTCCCTCTGATTCTACTCTCTTAAAGTTGCTCTCCTTGTTGTATTTTCTAGTCTAACCCTGAAAAATAGATTTTGTTTTTCTACTTTAGATTTTGTTTTTCTACTTTCTAATTTCTACTTTTCTAGCCCTGCAACAGGGCAAGTCCAAGAAAAGGTCCCCTTTTTGTCCCAAACGTAATGCCATGTTTTTCTTTAATTACATAATCATCGCAAAGACTAATAACATAAGTCTTCTGGATGTTCTCCTTGCAGATTCCCAACAGAAGAATAGAAATCACATAAATCCATGAATATCTTAGAGGGATAAACTTTCGTTACATATAGGACATAGCGTGCACCAATTCTTGGACTTGCCCAAAAAATGCATTCACATTTTAAATGGGACATCGAACAAAAAATCTTCCAACGTTTAGTTAAGGAATCATTACTATACAAAGGTCAAATTATTTGTATTATTTGCTTCCCAACAATAATTCAGGCGTATATTTTTTTGCATCATAGGCACAAAAGTAACTCAAAATAAAAACATCTTTTCAGAGGGTTGACAATTTGGAAAATTAGGAAAAGTAGTTTTTATATATAAATAAAACATACAAATTGAAAATTCATTAGGAGAAAAAACAAATTGAATATGTTGAAGAGGACAAATGGAGCAACTTTAACCTTCCCAAGAATATGACATCGTGATCCAACTGTATGACCTCTAACCTCTGACCTATCATTCTCATTCGCAGGCCGTCTGCTCTTTGTGGGCTACAACGATTACTCGGTCAACATCTGGGACACGCTGAAGGGCATCCGTCTGACCATGTTGTATGGGCACGAGAATCGCATCAGTTGCCTGCGCACCTCACCGGACGGCACAGCGCTGTGTACTGGCAGCTGGGACTACACACTGCGCATCTGGGCTTGAGAGAGTAGGACTGTCCAAAACATCGACAAGGCTGGTTGTGGTGTTGGAAGTTGAGGCTGTTACAAGTCCATCACAAGTCCAGTCACAAGTAAATCCAGTTGCAAGTAATGGAGGATGAATTGTAACAAAGGAATGCCTTTGGCATTTGTTCATTTGAATAGATTGTGACTTGACTTGGGTCTGGAAGACTTGTGATTGACTTGTGATTGACTTGTGATGGACTTGTGATCCTCTGGCAAAGACTTGTGACGGACATGACTACAGCAAAAGCTGGCTCATACAATAGAACTTATTCACGAGGAAGCCATTTTGGATCGTGTTCCGTGAACCTATTATATAAATTGTAAACTGTTGAATGGGATGGTGCCAGACTATTTTATGATTGGAGTGCGTTCCAAGCCTCACTTTTTTTGTTTAAATTTGGCTTAAAACATTAGGGTATGTTTAATCCCAAATTTGAAATTATTCGTCAGAGCAAACTGGTATGAATTTGTAATGAACTTTTATTTCATTGCTTTAATTTCTTCTGCTAAGTTCCAAAAATGAAGAGTTAACCTCACTTTCAATTTAAAATGGCCGACTCGTGAATAAAGTGTATTGATCTCTATATACCGTCCAGTCAGTATGTAGAGATTAGTGGTTCATACGTTACACTTAAGTGAACGTCAATTTTACGCCACTAATAGTTGTTCCCCTTGTATTCAAATATATTTGCTTCAGTTTAACATTCGCCTCTGAATTGGTCTTAGAGATTTTTTTAAAAGGTACAGCAAAATTAACTCTGTGAATCCAGCTGTTTGAATTGACCATACATTTTGGTGGCTGTATTCAGATCACAACTCAGACTTGTTTACTCTTTCCGGAAGAAAGCATTGCTGTCGCAACTTCAGATTTCCATATTTTCTATTATATCTTTTGTTAAAATCCAGGGTTTTGAACAAGTATTCATAAACACCTGACTTGACATATTGGTTGAGAGCCCGTCACGTGGGTGATTTTAAACTGCCGTAAAACACTGCTGCATTCTGCGCCACACTGTGCAGTACCAATTTCCATATAAGGAGATTTTTTAGCTCTAAGCATGTGAGGCACATACCATAGCCATGGCCAGAGGGGTGTTTCACAAAACATGAAGTAAAATTGTTGAACACAATCGTTGGAAAGTTGTGAATTTTTACTTATTTTTACTTTTTGACTGAAAGGTATATGAATTGGGGCCATTATCCACATGCAGGCCCCGAGCCGATTTTAAATTTGTGCATTTTGTTCGTTTGAAGCAACAAAAGTGCTCAGAATCTAAAGAAAGGTGCTGAACAACTAACCTGATGAAGTTTCAGCTCAGCTTCAGCTGTATATTTCGAGAAAAACAACATTCTAGGATCTCAATTTCAAACTAAAAGTTACTGAATCATGTTTTGAGTTGGGCCTCAATTCAGCGTCTGAGACATGTTCTCACTGAGCCGATTGCAGCTACGCGATGTCGCGCACTGATCCGACGAATAATAGCAACCGCGCGCACATGTGCGTTGTGCCAACACTTGCACGCTGCGCCGAGTAAAAAAACCCAAACTACTAACGGAAATTTCCAACGGTGCGTCTTAGACGCACTGTTGGAAAGACCTTCTTTCGTTGATTTCTTCTAAATGACTGCTTGCCAGAAAGAATAATTTCACAGGGAGTTTAGTCCCCTTACTACCTGCCAACCAAGTGTTTTTCAACAATAATTACGTCAGTTACTTTTTGGATAGCTGCAAATGACGGACTGTAGCTTTAAAACCTGCCAAGCTAAAATTAGACACAAGTACAAAGATATGCATAGAACTTTAAAAAACTTCAGTGAAATATGTAAATACATCCTAAACATGTAAGTTATATAATGCAACAAGTGTCTAAATGTTAAAAAATGAATAAATTAATGAAAATCCACAGTTTAATTGCGAGCTTAAAATTGAAATATTTGTTGCTAAATCCACACCCTGCCTACCTAGGGAACTGTTAGCAGAAAATGATTGCAGCCGATTTATTAATGCTGGAAAATTGTAGTGCAATTTTAAAAAAATGATTAACTAATTTGACTTTAAATTCAAAATTAATTAAAGGTGCCAACAGATTCGAACTGCCATCGAAGTGGACTAAAAAAATATTAAAAGCAAAGAAATAGGTATGTTTTGCAGAAAAAAAATCTAAAGAATTTCAGTTTAATGTAAATACAATGCCATTGGCCAAGTGAAGCATTGGTGATTATTAACTTGTACCTAGGATTTGGCCACAAATTCTGGTCTTAATCAGCAGAATGACTTGGATGAGAAATTATCTTGTAGATATGTGAAAAGATGACAACCAGTTCTTTTTCATGACAACTTTAAATTTAGCAAGAGGATGTACATGGAGACATCCTTTCACAATGATACAAGCAGTATTCTGTTAAAATTGCTATCGCTAATAAATAATGCTTATTAAACTAGCTATGTGTTAGTTTGATATATTGTACTTTGTACTTGGTCTGCAAATAAACATGCCATTTAAAGATGCTATTGGCATAAACCACATTGGACGAAATTAACACCAAATATAAACGGACCAACTCAGTAAAGTAAGGACGATTATGGTTTGATTTGTCGAGATATATTGATGGGTGCATAGATGAAGTTCAACATATTTGTTGTTTTCAATTTAAAAAAGTTTGTTTTTAGCTGTTGCCCGAGGTATAATAATAATTCCTCATTTCGTTCACGTTGAACAGTTCATCTTGATTCAAGCCAGCAGCATGTTTGTGTTGTATTGAATGTATGTATATATGTAGAAAGCACTCCACTCCTGATAGCTGTACACGAACAAGATAATATATGTGATATTACACAAGCTAATTAAGCAATATTGCTGCAGATTGCACACTTCAAAACAATCTTCAAATGTAAAAGGTGATTTCAGCAAGATGTAGTTATTTTTTTAGTAGACGTCTCACAAAATAATGTAAATGTTTGTTCATCTAACAGATTTGTAAATGTAGTTCTATAACTGGTGTTAAAATTCACAGGCACTGTAGATAACCTAAATAATTGAAGGAAATATTTTGTTGTTTCTAAGGATGGGTTTGAGTATATATTTCAGTAAATGATAGATTTCTAAAACGTAAGTTGGTTTGAATCCTGTGAAAAAAACGTTGTTAATAACCTGTACAGTATTGTTTTAATGTACAAACACATGTAGTTCTCTGCAGTTTCATGTCTCGAACATGAAACCAAAAATTGTGTGTTTATGGTGTACACAAGGAAAAATATAACAAAAGTGCTGCCTTTGAGAAAACTCCAGCCAGGATCTAAACGTTCCTCTGACTTTTTATCTTGAAAAGAATTACCTAAAGAGGATAGTAGGTTCATGATTGGCAGACAGGCCTCAATTAAATTATACGTGCAAATCAAGGAACAGAAGCTGTAAAAAGTAAAGAAAATCAGAAAGTAATAAAAAAAAGAAGCCATTAAATGGCCAAGTGGAATTCCTTGGTGTACACTGCACACAAACCTCAGTGTTGATAAATACGTTTGAAGTGGAACTTAGCCAGTAAGTGTGTATGACATGTGTTTTATAGCTCCATGGTATGACCAGCTTGGTGAATGTGTAAATGGGTGGTCTTGGGTTCGATTCCAGCTTTTTGCTTTTAGAGTTATTCCATGGATGCTACTCAAAGATTCGATTTCTCTGTGGGCGTGAATTCAATATTAGGTTTTGCGCACCACCGACGTATTTTTATAAACACTGGTATATAAAATACGTCAGTGAGGGGCAAGACCCGATATGGAATTTACATCACCCGACGCAACATTTGAATAGTTTGTAGGTTTGGTTCTACCCCCACACCTCAAAAAAAAAAGGAAAGGATATTCCTTTGTTTTTGAAATTTTAATCCCAAAGTTACGTAAAGACTTGGACGAGAAAAAAAGGGGAAAAAATTAGAATGAACTCTGAAAAAGATTCATGCAGCTCTACATGCTGAAATAGTGTGACGTGACCTCCACCCCAGGTCACGCTTACTTCCTCGACAACGGTTCACTCGCAGTCCATATCGACAAACTTCACACACGTTTAACATGGAGACTGCAATTTCACATCCTACGTGTGTTTCTGGCAGTGGCTGCAATATGCGCCGCAGCACTTTGTAAACCCTTATAAAGGTGCTGCATAATGGTTTCACATTTCTAATAATCTTCATTTACCTGTCTTCAAAAATAGACATAATAACCAGCACCTTATGTACCTAATTGTTGGTAGATACATGCGCTATATAAGACTCTGGTATCATTTTTATTATTATTTCCTTTTATCGAACATTTTCACAAATTTGTACCTGAAAATGGCTGACTGCCTTTCAGCAGATTGTCATCACACCAGTTACAAACGCAGTTTGTGGTTTTTTTAACTACAAAGAGGAGAATCAAGCCAATTATGAAACGGATACACAGCCAAAGTGAAAACATGTTTGTTCTTTGGCCGTTGCAGTGCGCTAACCAATAACCATGGTTGCACCGAGTTGACCTAAGAGAGACGTCACGACTATTTTAGCGAACTGTTCATTATAATGTTTATCAGTAGCATTTATCAGTGGAATTCCTTGTATAGTTTTCTGTAGACCACCGAGTGAGTATGTATTACATTCACATGTTAAATAGCTTCATATCAGGAAAGCTATGTATTCATAAGTATTTGAAGTCCAGCAGCATTATTCAGTGTTTAGAACTAGTACATTGTATCTGATTCTCATCCAAAATTTCAGTTAATTGGAAAAAAAAATGATACATTTGACCAAAACTGTCTTGATTATAAGAGAAAAATGCTGTAGTCCTTTGAGATCCCTACCAAAGTTTCCTGCAGATGATATTTTCCATATTTAATCTTATTTTCACAACCTAAGATAATCAACTACGGCAGATCAGTACGAGTTGAGTTTGCCAAGATGCAGTAATGACTGATTTTGTTCCAAGCCGCAGCCGTTACCAAATCGCACGGTTGGCTATGCATGGCTTCAGTTTTTTCCATTGCTGTGACCATATGAAGCCATAGACAAACATGTCAAAAGTTGAACTTGGCTCACGTGTGTAATACTGTGCTCTCAGTCACAGTTCAAGTCATGTAACAGTGTTAATTAACCACTCACTCGCACACAATAATCATTTTTAAAGTAATGTGATTAAGAACAGTAGCCCATTTGAACACGTATTTAAGCAAGCATGTTGAGTCAGTGTGCGCATGTTTACACTGGTAACCAAGCATGGATACCAAGTGTCATTACTGATAGGTACATGTACCGAATTTTAAAGGGAATATACATCATTTGCTTTTGCTGTAATTTTCAGAAATGGATGGAATTGGGGGGTTGGAAATATATAGCAAATATAGTTACACTGACTTTTTTGAGGTTTTGGGTTCGAAAATGCTATAAAAACCAAGATAAACAATCATTTTCCTGTAGTCTGGTTCCATGACTCCATATAAGAAGAAACAGAGCAGTTTACATACATTGGGGAATTGTAAGGTCAGGGGACCAGTCAAGCTGGCTTGGTCCCGTTCATAGGTGTGTTATCGATTGCAAACAAGTGCGATGGTCAATTGGGGCCAGTATTTGAAAAAAAAGCCAGTTTTTTCCAACGCTGGTCGGCCGACCAGCGTTGGAAATTGATACAAAAATACCACTTTTCTTGACAATGACAGTATACCAGGTGCCATGATTTTACAGGATGCTTTACACTGTCATTCACTAACAGTCCAGCAAGGTATTTCAAAATGATTTGGTAGTTTTATTTTTTGATGTTTGCAAATGTTGTATTTTCCCTTTAAGGCACAGATCTTGTGATATACTTGTTGAATTAGCAATGGAATGCACAGTGAGGTTACAGTTGGTGTGCACGTTGGTAAATAGACCCCGATTCTATAGAAGCGACGTTGTGGAATGCATGGTGAATAGAAGAGTTTTTAAAATTGTGCAAATTGTTTCAAGTGCAATAGATGTTAAATTAGAATCAGTATTTGATAATTTAATACTCAATTCATATTTTATTGCTAAACAAGAGAAGAAATGTTAAACACGATAGAAGAATAAAAAATGGTGACATTGGAAAGATGCGGTATCTTTGTCGCAGTTTATTGCAGACTTGACATGTATCATAAAATAAATTTTAAAAATGGTAGTAAAGAACCTTCAAATTACAAAATGTTTGAATAAAAATTAAATCTTTGTACTAAGTGGGAGGAACTTTTGGGGACTTTTAATTTTTTTTTTACATTTTGCACTTTATAACGAATCCTGCTGTTGATGATTGATGAAAAAAATCGTCAACAATTCCTTATAATTTCCATCTCTTTCTCCAGTTGGTCCAACTCTTGCCTTCAAAACATTTGTTACCATATCAATGACTTGATTTTAAGCTATAAAAAAACTTCAAATGAATACATACAATGGACTGGATTGGGTTTAAAAAATATGAAAAACAAAATATACATGTACAGGTTGTCGCGCAAAAAAAAAAAATCAGTCGAATCGGGCATGTTTTCAGAAAAGTGGGGGTAGTATTCAAAATCATGTCCAATGTATTACCGAGTAGAGTTATTGGTCTTCCAAATGCTTTTTAGTTGTTTTCATTAGGATGATTCGTTCAAAAGATACAGCAATCACAGCACGGGACTTGAAAAACCACTTGAGCCACTTTTTTTTTTATCAAGGTTACAGATTGAAGCCAGTAGAATAAGTCTCACGTTACTCTTGAAAAAAGGAAATAAATCCTTTGTGTGTTTCTCTAACTGCGCTTTCTCACTTTCAAGGAAAGTGGCCCAAGACGATTTTCAACCCTTGAATTCGATGAAGCATAGTGTTTGTTGCAATGCATCGATTTGAATGAAATAAAGTTTGTATGGTAGATTGGTTATCTGACTTTTAAGAGGTAATTTGGAAATATTCCAAGAAGCCATATGCAATATACCGTTCTTAATTGGTTTTCGACTGTTATTTTTTTGGGTGGGACAACCTGTATATCCCTGCATGTTTCAGTCTGCAAGTCAATTTCAGCTTTGACAAACTTCAACAGATTACCTAAAATGGATGCGGTCACTAATGACAACAAACAAAACCACCGATGAAGATTAAACTTCTCTTCTACTTTGCTTCTTGCTTCTATGACTCCTCTCATAATGACCTCTAGTACAGACTGGATGCAAAAGCAGCTAAGACTAGAAAGCACTCAGAGAGCGCACACCTCCGCCAAGGCTAAACAATTTCCCGCCATTACACACGGCACCAATGCTCAAATTTGGCTTCTTAAACAAATCCTTAAACTTAAAACATTTTGTAGTTTACATGTATTTGCCTGTGTTGGTCTACCTTTTCACTCCCCCATTGTATAAAATGGTCTAGTCCATTGACCTGTGTGGTTAAGATTAGGTGGGTGATAAGGCATACAGGGTCACCGGGTGAAAGTTTATATGATGGGTGAAAAATCCTTTCAAAAAATCCTGCATCCAAACGCAGATCCAAATCACTTCCAAAATCTAATTGATTTTCACTTGTACCAAGGACCACCCCTAAAAAAAGTTTCATGAAAATCCGTCCATAACTTTTTGAGTATTTCGTTCAGAGACAAACCAACGCCAATGGTAACATAACTTCTTTGACGGAGGGAGGTAATTAATTCAGTTTCCCAGAGATAAGCAGAACACTTTGCATAGCAAACAAGCAAGTTTACAAAAAGAAATCCCCAACAGTTCAGTCATTTCTTACTTTAAGGCGATACAGCACTAATCACTCATGTACAAAAACAGCTTCGTTTATAAATGGAATGTTTTCAACCAAAACGGCGTTGCTCTTTGGCTCGTATTATTTCTAAGAGGAAGCAATGGCAGCCAGCTTATTACCAGGAAAGCTAGAGCTATTCTCAGTATTCTAATGCTACATCCTGCTATAGATATCAAATGATATGTCATATTGTCAGTGTATGTAAAGTGTCGGCTTACTGAACATGTACAATGACCTATCATATTTGTTCATGTTTGATGTCATTCTAAAACAGGGCTTGAAGAAATTACTGTTCTACGTCTTGAAGCAAAGGAAAGAGCACAAAAACAGCAGAGATGCTAACTTTCAATCTTGAACTGTGCCAACAAATTATACAAGTATGCACATTTATAATAAAATATTACACATTAAACATTCATTTTTTTTTTACAATATGCTAAATACACCCATAAATGTGTAAAACTTCATGGCTATCTGATACACACATACTGTTAAGAAAATACATGTACATGAAAAAAAAGCTCAAACACTATCCTTGACCAAGGCTATCAGCTTGTTCCCATACGAGCTTGTTCTTGCCACTGCACACAGCGCGCGCCCCAACACTATTACTATACCGTTAGCCTCAACGACCCTTGCGTGTGCTTTGTGTGCATGTACGTACGCCCCACACACACTTCCGCAAACAGCCGTACAGAAAGTCGAGGCGGAGGATCTGCCTCGACTTACTGTACGGCTGTTTGCGGAAATGTGTGTGGGGTGTACGTACATGCACACAAAGCACACGCAAGGGTCGTTGAGGCTAACGGTATAGTACAACAAGCGTGTCGCGGCGCGCACTCAGCGGTAGCGGGAACAAGCTCCTATGGGAACAAGCTGATAGCCTTGGTCAAGGCTAAAACAGTACAAACATGAATTCAGGCAAATTTCGAAAAAAGAAAATACATTTATAAAGAAAGGCACATTTCAGGGAATAGACAAATCGAAAGTTTAGAACAAATGAACACTCATACAATATATCAATTTTTACAAGAGATGAAAAAATATTGCATTATACAAAACATTAGCTGAAATGAATTTCAACGCTCACCATTTAATGACATAAGAGCACAAAAATAAGGCAAAGTACTGAGCAATTTCCACTGATATAAATTCACGAAAGACCAAATTTTGTCTATGAAAAGGAATGCTCATTTCAGAAGTTACAAAATAAAATGTATCAAATACTTAAAAAAAAAAACACTTTGTTTTTTTGGCAGATTATCACAAGAGACACACATTTTATAGTCTTACCACATCTATATGATCATTATGACTCACACAAAATAAGCAAATAATTAACAGCTTTTGAAAAGCAATCGTTAATGAATCAGCTTTTAACAAAATTTTCCCAGAGAGTAAACCAGTTCAACAAAAAACTTAGCTGAGACCTTTTGAAATGTTTCTTTTAAAAACAAGTTCTGGCAGCCTGCCATTACCATGGTAAAAGTAGGAACAACAGAATGGTCATCACAGTAATGTGTCTTCACATTAACAGTGCAGGTTTTTTATTGATGACCAACAACAACAGTGAATTATCCACTCTATCATCTGAGCTGGTCATCTTGTAAAAACACCACATGGGCTATTTTTCAAAATGGGTGTCCCAAACTACAGATGCACCTTTTGACAACATGTTCCAACACGGTTGAAATAGGCAACCTAGACATTTGGCATAGACAAGAGTTTCGTGTGGAGTGTCATGGCCTAGCGGTTAAGAGCACCGCACCGGACTCATGCTCTGGTGTTTCGGAGGCAGCAGAATGGTGGTTCGAGCCCGGGTCTGGACACTTGTGCCCTTAAGCAAGGCACTTAACCATTATTGCATCGTTCTTCGGATGGGATGTAAAGCCATTGGTCCCATGTGTTGTGTAATGCAATGCACGTAGAAGAACCCAGTAACACTTATTGGTAAGAGAAGGGGTTTGCCCCGGTGTTTCTGGCCTCCTGTTAAATCTCCCCTGTGGAGTATTTAGAAGAACCAATCAAATACCAAGTACAAGAGATTTCAATAAAGCCATGTCTGAATTACTGGGCTGTGGCTGGCAATAACACATGAGTCTATGGGAAGTGGCTGCAGCCACTAGCCAGTGGCTTCCATAGGTGCGCGTGTTTATTTTCCGGCCTTACAACCCATCACTTCTGTCTAATAGTCAGGTGACCCGATACGAAACCTTCTAGCCTACTTTGTCTGACTCTAAGCAATTTCTTACAAATGACAATGCACAAGTCATTAAGTTCGCTCACTAGTTCACCTACAGTTGTTGATGACTTTGTGTCCCCCGGTTATGTCTGCTTCATCATCTTGTGCAAACATCTCTCACATTACAATACAAGCCCTTGATTTGGGCACTTTGGCTTCACTCGTTGCTGATGACAAACTACTCCTGGAGTCGATGGCCTTCCGTTCCTGTTCCAGCCTCGCGACTTCGTACAGACCCTTCTCCCTGTCAGGAACAAAGAACCACATTTTGAACGGAAAGGCTGTAAAAGTTGTGCTCATTGAAACCCAGATAAAAGTTAGGAAGACTAGGTTTGCTTATATAGTCCAGCTGGACCTGAAAGTTTCCATTTAGAACATTATTTCAACTCAGTGGCTCAATCAGTCAGTCAGGCAGGCAGACATACAGGGTGAGTAAAAAAAACCCCGAAACCCAAATGTCGGGCCCATTGTTTTAGTAAAGTTCTGCATGTAGCACTTTCAAAATCTAGGATATGAAAGCCCAATTCATGAGCTTTCTTTTAGTACAAGAATCATTCAAGTCACTCATGTACTTTTCAAGTTCAATCACAAAAAAGGTGTGTGTTCTTTCAGCCAAACGAAAACAATTCAGACACATCCTAATGTGATTTGTTTTCGTTTTGCTGAAAGAACACTGAACTTTTTTGTGATCCATAGACAGAACCTTAAAACAATGGTTGTGTTTACAACTCCGTAACTTGAAAAGTACATAAGTGATTTGAATGATTCTTGTACTAAAAGAAAGCTTATGAATTGGGCTTTCATATCCTAGATTTTGAAAGTGCTACATGCAGAACTTCAGAAATGGGCCCGACATTTCGGTTTCGTTTTTTTTATTTTGGCCCACCATGTACAGACAGTCAGCCAGTGACTCAAGTCAGTCAGCCACACAATCAGTCGGTCAAATTTTTATTAAATTGTCAATTAAATGAATTTTCACTGAAGCTTATTTGTAACAAATATCCATTCCTCTGAAAGGTATAAAAATTATGAGACATGCCTTTTTGGTAAAAGGTTTTTTTTTCAAAATGCAAAGTGTGTCATTCTTTTCCTGACAGCTGAGGGCGCTGTTGCTGTGATGTCATTTTACGAACACACTTCTTTAACCAGGGGTTTTCTCTTAAAATTGTAAACCAAAATTCTGAGTATTGAAAACATTCGTGCATAAAGTTTTCTCAATGTCTTACTGTCATATACTGAAACAATAATGAATCACTAAAATTACTACAGCAAACCCCTAAAATTCTGGTGACTTTTTATGCTGAAGCAGATATGAAACTGAAGTTTCTATCTTGAATGACATCACAGTTTTGCTCATGAATATGGAAATTTGCATTAGAATAAGAAACAAAAAGGCACCAAAACACTCTGGCAATATAAAATTACAAAAAAGTTATAAAAACAAAACAAAACTCAAAGGCACATTTCAAGACATACCTTTTTGGTAAGAAATGCATTAAAAAAAAGATTCCATTACATTTTAATCGTTTTAATTCCTATACCTTTGACCCCTAGACATGGTATTCAGAACCGAGGATTCTGGGTACTTGGGGCCACCCCACGACGTCCTAGCGGGTTCCAGCTCATCGTACGTTTGATCGTTACTATGGTTACCCCTCTGTGAAGGACGAGGTCCGCTAGGAGGCTCAGGTGGGCTGGGAATAGAGGGCGCTGTTCGCTTTGGTATCGTTGAGGTTAGAAGCGCTGTGGATGCTGTGCTGTTTAAGGACTCGTATAGTCTGTCTTCACCTTGACTAGATGATAGTTCTGTGTGAAGAAAAACATGATTCCAGAATAAACTGTAAGCATTGGCTTGCATATCAGATTTCTCGTGGACACTGTAGTTAAATTATAAGATCATACACGAATACTCAAAACGAAACTGCCAAAATATTCTGAAATAGCCTACTAGATTGTAAGTTAATAACAGTCTGAAACACGCTGTGAAATTGTTGAGCCTGGCATGCTGTTATTCTCAGGAAAAGAGCAATCCTGTTTGCCCCTGTGGTATATCGTGTGCGTACGTACATCGTGCGGCTAGCTGGCCGACCGTACACGTATGAGGGCGCACTATACAGGAAGGATTAGCGCGAGGGCATTGTTCAGCTGGAACACGGTTGCAATTGAGTTACACACAAACTGATGCCAAGAAACATCCACGTTCGGCTGAAAAAATACGCAAAAGCTGGACAAGTGACAAATGCGGCAAATTCTGAATTTGTTATTAACAGGGTGAGTGTGTTTTGAAAGAATAAAACAACTATGCATGCAGTCTGAATGTGAAAATAAATTTGGTAAAAAGTCCTCACGTTCTGAGTTAATTCCCAAAGTGTGGCCTTTATTTACAGAGGTAGTCCAGTAAATTGGCCACATTTATGGGGCTAGGTATACGTATCACTTTCCAATGACAAAGCCAACACTCGGGCACTCCCTTTGACCTATGGGTTCTTTCACTTTAACAGTTGAAAATTAACATTTTTTTCTCGTGTTTTTCCAGCACCGCGCCATGGACACAAAAACATTGAACAGTTCAGTGGAACAATGTCAGTCCATTTCTTGAAATTACAACAAATACAAATGATGCTATATGCCTTTAATTAACAATGCAAACACAGAACGCACTTGTGATCTGAATGCAGCAATCTATATCTGAAATCAACTGCATCTTGTAGGGAGTAATCTGCCCTGTTTCAAAAGTTATCAAAATGATACTGCTTAAACATGGCTTCAACTCACTGACATTCTACACAAAATTGTGGATTTAGCAAATCATTTGAAAGCATGTCAGTAAACAAGTGGTAAGCCAATTTGTGTCAACATGGTGACCTTTGTCATCTTTTTTATGAAGCTCACACAAAAAAAACAGATGCATTCATAACAAAATTACAGGATTCCTTTACAGATAAGGCTGAAAATTAAAAGAATTTGTACACTTACTTCTTGATTTAATTGTTGCGTACATGGGCTCGTTGGATGAGGGATGTTCATATGTGTTGCCTAGTCCCCGCCTATGGAAAGAAATGGGATTAACAAAACTGAGATTCGAACACAGTATTGGATGATTTGAACTTAAAAACTTAAAAATATACAAATGATTGAAATAGAAGTCTTCTTTCAAGCAATGCACACAAAGTCAGATTTGATAACGTCTGAAATGATTATACTTTGTTTCAATACTACTCACCTTAGACTTCCATCTAAATGCGTCAACTCATCCGAATTATCAGAATCATCTCCAGATGAACTCCCTGTTGCATCCTCTTCGCTTGTTACATCGGTGAATGAGGAACCTTCTTGATCATCACTGTCATCATCATCATCATCATCGTCACTGTCATCATCACCATCGCTGGTAGAACTTGAGGAATCCTCGTCCGTAATGAATGTTTGGCTCGCAGAGCGCCCTCTCTTGATGACTGGGTCGCTATCGGAGAAGGAGGTCGAGTTGAATCCTTTGACCCTGGGACGCCTGGCCGTGGGAGATGATTCCATCTGGGTTGAATCATCAATGCTGCCATGGCGGAAGAAAATAATCCAAGACATTGATCAAACCTGCAACCTACAATGCAATACAGGTGTTCTACCAACCTTAGCAACCCTCGTTGGGCATCCCTTTATATTTCTTTGGTTCTCATTTCCAACCAACCCTATGTTGGGCTCCCAACCCAAGAGAAAAATACCTGCCCTTTTTTTTTATTATCGTCGACCCTTTCTGGAAAACCCAAATAAGAAAATTACAAAGGAAAACAATTATAATGAATACACAATTCAGCCAATGAGGTCCTGTGTTATTTGAAAAGATATTGAAAACGAATACCAGATTTTTTTTTGCAAAGTACGGCGGAAAGCAACCAGGGGAATCTCAGAAGATGAGAGGATGTTGCCTCTCATCATATTAGGTGTCTATAGTATACCTTAACTATGTCTTGGCTGCCACTACAGTTAAAAACGTTAGTGAGCTGTTTGGTGCAGCTGTAATGTAAGTCAACTTCATCTTGCCAAATATTGTTTTATTTTATTAGTGATACCAGTTCATGATAAGCTTATTACTGATTATAAGTTTTTTACGAAAGATGGACGGACAAACTGTAACGCGAGGTACCGTAGCACGAGTTACCGAAATACATCCCTCTCGAGATTTCATGATTGATTATTTGTTAATAATTGTTATGGTAGAACATGACCTACACCCTAGTGATGTGAGGACACTGAAAATGTTTTTTCAAACAGTGTACAGTATGAGGGAATTTTTAAATGCAGTGTATTTAAGTATTTTCCATGTCCTTTTTTGTAGCGTCAGTTACCGATGAAAATCTTATTGCCAGACCAACAGAATATTATTTTGTTGGCCTCTTTTAGTCACTTAACCTCTAGCAATCTTCTGTGAAATATCCACTCTAAATGCTTTGACTTTATAGAATGACAGCACAGAGTTGACGATGTGAGTTACCGTAAAATTGCCCAAAAGTTAGAATCACACATGACACAACTAAATTGAAAAGTCTACTATCTACACTTGGATTTTTAATTAACGTTTTGTACCTGGAAACAGTCGGTGCCGCGCCATCCTCCTCAATTTCCAATCCTTTGATATGAGAGAGAAGTCTCCTTGGCGCTGACTTGTTGGACTCGGCTGTCTTCCCTCTTTCTTCACTCTCAAGCCCGGCTAGTTTACTACGCTCAGACGTCCGTGGTCTCTTGGCCTTACGTGAGGATCTCCTACCAATCAATGAGATGTCTGTCTCGGTGTCGTACTCGCCTACGCCCTTTGTGACTGGCTCATCAAACGACCCGCTTCGTCTGCGGCCTTTCCTCTTTGATTTCCTGTAAAAGGTTTAAAGGGAATATACATCATTTGCTTTTGCTGTAATTTTCAGAAATGGATGGAATTGGGGGGTCGGTAATATATAGCAAATATAGTTACACTGACTTTTTTGAGGTTTTGGGTTCGAAAATGCTATAAACACCAAGAAAAACAATCATTTTCCTGTAGTCTGGTTCCCTGACTCCATATAAGAAGAAACAGAGTAGTTTATATACATTGTGGGATTGTAAGGTCAGGGAACCAGTCTAGCTGGCTCGTACCCTTTCATAGGTTTGTAATCGATTGCAAACAAGTGCGATGGTCAATTTGGGCCAGTATTTGAAAAAAATGCCAGTTTTTTCCAATGCTGATCGGCCGACCAGCGTTGGAAATTGATACAAAAATACCACTTTTCTGGAAAATGACAGTATACCAGGTGCCATGATTTTACAGGATGCTTTACCCTGTCATTCACTAACAGTCCAGCAAGGTATTTCAAAATGATTTGGTAGTTTTATTTTTTGATGTTTGCAAATGTTGTATTTTCCCTTTAAAAGAATGTTAATTATTAGTTCATAGCCAATTTAAAATGTATCTTAAGTTGCTGGCAAAAAATTATGACCTTTCTGCAAATAGATGACACAAAGTTTAGGTACACACTCGAGTAGAGCATGTGGGTAATTCTATGAATTTAGGGTCCAAAGTGTGACATTTTTACCGTGCCTGTTACCTTGGTACTTTGCAATTTGCCATTCAACGATCATTAAGGATAACTTTAACTGATTTTTGTATTTGTTGGATAGGTAGTTTGCTATAATCACTCTTGTACACACACACAAAGTCCAAGTAGTCTGTGGAGGCGGACCGTGTGCTGACCATTGTGTGGGCCGTTGTGCACGGCCTATTTTTGTACAATTAAAGCTCAAGTGCACACCGTGGAGTATTGAAACATATGAGGTTTCGGCAAGAAATATCGTACAAATACTGTTGAAATCATGCTTGCGAATCAGTATTTGTGGCGTTTGGCTGTATATCAAAAGGTGGCTGGGAAAATTCGACTTTGAAAATTTTGAAATTTTCGGCAAAAACAAACTTTTTTAAGGTGGTTAAGGACTACAAGAAAATTAATAATCATAGATGTCAGATGTAACAGGGACAAGAAAAAAAAGTGGACCCCAAATGTAAAGAACGACTCATATGCTGCATATGTGACATGTATGAAACCACCAGATGGTCACCATTGACTTACCTTTTTTTCTTCTTCCCGGGCACCTCCAACTTGCCTTGATTGTCCAGGCTTTGATCAAAGCTGGAGTACAGGCTAAGTCTGGTGGATGTTAACGGTGCGTAGATTGGGGATTGTATGAGCGGGATCTCTGGTGAAGGCAAACCATGCAGGCTTGCCATAGGTCCCATTAGATCCTGCAAACGATATTAGATCAAACAATGAGATTATTTTACCCTTCTGTGGACCCTTTTCAGTTCATAATAAAAACTATTAATCCATTACCACCTGTATACATACAATGTATTACAATGTATTTACTCCTAGGGTTGCAGACCAGTAAATAAACTTCCATAGACCCCAATGGTAAATGCTCCCACTTCAGAAATTCGGGAAAAATACTCACAACTCTCCAAAGTGTTCGAGACACACATCAAATTAAAGCTTATTTCATCATCTTTCATTTTCTTTTCAATTTTTTTTTTTTTTTTTTGGGGGGGGGGTTTCAACTGATGACTTTTAGGAGAAATTTTCATCCGAAATTATCACCCCTGAAAATAGTCCTGAAGCCCATCGCCATTTTGACAAACAATGCCTACACTCCATTGCAAAATAGAGCACTTTAAGGGCCCCAATTTCATCCAAATTGAACGGAACTACAAGCTCACAGTCCTGTGCACGGCTTCCACCCATATTTTTTACAAACCCTCAAATTCATGGCCCACAGCATGCTCAAATACTGAAGATTTTGAGGGCATGCAAATCGTGATTTGGCCGGCGTAGGCAATTTCGGACCGATTTACTGGTCTGCCACCCCAGTTTGGGGTGGTACAAGAACTGAAGGGATTAAGGGTGCTAGAGTCACGAGTCACTATACAAATGTATGCATTACACTCATAAAAATGTCACTTTCTTTTCTGAAGTCACAACCGGGCCCAATTTCACGGCTCTGTTAACCACAGAATTCCGCGCTTACGATCACCTTTTTGTGCTAACCGCACTTGCAGAAAAATTACGTGCCAAGCACAGAATCCTTAGTTACGAGATGAACGCATGCACAGACGCCAAAATTCCAAGCTTTTCCGTGAAATACGCTTACCGTCAGGACGAAATTTTCCGCTACAATAAGCCGGGATTTTTCTGTAACGGTAAGCAGAGCCAAGAAGTTGGACCCAGCCCTGACTGCCTTTGATGTTTTTTGCTAGACTTTCAATTCAATTCAACAGTTGGCGAAAATATTGAACAATTGTCAAAGTTCCAAGTCTGCTTATTGGAAGACCAAAATGCCTCAGTGTCTGTGGCTGCCAGCCTCGGTAGGATCAAACACTGTTCAATGGGACTAGCTACAATTACCTACAAAGTATCATTTATGTTACTGTTGACGAGACAATGAGACAATGATTTATATCTTACTAAATTGAGCAGGGTTAGGGTTAATGACGAAAGCTGTCAACAAATGTGATGCGATCAAGCTACATGAGTCGTTTGTCGACCCTGGTCGAATTTTTTTTATTACAGATTTGAAAAGGGCACAATCTCAGCATTACTGCTGTGAAAACTGCATGCTGATACCATCTTAGTAAAAAAATTATGGAAGTTGGAACACCAAGAGATGTGATGAAGTCATGTGATGATGTGGCCCTATTTTGGCCTGAATCTCCAAATGACAATTCCTGACAAACGACTCATTTAGCTTGATTGCATCACAAAATGTGAATCCATTAAAGAGGTTGTGGAATGCTAGAAGACATTTCCGTCATTTTTTGGGTATATAGCCTAAGGTGTGATGAAATAAAAACGACTATTGTTTCTGTCGTGAAATGAGTACAAAAGGTACTTTTGAGAGCTATTTTTCAGGTCCTGTTTCGAGCCGAACGTGCAATTTGTGTAAAACTCGTCGCTGCGGGCAGCAAACAAAACACAGTAAATCGTGACGTAATAAACAGGACTCGTTTATGCTACTCTGCATCGGGAGTCCTGTTTATTACGTCACGATTTACTGTGTTTTGTTTGCTGCCCGCAATGACGACTTTTACACAAATTGCACATTCGGGTCGAAACAGGCATGACAGGACTTGAAAAACAGCTCTCAAAAGTACCTTTTGTACTCATTTTATGACAGAAACAATAGTCGTTTTTATTTCATCACACCTTAGGCTACATATACCCGAAAAATGACGGAAATGTCTTCGAGCATTCCACAACCTCTTTAACAACTGCATTGTATTTCATTGCACTTATTTCTTAAAACTACAGTGCTCAGGTAGTTGGGTGCGGTGCAGGGAGTAACCGGCAAGGCAGTTTGGGGAGGTACGTGGATTGGAAATTCGTTCAAGTTTACTGACAATTACCTTCTCCGGTTCAACTAAGACAGGCACCCTGTTCTTGTAGGACTCCGCCTTGACCACACCAACTCTCTGGACCTCCAGGGCGGTGGCTAGTTTAGCGACAATCTGACGCTGGATAGAGGGATGCGCGCCTCGCTGACTGAGTTGGCCGATCGTCTCCTTGTAGTAGGAAATCGACGTATCCAGTTGACGGCGCTGATAATTCAGGTCAGCCAGCCCCTCCAAAACTTGCCAGAGGAAACTCTGAAGGCCTGTGGATTGAAGAAGACAGAGAAGATGGACCGGAATTGCTAATTATTGAGAGATCTGTGCAGTACTTAAAGTTGAGATCCCCGTGCTCTTCGACAAATTCAATTTTGTTTCTTTCAACTAATTTTCAACTTTGTATGCTTTATTCCAACCAAAAAACCTTTCCTTTTAAGGCAGTCTGCTAACTTCTGGAAAAAAAGCTTTTTGTTTTGGACACGAACAGATTCACTTTGCGAGCTGAATGGTTCCCAGTCCGTACATTATCGATACTGATTATGGGGCAGGAGCCATCCAACCCAGCGAGAACAGAAATTTTTGTCAGGCAGCCAATAATCAAAATTAAAGTAATAATTCAAGATTAACTAAACATGGGTCAATTTTTGTTGTTCGATGTCTCATTTAAAAGTGAATAACTTTTTTATTGCTAGAAAAGTTGCAATTTAGAAAAGGAATAATCTTTTTGGGATGAATTGGTCTGAAATTGCACCTCTATATGCAAACATTCCCATTTTGGAACACCAGACTTGTCCCAATTAGAAACAGTTTTGAGACGTTCTCTGCCAGATCTTGTGTCTACCTACCTGCATCTTCTAGTGTCTGGTAAGCAATGTGGTAATACTTCTCAGCATTATGATGATCTCCTAGATGCCTGTAAGCCTCAGCCAGTTGATAGAAACACTGCCCTCTAGCTTTCTTGTTCTCCAGTTTTCCTGCTCGGGAAAAGAAAAACACAGAAAATGAAAACCTGAACAATAAGTACATGTGATGATTTGAGATGTCTCAGTTCGAAATTAGCCGCTTTTATTTTCCATAGGAAAATGAAAACACAGAAAATGAAAACCTGAACAATAAGTACATGTGATGATTTGGGATGTCTCAGTTTGAAATTAGCCGCTTTTATTTTCCATAGGGAAATGAAAACAAAGTGTTGCAAAGCTTCACAGAAACTATTGAAAATAATTTGTTCCTCTGTTGCTTACCCCTGCAGCTCTAACTTTTGCCAAATATGATAACAAGATACTAAATTTGAGTTCAGAAAAATTGGTGCATGCGTTTTGAAACAAGGCTCTTTCCTGATACAGCTTAACCGTCCTAGTCTTTTGCACTTCACAACCTTTCAAGTTTTGCTAAACCACTTTTGCCCATAGAGTTAGCATCCCACCTCAAATTCCTTTGAGGTAATCTTCTTAGTTCTGTGGGTAACACTTCAAATCCCTGCACAAATCTTGTGTATGGTTAAGCTTCAGGCAAGCAGGCAGCTTCACTGCTCTCCACAGTGTTTTTGTTTTGTGCAGTGAGTCTGTGTGTGACACAGTTACTTTAACATTTCATATCCCTAAAACTGACCAGCATGGTTTTAAAGGGTTGTATATATTGCTCGGAATATTGACTTCTCAGTGTGTCACAAGAGAGCTTAAAATGTTCTCTCAGTGAACTATGAAATTCGGGATGTTCAAGGAATTACTAACTTGATTCTCAAAGGTAACCTCTTGAATCCAACAGAATTGAACAAATAAAGAACCGGCGCATTATCAAATCAGTAATCTCTCTTACCATACAATGCCGATGCCTCTTTATTGATTGCCACTGCTTTAGTGAAGTCTCCGAGGGCGCTAGACGTTTCCCCAAGAGTTAGCAGAGTCCTGGCTTCGAGTTTCTCATTCCCCCTTCCACTTTCCTGTGATGATCTCAGCATATTCAGGGCTCGATGTAACCAAACAGAGGCACTCTTGGGTGATCGGAGTTGAAAGAGGAGGGATCCCGCATCGCAGAATTGCTTGGCTAATTTTCCTGTAAGAGGGTGAAATTCAACAAGATATTTAACTACAAATTTTAGTTGAAATGCCCCATCCAAGAAGCTGATGGTGAGCTGGAACTCCCTGCACATCCATCACAAGTCCTCCAGTCCAAATTCAAATCACAAGGTATGCAACTGAGCTTTGACAAAGGCATTGCTCTGTTATTGTTCATCTATTGTTTCTTGTAACTGGACTTAAATATGGACTTGTGAATCGTCTTGTGATGAACTTGTGATGAACTCAACTGCAATGTACATCCATAAACAAAACAAGGTAATTCAAAATCATTTTTGAGGAAAGATTTCCATATACGAAGTTCACTCAACACCCTGTGTACAAACCCTATGAGATTGGACTGAACAATTCTAAGTGTTTTCTAAGAAAATGCTCAAATTGACTTTGATGACATGAAATTGCTATCTGGGGGCTTGTTAGTCAATACAGAGGAAAGTTAGTGAACTTCGTATATGGAAATCTTTCCTGTAAAATTATTAGAACATGTTTTCAACAGACAATGTCATTTTGACAAGTGATTGTATGTACCTGAGTCAGTGTTAGCGTCTTGAATCTTTGAATACAATTTGTCTAGGTCTTTAAGCACACCAAGGCCCTTCTCTGATTTCCCTCCGTCGTGAAGATTCTTTGCCTGACGAAGCATCATCCTCCCAGCCAAGAAAACACGCCCCGAGGTAAGATAACCTTTCCCGGCATCACGAAAACACTCTGCCGCCTTCAGAGGTTGGGAAAGCTTCACATACTGCTCTCCTAGTTGTTGGCAAGAATCGGCAAACCCCCTGAACTCGGAGCATTCCCTGAAGACATCAGCCGCATTAGTGAAGTATCGCAATGCACCCTGAAAGTCTCCTTTCATGGAATAAGCAAGTCCAAGATTAAACAGAATGTCCCCACTTAGTGTTTCAGTTTTCGGCAGTTTTTCTGCCTCCACGGTTTTCAATGCATGTTCTAAGTGTTTGATCGCTTGATCCGCATCGCCCTGTGACAGAAGCGCTGCTCCAAGGTTACAAGCGCACGAGATGAGGACCTCATGTTTCCCTGATGTCTTAGCAATCTCATAAGCTTCTTGGTACTTGACGATGGCCCTGCTGATGTTACGTTTGGTGACCTCTGTGCTGCCCTCTTTTGTTAACATTTCCACATCATCATATTCCTGTGACAAATCCATGACTGGTATCTCCTGTAGAAAATTATCCTGAAAATGTAAAGCAACAAACTTTATGAAATATAATGATAGTGGATATTTTGCCGGAGGTAATGACGGCAAACTAACGATTACTAAAGGTTTGCCGGCGGCAATCCATATCAACAGAGGGCGCTGTACTCTTTAAAATAGGGCTGAATTATAAGATGTATTAAATTCCCACCAAAAGTTGTGTAGCACGTTTGGTGTAATGGTTAAGCAAAGGCTCTAGTAAGCGGGATGACTCGCGTTCGATTCCGACCGCACCACATTTTAAAGTTTTTTTTTCTCATCCCCAAATAAATAAGAATATTCTTCTTTATTTTTTTAACATGTCTCAAACATTTTTTGCAGAGTATTAACATTTTCTTTTTCAGATTTGTGGCTCTGGAGGATTTTTTTAAAAAGGGAAATAAAGTCCGAAATTATAAAATGGTCTGAATCCCATCTTGTGAATACGAGGTAACAACGATAATTTTGGCATGGAGCCAGACTAAAACTTGTCACCGGAAAATGTTTTAAGTACAAAAAAAACAGTAACTGCACATGTTCAGTGCATATCCGGCAAACTAACGTTTACTAAAGGTTTGCCGTCTCCGGCAAAATATACACTGCCAAATATAATTCATTAAGGTAAGACAAACCATAACCAAATCTTAATATAAATGGATACAGATGGATCTTAGTTTAACTTAATAAATGCCTACAGGAAAGTTCAAGTTCAAGTAAACTAAATCAAAACAAAACATTCTTTGCAAAAATCTGCACTACTACTACTTAATTTGTTTTACTATTAGTTTTACCAAAATGTCTTCCTTGTATTTTCCACACAAGCAAGTGTCTCATATATCATATTTACCTGCGCACGTCAGTTTCGCCAGCCACATTTCAAAACTCTCCATATTTTTCAATGCGCGGCCTTGCCCTTAAAATCGCCCGCACACACACATACACTGAATGAATTGTTCATATCGTTTGGACAAAAATATTAGGCTAGCATGGCTAGTACTACTACTAGTATTCCTCCGATAAACTGGCTAGATCTAATTGCCTTACTACCTGGATTTTTTTTATTCCCGAGGTCTCACCAATAAGCATGATAAAAAAAATAATTATTTATTTAGTATGACTATGATCTAGCGATAATTACCCATATTTCATCAGCTACGCCTACGCACCTGTTGACATGCTGGATGATTGATGTCGATGTCATGGAAGTCGTCAACACTTGCCAAACAACAGTCCGGATCAACAATAATAAGATAAGTATTCAAATAGTGTTAATAAAAAAATTAAAATTTTATTATTACCTATTCCAAAATTATTAAAATCATTTTAAAAATATTTTTTATTCTAAAATAGTTGAAATTACTTTTAAAAATTTGTATATTATTGTTTTTATAATATATACGTAGTGATTGATTTTAATTGAGTTATTTGGCTAAAATATAGGCTGGTAGCCAACCAATCATTTTCTGTGTTGGAGTATGGTCGCGGTCTCACTGCATTGTCTATCTATTGTATTTTGCGACCTTTGACCTATTGGTGTAACTGACCAATCACATCCCGACATCCAGGCATGTCTCTTTCTCCGTGCTGAGCATACGACAAGGTAAAGATGTTACATTTTGTGACATAAATTACTCAATTTACCATATTTTGGAAATGCTAATCTTCCCCAAATTATGAAGAAATTTAATTAAGATCTTGTTGAATTTATGCATGTCATTTCAAAATAATTTTGGGTTGGGTTCTGTGTGAAAACGGCGACTGAACTTTCGTAGTGGATTGTGCATTGCACAAATCATCACAAATCGTGATGATTTTGTTGCCCAGATTCCGGACAATAGTCAGATATTGGACTCGTGACATGAGTTAAAATATAAAAACTGATGATTTAATTTTATTTTAAAAAATATAAATTGATTGTTTTAATTTAAAACAAATAAGAACAATTTAACATGTTTAACGCATTTTCTCACAACTTTTTGTTTCACTTTTACCATGTTTACTAGTTTTAGGCCCTAACGCCAACGGTTTTCATTGTTTTGTATATAGGCATAGGCCTATCTCCATGATCTCTCTTCAAGTTCGGTTCATACTCGGCGCGAAAGCGAATGCGAATTTGTGACGTCGCGGCAACTATTCGCGCTGCAAATTCGTAAAAGTTTAACATATTTCAACTCGGGCGAATTTCGCAGCGAATGTTTCATGACGTCAAATTCGCTTCGCATTCGCAGTCGCATTCGCGTGAAGTATGAACTGGGCTTTAGAATTCAGGGGCTCCACGCTACGTGTACGTGGAGCCCCATAGTTCTAGACTAGGGGTATTTTATTTGTGCAACCTTTACAAGACAAGGTAAGTTTTTGTGTTTTTGATCCACTCCCGTTGTCTGTTGGTAAAGTAAAGGCAAGTTGCTTCAAGTACTTGCTAATTTTGAAGTTACAGACCTCGCTTTCATTTTAGTCCTTTTATTTTAACTTTTAAAAATAACTTTTTCAAAGTTCAATGTTTAGCATAAACATGTTCTTTTAATTCTTATGGTACGTACTGTCTTTGTAATTTTGAACAGCATGTTTTGATAGGAAATAAGATTTCCTTGTCAATTTTCCAGTTGATGCCAAACAAATCAAAGTGTTTTTTTTCTTGCATTTGGCAAATGCCAGCTTTATTTTCATGTTATATATGTAGATATATTAATGTTTATCCCCAAATTTCCACAATTTAATATCACTAACTAGTCAAAGTGACACCAGTGAACTAAAAGTGAAAGTTTTGTTCTCTCATAGAAAAGGGGCCTATGACTCACAATTGCTAGTTACTGAATTAAAATTAAGGTTCCAAAAAAATAACATAAGCTAAAAGTCTGAAAACTTTGATTTTGTTTCAGTCTATGTGCTTTATTATAGTGATTTTTCTTTCTAAAACAATAATTGGTATTTCAGTAGTAATATTATAAACATACTTGCTTCAATAATTTTTGAAATAGTTTCATTGCACATGTTTCAGCATACCCCATCGTCTAGTTTTTTTACGTTAATGCCTGCTGAAAATGTTTTGAGGGAAAATCGAAATTTTTTGATAGAGGCATCATTTATCAATGAATAAAAATGGCCTCTCTTCTTGAACAGAAGTAAACATGTAGTAGGATTTTTATGTCTTAAATACACTTAAAACAGCTTTCTTGCCATGTAACTATTACTTTCCACCTACTTTGTAGCAGTAAAAGGGAGAAATTTCAACATTTTAGTTTTTATGCTAATGAAAATTTCCATATTCATGAGCCAAAGTGTGATGTCATTCAAGGCAGAACAGTAGTGTCTCCATAGCTTTGTGTACAAATATATATCAAACTTTTCTTCATTTTCTTCAAGTTCCACTTTTTTGTTTATCATGTTAAACAGCTTGTTTGGACAATGGTAGTTGCCAATATTTCTTCAAAACTTTCTAATTTTTGTACTGTTCATATGCACTTTTTACAAGGAGTGCCTTGTGTGTGACAAAAGCAAAATAGCGCCCTCTTACATGTACCGATGAAAGGATTTTCTAATAATTGAAAAACTACCACTTTCTTGTCACTTCCAATGAAAACAAGTATTAAGATCTTGTATGTATTGTTGCAACGCATAGTAATGTGCATGAAAACAAGATGAGCTGAATTTCCATTGCATGTTTCCTTTAACAAAAAATCTTTCTGTCTTGCTCAACAGATGAGGTTGCTGTTTGTGCTTGGTTTGTTGTGCCTCGTGGGGCTTGGCTACTCCCAGGATTCCGGAGCTAAGCTCCTGGCATCCAAGAACATCTTGAATGAGTGGCTGGTGGAAGGACGTGACCTGACCATACGCTACAGCATCTACAATGTTGGCAGCAGGTATTACGAGCTAATCAATCAGCCCTAACCCTGCTCGATGCAATTCTCAAGGACCCCACGGTTGCTGCTGAATCATGAGACCTGCTGCATCCAATGGGTTCCGACAGCAAGAACCAAATATTTTTGGGGTCTGTTTTACTGCTCAGAACAACAAATCCAATAATTTGCTGTTGGAATTTTTTTTGGATTCAGTAGGTTAGGGTTAAAATGTAACATTACCGCTATTATAACCCCTTCCCTCCTGGGTATTTTGGCTAAAAAAAACAGCCAAAAGCAGCAACATGCAACACTTGTCTAACTGACAAGCCTGCCCAGTGCAGCAAGATCCATCAGGCCAAAAGCCTCAAGGCCAAACTGCCTCGGAGTCCGTGGTCCCCGAATGCAGCAGGATACAACTGTGGCATTGTTCTATGGGACTAGCTCTCATTGTCTCAGAAGTGGCCGTTTATACACTGATGTTGGTAGCTGAATGCATCAAAGTGCACCAGACTTTTCCACCTGATGCACTGTGTTGCGTCTGGTAGGGTTATGGATAAAGTGCAAAAGGTGCATGTGAGTTTGTTTCTGCATTCAACAGGGGACGTTGAACAATAGAGGACAATAGGGTCCCCAATTCCCGAGAGGTCCCCAATTTGGATTTGTGTACACAAAATATGGGAGGTCTTCCTAAAAAGTTTGTGTACATACAAAAGATGGACAATAGGGGGTCCCCAATTGCAGGCAATTACACATTTGTGGGTGTGTGTGTGTGTGTGATCTGTTACACGGTACCCTGTGGAGACATGCGCACAATAGGGAACAAAAGATTGTAAACGTCTCCACAGGGCAATTTCTATAAGTGAATACATCTCCACAAGGTTATCACGAAATAGATATATGGATTTTACTCAAAAATTAGGAATTTCCAAGGCGTGTTGATCCGTCGCCAATCGAAGTATTTTATGTAAGGGATATTAAGTCCAAATTTTGGCCCAGGAAATTAATTCTGGTTCAAATAGGAGTCAAACTCGAAAACTTTAGTACACGAGAACAAAGAAAAGACTCCACAAAGATACACATTTCAGTAGGTGTGTGTTCATAAGTTGATTGCCTATGTAGCAGGCAACAGGCAGTACCTCTCCCCCATGAAGCGGGCGACAGCTAGCAAAACCAACTCTCTCGCAAATTAGGCGACAGGCGGTGCAGCTGTTACGCCACAACGATGGCAATGTTCCCAACTATAGTTGAAAATAGGTGGGGCAATTCCAAACTACCGTTGAGACGATCCTAACTGTAGTTGGGATCGTCCCAACTATAGTTGGGACGATGCCACAGTTGGGGCGTAACAAGCCACCTACCCCACAAAGTGGACGAGGCAAAGCCTCCAGCATAATGAATGCAAGTGATGACATACAGGAGCTAATTACATTACGTTGAAATCTCCATGTAAAATAAACATTACAAATTCATTTATTTACCTGTCATGATTTTATTTTCCCTCCAGTGCTGCTCTGAACGTTGCCTTGGCTGATGAAACTTTCCACGATTCTGACTTCCGTGTCATCAGTGGCCAGACCCGTGTACAGTGGGATAGGATTGCACCTGCCAGTAACGTGACACACACCGTGATCCTACAACCAATGAAGTCAGGCTATTTCAATTTCTCATCAGCAACTGTCATGTACCAACCGTCTGAAGATGCCGAACCAATAGTATGAAAGGTTTTCATTCATTTTTACAAAAGACCTGGAAATTATTGATCATGTAATTTCCGGGCAAGCTAATACCATCACTTGTAATTGTCTGTCATCTACTTCATGTTTAATCCTCCTACTGTCTGAACAGTCACAGACAGTCAAAAAATCAATCCTCTTCCCCTGCCATGCTTTTTACACAGGCTAGTCACCAACAGTCAGATCATATTTTAAGCTAGCACTCTGACTAGTCAAATTCAGTCAACTGTCAAAAGCAGGCAAGTGGTAGGCACAGCTGGCTTATCAATCACCTGCAGTCAAAGCATATCAAGCGTATCAAGTTACAAAAACAGTCACAGCCAGTCAATCCTGCTTTATGTAGGCTCAGAGCTCTTAAGTTGTCTTAACTGTCAAAAACAGTCACTTGACTGATTTTGACTGAAAGGACAACTTTGCACAGAGTATATGCATACCTGCCAACCATTCCGATTTTAGCGGAATTATTACGATTTTTTAAAAACACGATACGAACTCGAAACTCAACATCGATAGCATTAGCATGCATCTCAAAAAAAGATATGTGCACGTTATTATTGTTATTATTTATTTGACTTCAACAAACAAATACAGACAGTAAAACAAAATGAATTTAAAAAAAAAATTATTAATTTTTTTTTTTTTTTTAAATTATCTTTTGGCCTACAGTACATTATTATTCACAACAAGAATGGTATGCACATGTAAACCATGTACCTGTACTCGATGTTGGTAAAGCTGGTACATACACTTTGATAATAGGAGCAGTTGAAAATGACCGCGCGGGTTGATTACTAATTGGGATTTTGAAAAGTTGGCAGCTATGTATATGTTTGCATAGGAGGGTTAAAATGTACCTTTTTCTCACAAGTGTTCCCCCTTTTGATAAAAGCTGAACCTATGAAAGGTAAAAAGTACAGAAAGTTCCAAGCAGATGGCAACACCATATTTTCTGTAGTGCATGCCAGAGATTCACCCCCACCCACTTTATATCAAACCCTCCCCCCAATTTCTGACAGCTAGATCCACCCCTGGCTACCCACAGTTGCATATACCATAACAGTAACTGGTTAACTGGTCCAGTCAAACATTGTTTTGGAATGCAAGTACAACATGTATTACAATGTTTTCTTTGCCAGTTGTAACATAAAATGGTCCATTGTTTCATGGGATCAGTGGTCATTTTGTGAGAAAACAATTAAACCGGTTTGTGCCGGAGGCCGTGATAACATACACTTGCTGTTTTTTGCACAGGCACGGCTGATTGGTTAAAACGTCAAAATTGCTTCGACTTGCCTCTGGGTGACGTCTAAACACGCTAATCCCTCGTGCCTTTTTTATACACACACAAAGTCCATGAAGTCTGTGGAGGCGGACCGTGTGTTGATCTTGAATTGGCAGTTGCCTATGGCCTATTGTTCAACAATTTACGCTCCAGTGCACACCTCGGAAACATATGAGGTTTTGTCAAGAAATATTGTACAAATACTGTTGAAATGACTTTTGTGAATCAGTATTTGTGGCGTTTGGCTGTATATCAGAAGTTGGCTGGGAAAGTTTGCCTTTTTAAAATGTTGAAATTTTCGGCAAAAATAAACCCGGCATGAAGTGGTTAATATAAAATGAACTTATTTGATTTTTTTTCATGTTCAGATTGGCTACACCAGCTCACCAGGAGAGGAGGGTATTGTGCCTTTCAAGGACTTTGACAGAAAATTCTCACCTCACTACGTAAGTCATATAGTAAATTATACTGCAGTTTGTCGTCCTTTGTGCACGATTGTATTGGGCATTGATACTGTGACAGATACACATTTTATGTGGGGTTATGTGCCACTTGTAAAGATTGATATTGACCCTAATCCCAAATTAGACATTTATAAAATCATTAACTCATCTTTGGTATGCTAGGTTTGATTTGGCAGCACATAACTGATGTAATGCATAACAATTGGAATTAAAAAAAAAAAGTTTTAGTGGTGTACATTTATGGGTAGTTTCAAGTGGCTAGATCGCGGGCTTCGGAAATAAATTCTTTGACTTCAACACAGAGACAAGGGCCCACACGTTACCCGTAAAACTAAAAGAAACCCAACTCCAAAATTTAAATCCCGGAAGTTGTCTGAAGGGCTTTATAGCTTTACGGTGTAAACTGCAACTTTTGCGAGCATCATCTGTCGCGCATTAAAATGCACATAAACTCGAAATCTGTTGTGGTTTTCCATGTAGCCTGGTTTTCATTTTGAAAATTCCCCACAAATGGCGTGCAAAATCTTTCTTTTTCATTGTCTGAGAAGTAACTAAGTAATTTGTAAAGTTGGTTACGGGTACCAGATCCATAACCTGCAGCAGTTGGGTACTCGGGTACCCGGTTCTGATGCACACCCCTAGTTAGTTTTGTTGTGCAACACCCAGAAAGCACTTACATACATCTTCAAAATGATGGATTTGAAAAATTCCCTCTTCAAGATGAACATTGCACAGTTTTCTTTACCTTTGCAACTGATAATGTTACAGTGACGGAGCATCTATGAATGATCTCTGATCACATTTCTGGCTTGTCTTATTTTTTCAGGTGGACTGGGGAGCTTTTGCCGTCATGATACTGCCCTCTATTGGCATCCCATTTCTATTATGGTACCGCAGCAAATCAAAGTATGAGAACGCGGCACTGGCAGCCAAGAACAAGAAGCACTAGCATCCTATGCAACTCCAGTAGAATTACCCATTCCCCTCCCCCTCCTACTCCCCACCCTCCCCCACCCCCACCCCACCCCTGGCCCTTGGCCCGACACAAACTTCCTTTAGTAAACCTTTAACATATTGGATCACCAAGAGGAATAGCCCTTCGACGAGACAAAATGACATCACTGTGTTTTAATCATGTGACCCTTTGTATGGGAGCTAAGTGGAGATTGTATCCTCTCGTCCTCACTTGGCTCCCATAAAAAAAACATTTAGTACAGTGTGAACAAAGCATAGCTCATTTTGTTTCAGGGTTTTTAGAGTGGAGAAGTCATGGGATAAACCTTTAGTAGTAGATTTAGTATGACAACATTGAATGTAGAAAAGTCACAAATCGGTGTAGTTGACTCTCTTTACTACAAACACTGTTAATACAAGTTCTGGTTATAGCAAACATAAAACTTTGGTCCGGACTGTGCATTTATGTGCACAGTGAATTGGACCAGCACTCCACTTAGTACACAATTCTGCTATAACAAACATTTTGGCTGGGTTTGTATTAACGAGAGTCGACTGTATTCACTATGCAGGATTTGGCTTTATTAGAGTAGTCCTAATCTCGAAAAATAGATCAATAAGTTGAATTAATGGCCAGGGGTTATTTAAAGATACTACTAATTTTGATTAAGACATTTTCGTTTAGACTACATTTTTTTTGATTTCCATATTTATGTTTTCAGAACTGCCTTATCTACAAATTTTCATATGAAATTTTACATTCCTGTTGGTGATCCAAAGCATCTTTTTTGTCTATTCTTCTGGAATCAGCATGGATCATGCGGAGGATATAATAAAAGAACGATGTGTTTTAATAAACCCTATGTTGTTGGAGTTCTATCATTGCTATGATCTTCTGTGTATTATATTTGAAGTAATCCCTTGGTGACTAGGCCGAAGTATCGCTGAAGGGGGGGGGGGGGGGGGGTGTTGCATGCCTTCACTCAACCCAACCCACGTCATACTCCCCCCCCCCCCTTTTCTTTAAAGCTGGATCTGCCCCCTGAGATGCTCAAATGGACTTCAAAGTTTAAAAAAGAGAAAAATAATATAGAGGGCGCTTTACTGCTTTACAATTTCTATCTTGTGAAAATTCAAACCCAACATTCACTAATGTTACTTGGGCTTGATAAATCCCTGCAGAAAAAAAACCCCAGTGTGACACATTGAGGGGTTAATAGCTTAGGAATCAAGGATGATGGAACAATGGAGGAAGGAATCTTCCATGATTGAACCATATAGAGCAAGGAACAGATTTGCTCTACGATAGAACTATCTGAATAATTTTATAATGATAAGTATAGTTTTCAAAAGGGGGAATCCCCAAACCTTACTATAAAATCGATCATGTCGTAAAACGTTAAAAGATCTACATGTATTGCAGTACAAAAATAAGAATGTGGCATAATAATTTCCCCTTTTTTATGACGATGTGAGTTGGAATTTGGCAGTTCGTTACACCCCATCCCAATTAATTTACGACCGTCATACGCCCACCTTTGACTTGACTCATGCCATTTCTTTTGTCCTCAATCAAAGTTCTGCTATGAACTTTACCGTGGGTGTTATGAACCGCGTTGTAGAATAAAATCACAAAGAACACAAAGGATTAGAACAAGTCTAATATATGAAGTCTGACATTCGACTCTAGCCGGCTACCATTGCGTAGCATCACACGGTGAAAACGGGAAGGTAGTCCGGTTCCGCCGTTATACTGCAGGTCAAAAGAACATGGCGGAGCTCAGTAAAGTCACTTGATCGTATCGCGAAGGCTGGATTCTGATAAGGTTTTCCGCTGTAAATTGGGATACTTCCTGGAAACCGTCATGAGCAAAAATGAAAAGCCAACTTTTAAGTCCTACTTGCATAGTAGCGTCTACGTCGAACCCAAGAAGGTGAGTTTGGGAATGGGAAGAGGGTGGTTCCGGGTGCCGAATTGTATTGGTCGTCCAATTTTGTCATTGGTTTTATTGCGTTTTATTGCGGAATAGAAAACTAAATTTCTGGTGGTCAGGTGGTTACCATTTGCCTTGTTCAATTTTCAAAGTGAAATTGTGTGGAAAAAATGTTGCAACCTGACGCCACTGTTTTCTTCATATATCATCTCAATGAAGGTCATTCATTGCAAAAATGATGATAAGACATGAATCTGGGACTGAGAAACATTTCCAATTTTGTTATGTTATTGTTAGGAAAAGATAGTGGATATTTTGCCGGAGGTAATGACGGCAAACTAACGATTACTAAAGGTTTGCCGGCGGCAATCCATATCAACAGAGGGCGCTGTACTCTTTAAAATAGGGCTGAATTATAAGATGTATTAACTTCCCATCAAAAGTTGTGTAGCACGTTCGGTGTAATGGTTAAGCAAAGGCTCTAGTAAGCGGGATGACTCGCGTTCGATTCCGACCACACCACATTTTAAAGTTTTTTTTTCTCATCCCCAAATAAATAAGAATATTCTTCTTTTATTATTTTAACCTGTCTCAAACATTTTTTGCAGAGTATTACATTTTCTTTTTCAGATTTGTGGCTCTGGAGGATTTTTTTTAAAAGGGAAATAAAGTCCGAAATTATAAAATGGTCTGAATCCCATCTTGTGAATACGAGGTAACAACGATAATTTTGGCATGGAGCCAGACTAAAACTTGTCACCGGAAAATGTTTAAGTACAAAAAAACAGTAACTGCGCATGTTCAGTGCATATCCGGCAAACTAACGTTTACTAAAGGTTTGCCGTCTCCGGCAAAATATACACTGCCTTTGGAAAATACTTTAAAAAAATTCTTGACTCTCCATAGACTTTGTACACAATCGCGGAAGTGGCGTCAGGTTGCAACTTTTTTTCCGAAACTGTATGAGTAAAGTGCCTACCTATCAGTTATTTGACTTTTTATTCTTGGCCAGTTTGTGTATGTTTACGGTTTTTTTTCTTTTTAGGCCTAGCATGCCTAGTGTTTGTGATTTATCAATAAAGCAAAACTAAGAAAAGTTACATTTTTTGGGGAAAACTCATGAACTTATGCCCATTTGGCACAATATCATGGGTATTAAAAATAAGGCCAAGTAAAAAACTAAACCAGTTTCTCGTCCTTTCTCAACCTTTTTTTTCCCCCAGCCTTCTCCTTTTAAAAATATTTTTAAGGTCTATATAAATATTTTTTATATCTGGTTCTTCAAGTTCCAGCAAAATTGTAGCAATGTATGGACGTTCAGAATCTGTTAAAAAGTTTTTACGGCTCATTTTGGACAGAAAAGTATCGGCAAAAGAGTCAAGAAAATGGAAGCATCCATCTTGGATAATCTGCCATCTTGAAGGAAAAAAAAGGCCGCCTCCTCCTTTATTAAAAAAGCCCGGACAAGAAACTATTTCCTTTTTTACTTGGCCTAAACGGTAAATTCAATATCAAAATGCACAGTTTAATTTTTTTGTATTTTCAACTTGACTGGATTTGTAACCAAATGCTTACAGTTACAGTACAAACATTTATATGCCATTTTTTATAATTACATGTATAGCCATAGAAACATTAAATATTTTTAACAAAAAATTGGGTTGTTCCATCTATGTTACTATAATTATGGGAGAGCTGCTGTTTTTCATTTAATTTTTAAAACAATTTTTAAAATTTGGTATTGCAATGCTCAGCTCAAAAGATCAAATTGATGAATACTCATTAAAACAGTCACAATTAGTCGTGGGTTTTTGAGCAATCTCATTGAAAACTCGGTCATATCTCCTCTATTGCAATTCTATTGAAATCATTATTTTTCCGCAGACAGATACACCGATAAGTTTGACACATTGTTTTCTTTAATAGTTTCATCTTGAATAATGTGTGCTGTAATTGTCAGGATTCACAATGCAAGCTTTCATTACTTTGTTCCAGGTGAAGACCAAGGATAAAGGACCAACCTTTCAGTTACATGCACCGGCGGACAATGACAATAATTATGAGGAGCTTAAACCACCAGAGGCGTTTGTACATGAAGGTAGGATCTCAATAGGCCTGGGCGAGTAGTGGATTTTCCTACTCGAGTACTCGCAGAGAAATTACTCGCGGGTAGTCGAGTACTAAATTCCCATAAAAACAGGAAAATATGGCATAAACATTACTTAGAAGGAAGTTACTACGAATAAACGTAAAAAGCATTGCTACATGTAACAAGGAAAGATGCTTTTTTGGTGGTCATACATGTAGTTTTACATTTGATTGAGTCAAATATAATGCTGTGTATAATTATCATCATTAGCATCATTGTCATTTGTCATCATCACAAACGTATCTAGCAGGCCAATAAAAACTTTGTAGAATGGTACCGTGTAGTTGCATATTCACAGTTAGTGTGTGACGTCATTACATGTTCCAAATCTTATGATGTCACATAGGGTCTTCCTGTTGTCTAGCCGTATGCAGGACTTAACCCTCACGTCTTCTCAAATTTGTCTCTTTTGTTTTTGCTGTCTTTGCAAGGGGAAACTTAGTGCCTTGATTTCAATTCCTAGTAGTCATCACACATTCCCAAATATAGAGATATACCACACGGAACCTGAATCATAGATGAACTTTGCAGCTTTAACTTCTACCGGTAGATAAACTCATGCCCTTTCCAATGATAACCACCACACTGTATTTCCATAAAAACGACACAGACCATATGTTTATATGACGTCCCCTGGTTCCGGAAGTGTGCACAGGAAGCAATAACTAAAAATAAGAAGAAGCTGTCCGTGGGTGTCTGGTGCTGGCCTCAACTCAACCAAGAGGAAGTGCCACTTACTAGGAGGGCCCATGCCAGTCTGGGAGAGACTATTACCGAGTTTAGGCATCGGGTCTGGTCTTGTGAGGGCTTTCACTTGAACTGCTGACTCTTGTCTTTCCAGGACGTTCCTAATATGGTTCTTCCCCGCTGTAGGCTTAGTGTACGCGTCCGGGTCTGTCTGCTGTACAGGAGGGCTTATTATATGAGTGAATGGTTCGTGGGTTGTATCGCCACTCTGTGAGTGAGTGTTGGCGGAGAGTGGCGTGGGAGCGTTGCGGTGGGTCTTGGCGTTGGATTAGGTCTGATGATGGCGTGATTTGGTGGATGCTTTCAGTCACATGATTCTGACGGACCTCTAGATGCGAATGTAACGTCCTGCTGGCTCTTCAAATATATTTGGGTTGAGGATTAAACCAGATGTCTACAGCACAAAAGTGAATGTCATCTGATTGTCTGAGAAAGAAACTCTGAGCAAGTGAGGAAAGTTTTCTACAAGAGTACACACCCTTTGTGCTCTTGTTTTGGGAGAATTATAACCTTATGATTGCAGTCCATCAAGTACTATATGCCGTCGATTTGTGCTACATGTACTTCAAGTTCCAGAAACACGGAGGATATTAAAAGCTACAGTGGTGTGATATACTCGACGTTAACTCCCATCAGGCGTCATCATGGCAGGATGAGGTCATCGATTACTGGATTGAGAGAAATTCGCCTAATTTCTTCCTTATTGTGTGGTTATCCGAGGTCATGTCTTCATATATGATCGTTCGGGATATGATTTAATTACATACATGTACGTCATTCTTACGTTGAATTTAGTTTCGCCATAATCAAGTTTGCTTCATATTGTGATACATCAAAGGAAACCTAACTTTCATAGACAGCTCCAGATAGACGTCAATATGTGGTCCCTCATCAAAGATCCACTTTTTCGGAACAAATCGGACATCAGTCTGTTGGGCTCATTGGGACTAGATAAGTTGAATAACAATGAATATAAAAAGATCAACATAGATCTGAATGAACTCACCACCTACCCAGGTAAGTTATAATTACACAAAACAATATTTCTTGGGGCTAAATTGTAAAATGGTTTTTCCTGTTTGTTGAATTAATTTGGGAGAAAAAAAGTGTGGGATTTGTATGAAACCGTGGGTTGTTGTGTGACTAGTCATAAAATGTTATTTTAAAAATGTATACCAGTACTCTGTTACAGAGTTAATCATCAATGCTGGGAATTTTCACTTTTGACTTACTTTTGGCTTACTTGTCTTAAAGGTAGAGTCCATCATTTGCAGCCATCCGAAAAGTAACTGGCGTAATTATTGTTGAAAAACTAACTTGGTTGAAAGATAGTAAGGAGACTAAACTCCCTGTGAAATTATTCTTTCTGGGAAGCTGTCATTTTGAAGTTATCAACGAAAGAAGGCATTTCCAACGGTGATTCTTAAGAAGCACCGTAGGAAAATTTAAATTAGTAGTTCGTTTTGTTATTCAGCACAGCGCGCACAAGTATTCGAACGACGCACACGCGCGCGCGGTTGTTATAATTCGTCGGATCAGTGCGCGACGTCGCGCGTATAGTTGCAATTCAAAACAATTCAAAACATGATTCAGCAACTTTTGATTTGAAATTGAGATCTTAGAATGCTGTTTTTCTCGGAATGTACAGATGAAGCTTAGCTGAAACTTCATCAGGTTAGTTGCTCAGTATCCTTCATTAGATTTTGAACTCTTTTGTTGCTTCAAACGAACAAAATGCACAAATTACAAATGATGGACTCTACCTTTAAGCCAGTTCACATCGGATGACGTGTACTTAGGTTTTGTGGTATTCATAACGGATGACGGATAAAAATGCAGCAGGCGAGCTAGGCCAGAAATATCTGTCTGCGACCAGCTCGCAGCCGAGTAAGACCGGAAATATCAGGGTGTGCTACCCACAGATGACGGCCTGAACTCGTCTGGCATCGAGGTTCATGAAAAAGAATCCTGCGCCTGGGTCCGGTCAATGTCAAAATAATCCCGGCGCGAAGTGGTTAAGGAACATGTCTGTATAAATTCCGGTATGTACCGGTACCAGTATTTCAAAATCTTATCATCCCCCATCCTGGCAATTTCAGAGGATTTTATTTTTTGATGGTCACTCGTGATCATTGCTACTTCCATTTTCTCAGATTTCCTGTTGTGGCAGTTTTTCATTCGGAGTTCTTTGCTTTCTTAATGTCTTCAGGAAGTCACAGAGTGAAAATGAAACTTGATCAGCACGTTAACCAGAAATTGTTGGGAAATACTTGCATGACCAAGTTTATAGGCACAAGTATAGGCACAGGGTTGATTGCCAAATTGTAATTTCTTTTTCTCGGAATGGTGGCTTGGAGATGGGAGTTGTGTAGGAAAAAGCTGAGTGGGATGGGGGAGGCTGGGAGGGGTGGGTGGGGCCAGGAGGGCTGGGTGGGGCCAGGAGGGGTGGGTGGGGCAGTTTCCTTTTGCCATTGATTATTATTGTTGGTCAAGTAACTGGAAGGCGGGGCATCGATAGTCTTATCCTGAAACCCCATAGTTGGAAAACAGCCAAGGACTAAATTATAGCATAAATAAGATCCAAGGAGTTGATTAGATCAGAAAGGAAAAGAGTTTGAGCAATTGGAATGTCCTGTTGCCAAGAATATGTGAAGTTGAGCAGAACTAACAATGCAAAGAAGCTGAAGTCCATGTTATAAGAATGTACCAGGAAAAGGAAAGCATACAATGGTACAAAAACAAAGAGAGTAGAACAATGCAGAGTTGTTTGTATTAAAAATAGTAACTTGATGCGATATTGTGCTGTGTTGCAGTACATTTTCGCTGTCACATTAAAAATATTGTTCAACTGTCTCACATTCTTTGTTTTTTTTTCTTCTCAGGATTATTTCTTATTTAATCGGTTTATTGTTATGTCTTTTTTGTTGCCTGCAGCAGAATTGTAAAGAACATTGACATATTTGTAAACCTTTTACATTGTAAACTTTACAAGGGCAGCAAAAGACTGCATTTCATATGCATTAGGTAGTAAAAATACTGTTTAAACTGTTCATCAATCGTATAATAACATGAAAAGGATTGGGTGTGTGGAAGGTACATGTACATGTAATGGGGAGGGCCCGGAGGGGAGGGGTTAAGAATGGGGGGGGGGGTTAAAAATAACTGTACAGTATGGGTAATTCAAGGGAATGTACAACATTTGCTTTTGCTGCAATTTTCAGAAATAAATGGATTTGGAGGATTAGTATGTTATAGAAAATATTGTTAAACTGACTTGTTTCGTGTTTTGGGCTCGTAGATGCTGGAAAAAACAAGAAAACTAAGAATCATGTTCTTGTAGTCTGGTTCCCTGTCCCCACTTAAGATGAAACGGAGCAATTTATAGACTTTGGGGAATTGTAAGTTCAGCGAATCAGTCTAGCAGGCTTGTACCTCTTCACAGTGTGTAATCAATTGCAAAGAAAATGCGGAATAACTAAAAATAAAAAAGTAGGAGAAGTTTTTGAAAAAAGCCAGTTTTTTCCCAACGCTGGTCGGCCGACCAGCGTAGGAAATATACAATTTTCTTGAAAACATCTGCACACCAGGAGCCACGATTTTATAGGATGCTTTTGATTGTCATTCCCTAACAATCCAGTAAGGTATTTCGTGATAATATTTTGATAATTTCGTTTTTTTGATGATTGCAAATGTTGTATCTTCCCTTTAAAACATTTCAAGACCAACAAGTAAACAGATTTAGATAATAACATAAAAGTGGGATAAGAATAATTATGGCAAAGTATTCCACAATTCCTACACATAAAGGGTATCACAATTAGGCCTACAGTTGTTATGATCAAACCAGTGCTTATGAAAAGTTTATGGAATGATATCATATCTACACCATCTGTTTGAGTAATTGAGCCAGGATTAATCAGCCCACCCCTGACCTGATTGTCAACAGATGGATTTGTCATTAATACCATAACATGTTGGAGCTATAAAACCACATGTCAAAGGTCAATTTCAGGAGGAGGTACATGTACATGTGTTAGATTAGTTGTACAAACACACATCCCACATGTGATATAAGGCTTCTATATACTGGTAGATATAATCTGTGTGTATAAACATGGACATGTACTGTATATGAAATACTTAATTTAAAGCATTCTTTTATTGTTCATCTTCCTTAGTTACAAAATATGTAGTGCAGTTGAAAAAGTGACATATAAACAACACATCATTTTAAAAATTAAACAAACCAAAAATCAAGTGACTTAATTTTGTTCAAAATGAAATACAGAATAAGTTGGAATGTTAAAGGAAATTGCTTTCAACTGTGTTTATTGAGATCGACTGTCCAAATTGCTGCATCTTAAAGATCAGAACCATAAGTGACTTCGCGTGCGTGCGGCGTGCAATAGGATGAGACGAAAATGCATGATCAATGGAACAAAAAATGCACAGTTATGACATAGGCCATGCAACAGTTCGATTAATGAATACCGCGTGACCTACAATCCTCCAAAGAAATGACAAGGATTTACTTGGGTGTTATATAAAACCTATTATTGAATTTACATCACCCCGACTCAAATTCCATCTTATGAAGAGTTTGGCTTTTTTTTTCCCCCACCAGGTGAGATTATCATCGGACAAGCGCATAATGTGCTCAAGTTTGACTCCTTCAGTGGTCTCAACAAGGGAATCTCGGGATCCTTGTACTGCACTAACTTCAAGATCAGCTTTGTCAGTGCCAACAGACCCAACCATCACCTGGTGAGTAGGTCGGGTTCAGGGCTGGGTCATGGTGTGGTTGGGTGGGGTCAGGGTGGGGTCACAATGGGGTTAGGGTGGGGTCACAATGAGATAGAGCAGGATAAGGAGGGGGTGGGGTTGGGTCGGGGTTGGGTCGGGGTTGGGTCAAGGTTAGGTCGGTGGATTTTAGATGCATAAAAAGGGATCACATACAACCAGGATTGCATGTTCAGGTTGCATTATTCGATGTACACCTTATGAACTGAGTTGGTAAGTCCATTGTAGTTAAAGCATAATAAGCATAACTTGTTTGAATTAGGCCTACATACACACAAACCATCATACATCCGTGTGTGTAGTAGTTTTGATAACACAACTCCATTCGACACTTTCAAACAATTGATTTTTTTGGACCTTTGGAAACCAGAAAGTCTAACATGTGGTTTCATATTTTGATAGTTGGAGATGTAAAGAGTGAGCAGCATAACATGAAATATAAAGCAGAATGAACAATGGAATTGAGTTAATATTCTGGGTGTAAATATACATATACATGTACATATGTAGATACTGAATAGCAAAGTACATGTACCAACCAAACAGTCATTCCTAATAAGACTTGAGTGGTAAAGTGTTAAACAGGGATAGGAAAAATGACTTTGGACCCTCAATTTATAGAATGACCCAGTTATCTGTTGTATGTGTATGAACTGCACAAGTAGCCAAGTTCAATAGAAAATTTAGTTCTCCTTAGTTCTGTTTTTTTTTTTTAAGGTTCTTTACCAAAGAATTCCTTGCGGTTCCCAAGATGTTTACAATCGAGCGAGCTGAAACTGAACTGACCAAATGGTTTCTAGTTTGCAGTTATGAAAACATTTACAAACTACTCCTGAGTAGGGCTGTGTATCGGAACCGGTTACCCGAGTACCTATCGTTGATGTCAGGAACCGGTTCCAGATTGTGGGATTGCGTACCCATATCTAACTCTGTAAATTACCGGTACCTAGTAAATTCTCAGACAATGAAAAGGAAAGGTTTTGAATGTCATTTGTGGGGAATTTTCAAAACGAAATTCAGGCTACAAGGGAAAGTAAAACATGTTTTACAACACTCGCAAAAGTTGCAGTTTCCATCGTAAAGCTGCCGGTATAAAGCTCACTGTAAATGTACTTGTATCTTGCTGTATTGATGCACCAGTGTAGTAGTATTGTTGTGTGGACCTCATGAACAATCTGAACTCCAACTTCCGAGATTTGAATTTTTGGGTTGGTTTTCAATTAACGGGTACCCGGGTTCTCATATTTTTTTTCATTTGGGTACCCAGTTCCGGTACAACCCATAAATGCACACCCCTACCCCTGAGTGAGCAGTTCCCTTCCAAAATACCTAATCATAATCACGTGCGGAATTGATAATTTTATAAACCCATGCAATTAGACAGTATAAACCTGGAGGTGACCAACGTTGTTATAGCCCTGACTGAGCCTCCGAGGCAAACTTACAGCAAAGTATCCTAGTGACTAGCTAGCAACAGGAAGCGTTTGATTGGAGGCTGATTGTTGCTTGATTACTACCATCCCCATCCAAACTTCCTGCCTAGTGGTGCGATGGGTGTGTAGGGTGAATAGAACCTGATTTTTGTGGCTCGTAGTGGAATTATTGTACCTATTGAGTAGAAACTCCTAAATGTATAAATAGGTACAGAGTTGATTAGGCATCCTTAGATGTCTGCAAAATCTGGAGATCAAAAAAGCCTAGTGTCTTCAGTCAGTCGGTCAGTCAGCAGTCACTCAGACAGACAGACAGACAGACTGACTAACTGACCAACCGACCGACTGTATTACAAAATTCACCAACTCTCTCAATGACTGTCACTTGTTTGCTGGTGAAGGGAGCCATGCAGTCCTATGGGCTTTGTGCGCCAACAAAAGAGGGCGCCCTTTTACCTAGCAACTTACATCCCATGGGCGGGACGGACATTTAGCTGGTTGACGCGCACCGTTCCTTGTGTGTGACGCACGTACACCAGGGGATTTGTACTATGTACACGCAGTGGTACGGCCGTGCATCGCGGCAAAATTGCAGTCAGGCAAGATGGCGTCGGTCGGTCACCCCCAACTGTACTTTCTTTGCCGGTGAGGGGGTACTTGTGAACGGACGGATAGAAACTTCATCATGCTGCCACTATCTCAGTCATGTTCCCTGTATCCAATAACAGTACTGAATGATAATGTTTTTTATGCAAAAAAGGAACCAGACTATTTTTTTTCTCCCAGCCGCGCTTATTTGAATGGGAAAAAAATCAAGATGGCGGCAACATGATAATGGTCTATTGTATAGGATTACCTCGTAATGGGCTAAATCTGGCTGATTGTGAACACCAAGATGCATGAGAGACTTCCAGTGAATAGCCATTCAGAATCTATTGTGTACCCTGGGACCAGCTTTACTATAGGCTTGCCTTGTGTTGTAGATCTGGTCACATGATTCCTTTGTCAGTTGTGGCTTTAAATCAAAGTCACACATGTACAGCTACAAAGTAAACAAATTACATTTAAAGGTAATATGTACATTTGTAAACATCAAACAACAAAACCACCAAATTATTATGAAATACCTTACTTGACTGTAAGTGAATAATAGTCTCAAGCATCCTGTGAAATCATGGCACCTGGTGTGCTGTCATTTTCAGCAAAGTGTAATTTTTGTATCAATTTCCAAATATGGTTGGCTGACTGTCGTTGGGAAAAAAATTTCAATGTACAAATTCATGTACTGCCCCCAATTTTCAATTTACTTATTACTAGGGCTAGTGAACTTTTTTTTAAATGGTTGTATTTGTTTAAGAGATTGCTTTCATTGTAAAGCCCACCCAAAAAGAAAACAAATGATGGTAAAATTGCAAAAATTGACCCATGCAATCCAAAGTTATGGCCAAATATATGTCGATCAAATGACGTTATTTTGTATAGGAAATGTGTACGAAAATGGTGTATTTTTGTGAAATTGAATAAAAAGGCATATTTGAACATCTGTTGTGGTGTTAATAAACACTTTGGTAAACTTTAACTTGTTTTTGTCCATTGTTTATCACAAATACTATTGGTTTCAGTTGGTTTTGAGTTGATAAAAAACTTGATATGCAATAAAATGAATGTTAAAAATGTACTTTTACACTAAAAATCATGAACGGCAAGGTTGAAAAATGACTAAGTCCTACCCAAAAAACACTAAAAGTAACAAAACTTCCATTCACTAGAACATATTTTCACCAAATTTGGATGACACAGGGATTGTGTGTAGATACAGCATGTGGACCCAAAAAAGACCACAAAAAAATCTAAAATCTAAAAAAAAACCTACTTTTTTTTGCCAATTTTTGGCCAAAATGGAGAAATTTCAGTCTGGCATGCGTAAACGTGTAAACTGGCCCAAGCCGAAGTCCAATTCTCAATGCCCAAAATCCCCAAATTTGACAAAAATTTAAACAAAGATATAAAACTTGGGTATCCCATTTAGGTTATAAAACGAAGTTTCTCTCATATTTGGGTTATTTTATCCCATTTTGGTGCAAATCTCATAAGCCTAGTAATTTAGTAAAAAACAAGTATGCGCTGTGCGTAATGATTTTCCTGCGTAATTCCAATGGCCTAACGTTACATCAGTGCCCATCACATTTGTACACAAAAATCGTACATGCTATAGCCATGGAGGAAGTGTTCTTATTCCTCCATGCTATAGCCACCCAACAAACTGTAAAAACATCAGATTTCACTCTCAAAAACGGCCACAAAGTTATTAGATATGCTACCTGAGATACAAGGAGAGATCGATTATTAAGATCGAGGAACTACGATGTGGGCAAAAAGTGAAATGATCGCCGGTACTGCGGTAGCAAAAACACTCCGAGTTCCATTTCGTTTACACCACGTGCGATGGAGTCTGGACGGTTTCCGAAAACGAAGAACTTACACTGGTATCCACTGACATATTCTGACCGTACGGGCCATGAAGGGAACCAGTGTAGAATATGCATTACGCGACGCATCACGTGACAATGTTTTGGCTGCACTCGATCTCAAACGTGATAATTTTCTGTTGCGCTTACATTATCGCGTGCCGGGAACGAAACAGTGATGCTCACACGACGCGCGCTGTCAAACAGAAGGCGCCATGATGAAAATACATCGCGACACAAATGTGTCTATAACTCTAAAATACAATCATATTTTGAAGGTTTTAAAAAAAGCATTTTAAGCTTCGATATCACTAATTACAATTTTCAAGGTTCCATTATTATTTTCAATGTATTTCGTGATGAAAAAGTTTTGGGAAAAACAAAAAGAATCGTAACTTTGCAACGCGTAGGCCGATTATCATGGAACGTGGATGGTTGAATGGCATTTTCAATAAGCTTTCGACTGACGTATGGTTTCTTGACGTCTGCTATGCTACACTAATGTCAAGACCGAGTTAAACACAGTCACCAGGGCAGACAATTCTTGCCGTGGATCTTGAACGCATGGACCGGTCTGTGCGCGCCGCATGGCCCGTGAACGTAACATGTCATGCGCGCAGCATTTTTCGTACTCGGAGTTAAAATGAGACTTTTCAAACAGCAAAAACAAGTGTAATTTCGACTCAAATCACAATCACAATGGGAAAATATGTAAGTTTATTACATCATTGAACTATCATCATAAATTACGAGGAATATTTCAAAATTTTAACTTATAAATGGGGAATGAAAACATCCGGCTTTTTGAAACAAAATCACCGGGCGTGTGTATGTTGCGCGCATTCGTTTTGTACACAAAGTGACCACCGGCAGCAAACAGCCTATTAATATTACACATTTTGTTAATTACCATCGGTTTCACATCTGTGAACGGGTGCAAGTCAGCTAGTCTGGTTCCCTAACCTGACACTTCTCCAACATCTATAAATTGCTGTGTTTCGGTGGTCGAAGGTTCTGGGAACCAGACTTCAAGAACAGCATTTTTTTCTTGGCTTTTCCAGCATCTATGAACACAAAACCTTAAACAGGTCAGTGTAACAGTATAAATTTGCTATGTTATACATGTAAAATACTAACTTCTTGCAAATTCTGAAAATTACAGCAAAAGCAAATGTCGTATAGACCTATTACCTTTAATGTTGTTGGCTGGATATAAATGTACACTGCGTAAATAATGTAATGTGTATACATTGTTCAAGTGTGTGAACATTGTCGATGATGCAAAATCCTGCTACTCACAAGATTTGCAATGGTACATACATGTACTTCCATGCCAAATGGTGCAAAGGAAACATACATGCACGTGTACATGTATGAACAATCGAACATGTATCAAAATTAAAGGAATGTCATCAATGAAACAGTATTTTAAATAACATTTGTAAAAATCCCCAACCTCTTTTCCCTGGGAAATTAGACTGCATTCTACTACGTGTCAAAAAGCAACAACATGTCCTACTTTTGATCCTCGATAACTTTGCAGTTAACGAATGGAATTAAACCAAAATTTTCATGTAAACAAGGCATGATAAATTTTATGGAGCGAATTTCATCAGCTTTGTGCAAGAGGAAGAGATTTAAACGCCATACCCATAAAAAAATACTCGCTTTCAGAATCGGCCACTTTCGACTTGGCGTCCTTCAATGTCGATACAGCTTTGGAGATGGAAGGCGTGTGATGTGGCCGAAAGCTTCTGAAGGAATGCAGGATCACTCCTGGTGTGATTGCACACCTCCTTGATCATTGTTGCGACACACGATCGAGGAAGTGTGCAATGACATCATCATCTTCTGCTGGTTAACAACAGAGTTATTCGGAATCAAAAGTGGGACATTTTGCTTTGACACATAGTAGTAACACAGCAAGTGACATTTCCAAATGATAACAGAACAATTTGCAAAAGTATTTGGCCTTTACATACATGTGTATATGAACAACCATTGTGTGGCATTCAGACCCTATTGGGTGTTTGCTGTTGTAGGAAATGTTTTTCCTTCAAGCCAAAAGTCAAAGGAAAGCTGCTAATTTCTGTCTGGGAGATTTATGTATTTAAGAATGTGGAGACTCATCATGTGCATTGAGATTAGGCAATGACATTGAAGTACCGGTATGACCCTTGGAAGGTCATTTAATATTGGACTGGCATTTGTGTCTGACCAAAGTAACTCACGCTACAACAACAAAAAGTGTCGAGTTTATTCTTTTCTGTTAAGAATTTCATGTTCTTTCCAGTTTTGAGTGTTTCTATAGTTACATGTATGGTTTTCACTCATTTCTGTACTTGGTAGTATGTGATTTAAAGGTAGAGTACATGTACATCATTTGCAGCTATCCAAAAAGTTACTGACAAAATTATTATTGAAAAGCATACTTGGTTTATAGATAGTAATGGCACTAAACTGCCTGTGAAATTATTTTTTTTTGGCATGCTGCCATTTTGAAGAAAATAATAAAAGAATAACGTGCGCGCTGTTGCTATAATTGATTGGTTCAGTGTGTTATGATTGCATACATGTAGCTGCATTCGGCTGAATGAGAACGTGTCCTGCATGCTGATTTTGGGTGCAATTCAAAACATGACACTGCAACTTGAAATCGAGATCCTAGAATATTGTTTTCTCGGAATATACAGCATTTACTGAGCTACTTGTAACACGTCATCAGGTTAGTTGTTAAGCACCCTTCTTTAGATTTCAAGCACTTGTGTTGCTTCAAACGAAAAAAAATGTACGGTACAAGTGACAAATGACAAATGACATACTCTACTTTAACAAGTGAGTAGGAAATACAGACACAAATTGTCAAAATGGTAAAACTGCATTGAACTACTTTGTTTTCTACACCCAACACACAGAAATTATAATGTAACACAAGGAAGGGAAAATATTGTTTTAAATGTTGACCAGTGTTTGTTTTTTGTGTGTGTTTTTTTTTTAATCCAGATTGAATTGGATCGCAAGAATCAGCTGTTCAAAGAAAATGACATACCACTCACTTGTGTGGATACCATTTTCCAAGGTTTGTTCATAAACCATTTTGTACAACGTTCACCTTATCTTATATTGGGTCCAAAGGAATTTCGTACTTAGAAAATATTGTTTCCTTAAAGATATTATCACTTTTATAGGCACGTTTATTGTAAGTTGATGTAAGAAAACTCCACATATTTTTCATTCACTGTAGTGTTTGATTTTAAATTAGATTTAGACAGGAGTAGATTTTATCAATGATTTTTACACCTTTTTCTGAGCGATGAATCAGATAAAAAAATATAACAACACGGTCGCTGTCCACATCTTAAGTTAATTATAACCTTGACTGCTGAAGGCATGTCACTACATAATTAGATTGTCCCTGCCCTTAATCCATCGAGCTAAATAACGGGTGGGTTGTGGTTTTCCATATCAGCTGAACCATTCATTAGCCAGTAATTTCTGCTTGAAGTGCTAGCGGAGGTCAACTTTCTCAGATCATAATTACAAAAAGAGGATGTCAAAATGTTTGCTCTTAGCAAAAAATTAGCATAATGAGTGTCTTAATTGTAGGTATATTAGCCCCATTGCTGTTGTAATTTATCCCATTTGTAAAATTTGAAGTGATTATTTAAATTCAGACATTTTTGAGAGAAAGATATAGGCTGCGTTTACATACATGTACTTGGCAGTGGCGTTCAAATGTGACCGGCTCCACAAAAAAAGGGTATTATGTCACAAAAAATTGAGCAATACATGGTTGGAAAGTCCACAATGTAAGCTTTCATTTGGTATATAATTGAGCTCCATAGCTCCTCCTGTTCTGGAGATATGAGGTATTTGCATATTAATTACTTCCTTGGAGTTCATATTACACAACTGAGAAAACAGGCTTTGAAATAGCTGACTTTGTTGTAGAACAACAGAACGATGCACACAAAATAGTTGTTTTTTCCCACTTTTTTCACCAAAAAACAACATTTCTATGAATGAAACCTGAAACTGTAGGTATCAGAGATGTCATTCATAACAAAAAATGAAAGTCACAGTTTGACAAAATTTTCACCCGCTCAATGTTGAGCAGGCCATTTCACAATAATGCTCAGAGCAACTTAATATCCTTTTTTGTGGAGCTGGTCAAAAATACACATTTGCACCGAAGCAATATGCACCGAAGCCGCCGATGTAAGCGGCTAAGTCCACTTTCTATAGACATCCATGACAAGCCAACCATAGCCAAGTAATTTGGATGTGGCAATATTTTTTGTCACTAAAATGACTTTCTCCCTGAGTAACTGATACGTTGTCCTCTTGGCAGTGTCCTCAAGTAAGAGAAAGCAGTTACTACCAGGCAGCAGCGCGTCGAGGAGTATGAAGATGGTGGAGATTAAATGCAAGAACTTCAAAGTCCACACCTTCAGCTTCAAGTTCACCAACAAAGGCCAGATCAAGTCGGTGAGTTGCTGCGACGATTAATGCGTCCATCTTGGTCTTGTTCCTAGAAGATCATGTACATGTACATGTTTACAGTGGATTGATTATGCATGAATTGACATGGCACCAGTCTGTTCTGGTCAAGGCTGCTTCAATTATTACAAGATTATTGCTGCCAGTAAGCCAATGTCGCACAGCTGCTTCATAGTTTGGCCAAAATATTGCGGTAAATGAGGCAGAAACCTATCCTTACTTGTCAGTGCATAATGTATGACCCAAGTATAGATGTGACCACTGTACCAGGCAAGGCCCTCTTCAAAAAAGAAACCATTGTGCAAGATATCTTGCAAAGTTACTACCCCATGATGGATTATCTTAACAATAGCGGACACAATGCTTCCTCCATTGAAGGGGGCCTTCCTCATAGAATTGATAGCATGTCTGGATTGGTTTACAACATTAACCCTAACCCACCTCACTCCTCCAAAATCCTCCTGGCGGTTTTGGAGGATTCTAGAGGATTGAGGATGAATGGTGATTGAATCAAATGAGGATTCTGGAGGATTGAGGATGAATGGTGATTGAAGCACATGAGGATTTTGGAGGATTGAGGATGAATGGTGATTGAAGCACAAGAGGATTTTGGAGGATTGAGGATGAATGCATTTTGAGGCAGGACTGTCTGATGATTTTGAAGGATTCGGCGTTGGTTTATCCTTCATTTAAACACGAGTGCAAAATTTTGGGATGAGGAGGATTTTGGAGGATTGAGGATGAATGCATTTTGAGGCAGGACTGTCTGACAATTTTGAAAAATTTAGGCGGAGTTGCAAAATTTTGGAGGATTTTGGAGGATTGAGGATGGTTGTAAGCAACAAGGGCCTAGGGGGTTAGGGTTAAGCTTCATGACGAAACAAGGTCTTGTGTGCACTTGCTTGGAGATGTCCATCGATGAGTTACTATTTTAAGCAACTTCTGCTGCTGCGGCTATTTCGCTTTCCACTGGGTTTACCGCTTTCAGTTTCCATCATGTCCATAACAAAAAATGACAGCTGTTCTGTCATGAGAAAGTCATTGGAAGTTGGACAAGCCATGCCTGAGATTGGTTGGGATCTATCCGATTAAGCAAAGGAAAATATTGGCTTCAAAACACATTGCTTTTGGCCTTGGTTGATACTTTGAAAGGATTTGAAGCTGTTGATGGATGGTCCTTGTTGTGATGTAGATTAGCAGAGACCGTAGGAACGCGCCCTCAATCCTCCACTGTCAAAAACATCCTCCCTGCTTCAGTTTACTGGTTCCTGTTTGCAATCCCTCGCTGTGGATGTACGGTAGCTTGGACTAGTTTCGATAAGGACATGGGCAGGTCTCCCCGCAGGCATTTTAGTCGTTGGGAGGTAATGCACTGTGACAATAACATCTGTGGGGTATAATCCACAGCTAGCTTTGTGTGTACACGTTCGCTGACATTGTTTGCGTGTGCACGGCTTGTGTGAATTAACCCCAACTCCCAAGGCATTTTCAAGAGGAAGTTTTCCGAATCCTGCAAACTTTCAGAAGGAATCGAGCCTTAACCCCAACTCCCCAGCCTAATTTACTTGGAACCATACCCATTCTGGCAAATTCTAACACCCACATGGAAAATTGTACACACACACACTGTTGGACTTAGTTTCTGGAGGTATGCCAAACCCAGTGTAAAAGACCATCAGTTTAGGGGTACTGTACCTATCCCAACAGATTTAAACAAAACCTGCTGTTGAACTTTGATGGGTTGAGTTCGGGTAGCCTTAAGTATCAGAAGCTGGGCCTTAGCTTCACAAATCTAACATCTACCAAACCTCCTGCTAAAATCGAATGAATAAGATTTTCTTGATCAGCCTTGTGCAGGAGTTCTGTAAAACAATTAAGGACGGGATAGAATATTTCAATGTTAGTTTTTAGTGATCATATATTCTAACTTTATTTTCGGATCATATTCCTTCTTCTATTTTGACCAATTTTTTTTATGTACACGTAGACGTACATGTACATGTACATGTACATGAGGTTGCTAAATAAGGAAAGAAAAAAAAAAGCCTTATGAAATTTTCTAAAAACTCTTAATGTAAAGAGTCCTTCAGGTCAAGAAAATGAAGTGAATTATTTAAGAGCCGACAAATTCCCCTTTAATTAGTTCAGGAAAAGCCTATTTTCACCCTTGATGTTGGCCTCTCCTTGGCTGGGCCCAGCAGTTTCCCCTCTCAGCAAAAATATGTCGCACCAACCGACCGACCGTCACCGCGTCACGAACGTAAAAACAAAAACTCTCACCAGACGACCGGTGAAAAACATCCCCCCTTGCACTGTCACTGCTTTCCTGTTGTTGAGAGGAGCCTCATCTAGCAGTTACACGTTGAGTCAGGCCTCCCTAAGATATCAGCGTTATTCATTTTGTCTTGGGATATCCCTCACGGGCGATACTGGGGCGCCCAAAATAACCGGTAGCGCAGGATTATCTGGATGGATGCCAGTGCTTCCGTTTTCCGTTCTGTATTTAGGAGATGTCAGTGATAGCGTAGTGCTGTGTCACCACCGGCAAGCTTCATGGCTACGTCTTGCTTGGCAAACCTATAAATTCATAATGTTTTGCATTAATGGTGTGTAAATACAAATTGTTCATGTAGTTTCTCAATAGTTGAGTGACCGTACATGTATATGAGTGATATATTTTAAGTCTCTTCAGTCATCACAAAAATATCGTTGGGTAATATTATCCTAATTGTAAAATGTAAGATTTGAATTTCAAAAGGAGGTTGCATTAACCTTTTGGTTTATGTCTTTTACAGGCATGCAACTTTTCCTCGGATCCGCTGATTTCCTCGTTTTTGACTTCTCATGAATGCCATTTCAAATTAAAAAACACTACACAAAGTCTTGTGTGGTTTGGAGTTTCCTTGTTTTTTTCTAAATTCCCAGTTGCATGCCTGCTTTTATTAGAGCATGGTGTTGAAACAAGATTTGTCAACAATTGGTTACTTAAATTTGCTACAAAGTTGAAAGAAGTGTCCAAATGTTTCACTTAACCTTTTGTTGCATAGGGCGGTCGCTAGCGACTACCCCCCTAAAAGTTGTAATCTGTGCATCGAATCCAAATAATCTGTGTACCAAAGGCATAAAAGGAGATTTTACATTGAAACGCAGATGAAACGAGCCATTCATATTGATAGAGTAGACTCTAATTGTTTTTCATTTTCTTGACAAAGGATCCAGGTACTGAAATTGTCCTCGCAGGACACCACACCAAAGCCCAAATTCATAAAAGTTAATAAGCAGAAAATATGCATGAAAGTTTATGAGCTAAGCAGAAAGGAAACTGATAAAACATCATATTCATAACATGACAATAAGGCTACATAACGTACCATACAATAAGGCAGTAAAACCTTTTTGTACTAAGCATACTTTAAGAGTATCTTTGTCTCTTTCTCCATCTAGGTAATGACCACCATCTTACACTACGCCGTCATCACCAGTCCTCGTCGCCTCTTTGCCTTCTTCTTTGAGCCCTTGTCTCCATCCTCCTCATCCTCATCATCCTCATCGCCCTCATCCCCCTCCAAATCCAACAATCACTCACCTGAACCCAAGAGTCTCAAAAGCACTAAAGAGTGGAAATCAATGAACAAGAAAACACCCAAGGTAAGCAAACTCCCACAAGCCTTGGACTCGGGCCATTATCGGCGTCCAGGCACCTAGCCAGTTTTAAACGTACTAGTTTTCAACTGACCAAGCACGTATTTATTCCCTTATTAATAGTAGCATTTTAATCTATGTCAATAACCTGGGATATCACTTCTGTTTGTACCACAGATATATAAATGCATAGACCGCTAGGTCCTATTCGAAACTACACGCGCATTTTGTGATCTTCGCGGCGCCTGACTAAAATCCAAACTATGGGTAAATTCACCTCTTGGTATAGAGATTTTAAACACACTTGAACTGTTTCATTAAACAAATTCTATGAAGTTATACAAAACCCCTTGTGTACTTGGTATTATTTAGGTAGATTAATGCTCAATAACGTGCACAACTTTTTGACGTGGATTGTGAGTAAAACAGCAATTTTATATTCTGTATGCACATTGTAAAGGTATGCATTGTACTAAGTGCATGTGTCTGCATTGAACGCTCGTCGTGCTGTGACGCGCGATGTCAACCAGCGTTTTGCCCCATACTTTTTTGAATCACGGTTCTACGTGCACGACTGGCGGTCTATATGTTTATATGTTTATACCCACAAACTACCGTTGTAACAGCGCCCTCGCTTGCTCAGAAATGTTCTTTATCGGTGCATTGATAGTTTACTAAGCCAATATGTTCATGTGACTTTCTTTGTGTAGATTTTAGTACAAAAAAAAATTATATTTAAACATTTAAACAGTAAGAGTGTTGGTAATAGAGACACATCTCTGTTGACATTTCTTTATCCCTTTCACTCTCTTCCCTGGCAGTTAGTGGCTGCCGTCTACCGGCCAACATCCCAGCGTCTATCAGCCGTCCCAGCCGCCTCCGATATACCAGAGAAGACACAACCCACGGAGAGAGTCGGCTGGACCCCGGAATTCCGAGGAGCAGAAGATTGGGAGAATGAGATGAAGAGAACGGGAGCTAGGAATCTTAGAGTGACTTCCTTCAATGAGGATTTCCAATCTTCAGACAGGTAATTATTTCTTAGAACTACACTCAGACACTATTGAAATTAATCTTTTCAAAATATTGTATGGGGTCATTCAAGAGAACAAGAGAGGCTGTTTTTTTGCCACTTTTAAGATTCCAGTAAACAGGACCTACCACATGTACATGAACTGGTTCGGGCGCATATAGCAAGAAGTATGCACAACTTATTTTTTTCTGAATGCGCACAATGCCATAGTTCCTTGGCGTGAGTGTCAGGCATTTTTTCCAACTTTCACTCCGGAGGTAACACACTGAGTATACAGTGTTTAAACGTCGGTGAAGGGCAAAACCTAATTTGATTTATATCACCCCAACGCAAAACTCTATCTGATAATAGTTCATGCGGTACCCGCTGCTATGTACATCAGATTCATACCGGCCAACCGATCCCGTTAGCTCGGTGGTCGAGTGGTAAGACATCTGCACTAGAAAGCAGGAGGTCGTGAGTTTGAGTCCCACTCAAGTGATTTTTTCCAACTTTCACTCGGGAGGTAACACACTGAGTATACAGTGTTTAAACGTCAGTGAAGAGCAAAACCTAATTTTATTTGGTGTCAGGCATTGTCGACAATTAGTTAGAAAGTCTTTACCAGTGGTCTCCCCCAACTCTCCCTTTCTTACCGTTGAGGGGGTACTTGTGCGCAGAGCCCATAGTTCAGTGTGGGTCTTACAGTTATGAAAATAAGTTGAGAGAAATGTTTAATATTCAGCAAAAAGTCCTGATAAACCAAATTTTGTAGGGATGTAGACTCAGGAAGTTCTTGAATGTCGTGATTTACAAACCACCATACGCGTTCAAAATGTTATTTTTCTCATGTTAGTGCAAACATTTGAAAACGTTGAACCTCAATTCGTTTTCAACTTTCCTTTAACTTTTACTTTCGCAATCTTTTTTGATTACATGATGAAAAATGACAGATTATACTTTTGGTTTCTATTGGCCCAATACACATTTATCTCCTGTTTCTATCCTTGTTGTAATTATGAAAAAAGTATGAAAAAATTACAGTTTATGAAATTGTTAATACAAATTTGGTTGTTTGGCTTTCAGTCTTCCACAGTATATTGTTGTGCCATCAGTCGTCTCCGATGGAGAACTAAAGCGAGCTGCTCCCAACTTTGAGCAAAATAGAGTACCGGTAAGTTCCAGTCACAAACCATTCAGAAAATGAGAATAAGAATTCTTAAAGGGAATATACAACATTTGCAAACGTCGAAAAACAAAACTACCAAATTTTTACGAAATACCTTACTAGGATGTTGGTAAATGACAATCTAAAGCATCCTGTAAAATTATGGCACCTGGTGTGAAATCATTCTCAAGAAAAGTGGTATTTTGTATAAATTACCGTTGAAAAAACCTAACTATTTTTCAACTACTGCTCCAAATTTACCAATTTTTTTTCAGTCCAAAGTTTGTTTGCTATTGGTTACATGTTCATGAACGGGTGCAGGCCGATTAGACTGGTTCCATTACCTTACAATTTTCCGGCATCTATAAATTGATCCATTTCATCTTTAGTGGAGTCAGGGAACCAGACTACTTGAACATTTTGGTTTTTCTTGGTTTTTCCAGTATTTTCGAACACAAAACTTCAAACATGTCAGTGTAACAATATTTTATCTGCTAACCCCTCAAAATAGTTCATTTCTGAAAATTACAGCCAAAGCCAATGATGTACATTCCCTTTATAAAAGTTCATGGTTTGGCCAAATAAGTCAATCACTACCATTAAAGCAAAGCTTTTTAAACCATAACCCCTGGGTCTTTTTGCTAGGATGCAACCTCAATCCTTCAAAATCCTCCAACTTCCTCCATGTAAAAATTGGATACAGCAGCAATGTTCCAAAATCATCAGTTACATGTATTTCTTGAATTTGTTCAGTTGAGGGGTGATTACTGCCTCAATCCTGCAAAATCCTCCAACAATCTCTGTTAATACGTTGAGGCAGTGCTGATTATATCCAGAAGCAGTGCAGATGATTTCAAGTACTACATGTATCTTTGCCTTATTTATACATGGCAAAGTATAAACAAGACAAGGTACAGCCTAAAACCTTGACGCAATGCATCCTCCAAAATCAACTACACACTTTTGTCACACAGCCTAGTCTAGGGGCTAGACATTGTTATGGTTTGATATGCGTTAACCCGCCACCGCGATAACCCACTGCCGAGAGAGGGCGCTATCACGACCAACCAATATCGCCCACGGACTTGTCAGAACAAGGTCTAGGGAATCTGCTGAAATCTTCCACCGAAAAATGGGGGAAACTAGTGCACATGCGCGACTTCTGCAGGCAATTACGGTCCATTTTCAGCCCTACACATACTACACATAACAAAAGAGCTGACCAGTGAAGTCGCACAAAGGTCTAGCCGCATCTTTTATTGCACTGGAAGAAATTTGAGAGTTTGCTTCGGAACTTCTGTAATTTTTTTGAATGCGCGCTGCATACATTAGGCCAAACATGTGCGCGCGCATTACACAACCAAGACCAGATTCCCTAGACGTTGTTCCCGACAAGTCCGTGGGCGATATTGGTTGGTCGTGAGAGCGCCCTCTCGCGGCGGTGGGTTATCGCGTATCAAACCATAGTAACATCTAGCCCCTAGACTACACACAGCCTCAATCATTTGAAATCCTCAACTTATGCAAAGAGGAATTTTTTAAAGATTTGGGAAGGTTACAGTATTGATGCAAAAACATAAACATCCATTTTTTTTAATTTCACTCTGTTCACCAAATAAGGAAATAAAATACTCCTCACAATCGAAGTATTGTTACTACAGAAAATATTACTGTATAAAATGTTTTGATTCAAATGATTCATATACCAACAGAAGGTCTTCCTTTACATTTAAAATGCAAAAAATGTAAAAATTGATAAGATATGATATTTTACTGATGAGTTTTCTTTTTCGGGTCTAGATGTGGTGTTGGAGTCACAGAAACGGCAGTATGCTGATGAGGATGACTCCACGACTGAACACTCAGCAACTAGATCATGAAATCAGGTTAGTCTTTTGAGTTTCTTATCTGACCTCATCTCTGATCAGCATGTTCTATTGTTTTGAAACAGTGGATCAAATGGATTGTAGCCAATTGACATGAGGAAATTGCAGATTTTCTAATTATGCTGTGTGTTATCGCTAGAACGACGCTCGCTGATGACACAATGTGACTAGTAATCTTTTTAATTTGGTGTTCGGTCTCGACCTGTTAACCGTTTTGAAATCGCTGATAACTGTTTTGAAATCACTGATAACCGTTTTGAAATTGCTGAAAGTTTTCTTTGTTTTCCCCCCGAGATTAATTATCCTCAAATTTTCTGCTAAATGGTACATGGTACAAACTTGAAACTTTGAACAAACGTCAACCCTTTGCACAGGGTTCAATTCTACAACCACTCTTTTTGATCATTTATACATTCAACCTAAAAATGTCAAAGATCTAGTTGTTGTTTTTTGTCACTCTCACAACCGGTTTCACAATCGGTTTCACTTTAACAATCAACACTTCATCATTGAGGAGGTTGATTTGATCGCAAAGCTTCAAAGCAAACTTTGTGTTTTTTAGTGGGTATTTCTATCGTTACGGACATAAAATTCCGAGCCGACTGACCAGTGTGAAACAATAAATCAAATTACTTTTATATAACTGACATACAGATCCTAGTCATTTGATTGGTGGAACTCAGATCACGTGACATTCGTTTTTGCTCCCATTCACGCCGCGGCTCAAAAAGTACTATCTGCCCATGGGGAATAGGAAATACTATTCAACAGTTAGGATCATGACGCGGTATTTGTGTGCAAATGCATGCTGGCTTGCGCGGTTCAGCGTTGCGCGTAGCGCGTATTGTTCCAAAGAGCCAGCGCCAGTTGGGTTCAAACATTTTCGTGAAGGGGTGGTTTGGAAGAGACAAATACATTTTCCTCCAGTTTTGTATTGAATAAAAAGTTCAAATATATCAAATGACAAGGATCTATATGTCAGTTGTATAAAACAAATATTGAGTGGCTTTAAATTGTGAAATGGGAGGAATATTATCGCAAGGTAAAATCTGGACTTTTCCAGTTTACTCGGCTACGCCTCGTGAAATGGAAAATCCAGATTTTACCTTGCGATAATATTCCTCCCATTCCACGCTGATCCACTCAATATAGCAGTGAAAGCAAATTGTGCATATTCAGTACCACTCTGTCTTAGGCGTTAATGTATAACATGCACTTGTTTGTGTTGTTTCATACATTACATTACATAATGTTACAGACATTACGTGTCTGAAATCAACTTCACACACGTGATAAAAAACATACTGAATCATGGTATTCTAAGTTCTCTGTGTTATTTTTTTTATGAAATATGAACCTTTCTCTATGCCTTAAAACCAAAAAAATAACAAAAACTTTGCATTTTGCATGTGGAAACAAGGTGCCAATATGACTACCTAAAATCCATAATTTTATCCCCCAAACCATTTTTTTTTAACAAGTTCTGAAGATTTCATAAATGTTCAGCCATGTCCATGAGATTTTGGAATATCATATTGTGTTTGTAGCATCATTGTCCACTTACGTGCCAACTACATCTAATTACCATACCAATGAAATCTGAAGTCTACCTGAGTTGGATGTGAAGCGAGTTCACCGTCATCCCTTGTCTTATTTCAATCACTAGGATGTTGGAGAGTATCACCCTGATCCATCCCTCCAAGGCTCAACCAAACATCCTGGATCTAGCTCAACTCTGTCCCTCCTATCGAGACATCCAGGCCAGCTTCCAGAAGCTACATGAGCTCTGCATGCCAGGTAAACATCAGCGTAAAAAACTTCAGTAACTCTGGTTGGCTCATCTACTAGAGATGGTAGTAAAAGCATTTCATTGTGTAGTTAACAGAGTTAACCCTGTTTGCTTTATTGTAACCTTTGGAGCAAGTTTGAATAAAAACCGTCATTTGCTGTGATTATTCTGTGGCTACCTAAATTGATCTTGAATGAAAAATGTTATCAGGAAACTTTTTTGTTCATGGCTCCTCACAATTTCGGAAGGTAAAGGACACCATTTGCAAAAAAAATGTGTTTTTGCTGATTCAAGGAACAACAATACAAAACCAAAAAAAAAACGAAACCAAAATGTCGGGACCATTGTTTATAAGTTCTGCATGTAGCACTTTCAAAATCCAGGATATGAAAGCCCAATTCATAAGCTTTCTTTTAGTTCAAGAATCATTCAAATCACTCATGTAATTATCAAGTTACGGAATTTTAAACACAACCACCGTTTTAAAGTTCTGTCCACGGATCACAAAAATGAAAGTGTTCTTTCAGCAAAACGAAAACAAATTACATAGGGATGTGTGTGAATTGTTTTCATTTTGCTGAAAGAACGCACACGTTCTTTTGCTATCCATGGACAGAACTTTAAAACGGTGGTTGTGTTTAAAATTTCGTACCTTGAAAAGTACATGAGTGATTTGAATGATTCTTGTACTAAAAGAAAGCTTATGAATTAGGCTTTCATACCCTAGATTTTTAAAGTGCTACATGCAGTACTTCAGTAAAACAATAGTCCCGACATTTGGGTTTCATTTTTTGTATTCACCCTGTACAATAAATCTAAAGCAGGTTATTTAAAAAGTAACCAGTCAAAAATTCAGCTCATTAGATATACCTTTGAGAAACTTGTGCAAATACATCTTCATTTTTCCTGATGCGAAAGCATAGGTTTCCGTTGAAAGCGCGATGGTTTGGTCTGAACCATCACGAGGAAATAATGGTAATCCTCTTTTCTCAGAAATGACAGCATATTAGGTGCAGTTATTTCACAGGATGCTTGAGACTATTATCTACTCACAATCAAGCAGGATATATCGTGATATTTTGACAGTTTCATTTTTGAGTGTTTGCAAATGGTGTCCACAACCTTTAACCACTGGTAACCAGTACTGCTACCATGCATGGCAGGCTTATCCTGGGTAGTAGACTTAACTCATCCAACCATCATTGACCGGGCAGGATTTGGGTCAAGGTTCAACCCCGTGATCACAAACTGTGCTTTTGTAAGCTTACTTGCTTGTTTTTAATCCTCCAATCTCAACACTGGGTCCAGGTCCATCCAGCAGTATAAAGGCTTTGGTATTTATGAATTCAAATTTGAGATTTTGATATGCATGTACAGTGAATGTATCCAAAAATAGGGAACTTGTAAAGCCGTACATTGAAATGATGAAATTGAAGCTTGAAGCCATGGTTGAGGTTTGACAAGTCAAGTGTCGCATGTCCAAGTATTGAACTGCATGTAATTATCTAACAAATTGTAGAATTAGCCGGGTAGTAGTGTAGCATAGAAAGCTCTTTAATCTTCAGTGGCAGAACTAAGCAGTGGCTCTGCACAATGTGAATGTCCTTCACTCACCATCATTAGTGGACAAGATGCATTCTCGGTAACCCTAACCCTTCCAAAAAGTGTCCGAATTTCACCAGGAGGATTTGCTGGGTTTTGCAGGAGTGAGAAAAACTGTAGTTCAGCCACTTTAAGTAAACGTGGCTTCATGTCTTTTGAAGGTTGAAGTTCAAAGACTGTGGCATTGGATAATTAAAAAAAAATGTAGTATTTGGAGGTTTCAGGAAGATTGCAAGAAGCATCAGTGTCTTAAAGTTAGAGTTCATTCATGTTTTAACATTTTATGAAGGACGTACATGTACAAGTTCCGTGGGCATTGTAATTGTGCCATGTCTGGTGAAAAACTTGGTCTTTTTTTTCCCAACATTTAAATTGTGAAAGCAACTAACTTCACTGTTTTTAACCACACGAGTAACATCTTTGTGCTGTAGTTGTGGTGGCCTGATGTTTATTAATCCGGTTAAAAATTGTACATTTGACCCTCAAAATAGTGACAGCTCTACAACTGACTTGATTCAATCCTTTTCCATCTGCTCTTTCTGACGTTGAACTTCCAGCAAGTTGCCCCTGATATGAGTTCACTGTGAGTCACTGGTCTGTCCAGATGACATGCAGACTTTCCAGGGGTACTTTGAACCTAAGCGTGGCCAAGAATCTTGAGTGATTTCTATCATCATCGATCATAGGCACAGACTCAACCGTCACCAAGGGTGAAGCCCCTGGATACATGTCATCATGGAGATGCCAGGGTTTTTTTGGCTGATGTTGGAATGACCTTTTTGTTGGTATCTGGTGAATGACCTTTTTTTGGCTGGCGTGGGTGGGGCAGTGCGTAAAGCGCTCGCCTCTCACTGCTGTGGCCTGGGTTCGATTCCCGGCTTGGATCATATGCGAGTAGAGTTGTTCATTGATTCTCTCCTGTGCCACGAGGGTTTTTCTTCAGGTTCTCTGGTTTTCCTCCCTCTGCAAATATCACCACTGTCGGTCTGGTATGGGTCGTATGGCCGCTGCCTAAGGCGCCATTACATGCCTTTGGCTCGACCACGTTGTAGCTATGTCCTTCTCAATTCAGCTTCTGCTGTGAGTAAGGGTGATTAGCCCCCTCCCCAAAATGTATTTATTTATTTATTTACCTATAAATGGAGTTGGATTGGACGGTTCTTGTCGTAAATTTGTAGTGATCGTTTTTTTTCCAGGAAATGTGTACTATGCGTGTGTGCTACAGTTTGTCAAAGGTTTAGATGAGAAGTTTGCATTGTTGCAATCCATTGTTTGTCACAATGTGTTAGTAATTTCCTTCTTTACAGAGTAATTTGTCATGCATGTAGAGAGTTGTCCTAATTTCCTGACAGATATTTAATGGAGACATTTCCTTGCTAGTCCCTTCCTTTTCGAAAATACAACAGTATAACAAAGATTAGAACAAAGGAATAGCCATCAATAAGTATGTAATATAAATTCTACTCAAGGAAATTTAGGAATAGTTGTTAGTTTTGTAAGTTTAATTTCATTTTTTTTTCAGAATTTGACTTCAAGCCTTGACATTCCTTGGTTTTTGTTTTTCGTTTTGAATTAAAGACACCCAAACCACATACAACTATGAGTTCTAATTTTAAAACTTAAGAAATAGGGCAAACAAATATTGGAAAAATTCAAAGTAAATCTGCACCAGGAAGCAATGTTAACACAAGACTCCTGAAAGCAACTTTAATGTATGGTGTCATCCGCCGACCTGAGACACTCATGTTTTGTCATATCCGTGGGGATTGCGTTTTGAAACCGTGAATGTTATCGAAATTTGGGGAAAGATGGGATTGAAACAGTGATTCGTCAGACGTCGGATTAAAACCCTTGGGGGAGTTAGCATTGAAGATAATTCATCTTTTCATCACCTAGCTGTGACAGTTTCTTCAAGTTATTTTATGAGGAACCTTTGTTAACGATTCAATATTAAAGGCACATGGAATCATTTGCAGTTACCCTGACACAAAACTACCGATTCATAACAGAAACATTGCTCACATTGGAGATAGAACTAAAATCAAATACCATGTGAAATTATTCCAGCTGGTTCGGAACAGAACAATCATTGAAGATGGTTGTTAAAAAGTGTGACCGCTGACACACTTTTTTATATCCATTGAAATACCGCCCTCATTAGTCAGACTGAAATGTTGGTTCACAGTTGGTTATTAAATCCACCCCGCGAGTGTCAACCAATAGAAGAGACTGGTCCATTTTTACTGCGTTGATGTCAAGTACCGCCAGAAGTCTTATCGGCTGATTGAGAATCATGTCCCGATTGCTGATTTAGGGATAGAATCAAGAGAGGGCGCAATTCAAAATCTGAAGCAGAAAGTTTAGACCAATTGCATACATTTTTTTCTGTTTTCTCAAAGTGTAAAGTATTAACTTGAGCTGAAATATCAGCAGGTTAATTAGGCAAATTTCTTCATATTTGGAGCAATTTTGTTGCTTCAGAAGAACAAAAAGCAAATGATCCTATAGTACCTTTAATAGTTAAAATCAGATTGCAGTTTGTACATGTATCTTGTTTTGATTTTAATACCCATTTTAAAACAAAGTAAACCCATCAAGGTTCCCAAGGTCATGGACAAATCATGGAAAGTCCTGGAAAAAAATTGTCCTGGAAAGTCATGAAAAGTCATGGAAAATTTGAAAAACAAAGTCATGCAAAATTCATGGAAATCAAGAGGCCGCTTTAAGGATGGCTGTAAGAGGAGGAGGAGGCCATTAATAATTAAAACTTATTTTCAAAAACTAACGATTGGTTATCCTAACATCAGCGGTTCATCAGTATCGTAATACCAAACAACCGTTAAATGTCATGGAAATTGTCATATTTTAGTCCTGGAAAGTCCTGGAAAAGTCCTGGAATTTGGTAAATCAGATTTTTTTTGTGGGAACCCTGACCCATTCATCATACCCTAATTAACATTAATGCATAATTCATGAAGTTGACCTCATATTCATACAACCCATCTCATCCATTTCTTCCCAAGCCTCACTCGGCAAAGCATCCTCCAACAAAGGAAACAAAGTTGTTAAATCTGTGTAATTTCAGTACTGAATTTTTATTGCAAAAACCAGCTTTCTTGGTTGCTTTTCAGAAATTTATCGAAATATGTTTTTTGCATCGTGTCCTGGAACGGCTATCCTTACATGTATGTGAAAAGAGTACAGAACACTATTTTGAATTTTAGCAAAACAATATTTTGTCAAACCAAAAAAAAGAAGATGTAGCAAAACTCCAGTGGATTAGAGCAAAATTTAGGCACCACTTTTTCTTGAACTTGTTGAACAAATTAAGACTCATTCTCATTGTTTCATGTATATCACCCATTTGTGTTTGTTTGTTTTCCCCCCCTCTGTTTTCTATCAATCTGTTTGTCTTTTCCCTGCAGCACAAAATCAAAGTAAGTGGTTGAAACTTCCTGTATTGCAAGGCTTGGACTGCGTGCAGTGTACTGCAGTATCATACTGGATCATCATGCGTGGCGGTTAGTGTGTCTGATACCAAGCCGGTCCGGAACCGGTCTAAAATACACTAGCAACAACTTCAAACACAAACGTTGGTTTGCGGGTACCCTTTAAAATTACTAAAAAGCATTGCATGAAACCTGTCCAAGTTCTTGTACATGTTATGTGTGTTTGTTTGTTTGTCCTCCTCTTCAGACTGTGCCAACCTGTCTTTTGGTTTCTGGTTTTTATTTGAGAAAGTTGGTTATCACCGCAATATTATAAAGTGCAGAAGGTGTATGCGTACATGTATCCACATTCCGTAGTGGATGTTGAACATTAGAGGACACAATAGGGTTCATGATTTGGTGAAGGTCCTCTTTTGGAGAGTGTGTACAAAACATATGGGAGGTTCTTCTAAAAAGTTAGAGTATAAACAAAAGAAATGACAATAGGAGGTCCGTGATGGAAGGTGTTTACATATGAGGTTGTCATCCTTTAGGTCTGAGGACTTTAGACAATGGTTACTTGAGATAACAATAAACCGAGGACTTGAGCCAAGTCCTCGGAGGGTTTTCATGTACAAACCTTATGAGACATGGCAAGGAAAAGTTAAAGTCCAGGAAAAGAAGAGAACAGTATATAGTAAAACACCATTGGGTGTGTGTGGGTGGGCAGGCCGTTACTGCTTTATGGGGAGTTTTTTTATTGTTAGGCAAATTAGGACCGAGATATGGGGACTTCGGTCCCCATAGTACCATGGGACAACTTTTGTGTAGTCTCCACAACTACGGAACAAGTATATACATGTATGTGTACATGTCTGCTCATTCAAATCGTGGACCTTGAACAATAGAGGACAATAAGGTTCACAATTGACAGAAGGTCCATTTTTGAGGTGTTTCTACAAACATATGGGTGGTCTTGAACAAGGTTAACAAAAGAGGGACAATAGAGGGTCCATGATTGAGGGTATATAGACACTTGCGTGTGTATGTCTGTACATGAATGGCTTTACAATAGAGGACAGACACACAAAGGGAGAACAAAAGATCCTTTCAGTCCTCGAGCGTTGGGTCTTTTGTTGAAAACGGTCCTCGATCGTACGGTTATGTGCTTAGTCTATGGGATAGTGTTATATTATAGGGACAAAGGAAAACACAAAGCATTGTCCTCGGGCGTATATAAATTCACAACTGTCTGTGTTCTTGAGTTGATTGCCCACACAGCGGGCGACCGGCAGCAAAGCTGCATCTTGCCTACGAAGCAAGGCCTCGGATTCAGGTTCTTTTTTTTTTTTTCAAAGATTCGGCTAAATATGAGTTAAGTTTTCTCAGTGAATTTTTCATTAATTTTGTATCGTGACAGTTACAATCGAAAGCTACATTTTAGTCCACTTTCACATGTACATGTACATTTTAGTGTACATGTAAGTTTTGTTTTTTTAGTCTGATAGTTTTAGGTCGAGTGGCATATCGAGTGGTAGGCTCGGATTGCGGCTTTGGTTCCTCCTCCCCCCCCCCCCAAGCATCAGTTTGTTGAGGATTGATTGGAACCACAGTCCTGTCTTATTGTTGGTTGTCATGGTTGTGTTATATTATGGTGATGAACATACATGGGAAAAAAAAGACATGGTGATGGTGGTGACTTGTAACTTCTTATTGATTCTCTGCCTTGCAAACCTTCAAATATATAATAATCTGCTTTCAGCTTTTAATTTGGTTATTTTTTGTTAACGAATCTTATGGACTCCGTGCACAAGTACCTCTCAATGGTTTACAAGGGGAGTGTTGGGAAGACCACTGGGAGAGACATTCGAATGCATTGCCGATGATGCCTGACGCACGCGAAGACACTATGGTTTTGTGCACATTCAGAATGAAATAAGTTTTGTGCTATTACATGTAAAACAAATACGAGAAAATGTGCCATCTATCATTTGTGCAGGAGTTCATAGCAGGGATTCAACTCCATGGTTTATTAACACTGACTCTCTTCACACAGGCTTCATTTCTTAACCCTAACCTTCCCCAATCCTCCAAAATCCTCTTTGCAAAATGGAGGATTTTTCAGGATTGAGGCCATATGGAAAAAAGTGTGTGGCTGATTTCGGAGGATGCACTGTGTCGTGGTCTGAGGCCGGACCTTGTGTTGTTTATGGTCAGCCGTGCATAAATTTAGGCCTATATTATACTTGAAATCCTCTGCACTGCTCCAGGATGTCACTGGCTCTGCGTCAACATATTGACAGTAATTGCGGGATTGACGCAGTGGTCACCCCTCCAAGGACCACATTCAAGAAATAACGGATGATTTTGCAGGATTGAGGCTGTATGCTTTTTTTTTACATAAAGGCAGTTGGAGGATTTTGGAAGATTGAGGTTACATCCTAGCAAAAATGTCTGGGGAGTAAGGGTTATGCATTAACTTGTCCTTGGTATACCTACATGTACTAAACAAATAACAGTTTTATCTTTGATTGAATATTGGAACTACATGGGCTGGAGAACTACATGTACCATAATCTACCATCATCCATTGCTTTGCAGTGTCCTATGGTACATTCTTTTCACATTGTACAGTACTTGGTCATGAAAGCCCTGTGTACAGGCTTTGCTGGACAGTCTCAAATTATTTATGAAAATTATATCAGCACTGTCATTGTTTTCTGATTTCAAATTGGTGGTTTTACATCTTGCCATAGCATATTAGTGAGGTGGTGTGGCAAAACGAGATGGAAGTGGGCACAGGACGTAGTGGAGAAAAATGAAAAAAAAAAAAAAAATGGGGTTGATTGTTTTTTTTCGGTTTTCAGATTTATTGATATTTGTAGTCTTTGATGTCTACTACACACATTTTAAAGAAATAATATAAAAATTGTGGAATAAAAGTGTTTTTAAGGAAAAAAACAATTGGCATTTTTCATTTTCACGACTATGAAAACTTGTGTTTTTTTAAAACAAACTTTAATCAGCCCTAACATGTCAACTGCATGTCCGATTGAAGTGCAACAAACAGTATTGTATGGAGAATCTTATTCTCTTTCCTAATATCCGCAAACTCTCATTTCGACCCCTGCCCATTTCTGTCTTATTTTGCCAGATTGCCTCATTTATGCTCCATTTATTCAGGAAAAAAAACAATGAAGGTGTCATGGGAAAGCTCCAAACTGGATTTGTTTTTCACCCTTCTCAAGCTTTTTCGCCAGGGCTGACTCATGCATGGAGGCTTAGTGATGCTGCAACTGTACAAAGTCTTCGGTTCTTAAGACAAGAACAATTTGTCAAAGGAAAGTCAAGCTTGCTTTATTTTGAACTTTTGAATAATTTATTATTTTTATTTTAATTTTACAGAGAATCTGAAAGAATTCTGGAGCAACGACAAAGACTGGTACTCGAACCTGGATGCTACAAAATGGATGCAGAGCATCAGGTAACTAGACCGCCTCTGAAAAACAAATCATTATTCCTAACAATTTCCTATACATGTAAACTTAAAGGGTACATGCAGTGAATTTTTCTTAGGAACACATTTTGTGCAACTTTCTACTCCTCTTAAATGTATGAAACCTATTTGCCTTCCCTTTTTGGTTCATTTCATTAAAAATTGAACTTCTTTAAACGTTTAACAAAAAATGCCCATGCTTTTCTTGACAACTGAGGGCGCTGTTGCTGTGATGTCATTTCAGGAAGACACTGTTCAGTTTAGGGGTTTTCTGTTCAAATCGTGATCCCAAAATTTGCTCATTGAAAACATTTGTGAGAAAAGTTTGCTCTTTGCTTTACTGCCATGTACCTTCAAAACAAAAGATCACCAAACAAAAGAACATTTACAACAGCAAAATATCCAAAATTCTAGCAACCTTTTGTGCTGAAATAGCTGTAACACTGAGGTTTCTGCCTGAAATGACATCACAGTTTTGCTCATGAATATGGATATTGGCATTAGCACAAAAAACAAAAAGGCACCAAAATACCCTTCAAAATGGCAAAACGAAAATTGAAAATGAGGTTAAATGGGACACACAGGTTCAGTTTCAAGGAAAGCATTAAATAAATTACATTGCATGGGCCCTTCTATACTTGAAGATTGAAAAAAAAAATTACAATGGGAGAGAGAGACTTCACTCTAATGTTTCTAAAAATGTCCTCTCAAATTAAAGATAATCAGAACCAGCAAACTTTTGTGCAAATGCTTGTTCTTTCGCTGACCAGCTTGGCTAAAAATCAACTCCCAAATTGTCACACTCGTCTATCAATCAAAACAATAGCAGCAGGTGTTTTGTGATATCATACACTTAAAAAAAAATAAATGAAATTACTCAGTCTGGTTCCGGGAAGTTAACGGTGATCAGTAATTGCCTTGTCACTGACTCATCTTCCTTTTTTTGTTTCTGTCACTTGATCAGCATGTGTATGACAGCGGCAGTCACCGCGGCTACAACCATCTATCAAAATGAACAGACGGTGGTTCTAAGAGGTCAGTCACAGTATTTCATATTTCCATCTTGTGATAATCTTTGACGCCAGGCACAAATCTGCCCTCCCTTTGTTAAAATTAAAAAAATTACTGATGACATTTATTTCACCCCCCAAAAGCCTATTAACCTCAACCACCCCCAAACCCTTCAAAATCCAACTGCATGCTTTGTTGGAATCTGTTGGAGTGAGTACTGCACTAGTAAACTGATTATGAATTACATGGGGTCAGGCATGCCACCATATCAGAGTCCAGCAGTTGGGGTGTAGAGTTTACCATATGGTGTTGAATTGTGCAAGATTGAGGAAGGTTCCTAGTAAATCACTCAAGGAGGTTAGGCTTAATGATACATGTACCTCATACATATTCATGAGAAATAGCCAAATTCTTATTGGTCCATTCACCATCACATGTCAGCCACTAGTTTTGCTATATACAAACTGCAAACGCGAGGATCTGTGTGTTGTCAACTATCGTATTGGTTACCCGTGTGATAGTCTACTACGCATGCGCTTTACTAAGCAATCGTGGAACTATTGTACAGACGTAGTGCGCACGTGCGAACATCACCCTACGTGAAGCTACTTGAAAAGATGGTGGCACAAGCACATGAACGTTTGGCAGAGATAACTGATGCATAACTCGGCAACATTTTGATGAATATTTATGAGGTGAAATAAAACAAATAAAACATGGTTTTTATTAGCTTATTAGCTCCCCTCAGTATTGGAAGCTGACTAACTTTATGTGGTTCTCTTGGCTTCACCTCGGAGCTCATATAAAAAATATCAAATGTTTATGAGTGCAGTGGTAAGAATAATATAATGAGGTGACAGATGGAATACATTGCATTTGTCACCGAATGAAGTTATTCTTTCCATTGCAAGAATGTGAACTTTTCATATAAATTTGTTTTATACAATGGCTGAATAAATCCCTGTCATCCGTTTCTGTAAACTGGTAATATGAATGTACAGCATCAGAGCCATGATAAGTGTGTTATTGTGCAACCAATAGTGTGACTGTGTAGTGGAAATTCTATTTATAATAGACTGGAACTTCTATTTTTGCGGTGCAGCTGCGCCACACATTGGGACGAATGATTCTATGACATGTGATCGACGACCCACCTATCAGATGACAGGGATTTTTTCGGGCCTTGTGTAATATCGACTATACACCCTCAAACCATGTTATATTTGTATACTTGTTCATGTACCCCCTGCATGTCAAAATCCTTCCTAATTCTTGGTCGACGGGCCTTTCCCCAGCTGTCGGTACATAATCTCTCTTACACAAACGGGAAATGTTTAAATAGAGAAAGATCACATGTCTGACTCAGCACATTCTGTATTAATGTGGGTTTAACAATCGTGACATCTCTATTTTTATTTTGCTTTTTAAGCCGCGGATGTTTTTTTCAATTTGACCTGCATTCTGATACGTTAATGTTGGAAGAATGTTCTGATACTTTGAAAATTAATTAGGCTGTTTCAGTCGCTCATTTTCTGTTGTGTAGAGTGTCCCTTGTAACACCATGTAAGCAAAATGTTCATTTGAGCTGTTAGTAGATACTGATTTGGTCCATTGATGTTTTTACTCAATGTACTAAAAGAATGGTTTGACGTGAAGTCATTTCATTTGTGATTCCTCCTGTAAGTAGAATGTCAAGTTCACTTAAAATGGCAGAAACATAACCGGTTTGAAGTTCAAAGATGTGTTCCCCGAGTTTGAGTTTCACCCGGAAAATAAGATTTGTGTTTTCATTGGCTATTTTCCCAGCAATGCTAAAGTTGATCACTTTTGAATGAGACATTGAACGAAAAAAAATCTCAGCTGTTATGTCATTGAATTATTTCTTCACAAAATTTGGCATATTTTTGGCCCGGCATTAATTTGGCTCTTGTAGGGCGGGATCATTTGTCCACAAATTGAAGCAATGTTTTCAGAGGATTGCAGACGCCAAAAACTTGAAAAGTATTTTTTTGGTCATTAAAACAAAACATAGAAATTGATACTATGGTAGGAGAATTAATTTATTTTAAGATCACAAGGCAACATCTTTATATCATAGTGTTCACCCTTGAGATACTGTATTGCTGACATAATCCACCATATTGCTGCATTCATTCGTTAGCAGTTTGAAACTTTACAGTAAATACCAAACAAGGTGACAGTGCTGTGTTGTTTTGACAGAAATACCGAGACAGGTGCCCGAAAAGTGACTCTCTCAACTCTCAAGAATCGGGACCTAATCCCAGATTAAACCCAAGCCACAACTTTAAAAACATCCTGAACTGAAGTTCATCCATACCAAGCCCAGAGCATCTTTGCAAAAAAAAAAAACCCAGGCTTAAAAGTAGAAAACATTCTATGACAAAATCCCCTGGTCTCGTAAAGCGCAACTGCATCCAATAATAGTCCACATTGACAGACGTCATCCGGGAATAGTCTGAAAGCAAACGGAGAGAGATAGTAGCAAAGTAGATTATCCAGCAGCCAGAAGGTTGACATAAGGACAGCAGAAGGCTTATGTGAGTGTTTATGACTCATCCGTCTGATGAAGCATGCACATCCTGCGCTGTGCTAAAGATAAACAGGCGTGATAGCGGAGGGGTAAATTGAATTAGATGTCCTCTTGACACTGAAGTTGAACTTGAACTTATATTGAGGGGTCCTACCGGTAGATAGACTGTGAAGTGGACAAAAGTGTTCCCTTTTTTGCACAAAGACTTCGTGGTTTTCTGAATTGAGGGTAGTGATTGCTGAAGTGTCTCTATTACGGTTACACCTCTATGTTCCGACACCCCTATGTTCCGACTGCACATATTCCTATTCCTAACCCTAACCCTAACCCTAACCCTAACCGGGAGTAACACAATCTAGGTTGTCGGAACATAGGGGTGTCGGAACATAGAGCAGTCACCCTCTATTACAGGAGGTCACAAAAAGATGGTTGTACGTGTAGGATCTCCAAATATTCGGTAGCAATACAGTGTGTCCCAGAAAAAGCGGGCCCGGACAAATCAGCGGCCATAACTAAACAAATATTCATGTGAGACTACATTTTGTTTTTCTTTTTTCATGCTGTGGATGTTGTTTATTGCCTGTGGAAAAATAAACCGAATTGATTGACATAAAGACATGTAAATTGGATATGAAATAAAGATACATATACCAGTAGTCTCTTCTTGTTTGCATGTGAAATGTGTTCTTGAGTGATACAGGTTCGTGGTTTCCCTCTCTCCACTAACTTACCAGCACAAGCTAATGCCGCAAAAAGTGTACATTTCGATTTTATGGGGCTCTTATGTTTCTAGTCATGGCTTTAAAAGTTTTCAATCAGTTCAGTATATTTTTCCACAGGCAATAAATAACATCAACAACATGAAAAAAACACAGACACAATTTAGTCTCACGTGAATAATTGTTTAGATATGGCCACTGATTTGTCCGGGCCCACTTTTTCTGGGACACACTGTGGATAAAATATGAATGAGCATAAAAAAACCAAGGGCCTGTCTCTCAGAGCTGTCATTTGAAGAGAGGAGTTAAAAAGGAAAAGGTATTTGAAATTTGTTCTCCTGACATGTTAACCAATACCCTTCAGTGGTGTTCCGAGGGGGAGGGGGGCATTGAAACACGGTCCGCTTAGGCATGGTGCACAGACTGCATCCATGTGACGCACTGTATGTGGACATGGCTTAAATAGTCTCCACGGCTGTCCAGCAAATTGCAAATTGAAATGTCGGGAAGAAAATTTGGTTAAACACCCACCCCTGTTAAAAATTATTAAAATTCTTGTCTAAATTTCTATATTCCTTTTCTTCCTTTCAGAGCCTGAGGGCCTAGACACTTCCTGCATCGTCGCATCCTTAGTCCAGATTATCCTGGATCCATATTTCCGTACTCAGCTGGGATTCCAGAGTCTCGTCCAGAGAGAGTGGGTCATTGCTGGCCATCCATTCCAGAAGAGATGCGGACATCTGACACCGAAAAAGGAAGGTGATGAGGTAAGACAAGTTCCAGATGCTGAATGTGAAAACGCTTTCAGCCAAAACATTCATTTCTGAAAAAAAATGATTGACCGAGAGTGAGTTCCATGCTATTTTTACTATTTTGCTTTCCACTGCCAAAAAGACTATACAACGGCTGAAAAAAGTACTACACGCATAAGCGACCAATGAACCAATGGGTATGCATGTGTGCAAACACAGTGCGCCTTGCGCATGGCATATACTGTTCCCGTGAAAGGGTTCTTTGGAAAAGTGCAACTAAATTTTCAACTAATTTCATAGTGAAGTACATTTCAATTAGACTTTGATTAAATTGATCAGTTATCTCTTAAAATCAAGCAGAATCTGTGGGAGAGGCATTATAAAACAAATATTGACTGCTTTAACTCGTGGTGTAGTAGAATTAGACTCCTTCGGTGATTCATAGAGCATTCCATTTCCGTCGACTACGCCTCGCGAACACAGAACGCTCCATGGATCGCGTTGGGAGGCTAGTTTCACTACACCGCTCGAAGCAGTCAATATTTGTATAATATGTTCAAGTGCGCTCAAGTAAGTGGAATCTAGAAAGTCAAGGGAGTTTAAAGTATAAAGTACCACAATAGGAAACAGGAAGGCTGCTAAAATCAACAGCCAGACGGAAATGTCATTGTTAAAAAATGCTCAGATCATAAGTGTCAATTCTCTGCTGACATGAAAGATGGCCAGTGAATATGGCCATTGAATTTCGACCAAGGGAGAAACCAAGCTTAGAACAAGCTGCTTTCCAGCTAAGCTGGTCTGCAATATATTGCTCTTTGTCACTGCTTTTAAGCTGAGTTTTGCTCAGTACATCAGTTTTGCTAAGCAGTATTCTGCACATCACCCCCGTAAAATTGGGCTCTGGAATTGGCAAACTTGACAAACGGAAGGCTTTTAATTGATGGCTCTTGTATTCTGTCCTCTTCCAGGCTCCATCGTTCCTACTCTTCTTGGACTGCGTCAACCAGATGATGCAGCAGTTCCCCTCAGCCTTTGAGTTCACGGATACCTACCTCATCACTCTCTGGGATAGCACCTTCGCCGGGATCTTTGGCACTTTCCTCTTCAACCGAGAGCAGGAACACTATCGGCTGTGCGTCCAAGAAGTGGACACGCCCGTCAGGTTAGCCACGGTCTGGTCCTGGACTCTGCAGTACAGCAGGGAGGACCAGGCTCTCTTCAACAATCCCATGTACATCGCCAAGCAGATCCTTGCCGACAAGGTTCCAGGCTTCAGATCGTCCAATCAGAGCGAGGTGGATTACTCGGAAGGTTGTAATCCCTCCATGTACCGCTTCAGAGCACGGACTGCCAAACGGACCTTGCTGGATGCCAGGTACGGCAGCAAATCCCAGGATGATTTGTCTCGCTCAACGCCCGTCCACTTGCGAGATAAGAACCTGAACATCAACGGAGCTAACTCCACGGGCAACGGTCGCTCATCGGAAGTAGATCCCAACATGATCATCCCACAGACAGGACCGCCGTTCATCAAGTTCTGGACTCAGTGTTACCTACGTTGGTTGCCCAGCGCACACATCGTGTGTGGAGGGAACCCTCTCGTCTACAAGCAGCATTGCCAGGTGGTCGACGAGATCCAGCAACTCAAGGACAAATTGGAGCGATTGCGAGCCCGGAAGATGAACGACGTTGTGCGCCGACCAAAGCGCGAGAGTCGGTTGTACTTCACGTACGAGGAGAACGCCAGAAATCAAGGCTTGTTGACGTCAGCGTTTCCGTTCTCCATCAGTGACCTGAGCTTGATTGGTGGAGATCGGAGGTCGTTCCTCGGTACCCCGCTTGCCAGGTTCCTACGAGGACAGAGCCTGATGCAGAGTGACATGCACACACTGACGGTCAACGACGTCGAAGCTAGCGATGAGGTGGAGATGTAGGGTCACCATGAGACAAGGTGAGAGGAATTCATTGCTGACACTGAGAACCTTACAGACATCGTCAGATACCAACAGCTATAAACAGCTGCTAGACTGTTGCTACAAATAACATCGTGAAAAACTCTGAGAAATCATGAGAAAAGGTGATATTAAACTGAGGAGGTCTTGTGAAGAAATCTCAAGAAATGTTGAGACGTCTCTGCTTCTTCAAAAAATGTGAACCAATATGTTTGGAAATGAAGGTTTGTATTCATGGGGTTTTGTATGAAAAGTATGGAAAAAAAAAACAATCATCAATCGAAGATGGTACTCCAAGCCTTTGTGAAAAGTGGAAGCTTGTTCTTGGAACAATTATACATCTGAAAAATCAACAAAAATTGTTTTGTTGATGGAAATCGTCTGCTGAATAGATATACATTATTTACACTTATTCCAATCAAACAGTCCAAGCATCAAAATAAAGCCAAGTTGTATTTTTTCCCCTTAGATCTGTGTATTCTAACATGTCATCCTTTCAACAACAAATTCTGGAAACCTTTCATGCCCATCATTACATATTAATCATTTGTAAAACATGTTGATTCTCATTGGTAAAAGATAAAATCAACCATGTGCGTTACGGCCATCAGTATTTTTGTTCCACATTTTTGTTGTACATTTGTTAAAATAGAAACACCCCAAAGATAATTGTTGAATGCAGAGGTGTATATGAAGGTTTTGGGGGCTAAAATTATTTTTGAAAACATTACTGATTTTAGAGGTTGCGTTATGAGACATTTTCACAAGTTTATCACTCATCAATGTCATTTTACCTTGGAGAATTGATGTTTTATGAGAAAAAGTCCGGGGGGGGGGGGGGGGGGTGTTAGGGGTAGGGGAGTAAGGGGGGGGGGGGCTAGTTAATCACCCATCAACGTCATTTCTCCATAGTGCCTTCTGCCATTTGGCTATACAAATATAAATTGTCTACGTTGTACAGGAAACAAAATCAGACATATCTTTATAATACGGAAGCTTGTAGAAAAACCAGAGTATTTTGTAAATGTAGAGAGTTAAAATATTACATTTTTTAATCTCTATATTTCGGTAAAATTAACAGAGGATGGCTGCATTTTTTTAACCACTGCAAGTGTAGAAATTGTCTCAAAGTTGCCCTTGAACATTCTTGTTTCTTGTGGAAGGCGTCATGTAGAAAAACAACATGTCCATGATTGGAACAAGTTGTTTTCTCAGCAACTTTTTAAAATGAAATTGGCTGGTTGTGAGTCAAACCACCGTTCCAATTGCGTGGTGTTTTTAAATTGGTTTTAGTCCTGTAGCGTATTTAGGATTATTCTTTTAAAAGGTCACAAAACAGACTGAAAGGGTGCAGACAAAAATGCTGCTTTAGTATGCACAGGCGCACGTGTACATTCCTATAGACCTTATTTTTGTGACTCACATTTTGAATGGCATTTAACCAATGCGTGTGCACTATATGCACACATGTATAGTATATTTTGCTTATACAGTGAAATCTTGATTAGTCAAACCTCAAGGGAACAGGTTCAAAATTTGACTTAAGCAGAGTTTTGAGTTAAGCAGGGTTGTATATCATTGTGATACTACTGAAGGGAATGGATTCTTTGTTTGACTTAAACAGTTGGTTTGAGTTATCAGAGTTTGACTTATCAAGATTTCACTGTACTACCAATGAATCTGACATAATTAAAATGCAGTGAAAATGAAGTTTATATGATGTTCCCAGTTCTCCCAGTGAAATGTTCAACATTTACAATTTTGAGACAATCCCTACATTTACAGTTAATGATTATTAATTATTTTTTTGTGAAGTACGGATAATTTTTGGGGTGAAAAATTTAACATATATTTAATATTTATTCAACGGCGATCGTAATGTAGCATTGTAAATATTAGCATCAGTTATGTTTGGGTTTTAGTTTTTAACAAAAACCTTAGCTGTTATCTTTGTATTATAGTACAATTTCTTTATGAGAAAAAAATTCCCTGAGTGAGGCATTAATTTTGATAGTAACTGATTTTTTGGGTTGGCGTATTTTTAATGCAGGCATTGACTTAAGTAAACTAAATTGCGATTTTTGTTTTAAAAATGTGCAATGCAATTAATGATTTTTTAGAAACCGTCACAAGATTTGAAATCGAAACTTTTGTTAAATAATTTAGAACAGCAAAAATGTACTTAACAAGAAAATTGCAAGCAAACAGCTATAAATTGTTTCGAACGAAAAGAGTCAAGGTCAAAAGACGGATCGTTGCCGGTGTCATATGAAAATCCAACTCCTATGAAAATCGGACTCCTTTTCCCTATTATTGGTTAATCCCTCGCACATGGCAGGTCACTCTGCCATTATGATCCTTTAAATAGCATATTATCGTACTCTCCCATGCGCAATACCACCAATGAGTCCATATTTCATGGAGTCGGATATTCACGCTACACCGGTATGTTTTGTAATGTATGAGGTTTTGGATGAATCACACTTTTGGGGTTAAATTTAACCCTCCCTAATTCAACAAATCCAACACTCGGTATCTTTCCAGAATGAGCCCGGCCTCTATGGACTCAGTGGCGCATATTTTACCACTTTTGAAAGCTGCAGCAGAGGGACAAACTGCATGTGCTTACTGGTCACTGGTCTGTGTGCGTATGGTGCATGCTATACAAACCAAATGTGCTCGAATCAGCTGAGGCGAAGTTCAGGCAAGGACCATTAGTCGACTAGTGGTTGATTTGTGTCGTACCTTACGCCTGCGCACTGATAGCAACGTGCGAATGTCTCTAGTCAAACGCTGATCAAAATGTCATCGCAAAACTTCTGGATCCTGGCTCTCTGCTAGCGTTATGAATGCGCGCGGCTATTAGTTACCAGCGAAGCAACCAGCCCCAGTAGGCTGGTTCCAAATAGTCGACTAGCGTTGTCAACCACCGTCGACTAGACAGAGTTCGGGCAAACGTTAGTTAACTATTGGTCAACTATAATCCTTGTGCGAACTTGGCCTGAGTCGTCGCATGAGCGTCAGTCATTCGAATGTCAGTTCCAGTGATCTCCCCAATATCTCTCTTTTGTAAGAAAATTTAAAAGAGTTGAATTTTCCTAGCCAAAGTACTCTTTGAATTTAGTGATAACTGTCACGGCGTTATCTTGTATGGTCATGAGTGATCGTGAAATATTGAACCAATCATCAGATGAGTCAACAGCGCCCTCACATGACTGGATCCACACCAGTAGATTTTTTGAAGTCCCCTTTATTATATTAAGTACCCTTTATTATATTAAGTACCCTGCTTTATCACATACGTTATTACAATTTTTAGACAAACGGGCAACTTTTTTAATCATTGTGAAAATTCGTTTTGATCTGTTTTTATTCTTTTTTAGGGTGGGGGTAGGGGCAGAAAGAACCCCCAAAAATTAGGGTGGGGGACACTTTTTGTGGTAACATTTGAAGCATCATTTAATACTGAAGGATTCAAATTAAAAACAAAAATGAAAAACAGATCAAAACTTTTGTGGAAGTCTGTTTTTGCAGACTGTCAATCTGAAGTAGTCTGGTGACATGAGAGAGCAGTCGGTGTCGGTTTTTATCCCCTGCTGTCTTTTGGCACCAGACTTCATGTTGGACTTACTTGTACATGTATGTATATATGAGTGATTATTGTATTCAAACGATGAGGAATATGGCATTACTGAAAGAGACATTGAAATATCAGATGTGTCTAAATAGATTATGAGTTATTGATAATTCACAGAAGATTAAAGTTTTTCAAGGAATCAAGTGGTGATTACAATTCAAATTAAATTACTTTTGCTTCTGGCTCTGACAAAAAAAAATGCTTTTAGATACAATTTTAACAGCATTTTGTTGTAAATTTTTACATATTTACTGGGAAGAAAATGCAAGTTCAGGTGTTGACACTGGAAAATGAACCATATCAAATGACAACTCGGTGTATGTTTACAAATTTTTTCGTCTTGTGTTTGCTGACAAAATAAATTTATCTTCATTGCTTTTGGATATCACATAAACTGTTAATTGTCTGCTTTATTTTTTTGAAGACCATATAAATATATTTGTATTATAACTAATCCAGCCCCCTTTAACTAAAACAAGCCTCTTCAACTAATCCCTTGAAGAAGCCCCTTGAACTAACTCAACAAGCATGTTTAACTCACCAGTTTAACTAGCCCGTTCAATACACGTTTAACTCACCAGTTTAACTAACCCTTTCAACCTGTTAATCTTACCAATTTCAATTACCTGTTCAACACGCATGCATTAACTCGACAGTATGAAAATGCAAGGTTAACCCCTTGTAATTTTTTTTTTTCAATTTATGTAAAAAAAAATGCAATTCCTTGAAACTTGCAGGGAAGTTGCCTAAGGGACCCCAGAACACATTTGATGTCTGGAGACATGTGCTTTTAAAAAAATAAGTCGAAAATTTGGGCTAAAATCAGTCAAAAGTGTTAATTTTTTTTCCGCCCAAAATCATTGCTTTTTAATCAAATCTCACGAATTTTGGATGTTTGAATGGTGGTTGGTGCTCCTCTTGCCTCTGAAGGAATTTTTGCGTTGTGTGGAGAAAAGTCAGTTTTTGGACAAATTTTGCTTAAAATGCAAGGTTAGCCCCTTACATTTTTTTTTCAATTTTGGCTGGAATGAAATTCCTTGAAATTTGCAGGAAAGGTGCCTAAGCGACCATTGAACGAACACATTTCAATTCCATTCCTGTACAGATGTGTTTTTGAAAAGAACATTTTGCCAAAAACTTGGGGTAAACTAAGTCAAAAAGTTGATTTTTTTCCTTCCAAAATTCATACATTTTGCCCAAATCTTAGGAATTTGAGGTGTTCAACTATGACAGGTGCTCCTCTTGCCTCCTAAGAAATTTCTGCATTGTTTGGAGAAAAGTCAATTTTTTTGCCAAATTGTATAAAAAAATGTATTAACCCCTTGCATTTGTTTCAATTTTGGCCGAAAAATGAAACTTCTTGGCCTAAGAGACCACTGAACACATCCCAATTCTACTTTTGGACAGATTATTTCTTAAAAGAAAAATTTGGAAATTTGGGGTAAAATCAGTTAAGAATGTTAATTTTCTGCCAAAATATTGATAACTTGTCCAAATCTTCAAAAAAAATTGGCGTTTGAATAGAAGCTCATCATGCCTCCGAAGGACTTTTTGCTGTTTGGAGAAAACACAAGTGGAGTGGAACACAAGCTTAACTCACCAGTTTAGATTTCCTGTTTTACACGCATTTTAAACACACCAGTTGAACTAGCAGGTACTGCAGGTTAACTAATATGTTTAATCCACAAATACAGATTGACGTGTATAAAAGAGAGCCGTGACTGCAGACCTGAATGGTCTCTTATGTTTCATGAAAACCTTTTTATTTTCAAACTTTCTTCGATTTACAGTAATTTACAATCACAGAAAAAGATTTCAGCTAAAACGTTGGCTGAACGTTAACTCAGAGTACAGTTTTATATGCATGTATAAAATAATATACATGTACATGTAAATGTGAAAGAAAAAAATAACATCCGTATACATCTTTTGGCTCTTACAAAAACACTTTTTTTGGTGTCTATACTGACACCATCTGCAACTGGAATGCAGGCATCCACTTTTCATTGCATGTACAAAATGCAGAAGGAGTACTACGAAGCTGTATTAGGGACATGGAGAAAAAAATCCCTCTCCCTTTAGCTAACTCGTACGCACGACTTATAACCCGTACGTACGACTTACATCTCGTACCTACGACTTAGATCTTGTACTTACAACTTATGAATTTTAAGTCGTACATACGACTTATATGTTGTACGAACGACTTATATGTCGTAAGTACAACATATAAGTCGTACCTACGAGTTACAAGTCATAAGTTGTATGTACGAGATCTAAGTCGTAGGTACGAGATACAAGTTGTACGTATAAGTCATACGTACAACGAGGTCCAAGTTGTACGTACGCGATCTAAGTTGTACGTACGAGATCCAAGTCGTATGTACGAGATATAAGTTGTACGTCTGCGTTATAAGGCGTACTTACGAGTTAGCTAAAGGAGAGGGAATTTTTTTTTCACCATGTCCCAAAATGACTTGCCTAAAATCTATAATCTTAGGCAAAGCCGGATTTTTTTTTTACATAACAATACACTTAATCATATTCCATCTCACTAGCACATCATTCACATAAAGGTTTTGTTATCCCCTTTCACTTGATACCCCATTTGAGGGCATGATGCTTGTAATTTTAAAGATTTCCTAAATTTTCCATTTTATCACCTTGGTCCACATTCTCAAGGAATTGTCCACATGACTAAACAACACTGCATGACTGATATCCTGCATTCAAAAACCTATTAAAATATATGGGGCTTAACATTTTAATAAATTGAGTAAAAAAAAAAGAAGTAAAGTCTGTCACGAGCCAAATGGCCCATCAGGCCGGCGTTTATCTCCGGTTTCAGTAGCATGAAACGACTGAGAATATTTCTACTCCCCCTGGATGGGATGCCAGTCCATCGCAGGTTACTCCCCAGCTAATGCCGGTACCCATTTATACTCCTGGGTGGAGAGAGGCAAGTTGGGGTGAAGTGGCTTGCCCAAGGACACAACATACGGCCAGCAGCTGGATTGGTACCCCTGACCCTCTGATCAGGAGTCACGAACCCTAACCACTAGGCCACACTTCCGTTCAATGGTATAAATTACGGAACATTTTACATACAGTAACGTCTTTGTTGTTTTACTACAAAAATCAACAGTAGTTTCGAGGTTACTTTAGGATGCAAAAATTTGTGACATAGATTAGGAAGCATCAGATTTATTTGGCCCTGGCCGACAGTAAAACACAGGTCTGTAGGAAGCGCTTTGAAAAGGGTAGTGTTCATAGCGTAGCCAATTAAACCAGACATGGTCTAAGATTCTTGGACAGCCATGAGATCTTCACATATATGCAGCCCAACCAAAGTACATCTGTGCCAGGTTGGCTTCGGATGTAGCTTCTTGTAGCAGATAATGGACGTGACCCTCGATGGATAGAGGGAGCCCTCTCGTCTTGTTCTTGTTCTTCAAGATTCCTTGCAAGCGTTGCTCGATGTCTTTGACGTGGGTCAGGGCCTTGGAGTGAGGAGAGAAGAAAGCAGTATTCAATATAAAATGATCACAAATTGGATTTAGTGCCAATTCATTGACAATTCTGTAGCAAAAAGCCATATGTCTGAGCTAAGTGGAAAATATATTTTTTGCTGAATCGATAAAGTTAAAAAGGAAAACCACTCATCTGAACACTATTATTCCTGCAGAATATGAAATAATTGATATTTCAGAATAAAGTAATCTGTGATTGATCACAAATATTTACTTTTCTGAAGAGAACACATTATGCATTTCGAACTGTTATAAAGTAACTTCGGTGCTCAGAAATGTGATTATTGTTTCATTTCTAAACGCAGGAATATCTAATAACAGTGAGAAAATGTAACTGATTTCTCATCAGAAAGTAAATATTTAGACAGAATGCCATGTTCCTCAATCTTCTGAAAACTCTCCTTTATGAAATTCTCCTTACCTTCTCATTATTAATCTCTCCTGACTCACTGAGATGTGATGTACGCGTTCCTTTGGCAGGCTTACTCCATTCAACCAGAGGATCGTAGATGAACGTCTTCAAAACACTGACAAATTGGACAATGGAGAAATTAAGTTGAATAGGGCATGATAGTTTATTTTTCCCCTCAGAAATCTTGAGGGATTCACACTATGTTTACTTTCCCCTTATGAACCCTTAAAGTTTCAGGCAAAGGTAAACGTCCAAGATGTGTAATTGATGACACTGAATTGATGCCAATTTGGTTACAAAACATTTCATTGAAATTACTTTGAAATCCATCTGGTGATTCTGATGATTTGGTGATTCTGATAATTTAGTAATTCTGACAATTTTTATAGTGATTCTAACGATCTAGTGATTCTGATGATCTAGTGATTCTGATGATCAGGTGTTTCTGATGATCTAGCGATTCTTATGATCCAGTGTTTCTGATGATCTAGTGATTCTGATGATCTAGTGATTCTGATGATCTAGTGATTCCGACTATCTAGTGATTCGGACGATATAGTGATTCTGATGATCTAGTGATTCAGATGATCTAGTGATTCTGACGATCTAGTGATTTTTGATGATCTAGTGATTCTGATGATCTAGTGATTCTGACGAGCTACTGATTCTGATGATCTAGTGATTCTGACGATCTAGTGATTCTGATGATCTAGTGATTCTGACGATCTAGTGATTCTGACGATCTAGTGATTCTGACAATCTAGTGATTCTGATGATCTAGTGATTTTGATGACCTAGGGACAAATGAGTACATACCTCATGAGTGGTTCTCTCTGATCTCTCATCACCTTCATGGTGACCTCACACGCTTGTCGGAAGATTCCTTCCTTCCCCATTGGTCCCATGGCACTCTCCATGTTGTGAGTCAAACGGAATGGAACACGCTCAGGATAGTCAAACGTCTCACCCTGGGTGGAATAACAACATGATCATATTATTAGTTATTCCACATATGGTGGCACTACATTTTCCTTGTTCCACAAGTGCGAGTGGAATAACAAATTTATCTTCAAGTAAACTTTACGCGCAGTAAAGATGGAACACGCACGTGGTACACGTTATCTTAGTACACATGCGTGCAGCAGGAATGGCGCGCGCATCTTAGAATAAGGCACCACACAAGAGTGCGGTACGGACCGTGGTATATAGGATAATACCACACTGTTGTTGCCATGGATCAACCAATCAGGATCGAGGATTCAAGTAGGCTTGAAGTTAATGACATATATATATCACTGCAGAATCAATGGCATTATCACCTTTGATTTGCTAGCTTATACCTACTCCTAGAATCTTCATCTCCAAAGGAATTACAGAGGGTCAAATTCAGGTACTGCTGTCTATCTGGGTAATATAGGAGCACACAATAAACCCAAACCCAAGATGTGTTCTTAGAAGAGTGAAGAAGTTAAAGCAGATTGTCTATTCAACGTTCACAGTCTGTTTTGCTTTGTTTTGTGAATATTCGGCATTTGGCCAGGATAGCCCACAAAAGTCTTTTGACTTATTTCCAGTGGGGTCCCTTGATAGAAGATGTGGAAGGACATCACAGTTTTAGTGGTGGGAAGAAAACCCCAGAATGATACTCTAGGGAAAACCCACAGAATCAGGCAGGGACTGAAAACCCAATCCACATATTGGCCCGGGCGGGATTCGAACCCGGGTCACAGCGGTGGAAGGCGAGGAAATCTAGCCTGTTTTTGATTTATCAAAGTTGTCCATTTCTCACTGAAGTTCCTACCTTGTTGAAGAGACAGTTGAAGTCCACATGAACGCAATCCCCCGTGGTAGAGTCGTATAGGATATTCTCACCATGTCTGTCACCCAGACCCAGTATATAGCCAACCATGGCCATAACGGCAGATGTCCGGGCATACGCCAGTCTACTCAGGTACCTTAACAATACAAAGATACTGATACATTAGCTCTTACTGCTGAATGCAGCAACATGCAACACTTGTCAAAATGACAAACCTGCCCAGTGCAGCAAGATCCATCAGGCCAAAAATCTCAAGGCCAAACTGCCTCAGAGTCAGTGGTCACTAACTGCAGCAGGATACAACTGTGGCATTGTTCAATGGGACTCTCATTATTGTCTCAGAATTGGCGGTTCATGCTCTGGTGTTAATGGCCCGATGCTGCAAGGTCCCACAGACTTTACACCTGTTGCACAGTGTTGCATCTGGCAGGGTTAGGGTTCGCAGATTTTTCACAGACATGAATTCTTTCTAGTTTGGCAAAAAATATCAAGTTGGTTAGTGTCACTGAGAGTTACTCACCATGAGGTAGGATCAGGAAATGTCTTGAGGAACCATTCTCCAAAGACGGACGGAAACTTGGGAAGCAACTTGGTCCTGAAAAGACTCACCATCTGCCTGTGAAGAAGGATATAAGAATATCACGGTGAGGATGATGAAAAAGGTTGTCTTGTTGATACAATGGAACCTCTTTCCCTCCTTCTCTTGTGATGTGCATCACTGATGCAGGTTCGATTCCAACCTAAGCCTACCGGGAATCAGGTTGATAAAGTGGAAACACCCTCCATCCACTTCCGTGACCCAGGTTCAACTCCCACCTAGGCAGACACATGCATAGCGGATTTCTGTTCTATGGTTTATGTCAATTTTCGTCTTGGCTTTTTTCCACACAACCAGAGACATGAAAACTGACACTTAACTAAAACTTTGTACTTATCACAGACAACTGCTGCCTGCAAAATTATTAGGCATGGCTCTGAAAGCCCCAAGTAGTTACTTACTCCAGCGGTGCTCCACGTGGTGGCGCTAGACTCTTCAACTCTCGGCCAGATATATACATTCCCTTCTCCCTGCAAAGAAACAAACTTTGAATTACTCTTACAACTCACCATGATGAGAGGACTCAAAATAGCATCTCGCTTTAGTTAATGACATTCTTGAGGTTTATTTTGCAGTTTCTTATGTCTGATTACGGGTAGCGCATGACTGATTTCAATTATATTAAATGGAGTGGGGGGTGTTTATAGCTAAATGCATCCAAGTGCACCAGACTTTTCCACCTGATGCACTGTGTTGCGTCTGGCAGGGTTAGGGTTTCAAAGTTATATGATGTCCAGAAAGGGCAAAACCCTACCAATCTTTAACTGAATGACAATCACAATCACTTAGACAATATCCGACAATATAAAAACAACTTCAGAAATTCAAGGCATCACGTCTTTACATCTATAGACAGTAGTTGGAGTGAGTTTGGACTGACCTGTATATTTTGTGGAGTATATTTCTGAGGCCAGCTGTGTTGGGAACCCATTCAATCAAACCACACTCCTCATTCAGTGGGATGACGGCCTAGAAATAAACACAACATAACTACGTCATCTCAAACGAAACTCTGTATTACTTGTAAACCTAATGGGGTGTGGTACGCTAAGAACATCAGCTGATGCAAAAGTGAAAGCCTTCGATTCCTTCAGTCTGACAAAAGTGTAGGATGCAATAAATTTGAATTTGGTCATAATCATAATTTTAAATTTGAGCTAAAATAAGCCCAAATAAACTTACAAGTGGGAAAGCATCTTTTTCCATTCTACAAAAAGATAATATATGTCGATTTTAGCTCTAAAATATGAGAGCATCTTCCTTTTCTATATGGCAGAAAAACTTGGATGTTTTCCAACTCTGAGAAAAAAACATCAAACAGCCTTGAGCATTTTTTATAGTCTAGAAAGACCAATCTTACATAAGTTCTGATATGAAGCTGGCCACGGCGAGACTCTGCGTCTTTCCTCAGACATTTGTTGACGATTCCGTTGAACTCCATCAGACGATTATCCTGTCTCAGATCATCCTAAGAGAAAAATACAAAAAGTAGCAGTGACTTGATGTGGATTAATCTTATACAAATGTTTTATCTGAAGCTCCCTGTGGGCAATTCCATAAATCCAACGTACGTCCGACCACATGATGTACATGTACAAGGTCGTTAAGGCGGTGGTACCTTAGTTTGGTCTGTAAACTGTTTTCTACTCATTAGATGTCACTGTATTAGTGATGTATCACATCCACTTTTCCAACAGCAGCTCATTAAAGTGTCTGACATGGGGGTCTGAATTTACAGAATTCAACCAATTTCATTGTGGAGGTTTTCTGTCATCAGAAATTGTGTCATTAAATGAATTAATCAACTTTACAAAATCAGTTTTGCGTTTTCTGACTCGCTTTTTCTTTTTAGAGTAGGCTCCACATGATGAAGTTGTTTGATTGTAAGCAGAAAAACGGCACTAAACCTTAAGCATACTTTGCTGATTTGATGTCCTAACACTTGCCTGTACATGGATATTTCTATAACTACATCAACGGGTCATTCTATAAATTTGGGGTCCACTTTTGTTCCTGTCCCTGTTACATCTGACATCTATGATTTGGTAATTCTAGATGCGCTCTTAATAGTCATCCTCCAAGTGTGATTATGAACAGATTATGAATTATGAAAAGGTAATGGGGACAGGAAAAATGTCCCAGGTTGGATCTTGAATTTTTTAGAATGACCCAAATCTATGCAAGTAGTTCTGCCTCTGAGGATAGCACATTCCTTGCTGTGCTAATTAGGTCTCCATGAAATTGACAAAGGTTTCATGTTTATTTTGCAGGAAACTGTGTGCTTCAGTAGTAATATGTCCCTCGTTAAGTGTCTGCTGACCATGACATACCTTGGGTTTACACATCATGACATACAGCTTGCCGTCCGAGCCCTGGATTCCAATCTTCTTGGGTTTTTGCAGAGATGGGAGAACCTCAACCTGTTCAAATCAGACAAACACTGCATTGGTCTCGGGGTGTTCTTGGTGATAGATCTGTGAGAAGGATTGTTAAATTCTCAAGCAGACCTTGGGTCTGTTTACCAATAATGGATCTTCTGTCAGAAACTACAACTCCTAACAGACTCTTTGCATTCAGCAAAAATATTTCATTATTTTAATTCACTCAAAATGAATGCTCAAATTCTCTCCTCATTCATTTCCCTGTAGTAGATAAAGCACAAACTGCAAACATAGCTGCAATGACAAGGATATATTTCACAGATGCTAAGCGTAATGCTAAAGACTTGTTTCTCGAGCCAAGATCTCTTTTTAGTAAGCTAGGGAGTAAGGTTTGCACAGTGGTGCTTTTCTCACCTTTCACTTCAGTGACTCGGGTTCAAATCCCACATGTGAACTGAATTTTCTGTCACTGCCTAAATCCATGGGTGGTCTGCAGTATTTTCATCTTAGGGTTTTCTCCCAGCTCTAAAACTGAACATTTACTCATCGTCATTGCAATAAGCAGAGATGAAACTGGCCTTGGCAAAAATAATCTGAAATTGGACCTTGGTTACGAGCCAAAGCGTCGCGCAGCGCAATGCAGCACAGCACATCAATGTCATAGGTCAGTATTTAACCTTTTTTCCAGCCGGAAAGCATCTGATCAGTGTTGATCTACCGTAATTTTCGGAATATAAGCCGCGGCTTAATGTTTACTGCGGCTTATACACAGGGCGGCTTATACGCCGAGCCTTGAAGAATAAAAATGACATTTACATGTGTATTTAATGTACTGGTATAAGAAGAGATGTGTTGCTGAAATGAATTATAAATTAAGAAAGTCATTAACGAACCGAAACCACGTGCCACGTAAAGGTGCCGAGCGGTAAAAAGTACGGTGAAAGCTGTCTTCGATCGACGCTTGCAACAAGCCGTACGTGATTCTATCTAGTGCTGGCTTTCCCCAGCGGACCACAAAATTGAAACCACTGCCGTCGGTGCGGCTTATACGCCGATGCGGCTTATACGCCGACTTCAAATCTTAATTTGCAGATATTTTAGTGCTGCGGCTTATACGCCGCACGGCTTATATTCCGAAAATTACGGTAGGTGTTTTACACTTGTGCACATTTTACGTGCCATTTTCATTGACTTTTCTTGGAAATAATAATTTTAAAAATAAATTTGTGGAAAAATCCTTACGAAATCATTTTTGTGGGATGTTAAAAAAATCTGAAATTTCATTGGAAAAGTTTAAAAAATCTGATTTCAGGTTAAAATCTGAAAAGTTTCATCTCTGAATAAGACATTTTCTCAGGTTTCCTGGCTACAGATGTACTTTTGAGGAATCCTTGTTTCATTATCAAAATGACCAAAAAAAGAAAAAAAAAGAGGCAGCTTCTGAGAAAGAAATACTGACCACATCATCGAAGCTGTTGATGAATATCTGCGTCATAGGGAAGGGGTTGTGATCTCGGTGTGCCCCTTGGCTGCTAGGGAGGGTGACAGTCATGGCTGACTGCAGCGGGACGATGATGTTACTGAAATTACTGATGGGAGAGGGGAAAAAAGACAATTCAACAGAAAAATGAGCAAAATTGATGTTACAGGGCAGATGTTTTTGGACAGTAAAGTATCACCATTTGCCTGACAATTTTGGGTAATAGGAGTGTATATTAGCTTACTGTTGTTAGTATTCCAAAAATCACTATTTGCTGCTTGACAATCAGGGGTAATAGCAGTGAATCATACCTGTCATCGACAAGCCTCTTGAGTGACCTGAAATCGTTATTGATGCTGAGCGTGTTGCATGTATGCTCAACCTGCTTGTTGCATAGCTCTAGTAATCGATCCGTCAACCTTGTTGCATCCTGGTGGCAAATAAATAAACAGACTGAACCATTCAATCTCACCCTGTAATGTTGCCAGCAATCACAGCAGTGATTAATGTGTGACTAATGACCAATGCACGTGTGTGATCCATGTGGCTGTAAACACGCAATACTGCCTTTGGGACGCACACATGTTGTTACACACCAGCAGATTTTACATGTACCCTGAGTGGACATTGCTTGTTCTCGTGTGGTTGAGAGAAACATGTTTTAAAACGTTGCCACTTGCACCATAAACACTTTTTGAAACTGAACTTTTGACCGTGGTTTCCTTCACCGTTCTTCTTCATTTTGCGACAATAAAGCAAACCCAAAAATGCCTCCAACACTGTTTTTCAGAAAGTGGAAAATATAGTGTGGACCTGTGCAAGTCCACATAACGTCTTAAGCTCCAGCATCATGTGGACCTCTTTTGTTTACAGGTCCTCACAGTGACTGCAATGACTGTACACTGTGTCAGATTAGTGTCCCGAGTTGCACTGAACCAAATTATTCAAAATAGTTGATAATGTATATGGAAACCTTGACGTACGAAATAGAAGCAACTGAGTCAAAAACTTGACTAATGCAGCAAGTCAGAATAACTCTAGAGGCCAGTCAATGGAAAATTATTACATACCTGTATATACAAAATTGGGTTGACATGAGTCGCTATGTACTAGCCTGAAAGGATTGTTTCTTGAGCAATAAGTCCTATGATTATGTGACTTTGACCTGGGTTATGTGAGGAGTCACATGACCTCTGTATGGAACATTAAACATATAGTGAATGTTTGTGAGTGCAATGGTAAGAACAATTTTCATGAGGTGACAGATGGAGGTGAAGCCGAGTGGAATGCAACATTCCAGCTGTAACTGAATGAAATTATTCTTTCCATTGCATGAATCTGAAACATTCATTATTTGGTTTATACAACACCTGAATAAATCCTCATCATCTGATTGGTCACAGCCACCAAAAGGGTGATCCGTTTAATGGAACAGAACATCTATTTTTACGGCACGGCCACACTGTGCATTGGGACCAATACTTGAATAATTCAATGACACATGATCAATGACCCACCAATCAGATGACGGGGATTTCTTCAGGCGTTAAATATAAAACCTGATGACTGGGGAGCTAATTTCCTACCTGGATGAACTTGTTGAGATTTTTCTGCAGATATTTTGCCCTGGTGAAGATCTCGCTGCAACGTTTGGTTCGGACTGGATAGGAAGACTGGCGGGAAAGAAGAGCAATTACGATCCACGGAAAATGTTATTGCTGCTCCAAACTGACACTTGTTATATTTGCTGGATTCACAAAAAATGTGGAAGTGTGCAAATAGCTGCTTGGGTGGGCGGGCCATCACAGCGTTATGGGGAAGTTGTTTTTTTTATTGTTAGGCAAATTAGGACCGAGTTATGCGGACTTTCTGCTGTCCCCACAGCATCTCCGGTCCCCATAGTACCATGGGACAACTCGTGTGCAGTCCCCACAACTACGGAACAAGTATGTGTGTGTAGGGGGGGGGGGGAGGGGGACGGTAACATTAATTGCTCCCATTTCACACTATTTAATAGACAGTTATGTTTTCATCAGATCAATAGTCAAAGCCAACAAGAGTCAGGGTTCCACACACTGCAATCAGCAGTGGCATTATTTTTATCATGTCAGGTTGAAAATTCCAAGACTTAACAGCAAAAAACCCAAAATCTAAAGAAAGAAGTCTAGACTTGACATGTCCTCCGCTTACAACCTCATTGCCTCTTCCTAGTACTACGGCTATTTTTGTAACATTTCTTGAGAATTTTACTGAGCTGGACTTCGGTGATTAAACATCGGTGTCTATTTTTTCAGGAAAATAGCTGAATGATATATGATGTGGAAAACAATCAATGTTACCTTGGAAACGGCCATAGACATCCAGACGGCCTGTTGGGGAAAGGCCACCAGAACGCGAGCGATGATCTCCTAAAAGAACAAAATACAAACAAACAAATTAACGTAACAGACAACTGGGCCTTCCCTGGTTTGTGGCTAAGGTAGTAGCAAAATTATTGGCCCTGAAACCTATGCAACATAATCTTCTGCAGACGTTTTTTCCAAAGCCGATAATTATTATCAAAATGAAAACAAAAACTTCGCAGAATTGGGTTAAATTTATGAAGAAGGGAAACCCTTGTCGGACACATCAATATTGCTCTCTATGGATAGTATGAACTCTGGCACAGTTTTGGATACAATATCCTCTAGTCAGTGGTATCAACTTATGCAGTTGAATCAGAGAAGGGATAATTTTTTTCAAATAATCCACAAACGGACACTGACTAGGTGCATTAAAATTACTATTTTCAAGTTGAACAAAATAATTGACTGGAGCGGGGTTTGAACCTGTGACATCTGGATTGTCGGTCCGGTGCTCTACCAACTGAGCTATCCAGCCCTATGCTAGCGATCCCGCATTTGTCAATGTCATTGTTCAAAAGGCGTTAGTCAGAAGCCACTTAACCCCACTTTTTTTCTTTTTTTTTCAACTTTAAAACAGGGAAACTAATTAACGCTGCCTATTTAAGACTAGCAGTTCAATCCAACGTAGCAAGATTATCGGCATTTTACCTGTAGTTGTAGGAAGACTTCCTCGTGAGCGTGACAGATGCGAGAGATGAGCTGGGAGAATGCTGTCAGAAACTGATAAGGAGCTAGCCTCAATGTAAGGTCAGCAAGAATCTAAGTCAAAGGGCAAAGTTCATACATTCAGATACATTGATCAATATCTCATTGAAATCTATCTCAAGCCGTGTCCATAATACTGGCTACAACTTTTGATACTAAGGTGTCTCCCAAATGGTAAAATTTCTGTTAGTAATAATTTGGGGGGGGGGGAGCTAATCATCCTTACTTACAGCTGAGAAGCTGAAATGCGAGGGACGCAGGTACAACATGGTTGAGCAGAAGGCATGTAAAGATGCCTTAGGCAGTTTGGAGCACAGTCAGTTCGAAAGTGTTGATTTGTGCGGAGGACAAACTCACATATGGTCCGAGCCGGGAATCGAACCTGGGCCACAGTGGTGAGAGACGAGCTCTTTACGCACTAGCCACCCATGCCACCCATGGGAAGTGGCTAACCACTTCCACAGGCACATGTGTAACTTGCAAGACGTAGCCATAGTCTGACAACCTTTTCCGGTGACTGACCTTGTTGAGTCTCGTCAGGATGACCTTGCTTGTTGTTGTCTTCTCCGTTTTCTTGCCTTTCTCCAGCTCTGAGACGTGAGATCCATAGTCCAACCAGAGAGTGAGCAGCCGAGGCATGGATTGATAGATGTACTGATTGCCGTACAGCAAGGAATGGCCGAAATGGCGCACCACAAACAAGATGAACTCACTGAGGGATCAAAGTGGAAAATAGATGGACGTTAAATATCTAGTCATTTGTGTAAGGTTCATAGGTAATATGGCACGTTATGATAATGAAATAGGTGTCTCACTGGCAGTGGAAGGGATAGTTTAAGGTAAGAAAACCTTTCTAATATGAAACTGACAGGTAAATTACAACATAAGATTTAGATATTTTCAGTACAAAGTTGGTCAAAATTAGGATTGGGTTTATTTAAATACCAACATGACAAGTCACTTCATTTCAATGATTTTGTTGGGTTTCACTCCCACTTTCACTAAAAGTATTGTCACACAAAGGGCAACCTACTCAACTCACTTGGGTCTTTAGTTGACTTGTACGCCACCCCTCACCCCTCCCTAGCTCCGCCCACTCACCCAGATTTCTCTGGTCGTTCTGATAAGCTCTGCATGAGTCTATCATAGTACTTGGCCAGATAGAAATGGCCATCCTCCCATTCTAGGTTTGGTACTGGACCATCCCCCCCCCCCTCACCCCTCCCTAGCCCCACCCACTCACCCAGATTTCTCTGGTCGTTCTGATAAGCTCTGCATGAGTCTATCATAGTACTTGGCCAGATAGAAATGGCCATCCTCCCATTCAGGGTAGACCTCCAGGACATCTTTGTACTGCTTCATGACCGAGTTACTCTCAAACTTGGCAGTGTCTTCCATGAACCGACCCACAAGGAGAAGTGCCTGAAGTGGAAAAAAACACAATGACTCCGTGCGCAAACAAGAGAGAGCACGCTTTTTACCACGCCCCAACTTATTTTATTCTAAGTGTGCACAAAACCATAGCATCTTTGTGTGAGCATCAGGCGTCGTCGGCAATGCATTTAAATGTCTCTCCCAGTGGTCTCCCCCAACTCTCCCTTTCGTACCGTTGAGGGGGTACTTGTGCACAGAGCCCACTGTTTCAAAATCACATTTCTTCTCATAGTTACACTTGAAGCCTTCATTACCTTACATTGCTCTTGGAAACCACTATGTACTGTGCGTATAGGCTCCATCCACAAAGCTACTCAGATCAAATCTTGACAACATTTGGAAAAATCAAACAAGACTTTAAACCTAACTCCCCGCCTAATTTACTAGGAACCATACCCATTCTGGCAAATTCCAACACCCACAAGGGAAATCGTACACACACACTGTTGGACTTAGTTTCTGGAGGTATGCCAACCCCAGTGTATAAGACCATCAGTTTAGGGGTACTGTACCTATCCCAACAGATTTAAACAAAACCTGCTGTTGAACTTTGATGGGTTGAGTTCGGTTAGGGTTAATGTTACGTCTCTAATGGGTAAAACCCAATCTCCAAATGTCTACCTTAGCATGTGTGAGTTTCTCAGTCGGATCATCCTGCAATGAGCCTCTCCTGGCCCGAGCCTCCTCCGAGAAATGATCAGCCACGCCCTTCTGTAAGGTAATCAATGCCTGGTGCCCTTCTCCCTGGTAAGCAAGGGAGAAAACAAGAGCTACATTCAATACAAACAATCAGTCATGTTTCAATGAAAACGTTAAAAGGTTTATAGGATCATTAACCCTCCTATGCAAACATACCTTCTGTTCCTAGTTGTCCTTTCAGTCAAAATAAATCAAGTGACTGTTTTCAACAGCTAATACTTCCCAGCCTGCATAAAGCAGGATTGACTGGCTGTTTACTGGCTGTGACTGTTCATACAGCTATGCTTTGACTGTAGGTGATTGATAAGCCAGCTGTGCCTACCAGTTGCATGTTTTTGTCTGTTGACTGAATTCGACTAATCACAGTGCTCGCTTGAAATATGATCTGACTGTTGGTGACTAGCCAGTGTATAAAGGCATGGCAGGGGAAGAGCACTGTTTTTTTTACTGTCTGTGACTGTTCAAACAACAGGAGGGTTACGTAGGGTGCATAACAACTAACCTGTTGAAGTTTTCAGCTCAGTGGCCACCGTATATTTTTGAGAAAACAAAGAAATCATACCCAATTTTGGGGTCTCGTACCCTGATTCTGTTGCCAATGCATCTAAAAAGTGTGCCAGATGGCACACCTTTTTCAAAAGCACCTCCAACGATGGTTTTCTTTTTCGATTGAAAGCATTTCAGGAAAAATAATTTCACAAGGTATTTAGTACCATCCCTATCTTTACTATTAGCAAGGTGTTTTTCATTAAATCAATAAGTGCCTTGCCGAGTATTTATCAATGTTCCTATATGCCTAAACTCCTATCCTACTCAGTCTATGGGTTTCTTCTTGTTTTAAACCTCAAGATCGGAATCTTTGATGTGCCATCTTACCTTGCTCCAGAGCCACTTAGCTTCCTCTATGCACAGATCTGGTAGATTAAAGGAACTGGCATTCAGCAGGGAACTATAGGCTGTCTCTAGATGATCAGCCCTGAAACAAACAAAAATTAGGCTTGTCTCAATCAGTCAGTATATTAACCGTTAACTTTAAATTTGATTTATAATAAAACTAGAAAGCACTCAGAGAGCGCACATCTCCGCCGAGGCTAAACAATTTCTCGGTGTTTCACACGGCACCAATGCACAAATGAAGTTTCTAAAACAAATCCTTGAACTGCAAAATTTTGTAGTTTACATGTATATGCCCGTGTTGGTTTACCTTTTCACTCCCCTATTGTATAAAATGGTCTAGTCCATTGACCTGTGTGGTTAGATTAAGTGGGTGATAAGGCATACAGGGTCACCAGGTCAGTGCCACACACGCGAAGCTGGTCACACAAGTGATGGGTGAAAAATCTTTTAAAAAATATCTTGCATCCAGACACAGATCCGGATCACTTCCAAAATCTAATCGATTTGTACTTGTACGAAGGACCACCCCTTAAAAAAATTCCATGAAGATCCGTCCACAACTTTTTGAGTCCTGTTCACAGACAAACCAACGCCGATGAAAACATAACCTCTTTGGCGGAGGTAATTAATATAATCTTTTGAATTACCACAGGAATAAAAACACTGATAAAAACATAAAATTGACAAACGTCAGACACTGATTAATATTTTCTGTGCTTTTTACAAAAATATTTATAACGTCTGAACAAATAAGGGGGACTCAGGTTGGCGTAGCGGTACTTTCCTCGCCTTCCACCGCCGTGACCCGGGTTCGAATCCCGCATGGGCCAATATGGATTGGGTTTTCAGTCCCTACTTGATTCCGTGGGTTTTCCCCAGAATATTCTTCCGGGCTTTTCCTCCCACCTCTAAAACAGTAATTTCTTCTCATTGTCTTCTCTCTACAGGTTTCTTCAGGCTTGCGAGCTACAGTGCCTAGGGTGCTTTTGAGGAATCCTTGGTTTGATTAACAGAAACGATTAATAATAATAATAATAAAATACTGAATAAATGTTGAACTTTGATAATTTTCATTTTCTTTACACTCACAGTGCAAAAATAAAGAAAAGATAGTGTTCTTACTTTCTGGCGACCTTTGCACTCTTTAGCCAACACAGACCAACATCTTTATTCTTACTGAAGTCCTCAGGTCTGAGGAGAAAAAAAATCATCAAAAAATGGTTCTTTGAGATTCTGAACTTGATGATACAGATAATTATATAATGCTTATATAAAATGCTTGACATGATACAATATGAGCCAAGAAGAGAAAATCATGATACCTGTCATTTAGGCCATGGGCTCTGTGCGCAAACAAGAGAGGGCGCTGTTTCACCACTTTGGAGAGCCCAGTGAACGGGACACAGTGCATGCGCATACTTGTTTGCACAAAGTACACACCACTTATTTTATTCTGAATGTACATAAAGCCATAGGGTCTTTGTGTGTGCGTCAGGCGTCGTCAGCGATGTGTTCGACTGTCTCTCCCAGTGGTCTCCCCCAACTCTTCCTCCCTTACCGTTGAGGGGGTACTTGTGCACGGAGCCCATAGTTGACAAATGATTTGCACCTTGAAGACTAGTTATTGAATTCCATACAAGGGAAGAATAATTATTTACTGCCCCCCCCCACCTCACCTCAACAACTGATCATGTCTGCACTGTCTTCTCTTAACAGCTTTCTTTAGGCTTGTGATCCACAAAGTCATTGGAAGCATTGAATAATCCTTGGTTTCATTACTCAAAATAAATAAGAACATTGATAAACAGATGTGCAAGACTTATCTTTCAGACACCCAAACACACCCATACCACTCCTCAGCTCAAAGAATTACACTGGCTCCCAGTCGCCGAAGGCATTCAGTTTCGTTCATTGGTTCATACTTAAAAATCACTAAAACACTCTGCACCAGATTATCTCTCCTCTCTTCTCACAATCCAGACCCGTCCTTACTCCCTTCGTTCTTCTGCTGGAGAATCCCTTGTCATCCCCCAAGTCACATAAACAGGCTGGTGACAGGACCTTCTCCATTGCCGCCCCCCCCCCCCCCCCCCCCACTTATGGAATAGCCTACCCATCCCTGTCAGAAATTCTGGCAGTGTTTTGTCCTTCAAAAAGGCTCTCAAGATCCACCTTTTCCCCAAATCGTAGCTGGCTGTCTTCTTTTCTTGTTTTCTTTCCCCGTTTCATTCTTTGTTGAGAGCGCCTTGTATCCTTTGGCAATTTGGCGCTCTATAAATCCAGTTATTATTTTTATTATTATTATTATTATTATAAAACATTGATTTCAAAAACTGATCTTACCCGTCTGAGAGTCCCAGCATAATCCTCTGCAGACACAGCAATGGTTCCTGGATACGGAATGATGACTGTGTCATACTGAGCCGGGCATCCCAGGTACCTAGTAGCTCAGGACGTGTCATGATATCGTCCTCACTTGACGATGCGTTCTGTGGGAAGCCTCCTAGGCAACGGATGCCTTGCTCCAGGTCACGCAACATATGAAGCCTGGAATGGAATGGGGGAAAAACGGGGCTTGTAACTTTCCAAAATAAAGCCAATCAAGAAGAGCTGTGACAGTACTGGCAGGCATGCAACTTGGAAGTATCAAAAAAGAGGAAACTCCAGTCTTTACAAGACTTTGTACAGTGTTTTTCAATTTTTTATGGCATAAGTGGGATGTGAAAAATGAGGAAATCAGCTGATCCGAGGAAAAGTTGCATACCTGTAATGGTGTGTTAGGCTTGAAATATCCACTTCACCAATAATGAGTATATCACAAATCCAGTCACAAGTCGATCGCAAATCCATTCACAAGTCTAGTCACAAGAAACAAGGTGAACAATAACAAAGGAATGCCTTTGTCAAAGCTGATTTGAATAGCTTGTGAGTTGAATTGGGACTGGAGGACTTGTGATGGACTTGTAGGGACTTGTGATAGACTCGACTACATCCCTGCACTACACATATGATTTCAGTTCATATCCAGTGGTCTTCTGGTTTTTTAATAATGGATTTTACGTTGGCCAATTTTTTTTCTTTACTTAACATACTTCATCATTAATTTTTTTTATGTGTTTGAATGATTTTGAGGAATTGACCTTGGAAACAAGTGGTTTTGAAGCTTTGTTGTTAAACTTTAAAAATTCTGAAACCAACAGCTTTTTGAAGTTAAAATCCTATTTTTCTGTTTTCGTTCCAAGACTTTGATAAATGATCTGTTTGGATATTTGTACCATATTAACACAGATTATCAGTACCTTGCAATGTACTCATAGCCCCGTTGATACGACCCGGTCTCCATACTTGCTGCCGATAGTGGACCCATGAGGGCGCTCCTCACAATCTTCAGCTGTCTCTCAAACTCATCCTCATTCTGATAAAAACAAAAGACAGAATTATCCTTCAAATTTAAGAAATTTAAATGTTGACATATTTAAACTTTGTTTCTCACTTCATGGACAAACTAATTTATGAAAAAAAATCAAAACCTATTCATTCCAACAGCTTGGAGTTCAACACTGGAAAAATTCTACTTTTTAGCTTAAATAAACGCATTAGTTGGGACATTGTTTTTAGATTCCGTTTTATACTTTTGTATTTTTTTTAATCACACGAGTGTAATTTTTGAAGAAAAGGGATAAAAAAAGATGAAAATGTGAGAGAAACAGATGTTGTTGACTACCTTCTGTTTGGATGCCAAGAGAATCTTGCCGAGTCCTACATTCCAGTCCGTGGTGTTTCGTGTTTCTGTCTTCAGGTACGTCTCCAGTGTGTCCCACTTGGCAAGCTTCCAACAAGCCTCCACCCGATAAGCGTTCAGCTTGCTCGTCCAATCAGGGCTGGAGACAAAAAGTGACAACACGTCTTATAAAATGAGCTCATAGACTCACAAGTATCCCCCTCAAGTACCCCTCCCCAAATACCTCCTCATGTACCCCCTCAATTACCCCCATGTACCCTCCTCAAGTACCCCCCTCATGTACCCGCCCCCTCATATACCCCCTCAAGTAACCCCCTTAAGTACGCCTTTACATAACCCAAGTACCTCATGTACCCCCTCATGTACCTTCTCAATTACCCACTATGTACCCCCTCAAATACCCGCCCCTCATGTAACCCCCTTAAGTACGCCTTTACATAACCAAGTACCTCATGTACCCCCTCATGTACCCTCTCAATTACCCACTATGTACCCCCTCAAATACCCGCTCAAGTACCCCCCTCTTGTACCCGCCCCCTCATGTACCCCCTCAAGTAACCCCCTTAAGTACGCCTTTACATAATCCAAGTACCTCATGTACCCCCTCAAGTACTCCCCCCATGTACCCCCTCAAATACCCCAAAAGTACCCCCTAAAGTACCCACTCAGTACCACCTCAATTACCCCCTTCAAGTAACTCCCCTTAAGTACCCCCTCAAATGCCCCTAAATAACCCAAGTACCCCCCATGTACCCCCTCAAGTACCTCTTTCAAGTACACCTCTCAAGTATACCCTGAAGTACCCCCCTCAAGTACCCCCAAATTGCCTCCCATTTGTGCACAAGCACCCCCTCAATGGAGAAAAACAAGAAATGTCAGATTACTATAAACCTTTGGATCCAAAGGTTTACAGTAATCAAATTTACCGTTCAGCCGCAGCACCATTGACGTGGATCAGAGCCTTGGTGAGTTGACCTAGACCCATAAATGAACGAAGGAAGCCAGCATGATGGGACGGCTCATCTGGTTCCAGTTGAATGGCTCGCTCGTAGCAAGCAGAGGCATCATGTAAGTTACCTGAAAAGAAAGCAAAAAAAATGGTCTCATATGATAATGCCCAACCATCCTTCTTAATGAAAAGATAAATTGTAGTCGCTGGCCGAACCTGGGTTCGAATCTCACTCAGGGAGACACATGTGGATTGGGTTTGTGGAACCTGGGCCGATTTTTTGGGTTTCAATGTCATTCTTGGGTTTTCCTACCACTTCTTTACAATTTTTTCCTGAAGATTTCGGAGTTTACAGTGCTTTCATAAAGCCGAAGCATGAAGATGAGGGCATGGTTTTGGAATGACAAGAGGGCCTGGAGACATAGACTGTTAGATAAGAGTAAGGGATCAGGGGCTTGGGTCATGACCTCTGACCTCTACTCTCATGATCCAGTATCTGTTCATGGAGTGTTGGTGTTTCTTGTCGGATGGCTGATACCCCAAGCACACCGTCTGGCTCATCCAAGGCAATATACAGCTTCTGTAAAGAGACACAACACGAAAAAAAGACTCTCTTAATAACACTAGATCTTTAAAGATGCACAATCAGAAATTTGGATCCAAAATTGGGAGCAGATCCACAATTTTCAGCAAACACCTCTTCCTATAGTTATAGACATATTTTATTTTTTTAATCATTTATGCTATTCATCAATTTTTTTTACAAATCTTCCCAATGCTATGCCAGCATTACAACAGTGCTTGAAATTTTGTTTTTACGTCAAGCCAGGAATATTGGGATAGTCTTCGTCTTTCAAAACAACACACTTTTCTAAATTCTACCTAAGAATGTATATTAACCTCGACTCAGGTTTAAAATGTTGAAGTAACCTTCCCCGGGGTTAAGGGGTGTGTTCCAAGTTGGAATAAAAAACAAATGAAATGAAATTAAATTAAATGAAAAGAATTTTAATGGATGGTTTTAAACATTTTATATTTGATTTCATTTTAAGATTTTGATTAAGAATTTTATAGTATAGGACAAAGTTCACAAACAAAGGAACATTCTTCTCGACAGGAAATGGTTCTGAGAAATGAAAGCAAGTTTCTTGTTAACTTTACCTGTAGGAATCCCAGCTGTTGCTGTAGGTTGTGCCTGTTTTTGTTGATGTACGCTTCACAGTGCATGAGGGATCGTGCATAGGCTTTGCATTGGAAGGAGGCTCTCGCTAACACATCCTGTGGGATCTGCTCCAGGAAACCATGGATTAACCGGTAGTCGGCATCCTCATCAATATGCAAATCTGAAATGTAAAAGTGTAGAGAGTAACAAAAAAAGTGTTGAATACTGCACTGGCTACCAGAAAGTTATTTTGCTACAGCACAAAATTTGGATGACCATAACCATTTCCTCCAACAATGAACCAGTTCTTTGGTCAACCTAAATGAAATCATGATCATGGCATTGGAATTTTTTAAGAAATATTTAAAACAAATTCAAAAATAAGTTTTCTTCAGTCTAGACATTAACCCTAACCCCCTTGAGTGATTTACTAGGAATCTTCCTCACTCCTGCAAATTCCAACACCGCATGGTAAACTGTGCACAAAAACTGTTGGACTCTGATTATGGGTGGTATGCCTGACCCCATGTACTCATTCCAACAGATTCCTGCAGTACTCATTCCAACAGATTCCAACAAACCCTAGTGTTGGAATTTGACTGGATGAGGACTGTTAGGGTTAATACAGCTAAAATTGGCTCAAAATTTAAATCAAATTTGAATCAGTTGGCTAATCCCGGTATGGTCAGTGGTAGCATGGTTTCAGTACTGAAAAACAGTTGGTGGTGGGTTCGAGTCCCATCAATGTAAGTGAACTGAGAGTTTTCTCAATTTTCCCTTGCACTTACTTCCACTCTGTGATTTCTTCTGTGTCCTGGACACAGACAGCATCTGAACCCGATGCCGCTTCCACCGTGTCAAGTAGTCCAACACAGAAAAGACGGTCTGAGCGCTCATGTGACTGGCGTCACCTGACCGCTGATCCTCAGACTTCTCAGCGTGGGTGAGCACTGCTAAAATCTCCTGACGAATCTTATGACAAAATGCGACAGAAACAAGATTGTCAATTACGGTTTTGTTCCCCTTGCTCATCAACAAATTCTTTTTTTTTTCAATTAATAAATTCCAAATTGTACGTTTTATTCCAATCAAAAAACCTCCTATTTATTTTCCATTATTGGACGTCTGCAACTCTCTCAATTATTATATTTTTTTTTAGGGGGGGGGGGCGTACAAAATAGATCCACTTTGAGAGAAGACTGGCTCCCAGTCCGTACATTATTGATACTGATTGTGGGGCTGGAACCAGCCTAACCCCGCGAGAATGAAATTTTTGTCTGACTGCAAATAATTTGAAATTGTGAAGTAATAATTCAATATCTACTTGCACACATGGGCTGATTGTTGGTCGATGTCGCATTCAAAAGTGAACAACTTTGGTATTGCTAGAAAAATAACAATTTAGAGAAGGATTTTTCGGGACCAAACTTTAAACTCTGCCCAATCTAAAGACAAAACAAGATAGAAGCAAGATCATCAGTTAAACCTGATCCACACTACGAAAGTAGCTTTTCATCAAAAACCTCTTCCAATTTGGCAGAGCATAGTAAATTTTTGCCCCATTCCTTAACTCTCGTCACCTCTGTGGCAAGGGTTCTTATCCAACTCAAGCGGGTACCAATCTAAAACTGTTAGTCTCAAACATTTTAAGCCAACCTTTAAATTAAACATTAACTTTTGAGTACCAGTGCATTAAGCATGCGATATCTACAATATTTCCAACAAAGACAAAATTACAGAAACATAAAGAAGTACCAGTATTACATTTATAAAGTTCCAATCTAGTGTCTAGTTCCTAACCTCTTCTTTATCCTCCTGCCTACCGTCCAGTAACGCATGTAGGAGGATGATAGGCAGCAGGAACAGCGCAGTCTGGATGTCATGTTTGATGATCACGCTGCAAGACTTGAAGATCTGAGAAGCTTGTGGAGATCGTACCTGCGAGAAAAGGAAAGGAATTGAACTAGCTCTGTATAATTAGTCTGAACAGAGGCTCAAAATGGGGGCTATTTAAAGTCTAATACTGGCCAGCGCCCGGAATCCGTGGATTGTCAGGCAGATCTATGAAAAAGGGGTCAACCTAATTTAAGCATCTACGCATGTAACCATAGGGTGCTGCATCAAGCATGAAACATGGGTGTGCAGGAGAAGTAGGCCACTCAAACTGTAGGAAGGTGGCACAACCAAGACGCATAGCAAAAAAATAGGATATCAGAAGTACCAGACTGTTGCCTGTCCTCATGAGGTCTGGGCCAAATGTCATAGCACTGCTCAACAGTAAGCAGAAAAGTTGTGCTTACTATAGCAGAAAATCATGCTGCTGCTTCAGCACTATTTCATGCTAACGGTTGCGGGCGCATGGAGATTTCTATTGTTACGTCACTGATTTAAGCAAAGTTTTCTTCTAGGATTAAGCGTGCTTTTGCTGTGCTTACTGCTTAACGGTCCCTATGAAATAGATGGAGGCTCGGTAAGCACAAAGTCGGCTGTTAAGCAGCGCTATGAAATTGGGCCCAGGTGTCTGGTCTATGCATAACTAGCTGAGAACCGACCACAAACAAATTACCTCACATGACATTTTGCCTGGTAACCACTTTCTACTAACCCATGATCAGCAACATTAAGTGTTTAGCGCTGGATGAAATTTGCCAAAGTGTTTAATGCAAAGTCCACTGACACTAAGAAACACAGATGTTAAAACCCTAAGTAAACTAAATATTGTGAAATTGTTTTTGCAAGCTCCCAGACAGCAGGCTTTCAAGCAGACCCAGGTGAGAAAGTACGAGGACAGTAGGATAAAAATAAAAAATCCAGGACAAAAGTAGATCTACTTAATCACTGAGTTAGTAACTCAAATTACTTTTGTTGAAATCCAGTTTCTGTCTATTGTTGTTACCTTGGTAACGAGGTATCCAGTCCAAGCACACACCCAGTCCTTATAAGTCTTGCCCTTCTTGCTCCGATAGATGGGCTTAGGGATGTTAGTCCATGAAGGAGAGGAGGCTGGGACGTACTTAGCATCAAGGAGAGGGAGTAAGATCTCCTTAATGTGGGCGGGGAAACGCCTCCAAAGCTGACGGCCAGAGCTGTAGGTCAAAACTTCAAACTGTAATTAAATTACCACTAAAAATCCTTCACAGCTCAAACACCTTTTGTTACTAGAGATGACCAGGTACAACTCACAGGGGGACTTTTGTTAACAAAGAAATTCAGTGGAAGGAAATAAACACCTATATGTTAACAATTTTACTAAAAAAGCAAGTAAGTAAGTAAAGTCTGTCATGAGCCAATGAGGCCCATCAGGCTGGTGTTTATCTCCGGTTTCAGTAGCATGAAACGACTAAGAATATTACTCCCAGGTTACTCCCAGCTAATGCTGGTTCCCATTTATACTCCTAGGTGGAGAGAGGCAAGTAGAGGTAACATGGTTTTCCCAAGGACACAACATATGGCCAGCAGCTGGATTCAAACCCCTGACCCTCTGATCATGAGTCACAAACCCTAAGCACTAGGCCACACTCCCCAACGCTTGAGATTTTTATTTTTATCCTTATCACTTTCTGTCATTTGACTACCAATCAAAATCAAGGACATTTTCTATAAAATGATTGAAATCTGGAAAGTTACTTACGATTCCTTCGGTGATTCCTTACAATCGTAGATCTGAAGCAGCTCTTGTATGGCATAGGCAGAGCAGTCCTGAGAACGGGTATCGGCCGCAGCTAGAAAGGCTCTAGCCAGCTCACTGATCAGATCAAAGGCAAAGTTGGCATCATCAACACCAGTCTGAAAGGTCAAAAGAAAGATTGACAGTTTATAATAACAATAATAATAAAACAGTTTTTATACAGAGATTTACACAGATTAAACAAATACAGTGGAATGTCGCTATACCGAGCACCTCTATACCGAACATTCGGCTGTACCGAACATCGTCCTTGGCTCCCGATTTTTGTGTACAAAACCAACCGAACATTGTTGTTAAAAACCGTCAACAGAAGAGCGACAAGTGGCTATTATTTCCCCAAGGCATAGAAGGGGAAAGCCACCCATCGATGTAGGTAGTAAGCTCAAAACTATGTAATTACATAATTCAATAGTCGGCACGTGTTCGAACTTCGAAGTCGTCTTTCAGTAACTACCAGGGCATGCAGGGTGAAGTTATGAAGGGCGTCATTTATTGAAAAGTGAGTACCGGAGCACCAGCAGCTTAAAATCGCTATACCGAATTATCACTATTACGAACATTATCTGTGGATCCCGCGATGCTCGTTATTGCAGCGTTCCACTGTAAAACAAAATATTCTAAACAAACTGATAATGATCAGGTAACAGAAAGTAGTTTTAAAACAAGTAAGCCTTCAACAGAGATTTAAATTCATATTCAGTCGGTGCAGTCCTTATGTTTTGAGGAAAAGAGAGAATGTGAAAAACCGATGACCGTAAGACTTGGTGCGAGTGACTTGTAGTGCGAGTTGAGATGAGGAGCTTGAGCGAAGGGTGCGACAGGGTTGATAAACATTGATAAGTTCCTGGAGGTATGGGGGGAGGGGGGCTGATCCTTTCATGCATTTATATGTGAGAAGAAGAACTTTGAACTCAATGCGTTTGGAAACGGGTAGCCATTGGAGTGAGCGAAGAATTGGGGTGATGCGTTGCCGCGGTGAACAGCATGTGAAAAGTCTAGCAGCAGCGTTCTGGCAGCAGTCATCCAGTGATGAATGGTTTTTTTCCTCATGGAAAATGTGCGGCTATACTTACATGGAACTTGGACATATCTTCTGTCTTGTTGTTAGCAATAATCTCCAGCCTTCCAGGATCAATGGCTCCTAACTCTCCCAGACACTCACCAAAGAGACTCTGTGCTTTGGTGTCTGAGTCACGACAGCCACTTAATAACTATTAAAAAAATAAGAAGAAGAAGAAGAATTCTAAGGAGTAAGACTACCTTCCGTTGAAAGCTATAAAACATGGGAAAAATCGTATGAATTCATATGCTACATTATGTAGAAAACTCATAAAGAAACACCATTAATACAGGAGTATACCGAGAACATATTTTCATGGTGTTTCAACTTAAATGTGGAAACTCTTAATAAGTGATGGGACTTACCACTGACACCAGTTCAGTAATGGTAGGATCGACTGTCTCGTTACCCATCACGTATTCATGCAGCGATGACTACAGAAAAGGAGGGAAAATATCAAGTCTTGATTTTTAATCATGAGCAAGTTGAGACGTGAGAGATCTAACCTCCCTGGTTCATGTGCTCTAGCATAACCTGCGGGCGTAATAATGACTGCATACCAGGTATCTCCCAAGTTAGAATGATGTTTCCAACTTAAATAAACCATTAATAACAATAATCAAAAATGATGTTTCCAAACCAAAAACAGCTTCTCAGGTCAACCAAAAATATTTTTAATTTTAGACAGATTAACTTAGTTTCCACTGACAAGAATCTCTACAGTTGAAGAACAGATTATCTTTTACATATTAACTACAGAATAAATACCTGCTTGGCCAGTTTTAAACAAGTATGTTTAAAGCCTAGGTTTGGGGCCTGGATGCAGATAATAGCCTGAGCCAAAGGCATGAAAGGTGAGGCCCCTAGCCGGTTTTATTCCCATTCATAAAAACCTTTGGTGAAAAAGTAAAAACAAGTCCAAAATTCACAATTTCCCAACGATTTTGTTCAACAATTTTACCTCATGTTGTGTGAAATATCCTTCTTGCCATGTCTATGGTATGTGCCTCACGCGCGTAGTGCTAAAAATCTCCTTATATGGAGATTGGCATGCGCACGGCGCATACTGCGCGATGTGGCGCAGAACGCAGTGGTGCAGGAAAAAAGTGTTTAAAACCAGCCAGTGTTTTATCAGGGGTTTAAAACCACCCACGTGACAGGCTCTCGACCAATAGGAATGGGTAAACTGTCTTAGGTAGTTATGGGACGTACATGTTGGTGCCTTACACCAACTCTTGCACTTTTTAGCTGATTTGGGGAAATCATTCATTGACCTGAAAACATCACATGATGTTTACTTGAACTTTGCTAATAAATGTTAATTTACATTTTCGCGATCGTGACAAAAAACCCTTGCTTAATTCTGACCTGGTTTTTCCGCAACAAGTCCCTGAGTTTGGACAGGGCATGAAGTCTGACGTCCAGACTCTCATGAGTCACTCCCTTGATAGACTGCCTGAGTTGAGTCTTGAGATCCGGCTGACTTGACGGATCCTCACGATGTTCCTTCAGGACCGAGTTGACTTCGTTGAGTTCGGCTAAGTCGGGCATGAAGTACAACTCATGGAAATGCTGGCTGAAAGTGTCCCTGCAGAATCAAGAGAAACAATTTTTTTAAAGAAAATGAAAGAGTCTTTCAAGCTCTTTGATTTTTCCCGTTAAACATTCCTACATTTCCCATTCCTCATGAAGAGTCTGCTGAAGATGGACAGAGCATCCGTTTTGAAACAGTGATTTAACTGTTCTTTTTAGAACCACACAAACTCACAAGAAAGATTTGAGTACATGGTACCTGTACAAACTTCATACGCCTGAATAAATCCACATCATCTGATTGTTGGGTCATTTTTCACGTGCCATTGAATTGTTCGTCCGAACACACAGCACGGCCACATAGCAAAAATGGAAGTTCCATTGCACGGTCACACTTTTGGCGGCTCTGATCAATCAGATGACGAGGATTTATCCAAGTGTTTTATAAAACAAATAATGAATGTTTCACAAACATTTATCTGTAAGGCCAAAATAAAAATTAAGTCGGTCTCTGGTCAGCGCGCGCGTCGATTTTAATCATGCGCGTCGATCTTTTTTTTCCCCACAATTTTCCGCGGTAGCTCCAACAGCGCCCTCTATTTCCGCACCTCCTCATTTTTTTTTACCAAAGAGCACCAAGGAGTGGGAAATTGCACCAAGGCAAATGATCGAAAGCACCAAGGCAAATTATGGAGGACACCAATGTACATGAGGACACCAAAAAAGCAAAATAGTACCCCACCTTGTCTGTACAATCCAAGCTTGAAGAAAAAAAAAAAGCAAAAAAAAAAAAAAAAAAAAAAGCCGCGTGGCTGCGTCAATTCCGGAACTTTGGTCTGACCAGAGACCGAATATTTTTTTTTTTGGCCTAACCTCAGGAAATAATTCTTACCATTGCACTCACATTCATTATTTGTATACTATCCAATTGCTTACTTTCCTATTCCCGTAAGACAAGAAGCCATATATTCACTTTGAAGCTTTCATTTTTACTACCATCAAACATGTCAAATAAGTTGAGGAATAAATGATTATGGGCTCTGTGTGCGAACTAGAGATGTTGATTTATATTTTTACCCATTTAAAGAGCCTGTGGACAGGACACACTGTTTTGCGCGTATTGGTTCACATGCATATAGCGCAAAGTACGTATACCTAATTATATTTTGAATGTGCACAAATCCATACAGTCTTCGCATGAGCATCAGGTGTCGTCAGAAATGCATTCAATGTCTCCCCAGTGGTCTCCCCCAACTCTCCCTTTCTTACCGTTGAGGGGGTACTTGTGCACGGAGCCCATAAGGTATGTTTTATCAGTTAACAAGAATGAGTTTGCACCTGTTTTCAACGATGAGGAAGTTGTAGATCTTGGCCACCTGCTCCGGTAATTGATGGAGTAATGGAAGGAGAGTGACAATGACCTGACTGATCATTGGACCGAGAGACGATGGCTCCACACTGGGGAACAAAAAGTGAATCAGGATTGTCAATAATGTGCACATCAGATTGAAGCAGATTTCAAATATGAAATAAGTACCAAAATCATGGTAATAAGTCTAACTGGCACAAACTTCAATCAATGTAAAATCTAAGGCCCCCCCCAAAAAAGTCTCCGGTTTCTGGTATGGAGCTTGCCCCAAAAGTGGTGCGGCGACGCGGCTTTTTTTTTTTTTTTGGCTTCAAATGTCGGCTGACTGCAAATGGTGCCCGACTAAACTTAGTGCAAATATATGGGAGTCCAGAGAGGCCACATAAAGCTTATTCTCGATCATAACCCCATCTAAAAACACGTTAAAATTGTGCAGCAGCAGGATTCCAGTCAAACCAGTGAGTTTGGCGGTTTTGAGACATCATCTTGTATTGAAAAAAAAACTTTTTCATTTTGCCGACGCGCATGGCTACGGCGACGCGCGCGCATACCAGAAACCGGAGACTTTTTTTTTTTGGCCTAAACTTAATTTGAAATGAAATTCAGTTACAGAAATCAAACTGGAAACACAAAATTATGATCATTTTTTACCTCTGAACGAAACACTGCCAAGCCCTGCATGACAGTAAGGGAAACCCGTCATCCTTATAGCGTAGACCAATCTTGAGGGTTGCCATGATCTTGAGTCGGACACCAGTGATATGCCTGGTACCCATCAGCTTCATGATACAGACCAGACTTTCTAGGGCCTAACAAGACAAACAGATGATTAACATCATTAATATTTACATGTCTCTATCATTAGGCTTTTGAAATATTGTGGGCATTTTCTGGTTCAGGTAAAATCTTTTGTTTTTGCCCAAATTTACCCAACCAAATAGTGCTTTCCTATTGTGTCCGCCAAATCTCAATAAGGCTAGTGAAGATTATTAAGGAAGAGGTTGTACAGTATATCCACTTAAACTTATATTTTGGAGGGAAAAATGATGAATGAAAATCTCTAGGCCCAGTTGAGTATTCAGTGCAATATAAAGACAAATTTTCTGATAAATCAATTTTCGTTTGAACTCCAACTTACCAGTTTCTTGTCTTCGACTGCAATGTGTGAGTTGAGCAGCTGTGAATCAAAGAACGCCAGTATACCCAGAAGTCTGGGCTGTAGGAAGTCAGCCATGTCTGTTGCCTCGGTGATGGGTTTAGGCCCTCTATAGGTGGAATCTTTCGATGCTAGCATGGCTAGACCACTGAACACCTGATAGAGATACATATATGATAATAAAACATCTGATGAAAAGCTGGTTCATACTTGGCATGAATGGGCTTCGTACACAAATTTCCCCCTCAACAGTGAGAAAGACGGAGTTGGGGAGACCACTGGGACTGACATTCGAATGCATTGCTCACAACACCCAACGCTATGGCATTGTGCACATTCAGAATAAAAATAGTCATGTGTAATGTGTGCTATACAAACGCAAACCAGTACGCTCACCTGGTGTGTCCCACCAACGGGCATTCAAAAGTGTTTAAAAAAAACACCCACTTTTGTTTAGGCATGGAGCCCATACGAACGCAAACACATGTCTTCACGGGGAGTATTCGCACACTGCTCATTTACAAAAGTTGAACACATTTCAAATCCGAAGAGTTTAACAGTGAATGTTTCCTGACGTGATATGTGCTTTGCCTTCGCAGTCGAGTGAGATAAAGAACTGGTCGCAACACTTGGCAAGACACTGAACACAAGGAGATCATGAATTGTGATTTGTTCAAGAAATGGGATAGGTGAGGGAGCCGTTCTTACAAATGCATGATCTACGTCCTGTGAATTGGGTTGCAATTCAAGTCCTTTCAAAACAATCAAGAAACTTTAGCTTCTGGAGAGGTGGGTTTTTGTGATTTAAATCGACTATTGAGGAATTTCTCCCACATTTGGTTTGTATCTTGTTCCTACCTGTGTGTAGTTCTCACTGAGATGCAGCAGTAACTCATTATGTAGACTCTGATAATCCATCCTCATTAGACTGCCCAGCTCAATATCAGTCTCATTCTGTGGGTACACAATCAATGAACGAAATGGATCAGTCTTGATGCAAACAAATCAACCTTTTGGGTCCATTTTCAAGGATTTATAACAAATGTAGCTTATGGAGAATTCAGGATTGTCAAGTTAGTCCGGTGACGTGACTGGATTCAGACCAGAGGGACTGTAACCCTTTAGCCCTTGTACTGCCCCAAACTTCCCTGTCTGTTACTCCTCATACCGCCCCAAAACACCTCAGCACTCTATGGGTTTATAGATTCATGGAGGAGTAAATACAGTGTAATACACTTTGATACAAGTGCCAAAGGGTTAAAGACTCACCAACAATGCGATAATCTGAACAAAAACTAGGTGACTTGTTTACAAAAACTACACTTGGTGTTGAGACAGTAAGCATTGTTATACCTCTGTCTTGAATACTGTATTTTCATTGGCCTAGAACGATCACGTGTTAAGTTGGTAAAAAGTCACGACACACTCCCTGTGCCATTTCACGTACGTGATATTCCACAGGGAGTGTGCTATGACTTTGTACGTACGGTGTGAAGCACTTGTATTGTTGGTACCCACGCTATTGTCACCATGTTTTCACACATGAGTTGGAGCAGCGAACTAGCAGACGATCAGCTGTTTCGAGCACGGTACGCGACATGCATGTGACTTGACGTTCGATTGTCATGATTGTTGTGTTTACTGCTGTTTTTTTTCATGTTTTCAAAGTCCAAAGAATCCAGTGCAGAGGTATAACAAAACAATTGTTGACTGCTATGGTGTGGGATATGACGTTTTTAACACCCTCGGGGTGCATAGCACCCTCAGCGATGCGCCCCTCGGGTGTTCAAAACGTCATATCCCACATCACAGCAGTCAACAATTGTAAATTAGAAACCACTCATTTTTGGTCTATTAGATTTGATCGATCATATAAAGGGCGATTCTTTCGTCACTGTGTGACAAACTTGGGCTCGTCTGATTTTTGAAGCTCTACCCCTTGTTAACTACATCTGACATAATACTTTCACTGATTCATCAGGTTAGTACTTTTTACTTCCTACCTTAGAGAATAGTTTCTATTTTCACAAATTGTGTCAAATTAGGAGGGGTCGTCAAAGTTTGGTCACATGTGTGACATCAGACATAAAAATGTTATCCGGCCCATACCGGAAATACAAACTTTTCTCACAAAAAGTTCTAAGGACACACACACCCATACTTATTTTGGAGTAAGACTAGTCTTTTGTGATTTACAGAATGCATTTAACAATGTATACCCTCTGCTTTAGTTTTACTAAATGGGAATTGTTCTGTGGTCACGTGTGTGACATTTTGATCGGTCACATGTGTGACATTTTGTAATTAAAATTATGCCAATTTACGCATGGAAAGACCAACTTATCAAACTTCTCAAGAAATTTGCATCTTTACTTACTGACAACACTTCAGCGAACAATAATCATTTGTATTACATCACATTAAAAACTGTTTTTCCAAAAAAAATTAATTTAGGTTCAATTTCTGGAGAATCGTCCTGAAGTGCATTACCTGGAGATAGTGCAGAGCTTTCTCCAAGTCTGTCTTGTTGCAGGTTCGGACAAGATACGAGAAGATGTAGCGGAAGCAGTCAACCAACATCTCCCGATGGTTCTATACAAAGTGAACATGAAACATGGACTAATATCATATCTTGAGTTATTGCTGCTTGTACCACTACAGAACTGCAAATTGTGACCAGATGCAAGAAATGAGTCTCTAGGACATTTTTCACTTATTTCATTTTGATACATCACTCAGTCTTACATCATGATACATGCAATTTTTTAGTGGACGGAAGCTGTTTTATTGGTTTAAATTGTTCAAGATTTTCTCAAAAGTAGTGACTTGTGACTCGTTTTGATGTGTTGGGTCACAAAAACCTTCATAAAATTACACTTTCTGTTAAAACAAGTAATCAGATAAAAATATAGAATTGGAACATGACTAAAAAACCGAGACAGGACAATCTTACCACTTTCATCGTCTTGGCAATGACTCTCAAGATGGCTGAGGCAACAGGCGTGGCTTTACTCACGATCCTTGGAAGGAGAAATCGCATCGTTTGCTGAAATGAAAACAAAGCAAAACATTGGTTCAATGAAAATGAAAACGTGGATACACGTTGAAAATGAACAGATTCATGAGCACGAACTCAGACTCTGAATCATTTTAATGTCTTGAATTCTGAAAACCTGGAACTAAAGATCTAAACCCATTGTCCTTGAAAAAAAATTCTCGAACTTTTTGAAGCAAAAATCTTTAAATTAGTTAAAGGGAATGTACAACATTTGCTTTTGCTGGAATTTTGAGAAATAAATGGATTTGGACGATTAGTATGTTATGGCAAATATTGTTAAACTGACTTGATTCACATTTTGGGCTGTTAGATGCTGAAAAAACCAAGAAAACCTATCATGTTCCTGTAGTCTGGTTCCCTGACCCCACTTACGATGAATCAGAGCAATATATAGACGTTGGGGAATTGTAAGGTCAGAGAATCAGCCTAGCAGGTTTGAACCCCTTCACAGGTGTGTGATCAATTGCAAAGAAAATGCAGAATAACTAACTTTGAAAAATTCGGAGCAGTTTTTGAAGAAAAACAAGTCAGGTGTGTTTACAAACACAAATGCCCCGCAACCGTGACTGTTCCCATGACATAACACCACTCTTTTAACATCAACTTACATGTACCTTGGTCACATGGAACGTTCATTAATTGACAGCATTAGTGTTTTCTGTAGGTTTTATATGAATTAATCCCTAATCCCTATGATCTCAGAATAAATACAAGGTTTCGATTGTTTTACCACTGTGACCTTGACCCTTGACCTTTTGGCCCCAAATGCAAAAGGCTTCTTAGGATTACCAAGGACAATCCACAAACCAAATTTGAAGTTCATATGTAAAGTATTTCTCAAGTTATCGCGCTGACAAAATTTCTATTGTTTCAGCCACTGTGACCTTGACCCTTAAACTTTCGGCCCCAAATGCAATAGGCTTCTTAGGATTACCAAGAACAATACACAAACCAAATTTGAAATTCATATGTAAAGTATTTCTCAAGTTATCGCGCTGACAAAATTTCTTTTGTTTTAGCCACTGTGACCTTGACCCTTGACCTTTCGGCCCCAAATGCAATAGGCTTCTTAGGATTGCCAAGGACAATCCACAAACCAAATTTGAAGTTCATATGTAAAGTATATCTAAAGTTATCACGCTGACAAAATTTCTTTTGTTTTAGCCACTGTGACCTTGACCCTTGACCTTTCGGCCCCAAATGCAAAAGGCTTCTCAGGATTGCCAAGGACAATCCACAAACCAAATTTGAAGTTCATATGTAAAGTATTTCTCAAGTTATCGCGCTGACAAAATTTCTATTGTTTCAGCCACTGTGACCTTGACCCTTGACCTTTCGGCCCCAAATGCAATAGGCCTCTTAGGATTGCCAAGGACAATCCACAAACCAAATTTGAAGTTCATATGTAAAGTATATCTTAAGTTATCACGCTGACAAAATTTGTTTTGTTTTAGCCACTGTGACCTTGACCCTTGACCTTTCGGCCCCAAATGCAAAAGGGCTTCTCAGGATTGCCAAGGACAATCCACAAACCAAATTTGAAGTTCATATGTAAAGTATTTCTCAAGTTATCGCGCTGACAAAATTTCTATTGTTTCAGCCACTGTGACCTTGACCCTTGACCTTTCGGCCCCAAATGCAATAGGCCTCTTAGGATTACCAAGAACAATACACAGACCAAATTTGAAGTTCATATGTTAAGTATTTCTCAAGTTATTGTGCTGACAAGATTTGTCCGGACACACACACCCACCCACCCACCCACACACCCACCCACCCACCCACCCACCCACCCACGGAAGGACAAGGCGGAAACAGTATGCCCCTTCGGCTTCGCCGCGGGGCATAAAAACAGTTTTCTCCAATGCTGGTCGGCCGACTGCTGTTCGGTTGAAAATGTCAGCACACCAGGAGCCACAATTTTACAGGATGCTTTTGACTGTCATTCCCTAACAATCCATTGAGGTATTTCGTGATAATGTGATCATTTCGTTTTTGTCGTGTTTGCAAATGTTGTATATTCCCTTTAATGGATTTTTTTCCAAAACTGAAAACAAAAATGAAATCTTACACACCAAATGATGCTTACAGAGTATGTCTTGCTTACTGTTAAAAAGGTATGCTTGTCTTTGAACTCAAAGACTTGAGCTACTTCACCGATGACATGAAGACAGCCAGAGCTGGTGGTCTCATCTTGGGATTGATGCAAAGCTTCAACGAGAAACTGACAGATCGGTTGCTTGAAGTGAGCAAAGAGGACGGACATCTTCAGGTTCTTGGCCGATGCCACGTCTTGAAGCTGTGAGATAAAGCAGGAAAGTTGGGGAAAAAACCCTGTTTCAGGCAGGCTCCCCAGAACTGCGCCACACCAAATCATTCTGAAGATTTTATTTAAGTACATAGAAATAATTTTCAAAGTTGAACAAAGAAATTGACTGGAGTGGGGCTGGAAGCTGCAACCTTCGGATTGCACTCAGTCAGTTTCCTTTGGTGGTTTATTTAAAAATGTATAATAAAAAGCCATAACCTCTTTAATTGTTCCCCATTTGCTAACATATCTTAAGTTGCGTGCCCTTCAACAAATTCAATTTGTTTTCTATTTAAAAATTTTCAACCAAACTATTCCCCCCCCCCTTTTTTTTCGACGTCTGCAACACTCTGAAAAGGCATTTTGTTTTGGGTACAAACAGATCTCCTTTGCAAGCAGACATTATCGATACTAATCGTGGGGCAGGAAACAGCCTACCCCGCAAGAATGGAATTATTGTCTGGTAGCCAATAATTCAAAATTGTAAAGTCTAAAAAATTAATGCGGCCTGATGTTGCCAACTTAACAAGTTCTTCTTCAGAAGAAAAAAAAAATTGCACAGTAATAATTCAATGACTAAACAAAGGCCGCTTTTTTTTGGTCGATGTCTCATTCAAAAGTGACTAACTTTGGTATTGCTAAAAAAATAGCAATTTCTAATAAGTAATCTATTTTTCAGAATGAAACTTGAAAATAGCACGGGGAATGCACTTTAAAACTTCAGGGGTTACTAAATGAAGTTAAAGTGCAAGTATCTATTTTTCTCTCTTTTAGTAACTGCCAAGGCTCAATGAATTATTTAATTCAGATACTGACCTTAACATACGCAGCTGCTCTGACGAGGGCTGAGGACGACAAGAGTGACTCCAAAAGACTGATGATGGAGACTAGTAACAACTCACCCTCAGCAACCCTGTCATAAACATGGTGACAAACACTGTCATATACACACAAAAGTGCACTGCAAAACAGTATATTGACAAATTTTATATTTGGTTTTGCCCTTCGCCAACGTAGTTTTAAACAGTGTTGTCCGAGGGCTGGTGAGAAAAATTCATGAGTCTACTCGGGTGGGACTCGAACCCATAACCTCTTTTTCTTGAGGGCTTGTGACAAAAAATTCATGAGCCTACTCGGGTGAGACTCGAACCCATAACCTCTTGTTTCTTAAGGGCTTGTGACAAAAAATTCATGAGCCTACTCGGGTGGGACTCGAACCCATAACCTCTTGTTTCTTAAGGGCTTGTGACAAAAAATTCATGAGCCTACTCGGGTGGGACTCGAACCCATAACCTCTTGTTTCTTGAGGGCTTGTGACAAAAAATTCATGAGCCTACTGGGGTGGGACTCGAACCCATAACCTCTTGTTTCTTGAAGGCTTGTGACAAAAAATTCATGAGCCTACTCGGGTGGGACTCGAACCCATAACCTCTTGTTTACTAGTGTTGATGTCTTACCACTCAACCACCGATATTTCAGGAATAGGCTGTCTGGTTTGAGTCAGCCAAGTATCTTAAAACCTTTAGGGTTTTCCTTACTTTGAATTAAAAAACCAACACGAAAGAACGGATAAAATTTGAGGAAGAAAACTTACATTCCGAGTTCTGCGATAGTGTGGACCACGGTCTCCTGTAGTCTGTTATTGCCCGAGGCTTTAGCTGATAAGAAGGCTGCTTTGAGTCTGGTAACCACGGCCTGGTCATTGGCTGTGTTGGATCTCTCACCGTAGCCTATCAGGTACTTGATGGTCTTACTGCCATCATGGGGGGGAGAGAATAATAAATATGGTATTACACCAAAGAAAGCTATCAGCTATCGGGTGAAAGCTAGCTATCAGGTTGAAAATATCTCAACACTGACTCTGGAGCGAAAAGTCACAGGGAAACAACTTAAAGGGAATGTACATCATTGGCTTTTGCTGTAATTTTCAGAAATGAACTATTGGGGGGTTAGTATAATAGATCAAATATTGTTACACTGACATGTTTGACGTTTTGTGTTCGAAAATACTGAAAACCAAGAAAAACAAAAATGTTCCAGTAGTCTGGTTCCCTGACTCCACTAAAGATGAAATGGATAAAAAAATGCCAGAAAATTGTAAGGTAAGGGAACCAGTCTAGCTGGCCTGCATCCGTTCATGAACATGGAACCAATAGCAAACAAAATAGGGACTGAAAAAAACCCCGGTAACTTTGGATCAGTAGTTGAAAAACAGTTAGGTTTTTCCAACGATGGTCGGCCGACCACCGTTGGAAATGTATACACAAGTACCATTCTTCTAGAAAATGACTTGACACCAGGTGCCCTTATTTTACAGGATGCTTTAGACTGTCATTTACCAACATCCTAGTTAGGTATTTCGTACCAACTTGGTAGTTTTATTTTTCGATGTTTGCAAATGTTGCATTTTCCCTTTAAAGGAAAATAGGGGATATATATTAGGGCTTTTATAGTGTGTTTTGTTTACCTGAACTCCAGCCTGAGGTCATAGTTCTTATCTTCAATCAAGTCCAAGCAGGCGATGAGGAAGTTAGTCACGGCTGTGTTTGGTCTCAATAGATCCAGATGGTTGAACAGCTGGGGGAAACTCTTCAAAAATGCTGCAAAAAATAATGTAAAAAGTGCAATAGTTGGACATTTATAATTCTAAGAATTTCTACAGATAATAAGTTGCTCTCCTCATATATTTGCAAGTTTCTCCTTGGAAAATTTATTTATTAATTAATCAATTTTTTTTTGCAATTTTTCTACGTTTAAAAGTTATTCAAAATATCATTTACTTTTGAATGAGACATATCTAACAAAATTGAATAATTACTTTTCAAATTTTGAATTATTAGCAGCTCAACAATAATTTATGCGGATCTTTTTGTGTGTTCGTGGTGCAAATGCAATCCTAAATAAAAGCCTAAATTTAAAATAGAAGGGATTTTTTGGTCAAAATAAAACGCAAACATTTTTTAATGCAATTAGAGGGAACAAAAATTAGTTTGATGAAAAGCACAAGAACAACAAGTTTAAAATTAAAAAATATGAATCAATACTAAATAAAATTTTTTAAGTTAAGATGAAGTACGAAAATACTGACCCTGTTTGACAGAGACTTTGTTTGAGAGTAAGGCAAGATACGGCGTGACAACAGCCAATGGTAGACTCTCACTTGGTGCTGACTCTCTGGCTACTGGACCGACACTACTCTGCTCACAGGTATGGCATTGCAAAGTCAGGGTACTAGACAGATTCTTCGCAGCTTGTAGGTCAGTAGTCCTGTGGGATTACAAGGAAAATAGGCTTCATTTATACGCTTATTGTTTTATTAACCCTAATAAAGCAAACATACATTCTGTGCAAAGTTGTCCTTGCATTCAAAATCAATCAAGTGACTGTTTTCAACCCTTCAAAATTCCCAGCCCACATAAAGCAGGATTGACTGCCTTGAACTGATTAAGTAACTTGATACAGCTATGCTTTGACTCCGGGTGAGTGATAAAACAGCTGTGACCACAACTTGCCTGCGTTGTCTGTTGACCCAGTTTGACTAGACACAGTGCTTGCTTGACGTGATCTGACTGCTGGTGACTAGCCTTTGTTAAAAGCATAGCAGGGGAAGTGGAATGTTTTTTGACTGTCCGTGACTGCTTAAATAGCAGGAGGGTTAATTAACTATTGTTTAATCAGTCAAGTACATTAAAAAAATTGTTCCACTTTCCTCTGCCATGCATTTGTATACAGACTAGTAAAACAGTCAGATCACATTCATGTAAACACTGTGACAAGTCAAATTCCATCAACAGACAAAAGAGGTAACTGGTAGGTACAGCTGGCTTATCAATCACCTCCAGTCAAAGCTTGGCTATATCAAAATAACAAGGAATTCTTAACTGTTAAACACAGTCACTTGATTGATTTTGACTGCTGTGATGGCGCAGCTGAATTTGCCAACCAGAGTGGGAGGGTTTTAAAAGAGCTGCTTTGGAAAAGTTTGTCATCATAAAAGTACTAATGATTTGTTATCTTACAGTGAGTGAGAATGCGTTGCAAGTCCATCACAAGTCCATTGGATTTTTATAATTCTAAAAAAGTCCATCACAAGTCTACTGAACAGTGACAAAGGCATTGTTTTGCATTTGTTAATTCCTTTGTTACTTGTGACTGGAGTCTTGAGTAAAGTTGTGATTTACTCTGACAAAACTTACTATTCGACTTGTAATTTTATTTGTTACGGAACTTGTGAATTGAATTATTTACTTGCAAAGGACTTGCGATGGACTTGTGATGGACTTCTGACAGGATTTGTGATGGATTTGTGATGGATTTGTGAGGGACTTGTGATGGACTTGCGATGGACTTGTGATGGACTTGTGACAAGACTTGTGACAAGACTTGTGATGACTTGTGACAAGACTTGAGGACGACTTGTGATTGACTTGTGATGACTTGTGATGACTTGTGATGACTTGTGATGGACTTGTGATGACTTGTGATGGACTTGTGATGTACTTGTGATAGACTTGTGATGGACTTGTGATGGATTTGTGATTGTGACAGGACTTGTGATGACTTGTGATAGACTTGTGATGGACTTGTGACAGGACTTGTGATGGACTTGTGATGGACTTGTGATGGACTTGTGACAGGACTTGTGATGGACTTGTGATGGACTTGTGATGACTTGTGATGGACTTGTGATGTACTTGTGATAGACTTGTGATGGACTTGTGATGGATTTGTGATTGTGACAGGACTTGTGATGACTTGTGATAGACTTGTGATGGACTTGTGACAGGACTTGTGATGGACTTGCGATGGACTTGTGACAGGACTTGTGATGGACTTGTGATGGACTTGTGATGGACTTGTGATGGAATCTGTGACGTGCTCGACTACAACACTGAGGGTCATACCTGTGTGGTGTGACATTCTTGCAGATGATGCAAGAAATGCTCCCGATGGTCCGTCCAAGTTCCTCCAAGACAACGGTAGACTTGTCTTTGAGCATACCGCTATAAAAAAAAAATCAGTACAACAAGTAAGTTCCCCAGTTACTGTTGAACAACATAATTACTAACGTAATATTTTTCTAGACTGTATACTTGGTGTTGTTTGAGAGCAGGCAAGAAAAACTCACAAGCTTACTCAGTCGGGACTCAAACCCATGACCTCCTGCTTACTAGTGCAGATGTCTTACCACTCAACCGCTGAGCTTGCTGGTGTCCGTTGGCCAGTTTGATTCTGATGTAGCAGCGGGTGCAGCAACCAATCACTACATTTGGTGAAGGGCAAACTCCATTATTAAATGTAATAAATGATTTCAGAGGTTTGAAATCCGCCACTTACTGGATGTGATCATGCAGAAGATGGAGTGAGTTTGCTCCTAGATTGTGAAGGAGGAAGGGGAATGCCTTGACTGCAGCAACTCGGACCGACGTCTTGTCGCTTCCCTGTCAAGACAAAAAGTGCAAAAATTAAACATTTCTACTGCATGATGTTAACACCACAAGACAACCAAGGAGGTAACAGTGTCTACAAACTCAGAGAATTTGTACTTTGGAATTTTCCTTTTGAAGAAAATGTGTGCTTTCCCAGCAGAAACAGGCCATGCTGTCAGCTACAAAGTGTCGGTCCTCAATTTGAGTCCTCACTTTACTTGAGCATTCAGTGAAAAAAAAGTCCTATTTTTATTTGAGTCTTGAGTTACTTACCACAGCTGCTTTGAAGATGTGTGTTCTCCACTTAGATGCAATTTCCTTTGGGAATAGCGCAAGATTGTGAAGAAACAGACACTCAGTTTGCTCATCTGAAAACAAACACATAAATGCCAGGAGATTTTCAGTGAGATGCCACACAATGATGAACATAGAAATGATGGTTCACTCAAAATGGACCTCAAAGACAGAAAAAAATTCACACTTTTTAAAAATTGTCTCGGACCATAGGCGTAAATCCAGGGGGATGTGTTATTGGATCATCCCCCAGACTTTTGTGTTGAGAAACAAAAACAAAAATAGCCGATTCTGAGGTCATCTTTTCAACATTTAAGCTAGGAGACGTAAGTGCGCAAGTTTCCATTACATCTACATTTGTATCATGAACAGCACCCCCAGTGTCAAGCGGTGTCCAGTCAACCCCCCCCCCTTCGCCGATACGGATTTACACCCCTGTATTGGGCTTATCCTCTTTGTACATCATCTAATTTCAAATAGTGTATTCCTTTTCTCTTATTTAAGCTTCTGATAATAATGACATCATACTATAAAGATGGTATTACATATAAACCTTTCCATATAAACCCCTTTAAAATGTAATTTCATTAGTAATTTCAGGGATTTTTTTTGCGGAAAAAAATAAGAAATGGTTTCACATACCACAATAAAGATGGTATGCTTGCTTACCAATCTTATCAGCCAAGGCAGAGCTCAGATCAGCGATCTCCCTAGATGTCATCTCTCCTTGGACCCTCAGATCAAGCCAGTTAGAATCCATCTGGAGGCAAAAACATCATCCCAAAATAAATTCAATCCATAGACTTTATAAACTCCACACTGCCCTTCAAGTACATATAGGGTTCCCAACAGAAATCTTAAAATGAAATTCCGTGACTTTTCCGGGACAAAAATGAGGGCTTTCCAAATCAAAGTCTTCTTCACCATTTTCTCCCAAATTGTTATTAAAAATATAAAAAAATCACTTACAGGTAGCCATGGCAACGACAGCATCCATACAAATGTATGCAGCTGGGCAAGGGGTAACTTGATCAAATCTGAAAAAGGAAAACACATTTCAACATTTCCAAATAAACCCCTTTAAAGTGCAATTTCAATAGTATTTCCAGATTTTTTGCGAAAACGATAATAAATATTTTCACATTCATCAATATTCATTAAGCATAAATTGCCATGGTTGATTGATCATGAGTAACGACACTCACCTTGAGTAGCCAACAGGGAGCTGATAATCTCAATGAGTTTCTTGTAACTCAGCTTAACGACCTCCTCTTGGCAATTTGCCAGATTGCGTACAACAGCCACGAGGGCAGCGCAGAGCTCCCTCGTTTGTTCAGCGGGCATCCAGGCGGCAAACGTGTTCTTGGTCATCTGTGGACCTTTGCTGCGTGCTTTGGATGACCGTGGGGTTCTGTCGGGTGGGTTAGCGGGCGTGTCCTTGGGCGTGTCCTTGGGCGGGGTCTTGGCAAGCAGGTGGGAGCAGGATCGGAGGAGGACCTCAAGGGAACAGCGGATTCCCTCCAAGACATCTGGAAGACTGTCCTAGAATTATTATGAAAACAGTGAAAGAAAAATGCAAAGCTTTATTGATGAGGTGGAAAGTGTGGTCTAAAGGTTATGATTTGTGGCTCATGATCAGAAGTTTAGGGATTCGAATGCTGCTTGTCCTATGTTGTGTCCTTGGGCAAGCCACTTCACTCTTACTTGCATCTTACCACCCAGGAACATGCAATGGACTGGCATCCCATTCATGCAGAAAAGAAATATTCTCGGATGTTTCATGCAAAGGAAACTCGAGATAAAACCCTGACCATTTTAGCCAGATTTGCTCAGAACAGATTACAATTTTTCTTTAACTTTTACTTCTTTAGTTGAACACCTAACACTAATTCTGTCATACACTCAAATTGAAATGCAGGTTATCCCATGGGTTTGTGCAAAAACAGTTAATTATTAGCTGTGTGCACTCCATCAAATTTACAGGTGCAAGGGCGGATCCAAAGGGGGGAAAACGGGAGCCATGCCCCCCCCCCCAATTTTTTTTTTTTTAAGTGACGTCGCAATAAAGGCAGGCACTGCGTACAGCATCAACTTTTCCACAAAAAAAATTGGTTAAAGTGGTCAGAAATTGCCTAAGATCGCACCACAGAGCATCTAGAATCCAACAATTTTTCGGGGCTCTTAAGCGGGCCCTGAACCCCACGCCGTAATTTTGTTGACCCACTTTTTGGGGGACCAAATTTTTTTGAGCCCCCCCCCCCCCCAAAAAAACAAGTGTGTTCTGGATCCGCCCTTGTACAGGTGTGACCAGTAAAACAAAGAAAAATATCCAAGTTTCAGAACTCACTGTTTGCGCAGTGGTGACACTGCTATATAAGTTGCTCAACTTCTCGACAATTTCCTTCACAGTTTGTGAATTCTCAACGACGGTCGCCGAATCCTCATCGCTACTGCTGGTCACTTCCCTGATGTCAAAAATGCAAGCAAAGGAAGTTAGTTATCACCCACAGAATGAAGGCCACATAGCGGCATTATTTAGAGGGGACAAAACCCTCCTGGCCTCCCTCTTTTTGGGATCCGGGTACAGCAGAGGGTACCGTACCCAAACTATTAATGAGATGGTATTATCACTGGGGTTATGTAAATTCACTATTGGGTTTGCCCTTCACAAACGTGGTTTTATAAACCCTGTACAGGGAGAGTATAAAAACGAAACCCAAATGTCTGGACTATTGTTTTAGTGAAGTTCTGCACGTAAAACTTTCAAAATCTAGGATATGAAAGCCCAATCCATAAGCTTTCTTTTAGTACAAGAACCATTCAAATCACTCATGTAATTTTCAAGTTACGAAATTTTAAACACAACCACCGTTTTAAAGTTCTGTCCACGGATCACAAAAGATGTTCTTTCAGCAAAACGAAAACAATTCAGACAGGGATGTGTGTGAATTGTTTTCGTTTTGCTTAAAGAACGCACACCTTTTTTGTGATCCTTAAACAGAACTTTAAAATGGTGGCTGTGTTAAAAAAATCTGTAACTTGAAAAGAACATGTGTGATTTGAATAATTCTTGTACTACAAGAAAGCTTATGAACTGGGCTTTCATATCCTAGATTTTGAAAGTGCTACGTGCAGAACTTCACTAAACAATCAACAGTCCCAACATTTGGTGTTTTTTTTTTTTAGTCATCCTGTGTTGTCCGAGTAATTGTGAGAAAAATTCACAAACTACTCGGGTGGGACTCAAACCCATGACCTCCTGCTTACTAGTGCAGACAGCTTACCACTCGACCACCGAGATTACCGGGGTTGGCTGGCTGGTTCAAATCTGATATAGCAGCGGGTATCGCAAAGAAAATATTCATAAGATGGATTTTGCATCGGGGTGATGTAAACTATTCTGTGTCCGTTCTCACCCCGTCTTGTATCCCTTCTTGCCCGGTGTCCTGTGCAATGCCAGACGTCTCCTCTTCTCTTGTCTCTCATCACTGCTGCTTGCACAGGAGCTACTGGTATCCATGGCAACAGCGGCCATAGAGATGAGGGCATCTTTTCTACTGATGGAGCTGAGTGACGATGTTGATGTTGTCGTCAAGGTAGAGGGACGCGTTGATGGTCGGGGTGCAGATTTGTGGGTTTGGTAGGAGGTGAATTCATTCTGGATTGTCGTCAGGAGGGGTGCTACAACAAACTGAGGAGAAATCAAGATAATTTAAAATCGCCTCAAGTCTTTGCCAACAGCAAGCCCATATAATCCGTTGGAAATGGTGCTATTTTAGAGACAGAGAACCAATATGTGTCCTATGTGTTATTTTTTACTGTTAATATACAAATAATGAATGTTTGTGAGTGCAATGGTAAGAATAATTTCATGAGGTGACGGATGAAATGTTCCATTCCACGAGGCGAAGCCAAGTGGAATGGAACATTTCATCTGTCACCGAATGAAATTAATCTTTCCATTGCACGAACGTGAAACATTCATTATTTGTTTTATATAACACCTGAATAAATCCTTGTCATCTGATTGGTTGACTTTTAATAGCCAATTTATTCAGGTTAAAAACTGTTTAAAAGTTCCACAAGTTCATCATATTTATATTAATGCAAACTGTTCAACATATGTCGAGAACAATCACATTCAATTTATCTCGATTTAAAACAGCGCCACCACCAGCAGCAGTGACACCGTGCAATGAAGTTCTATTCAACGTGCAACAGAACTTCCATTGCACTGTGGGCTACGCGCCACACCCGCGCCGTGCGTTGGAACGAATAATTCAATGGCATGTGATCAACGATCCACCAATCAGATGACGGGGATTTATTCAGGTGTTGTATAACATCAAATAATGGCCTCTTATTACATGGACATGTTGTTAAGGAACCTTATGTCGTTTTGATTATAGTTATGAGAGTACGTTTGGGGTTGCACCGTGTGACAAGAATTCTCTTTTAAGAGTGTGTGTAGTTATGAAAAGAACCGATGGAAACTAGAACAAGCTCGATCGGATCTCGGAAGCTGTGGGCCAACAAATTCGTGTTCATTCGAGTCACGTGATTGTGCCATGTAATTTCTGGAAGGAGTAGTGTTTTGAGTAAAAAAAAAAAATCAGGTTTTTGACCCCAGTGACCCCATGACTACCTTTGACCCCAGTTTAGTCATGTGATTTACTCTCACTGCTCAGTTCAAACCCACAACTCTTATTTGATTATAGTTGATGCTTCTGAAACATATGGACAAGAAGCACAAGTGTTGGAACAATTTCAGTTTGTGGAATGACTGTTCAAGAATCCATTTTCCTCACCTGCAGATTGGAGATCTTTCCCAAGTCAACAATGAGGGCGGTATTGATACTCTTGGTGTGTTTCTGTCTGATGGCAGCTGCTGGCTCCGAGTCGCTGGGTGTCTGGTTGTAGATGCATAGAAGCATCTGACATATGGCATCTCTCAGCTCATCTGCAAAAACAAAACAAAATAAATTCTGTCAAGATCTAATCATGGCCAAAAATACGAAAGATAAACCTTAAGGAATAAGTTAACACAAGAAGAGCTGAAATCTAGTCGATCACAAATCAAATCACAAAGGTCACAAGTAACTGTGACAAGTAACTGTCACTGTACAGTTGAATGGACTCTATGCATGAACAGTAACAACGCTGTTTTACCACTTTCAAAAGCTCCTGTGTTCATGCACTGGTTTTGGCTCATACAGAGCAATTATGCATGCTCAAACCCATAGCATCTTTGCATGATGGGGAGCTGTGGTCCAATGGTTACGGTGTTCAACTCGTGTGCCGTGGTACATGGGTTCGAATCCTGACGGTGGAAACATGGCGCTTACGCTCCTGAGCAAGGCACTTTACCATTATTGCTTCGTCCTTCGGATGGGACGTAAAGCCGTAGGTCCCGTGTGTTGTGTAATGCACGTTAAAAAAACCAGTAACACTTATCGCTAAGAGAAGGGGTTTACCCCAGTGTTTCTGGCAGTGGCTGCTTAATGCGCCGCAGCACCTTGTAAACCATTATAAAGGTGCTACATAATGGTTCTCATATTTCTCATGTACTTCATTTACCTGTCTGTAATAATAGACATAATTTCCAGCACCTTGAGTACCTAATTGTTGGTAGATACGTGCGCTATATAAGACTTCGATATTATTATTATGAGCATCATGCATTCCAACGTTGTTCCCAGTGGTCTCCCCCAACTCTCTCTTTGATCGAACTTACCCACTGAACTTGTATCATTTGTAACTGACATGTGATTGCACTGTAACGACTTGATTATAAGCAAGAACTAATTAAGTACTTACGATAGGCAAACAGCAAGTAATAGTAAATGAACGTGACTGACCTGTTCGAATCACTCCAAGGCCTCTGATTGGTAGATAGCTTGCCATGGTCTCCATGGTAACATTAAGCACTGAGACAGGTAGATGACGCTGGTGATAAGTTTGTTCAAGTGAGTAGAGCTCCTTGAGGCAGGAAGCTAGACTTGTCTCCAAGCTCACCATGTCCCTTGGGGGTTCAAACACGAATTCATTATTTTTGTCCACGAAGAGATATTTCTGAATGTTTCTAAGTTATTTTCTGAGTTTTTTTCTGAGTTATAAAATTAAGCATCTGAATACACCCCACTTCTTTGATAGAGCTGGGATACTTAGCTAGGAGGATTTCCAAAAGTAGCCCATTGTTTTATGAGAAATTGCTCCAGGAATAAAACTTAATATTAGAATCGGTTTGATCCATAATCATCTTAATTTCTGCGCAATCCAGCACTGAAAGATATTTTTATAAATAGGTATACGACCAGCAGCCTTTTAACGAAACTTTACACAATGGCGCAACTCCACTTGCGTCACAATTTATTGCATAAGTTACGTAAAACTTCACACTGTGCAAAATTCAGTTGACACATTTCATGAAAGATGGGTCAGTCCACGACTTGTGCACAAAAATATTGCGTAACTTGCGCATCATTTTAGATGGCAGAGTTATGGTGTAGTGACTGAAAAGTGACTGAAGTATTTCATTCTTTTAGAGTTGCCCTACGATTTTGGAGAAAGTCAGGCAAAACAATTTTCAAAAATGCGGGCAGAGACAATTCAACGAATGTTTTCATTACCAAACAAAATCATTTACATACAGCCATCAAAAATACTGTTATTATCCTTGTCCAAGATGTTAAGATTATTTGCCCATGTTTAGATTATTTGCGTTGCCCAGCTATGCCACGTCTCGGGGAAATGATCGTAAGTTTATTGCGCAGCTGCGCAACAAATTTGTTGCTTAAGTCCTACACGTGGCGTAAGTTACGCGCTGTTTCGTAAAATTGGCTGCTGGTCACATTCTTTATATTGGGCTTGTGTCCCCATTTGGTTTAGTCCAAAATATGAGTCATTTGATTACTGCAGCATTGAATTAGGGGAACCAGATCGGTAGTATAGTGGTAAGACAATGGCACTAGCAAGCAGGAGGTCTCGGGTTCAAGTCCACTAGAGCAGGCGTGGGATATTTTTTTCTCCAGGTGAGTATGCAGTGGATACAGACCATCCGGGCATGCCAGCAATTCTATCACGATGGCCCCCTTCAATGGCGAGAGCACTGTGCTAGCTATTGTTCAGATAATCCGTCACGGGGCGGGTGCTTTGTACAATTGCATGCACAATGGTTTCTTCATTGAAGGGGGCCTCACCCTCGTGAGTGTACAGCGATCACATTGGGATTTGTTTATACTGCACATGAAATAAACCGTATATATAGTGGACAAAGAAAAATTCTTGCCAAAAAGTCCTTGGATTTAGGACCAAGGGATTAGTCTCAATAGATTATCCTATTGTCATCATCTTCACAAATCCTCTCACGAGAATACGCTTACCGCCTACGAAGCAGGCATTATTGTGCCAGGATGACAGTGGATGGGATTATGAGATTAGGAATCTTTGGATTAAACTCACTCATATCCTTCTAGGTCGTCTCCCGAGAGGAACAACGTCAGGAAGAACAGCAAGAGCTGCATCAGCTTGTTCAGAACGTCAAGCGTTGGCAGTCCGTTCAGGGGAAGCAACTTGGTTATCACATCTAGGGTTGCCTGTTATATACAAACAAATATCAATGCAAATTGTTAATATAAAAGTATATTTAAGTTGCGTTCCCCTTCACTTCTACAAATTAGATTTTTTATTTCAATTAATACATTTTCATTTTTATTTCTGACAAAATTGTTGTTCTTACAAAAAAAACCTCTTTTTTCCTTTTTGATGTTCGCAACCCTCTGAAAAAATTTATGTTTTGGGCACAAAGAGATCTGCTTTGTGAGCAGACTGGTTCCAGTCCGTACATTATCGAAATTTATTGTTGGGCAAGAACCAAAGACCTTCCCTGCGAGAACGGAATTATTGTCTGGCAGCCAAAATAGTTCAAAACTGTAAAGTAATAATTCAGAAACTAAACATGGGCTGATTTTTTCCATTGATGTCTAATTCAAAAGTGAATAATTCTTGTTTTGCTAGGAACATAGCAGTTTAGAAAAGGGATTGATCTTTCGGGATGAGACCCGAAAATAGGATGGGGAATGCATTTTTGATAGATAAGTGATGCTGAAAACTAGATAAAAACCTCCATCTCATAGAATATCCGATTTCCTTGATTTTCTTAATCAAACATGAAATTGGGGAAGTTGCAAAAGAAGAAGAAAAAGCAGACTGCACAAGACAAAAACAGAAGTTAAAAACGAGGACATCAGCTGACTCAAGGAAAACGTATATACATGCATTTTTCACATTTGCAAATAACTGAATTGGAATGAGTTTAAGGGAAGGTACAACATTTGCAAACATCACAAAACAAAATGATCAAAATATCACAGAATACTTTACCATGTTTACTGGATTGTTAGGGAATGACAGTCTAAAGCATCCTGTAAAATTGGTGTGCTCCTGGTGTGCTGACATTTTCAAGAAAAATAGTATTTTTTCAACGCTGGTCGGCCGACCAGCTTTGGAGAAAACTGGCTTTTTTTCAAAAACTGCTCCTAATTTTTCCTAATTAGTTATTCCGCATTTTCTGTGCAATTGATTACACACCTGTGAAGATGTACAAGCCTTTTAGACTGATTCTCTGAGCTTACAATTCCCCAAAGTCTGTAAATTGCTCTGATTCATCTTAAGTGGGGTCAGGGAACCAGACTACAAGAACAAGGTTGGTTTTCTTGGTTTTCCAAGCATCTTCAAGCCCAAAACGTGAAACAAGTCATTTTAACAATATTTGCTATATCATACTAATCCTCCAAATCCATTTATTTCTGAAAATTGCAGCAAAAGCAAATGTTGTATATTCCCTTTAAGAGTGACTGTTTTGCTGTGAACTAACTTGCTTAATATCTCCTTGGCCCAAAAGTTTGAAATAGGATTACCTTGTAACACCAATGAGTGGACTAAATCTGACCCAATATGTAGACCACATGCATGAAAATGTTTCCATTGAGTAACCATTCTAAATTAATTTAATTAGATATTGTGCACTCTGGACCAGCTTCATTACATTTGACTAGTCTCATATTCTGGACTGAAGTGTAACATTACCTGTTTGACTTCATACTGGCCGGCATCAAACTGTTGGACCAACGTGGACCAAAGGCCTGGTGACTGATGGACGGAGGTTATCAGTGTCACGTCATATATCAGCTCATTCAGGATTTTCCTGCGAAATACAACAAATTTAGTGTATCTTTACTACCCCTTAAGTTTACTTGCTAGACGAATGGCCCACAATAAAATGTATCAAAACAACAGTGAATTTGATAAAATGTTATGAGACTCCAATCATTCAAGTTTTTAAACTGAATTCATTTTACAGTGACAAGACCTACAGGCACTCTTTAAGATAAGTTTGACTTTAATCTTTTTGACACCCAAACCACAGTCTGAGCACCATCCGTTGTTCAACGGAGCCTGCCAGCTCCGCAACAACGTGCGAGCCAATTGGATTCGAATTAAGAAATTGCGATGTCGTTTCGAGCAGAAATTCTAAGCTGTTGATTGGTCAACTGGCTGTCATGCTTATATAATACAATGGGTTGACAAAGACCCAATAGAAGGCGCCCGCTAACTGGTCAGAACCTGGAAGTCAGGACACCGGCTTGTTTTGCGTAATTAATCGCCGAATTTGCGCACATATCAATGCTTTGTCTGCAAATGGCTGATCCATAGCCTATAACAATGCATCCTGCCATTTTTTAAGGGGAAATCATTGAAACTAAAATGCATGTGACTGGCCAGAGACCCACTGTAAGTTGTACACAAGAAACCCTCCAACCGCTTAGGGACAGGGACCGCAAACTGTCCAGTTTCAATGAAAAACCTGTTGACCTGTTTAAAACTAATTAAATCACAGAGAAGCCTGTTTTCGTACTCACGTCAGGTTCAACTGAAGCAGACTGCAGTTAGTGTGATACCTCAACGTAATCGGTCTGGAGTTTTTGTAGATGCTTGACAATTCTTCTTGCTCCTAGCAAACAAGACGAAAAGGAATGAAACATTGATCACCAGAAAAACGAGTGAAAACAAGACGCAGCAAAGCTGGTCCCCGATCGTATCAGTTGGCCGACCAGCGTTGGAAAAAAAAACTGGCTTTTTTCAAATACTGCCCCCAATTAACCATATTTAGTTAGTCCGCATTTTGTTTACAATCGGTTCACATCTATGAATGGGTACAAGCCAGTAAGACTGGTTACCTGACCTTACAATTCCCTGACATCTATAAATTGCTCCGTTTCATCATGAGTGGTGTCAGGGAACCAGACTACAAGACCATGATTGTTTTTCTTGGTTTTTCCAACATCCATCGAACACAAAACTTCAAACAAGTCAATGTAACAATATTTGCTATAAAATACTAACCCCCAAAATCCATCCATTTCTAAAAATTACAGCAAAAGCAAATGTTGTATATTCCTTTAAACCTAGGAACTGAATTCATGTCATCATACCTCCAAGTTGCTTAGCCTGTCCACATCAACGGTAAAGCGTTTCATTTCCAGAGGAGGGTCTAGTTCTTCTACATCACCGGCTGCAAAGTTGTTCAAGACTGCTGCAGAAACATCTGAAGGAAAAACACATCATATGTAAAACAAAAGTAAGACTTGATGATCAATATTTTGCAATATTTCCGTTTTATATCCACTACTTTTTGTTCAGCTTGTTCAAGGCTAAAAAAGGTTTAAAAGTCAAACCATTAACAATATAAAGTTATTGTAAGTTCTTAAAACAATGCAATAAATTTAGCAAGGCAAGTTCAGTTCGTAACTGCATCCACTTCAAAGGCAAGTTTTGAACTGCTGTATAAAACGCATGATATGGTCTAAATAACGCAAAGATCGTTTAGTGCCACTGCACTACACGTCTTTGCGTGGTGCTACACGATCTAGCGTGCGTGTGCAATAGATCAAAAGGGATGGAACGAAAATGCACGGTGAATGGAACCAAAAATGCACGGTTATGACGTAGGCCATGCAATGGTTTGATTAATGCAAGCCGTGTGACCTACAATCCTCCAATCACATGACAAGGATTTACTTGGGTGCAATATAATTACATACAATCAATTACAATATTTCATGATATTTTGACAGTTTCATGTTTTAATGTTTGCAAATGGTGTCCATCACCTTTCAGATAAAAAGAAATAGCACCTATGAGAGATTTACCTGCTACAAGGCTACAGAGCTCACTGAGTAGCTCAGAGAAGGACGGCGGATCCTTGTACTTGACGGCATGAAGCAGAGATACCATAACTTTGATGATTTGATCATGAAGGGCAAGACAGAAGTAATCATTGAGAATCCTGATCAGGCAAGACAACAGCCATGTATTCAGACCTGCGGAGGCGATTCAAGCAGAATTTAAGTGGATAATAATAAAAATCAAGTGTGTATTTAAAAATTTAATGGGGAGTGTGGCCTAGTGGTTAGGGTTTGTGACTCATGATCAGAGGGTCAGGGGTTCGAATCCAGCTGCTGGCCATATGTAGTGTCCTGGCTAGGGCAAGCCACTTCACCCCCACTTGCCTCTCTCCACCCAGGAGTATAAATGTGTACCGGCACTAGCCGGGGAGTAACCTGCGATGTACTGGCATCCCATCCAGGGGGAATAGAAATATTCTCAGTTGTGTCATGCTACTGAAACTGGAGATAAATGCTGGCCTGATGGCCACATTGGCTCGTGACTGACTAAGTTTTACTTTATAATGCGAATGAATCTACCAGTATTGGTGCTCAAGGCGCTACATCATTATTACCCTGCTCATTGGGCCAATGAAACATTCCAAATACAGTAGTGTGCCCTAACGTGGCGAACTTTGACGTTTCCCCCAACTTTCCTCATGCAGTGTTGCCAAACCTCTTCTTAAAAAAGCTTCAAATTTATTCAATTAAATACTGGTACTATAACCTTAATAATGCTTGCTGTTGAACCTTTGTGAAAATTTTTTTAGTGTCATGCAATTAAGTCCGAAATTCAAAACAGTGGCGTCCGGAAATTGGGCACAAATTTGGCCGAGTGTTCCCTAACGTGGCGAACTTGAACAAATCTTGTTCTTATGAAAAGGATCCACCTGTTTTACATTGTGACAACTTGTGAAAGTATCAACATGAAAAATGTTAAATTACTGCACATATGGAACACCATACTTTAGATTTACACCTAGATTTATAGTGATTTGTGATAAAACCATGCGACTATTACACTACTGCACATATTTTTCCTCCTTTTACAATCTTTTCATAAACACTTTTCTGAATTGTTACAAACAATTTTTGTTAAGTATTTAATTTATTTTGTTTGCTGTTTTTGAAAATTGAAATTACAATCTTTTCATAAACACCTTTCTGAATTGTTACAAACAATTTTTGTTAAGTATTTAATTTATTTTGTTTGCTGTTTTTGAAAATTGAAATTAGATTGAACTTAGGGGGCTTATTTTGGTCAATTTTCGGGGACAGACAAAAAATATGCAAAATAAACGCGCATGCGCATTGAACAAAATCGGTGTTCCAAAAACCATCATCAAGAGTGTATTTTATGACGACAGCACGGCATTTGGTCAGTTAGTCAATTATATTTGGTCAATTATTTTTGGCCAACTTAGGAGGCTTATTTTGGTCAATTTTCGGAGACAGACAGACAGACAAACCCACCGACCAACCACCAAGTGACATGTAGTAGATGCCAGAGCTTAAAAAAATAATTTGGCAAAAGGTTTGTAACACAAGATCAAGTAATTCAAGATGGAAATGGGTTGAACCTCAAAGTTTAAACCCGTCAGCTCTTATTCAACATTTGGTACTGCACCATCATTGTATCAAATTTTTTTAAAAATGTATGTTTAGGTTTAATTTAGTTGAAAACAGGTCTGGCACCCAGTCTCGTACCTTTACATATGTGGTATTCAGGATCCTGAGGCACCTGCAGCTGAGGCCTGAGAGGTCCCGTTGCATCACTGACACCAGACATCGTCAAGCTTGTGCGAGCAAACATATTGGGAGACTGATGGATGCAGTTGTTAAGAAAATTGAGCACCACGATGCTGAGTTCGCTGCTGGACAACTCGGCTGAAACTGCGGACAAAACAATAAGATCATTAAAAACAATGAATGTAATTACACATATGCATTCTGTTATTCGCAATTAATTATTGCAATTTCTTTACAATCAATACTTTTGTGAATTATTTTACAATAAATAATACAATCAACGTTGGCTTAGGCCAAAATATAAAAAAATTCTGCTTCCGATTACATGGCATTCGAAAACAAAGGTACATGTCGGTAGGGATTTTTTTTTTTGGCCAATTTATTTTTTTTTGTACGATCATATGGAGGCGTCTGCGTGTAGTCAAGGGTATAAGGGAGAATTTGATGGTTTTGGGTGTTTATTTTTCTCATTTTTCCCATAAACAAAATTAGGGTAGGGGCTGTCAGAATAGGGTAGGTACGGAAACCAGAAGCAGAACTATTTATTTATTTATTTTTTTGGGGGTGGCCTTATTTCAATAAATTATGCAAACGTTATCTCCATTTTTACCATACATCTAAGAATATTATTTCTTTTTTGAAAAGAAAGAAAATGTGTCCCCCCACCAAAAAGATACCCCCCCCCCCTTTTTTTTAAAGAGTTTTAAACTATTTGTTTTTTAACAAACACTCACCTTTTTGCAAGTCTGTCAAGTATCTGTCCACAAGTTTACAAATAATCTTACGACACATCTTCAGAGCCTGCTGTCTTTCTTCGGGGCTGAGTGGAAAATTATCATTGTAAACAAATTTGTGACAAATTAAATATGAATTTTTTTTTAAATAAAAACTGATGACACAGTTGACAAACTATTATTCTATAGTTCGTATTCAAGTAACAGATATCATTCAAAATAAGGGGAATAAATATGTGTGCGTGCTTGGCCGATATTAACCAAGTACGTTTAAAACCGGCTCCGGGCCCACTCATTGGCCCACTCAAGACAAAACAAGTCAAAAATTATAAAATGCCAGACACTTTGTTCAACATTTCTGGAAAGTGGCAGCACACTAGGTGCCATGATTTCAACGGATGCTTGAAACTATTATTCACTTACGGCCAAGTAAGGTATTTCACAACAATTTGGTGATTTTGCTTTTTGATGTTTGCAAATGTTGCATGTTACCTTTAAACTTGAGTAAGTTTGTGAATATTCCCTTGCAAAATCTAGCTCAGACAATGAGTAAACAGTGTTTATAAAATACGTCAGTGGGCAAAACCCAACATTGAATTTTATGTTTGTTAATTTACTTTTTTTAGTTTAAGTTTTTTTTTTTAAATAACTATTAGTATTTTTTTGTAAAAATTGGTGTTTGGTTTCGTCTTGTACTTACGACTTTGCATCTCTCAGCTTGTTGAATGCAGCCGCCTCCGTGTCTTTTAAGGAGATCTGATTGGACGCGGCCATACCCCCTGCTGAGCCACAGGATGCCATTTCTGCTTACATGTTTGTACTATTAAACAAAAAAATTGAATGAAATTGTAAGTTTCCAGTGAACCAAAGATCATATCTACGTGCTAAATTTAAATGCAAATTAAAAAATATCAACCACAACATGCTATTAGGTCGAGTAAAAAAAGTTTCTCATCCAGGTTTTTTTTAAAAAGGGAGGGGTCCCTTTTTTTTTTTAAGATGGCGGATTTTCGAAGATCGATTCTTCCATTTTCTTGATTCTTTTGCTTTCCCCGCGCTAATGATGAGTTTCACCCTGAAAAATATATTGTTTCTAGCAATACAAACATTATTCATTTTTGATTAAGACATCAAACAAAACAAAAAAATCCACCTTTAGTTATGGAATATTTATTGTACAAAGTTCAACATCATTTGCGGCCTGAAACAATAATTCAGGTGTGTCTTTTGTGCGTTGTGGGCGCAAAGGCAACCCAAAAAGCAATAAATGCATAATTTTCAGAGGATTGAAACATTCTAACTAGACAAATGTAGCTTTTTTTCTTTTTTTTTATAAAGAAAACGTACAGATTGACGATTTGTTTGGTAAAAACAATGGAATATGTTGAATACTAGCATGGGTAGAATACCTTAACAGGCCAACTAGTAACATGACTAGATGTTTACTGCAGGAGGCCTTTTATTAATTGAAACTTGAAAAACCTCATTAAAACAAATTCAAAGAAAAAGGTACCACTTTGATTGTCCTAATCAATGTGACTTAAATTTAGATCTGTAACTAGTTGACGGTATATAAGTCATGTTTACAGGTTTACTGGCCAGCACTAAATATTAAAAACTGAGGAAAGAATATTGCATCCTGACGCCACTTTTTTCACCATATATCATCTCAATGAAGGTCAGTCATTGGTCAGTCATTGCAAAAATGTTGAAAAGACATGAATCTGGGACTTAGAAACATTTCCAATTTTGTTAGAAAATACTTTGAAAACGTTCTTGACTCTCCATATTACGTTAAGCTCTTTGACTTTGTACATTTGCTGAACATGTTCAAGTCAATGGAAGTGGCGTCTGGCTACTCCTAGAACTATGAGGCTCCACGTAGTGGAGCCTCATAGATCAACTACGTGGAGCCTCATAGTTCTAGGAGTAGCGTCTGGCATGTCAAAATTACTACATTCAGAAATAAAGGTTGCAACCCGAGGCCACTTCAGCGGCTGTGTACAAAGTCTATGGAGAGTCAAGAAAATTTTCAGAGTATTTCCCAACAAAATTGGAAATGTTTCTCAGTCCCAGATTCACGTCTTATCATCATTTTTGCAATGACTGACCTTCAATTTCATTAGTCCGAGTGCTAGGACTTTACGGATTGCTTTTTTAACATTTGGACTATCGCTCGACCATGTCCAAATGTTAAAAAGCAATCCGTAGAGTCCTAGGCCTACTCCTAGTTACTCGGACTACAATTTCATTATGAAGGATTTGAAGAAAAACGTGCTGTCACTGTCAGGTTGCAACTTTCCAAAACGAATTTAGCTGATGAGGCAAGGATTCATTTTCAGTTGATTATTACATTCGTAAGACATTTAGTGTAAATTAATGTAATCTTAAGAATATCATCAAGACAACTGAACTGCAACCCTCAAATGTCCGGAAATTGGGCATAGGCCCACATGTATGAAAAACGTTCATGACTTTCGTATCGTATGAACTATGATCGTGGGTTTACTCGATCGTGCACCAGGCACCACCACTTTTTAACCAGTTCCTCTATTAAACAGATATAACTTAACTGATTTGCCTATTGAAAAAAAACCAAATAACATATACTCTAAATACTGTATTTGCAAACACAAATATCTCTTGAAAATGCGAGTAACCAGTTTGAGAATAAATTCTGCGCTGGAAACCCCCCAAAATTACCAAGTTTCGCGGCGATGACAACTTTGGTCTAGTTCTTGATCTCTAGAACTTTACTTCACACGTAGCAACGTTGGCGTACCGAATTCGCCAGACTACTGTTAAAGTGCGCCCTCATTAGACTGTAAAAGGCAAAGCTTTGGAGGGGCGTGGTTACTTCTTTGGTAAATGAGTGGGGTTGAAGCCTTTTATTGAACCAATGTGAAAAGTGTCAGTTCTTGTTAAGAACAAAACTTAAATGGTGAAGTTTGGAAGGAAATGGGCAAACATGGTTGATTTCGTTCTTTTTTTCTTGAGGGGGAGTGCATATTATTTGTTTCATTGAAGAACCTGCATGATCGTTTCTATAAAGAATAAAATGAATTTCAAGAGCCAGTTTTATGAAGCTTCTAGTCTTCGACCCACATCCACTGACCCAATGGTTAATGGCTGACCCCGCAGTCCAAATCTCCTGAGCGCCCGATTGTTGAGAAACATAATTGACAGGTTAGGCGAAGTGGAAAAACAAAAACATGTTTCTCGTCCCCGCCCGCTTCCTTTTTGGAGGCCGCCTGGATTTTGTATTATTTTTATTTTTGAAAATGCAGTAAAAAAACATCGAAAAAGTGTATGTGGCCAATACAACTCTAAATGACACTGTAAATATGTTCAGTTATCTTGTCCAGCTTTTTAAAAGTGTCTTTGAACAGTCGAAACACCAACGGTTGCAGGAAATTTTTAAATGGCGGCCATCTTGAATTTTTTTTTTAAATAACAAATAAAAAGCCCCTCTTCCTCCTTTTTTTCAAAAACCCGGACGAGAAACATGTTTTTTTTTGTTTTATTCGGCCTTTCAAGTATTATTCACTCTGTTCATTGAGCCTTGGATAGTACTCTTAATCCTTTTATTCTCCGCGTTATGGGACCGTCGGAGGGACCCCCCTGTTATGTTGCTCATTGTGTTACCAGAATCTCAGAAATTCTTTTGAGTATCTAGGGGATCTGTTAGGTAACAATACTCTAGGGTTTGCATAGGGTATAGGGTGATTGGGTGGTGGGAATCCCGGGACATACCGTTATTTCGTTTGACCGTTTTGGATTTCCTCAAAAACAAAAACAGTAAACGAACCATTGACTGTTTTCTCGTTTTACAGTTTTGTAAAACGGTCAAACGGTATAAAGTCACACACACAAAAACAATTAGGCCTACCTTTTTTATTGTTAAAAGCGATAAACGGTTATAGTTGCTTTACTTTTCGAGCACGGTTGTTTTACAAAAACATGACAATGACAAAATGGTCAATAGTCTTGTCGACTATTAAGGTTTGGCAATTAAGCAATGCACCTTGGAATGTTATTGTGTCCTTGGGATCGAGTCACTGCCTGGCAAATTGCCCTCCTTACATTTTTGTCGTTCGCACGACAGAATTTGCGAATATTGGCTATTGAACTTTGAAGAACCGCGCCGAACTCCAATTTCCTTCAACATAATCTGCCACTTCTTCATACTTTAATACCATCCCGTATCCCTTGTGAAATTTCCTCCTTGAAATTTCCCAGCGCCATTTTTGCTTGTAACTCTTTAAGCCCCACCAACTGAATCGCAGTGGATGGGCTCAGGGTCACGCCAGGAATCACACCACGCATTACTGGCTTCGTGCACGGCATGGTCCCCCTCCACCCCCTTGCCCACCGCCACAAAATGCACTACGGACTGTTAACTGTTACACTGAAATAAAAAAAAAAACAGTCTGTATTCAATACTGACCATTTTGCTGTTTTTCAAAGTTATTTATGTAAAACTTGAAAACAAAAATTTTACTAACTGATAAAACGGAATAACCGTATTAATCCCGGGACATACCGTTATTTCGTTTTACCGTTTTGGATTTCCTCAAAACAAAAACAGTAACCGAGCCATTGACCGTTTTATCGTTTTACAGTTTTGTAAAACGGTCAAACGGTATTATTAAGTCACAAAAAACAATTACCTTTTTATTGTTTTTGTAAATTGTAAAAAGTAATAAACGGATAGTTGCTTTATTTTTAGAGTGTTGTTTTGCAAAAACATGACAATGTCAAAACGGTCAATAGTCTTGTCGACCATTTTTTTTTGATTCAGGTTTAAGTTGGCAATTATAGCAATGCGGCACCTTGGAATGTTAATGTGTCCTTGGGATGTCACTGCCTGTGAAATTGCCCTCCTTACATTTATGTCGTTCTAGTTCTCACGACAGAATTTGAGAATAATTATTGGCTATTAAAGAGCCGCGCTGGCCACTCCAATTTCCTTCAACATATCTGCAACTTCTTCATACGTCTTACCACCCTGTATCTATTCTGAAATTTCCTCCATGAAATTTTCCAGCGCCATTTTTGCTTGCAACTCTTCAAGCCCCACCAACTGAATCGCAGTACATGGGGGTCAAGGTCACGCCAGGAATCACACCACGCATTCACGGCATAGTCTCCTCCACCCTCCTCCCCTTGCCCACCGCCACAAAATGCACCACGGACTGTTTACTATGACACTGGAGTAAAAAAACAGTCTGTATTCAATACTGACCGTTTTGCTGTTTATCAAATTAAAGTTATTTGTGTAAAACTGTAAAACAAAAATCATTGATCGTTATGCTGTAATGAAATTTACTAAACTGATAAAACGGAATAACCGTATTTATCTTAATACTGTTTGCCGTTTTACAAAACTGTAAAACGACAAAACGGTCATCGGTCCGTTTACTGTTTTTGTTTTTGAGGAAATCCAAAACGGTAAAACGAAATAACGGTATGTCCCGGGATTCGTATTTATCTGAATACCATTCGACCGTTTTACAAAACTGTTTAAACGAGAAAACGGTCAATGGTTCGTTTACTGTTTTTGTTTTTGAGGAAATCCAAAACGGTAAAACGAAATAACGGTATGTACCGGGATTGGGTACCCCCTCCGTCCCATATCGTGCTGGGTATACGTGCAATACGTACCGGTGTATAGTGAAATCTGGACTGTATGAAATCCGGACTCATGGGTTGCACTACGCATGCCTTATTAGTGAACAAATCAGGACAGTGACAGGTCACGTGCGACGGTGCGAGTCCATATAAGGTAAATGAGACCAGATTTCATAGGAGCCCACTTTTCATATGACACCGCGCGTGGGATCTTGTTTGGATGTTCCGGCCGAATGGTTAAAAAAGAGGCCTTTTAAATATTATGCAAGAGAATTATTACGCCTTTCCCCCGAAAAAATTGCTACGCCACTGTCTACCATACACCTAACTGCATGTTTCATACTCTAGTGGACTGATGCACTGGCACATTTTGTTGGAATACATGTATCGACTAAATTTTCTTTTGGATACCCATTGACGAATTTCAAACTGGCAGTGAAAAATCGAGGGCCTCTGTGCTGTCTTTTGTTGAAAGGATGACAATAAAAAGTCCTCAATGTCGTACAATGGCTTAGCACCGAGTGGCTTGATTAATTCCAATTTGAAATTCATCTATCAATTCCAATTAAACGCAACGTCACACGTCTACCATTACGAGCAGACTCGGTACAAAACCCAAACAGATCTTGCGATATGTGCAATAATGACCCTCACTCGACATGATGAATATTTTGCAATTATCCGGACACGAACCTACCGAGTTAACGAGAAACTCCTCGCTCAAAGTGAGGATAAGACTGGTACCGAATATGTGCCTCGAATTGTGTCATTCGGAAGAAAACAGTCATTTTGAAAAATGTGCCCGCGCGGGGGGCGCAGGTTTTACGTGCGTACGTTAGCAACGAAATCCAGTAATAACTAGACCCCAACAAAATGTGCAGCATTCTCCGTTTTCAAAATATAAAGTATCTATTGAGATGAAACTTCAACAGGTTAGTTTTTGTGCACTCTACTAAGATGTTGAGCAATTATATTGCTTCAAACGAATAATGCACAAAAGGCACATGATCCTATGTTCCATAAATTTTTATTTTGGAGGGAAAAAAGACCAGGGTAGCAAACAACTCAAGTTACCCTGAATCACTTACAACAATGGCTTAGATTCCCATTATATTTCAGTCGCAGCGGCGCAGCCCCCGTACAGGTATAGATGAGGAACTAAATGTCTATGGGCATAAGGCCAAAAAAAAAAAAATATTCGGTCTCTGGTCAGACCAAAGTTCCGGAATTGACGCGGCCACGCGGCTTTTTTTTCTTTTCTTTTTTCTTCAAGCTTGGATTGTACAGACAAGGTAGGTACTATTTTGCTTTTTTGGTGTCCTCATGTATATTGGTGTCCTCCATAATTTGCCTTGGTGCTTTCGATCATTTGCCTTGGTGCAATTTCCCATTCCTTGGTGCTCTTTGGTAAAAGAAAATTGAGGAGGTGCGGAAATAGAGGGCGCTGTTGGAGCTACCGTGGAACATTTTGGAGAAAAAAAAAGATCGACGCGCATGATTAAAATCGACGCGCGCGCTGACCAGAGACCGACTTATTTCTTTTTTGGCCTAATGCTCACTTGTTATGATCCTACTTTCTGGGGGACAAGATACGACCCTGGCAACTCCTGAAGCTTTTGTGAGGCTTTTTAGCGAAGTTGGTGGACTGGAAATACAGTTCTCTGCTGTAGATACACATTAGAAGAGGAATCAGTTTGCAGGGCACTTTGTTGACTTTTGACACGAGCTCTATGCAAAGAGGAATTATAAGTAACGAGCGAGGGGACAGCAAGTATAGTTTCTGTCTAGCTTTTATTGTCGTGGGTTAGTAAGAGGGTTACTTTGGTGAAGATGGAGGATCACGACCTTGCCCACGATGACACGTTTTACCCTGCTTCGACGGTACTTCTGGTCACCAACCTCCAGCGATACCTTCTCCTAGCCTCCCTAGCACTGAGCTCCTTCCTCTTCGGATGCAAAGTCAAGCCTGACGACTTCACCAAGTGTGTCCAGCAACCCGTAGCTCTATGGCTTTCCATGATGGTCTCCGTTATCCTGGCTCCTCTCACGGCTTACGTCTTGTCACTGATCATACATCTGAACTATTCTTACGGTCTGACCCTTCTCATAACATCCATATGCCCGGCCGGGGCGCTATCACCCGTTTTCGCCTACTACACCCAAGCCGACGTGTGCCTTTGGTAAGTTTGAAAACTACGGGCTGAAATTGTTATCTTAACGGAAATGGAGAAAGAAGTTTTATAAACCTGCTGTCATTATCCGATTCAAGGAGCAGTCAAAGTTAAGTATAAATTACGTGTTGTATTCAGTGGTATGGGATGGGGAACGAGTTCCGGACTTGGTAGCAAAAAGAGCTTATTGTTTGGCATAATCATGTTTACTTCCAGAAAATGATGTCCCAGAGTGCCCCCGAACAACGAACCCAGAGTGCCCCCGAACAACGAACACTGAACCCTAGCTTCTGGTTACAACATTTTCTTTTCCGCCTCAGCCCAAAAAAAGCATATACATTGTATTTTGAATTGTATCGTGAAGATCGCATCACTCTGACTTTTAACTGATGGTACAATCAGGTATACACCTTTCAATATAATCTGTACATGTGCTTGGTCAATGCATCGACTACTGCACCTGCAGTGAATGATCGAGATCTCGTTTTTTGTGTAGTTTGTCTGCCTTTTATACGCTCTTCGGTTAAAATTTGACCGGTATTCAATGTGACAATAATACCGGCGAATACAAAAAATATTCCATGCTCTTTGATTTTTATTGACCCCCGTTTGTCCAGCCTTTTGTGTTGTCTTCCATTATGTCTGTGGGTACCGGTTATATGATACGTCCACTGGGTCATCAGTCTGACGTGTTTACAGTGTGAACAATTATACTACCGGTCAATCTAATAACTATAACTCTTGGCATTGGCGTAAATCTGTGCCGAAGATGGGGGGGGGGGGGGGGGGGGGGGGTGACCAACATCGAAAAATTGCACGGCCTTGGAAATTCGAAGGGGGGGGTGCTAGTCCGGTGTTCTGAACCGCTAGGCCATGACACTCCTGCTTGGTCGTTGGGAAATTCGGAAATACCTCAAAGTCCGCATTTTTGTGTTCACCACGAAAGGGGGGGGGGGGGGTTATGGGATGATTCAATAACCCTCCAGTCTTAAAGTATAGGGGTGGGTGATGGGATACCCGCATCTCCCTCCCCGGGGTTTACGCCCCCGACTCTTGGATTTATTTCCAGCCCTTATTTTTGTCCAGCCTATCTGTGTTCGTGTTGTCTACCCTGATGTCTGTGGGCATGATTCCCCTGGGCGTCTTCCTGTGCTCCAGGGCGTACAGACAGCTCAGGCTTGCCGTGCTTCCCAACAATGTCATTGTGATCGCACTCTGTGTCGCGATCGGTTGCATCGCTATAGGAATGACAGTCAGGCACCGCAAGCAGAAAATGGCGGACAAGATTGTTTTGGTGAGTGAAAAATGTTGCGCCTTTTTTGTGTTAAAACGAATGTAACAAAACTCTTGTGGGGCTTGGGTATGCTGGGATTTCTGTTTTAGTTGCGATATGCGGACACGGGAGGGCGCTATTTCTCTATTTACATAATTACCCGCAGCAAATGCCCCCTCCCAGTGTGTCAACTATACAGGGTGAACCCCCCCCCCCCCAACAACAACAAAAATGCAACCCCAAAACAGTTACCTTTTAAAAAAAGGGATAGGTGGATTTTTATGTTTTGGGTATCAGATTAAAGCTGAGAGCGTTTTATTATAAATTGATCATTTCTGGTAATGAAACCAAGGATTCCTCAAAAGTGCTCTAGGCACTGTAGCTCGCAAGCCTGAAGAAACCTGTGGAGAGAAGACAATGAGAAGAAGTTACAGTTTTAGAGGTGGGAGGAAAAGCTTAAAAGAACATTCTGGGAAAAACCCAAGGAATTAGAGGCGGGCATTCGAACCCGGGCCACAGCGGTGGAAGGCGAGGAAAGTACCGCCACGTCAACCTTTCAAATACTGAACAAATCATGAAATAGCACTTTGGGTTGCTGAGAAAATGCCAATTATGTAAAAGTAGTACTTTGTCATCCTGTACACAAGTACTTCAAACAGTGAAACATTTTTACTGTAAACCTACTGTACAATTATCCTTCATTTGTGCAATTTCTTTAGTATTTTTTTTTTTTGGTTTTGTTTACATATTTATCATGCTGAAAGGGTTTAAAATAGGACTAAAAAAACGATGAGATACAGTTCAGGTGCAAAATAAAAGGTATTTTCATCAAATTCGTTTGTACTCTTGTCATATTATGTGCCATGTTGTTTGTAAGGATTAGGACATGAACAATATTATGGTACAGTGGCAATCCCTTACTGTGGCAATTTTTTTTGTGTACAGGATGAAAAATTTCTACTTTTATATAATTGGCATTTTCTCAGCAACCCAAAGTGCTATTTTCATGATTTTTTTTCTTCAGTATTTGAAAGAAAAAACTCTCAGCTTTAAGCTGATGCCAAAAACATAAAACTCCACTGATCTCTTGTTTTAAAGGCAAATGTTTTAGGGTTGCATTTGTTTAGGGTCACCCTGAATAGGCTACTGAAATTCTCGTCGAATATACTGGTACATTTTATGGGTGCACACAATAATTGAAGTGGGAATTTCTACGCGAGCTCATTAGCATGAAAAGTGCATGAAAAGTGCACCCATTCTCGTCGAATTTACTGGTACATTTTATGGGTGCACACAATAATTGAAGTGGGAATTTCTACGCGAGCTCATTAGCATGAAAAGTGCACCCATAACCTTTTTTGAAAAAGTAGATAGATTTGCTTAAAAATGGTGGGATTGTATAAATATACCAGAGGATCAACTCCCTGGTTTTTGGGCTTCCATCTGAGGGCAGGCTTAATAAAATTATGGTTAAAAAATGGGTCCTACTTTCCTGAGAAATTGGAGGGATGCCATTTGAAAAAAAGGCTGCATGCATGCTTGGGAACTGTCACTTTTCGGGAGGTGAGTTTGTTTTGGTGTGAATGTTGAAAAAATGTAATTGGCTAATCTACCCAAAATTGAAAAGAAACGGAAAGATGAATGACAAGACAATAATTAAATTGTTGTTTGAGAAACCCCAGTGATGTCGGCTTGCATGTTATTTGCCCCTGAACTTTGTTGACACTGTTTTCAATGGGGCTGGTGCACCCTTATAGCCTATACTCAGAATTTTTGAGAGGAAGTTACCCTTTTCATGTACAATTTTGTTTTGGCTAGAAAAAGTGGACACACAAACGGGTATAAAACAATAGCAGAAAATGAAAACCCCGGAAATGGGACTTATAGAGGGACCGTAAGGAGGCCGACATAGACCACTGGATGTAGAGGTCATGACCTAAATTCCAAAGAGTGAAAAATTCACTCCATTCGAGTGAAGATTCACTCCCACAGTCGGAACCTAGGGACTAGACGTTTTAGAGTGAAATTCCCTCAATCGTAAAGATCGAGCTTTCACTCGAGCTTCGACTGAAGTGGTTCTTTTTTCAGACTATTTCAATCAAACATGAGAGTGATAGTCCCTAATATCACTCTTTGGAATTAAGAGAACAACTACCAGCAAACGGTTCTCTTCTGCATCTCTTGAAATATAAATGGTTTATAAGTGCTGTAAGTAAAGTCTGTCACCAGCGCCCATCAGGCCAGCGTTATCTCCGGTTTCAGTAGCATGAAACGACTGGGAATATTTCTACTCCCCCTGGATGGGATGCTAGTCCACCCCAGGTTCCCGAGCTAATGCCGGTACCCATTTAGAGAGGGGCAAGTGTGGGTGAAGTGGCTTGCCCAAGGACACAACGTATGACCAGCAGCTGGATTCGAACCCCGGACCCTCTGATCATGAGTAACGAACCCTAACCACTAGGCCACACTCCCCCTAAAACAATAGCGGAAAATGACACCCCCCCCAAAAAAAAATGTGTTAAAAGTGCACTACGGCCAAATAACTCGAGATATACGTTTAAATATTGCCTGTCAGCATGACGTCACAGGTCACATGGTCTATATAACTGCGCTTTAGTTGGTGTGATGAAGAATCCTTCATATCATTTTTTTTTTTAAAGAGATTGCACTTGTTCTCAATGATCTCCAGGCTCTGGGTTACACGCCCACTCTTATCATCGTCGCCATGCTCATCCTCGTTGGTACCACCATCCCACACTCCATGCACTTCTCAGTCTCGGAGTTCTTCACCGTCCTCCTCTACCACTTGATCCTTATGTCTGGTACGTACATCCTCGGCTATCTCAGCGGACAGACGCACGGGTCATGCCGTGCCATGGCGCTCTCTTCGGCCAGTAAGAGTATTCTACTCGCGAAGACCATCGTCCATACTTCCTTCATGGGGGACGTGCTGGTGTCCACCTTGCCCATACCCACCCTGTTTCTTATCCAGTATCTTGTGATTGGATTCCTTTTATCTGCTTTGCATAGGATTTATAGGTATCATCTCCCTACTCCTGTGTTTGTACAGAGTGAGTAATAGAATAAAAGAAACCCAAATGTCAGGACCATTGTTTTAGTGAAATTCTGCATGTAGCACTTTCACAAGCTAGGATATAAAAGTCCAATTCATAAGCTTTCGTTTAGTACAAGAATCATCCAATTCAATTATGCACTTTTTAAGTTACAGAATTTTAAACACAACCACCGTTTTAAAGTTCTGTCCACGCTTCACAAAAAGCTAAGTAAGTGTTCTTTCAGCAAAACGAAAACATATCAGGCCGGGGATGTGTGTGAATTGTTTTCGTTTTGCTGCAAGAACACAAGACTTTTCTGTGATCAGTGGACAGAACTTTAAAACGGTGATTGTGTTTAAAATTCTGTAACTTGAAAAGTACATAAGTAATTTGAATGATTCTTGTACTAAAAGAAAAGCTTATGAATTGGGCTTTCATATCCTATATAATATCATATATTTTGAAAGTGCTACAAGCAGAACTTCACTAAAACAATGGTCCTGACATTTGATATGTAGAACACATCCAGTTGAGTTTATGTGCTTATATGAAAAGTAGAGAAACAGGAACAAACTCATATGAACTTAGCGTCAACAATATTACTAAAGAAAGAAACATTTACTGATGTTGGTTTGTTGTTACATACAACACTTAAATTGTATAAAGTGGTGCAGTGGAAAGTTTTACACCCTGATGTGCTTTAAAAAAAACCACATTTTTTTCTCTCAACGAATTTTCAATTTGTATTTTGTTTTAACGAGAGCCAAATTATTGTCTGGCAGCTAACATTTTGAATTTGTGAAGAAATAATTCAATACCTAATCTTCGGTAATTTGTTTTTTTCGTTTGATGTCTCTTTCATAATGGAATAACTTTTATATTGCTAGGAAAATAACAATTGTACAAATTTATCTTTTGAAATGAAACTCGAAAATAGTATACATCCTTAACACTTTGAGATAATTCGTGTCAACGTTTCCATCATAGCAGTAAAAAAAAATGGGCTGTACGATTATTGTTACTGTCATTTTTATCTTTTCTTTTTACGGATTTTGTTTAATTAATGTTTTAACCACACTAAGATTTACGTTTAGGAAATAGATGTCAAAGTCATTTTTTTTGTCATTCTGTTTTTAAAATTGTAGATAATAGAGGGCGCTTTTTGTGTAATACAGAGCTTCCTTTTTCCAGTAGTTATTTAAAAAAAATTTACAATTTGTTTGTTCGACCAACGAGGGTGTTGACATTGCATTTCGTTGTACATTAAGACTAAAATATTTGTAGATTTAAACTAAGCAAACCTCAAATGCATTTTGTGAAAGTGCAAACAAACTGTACTTGTCATTTGTAACCGAAATATTAGAAGATGAAAATATTTTTGTACATTTTCTCCCCAGGTTGTATATTGAGCAGTGCTTTGTAAGTTCTTAATTAAGCCGTCAAAACTTTCCCGTTCTTATAATTATAAAGACTCGACGTGTATGTCATGTTGAAAGTATGTTGAATGGTTGTCAGGAATAAAATACGTTTACTCAACTTGCCTTATTACATTTACATGTACATGATGTAGGTTGTTCATTTGTATGCATTTCCCAAACGGTCCTCAAATAACTAGCGCGAGAATTTCCCGGAACTTTTGAGCAAACTAGAATCGCGATTGTGTTCTTTGTGAGTGTGAACATTGTTCAACCAGAGACACCCCCATCTATACACACATACAGTCTGAATCCCTATCGCGCCACTTCATGACGTCAAAGATTTAGGCTTGGCCCAAGACTGGATTATTATATGTTCGTCTATAGGCTACGTACGTTCAGTCGACTGTACGTACGTAGACGAACATAAAGAAATCCGGTCTTTGGCCAAGACTACAGCTTCAACAATTTTTGGGTTAATACAATTTAATAGCATCCTGCGTTTGCGGAGAATCTTTTGTAGTCAGTGGCTCAAAAACAACAACAACGAGGTTCATTCCCGAACATGGCTTCCCATTCCACGCAACAACTGTCATCATGTCCTACTATAAGCATTGATGGAATTAGAAAAAACAGAAGCCGACAAGCGCCAAACAAATTGTTCGCTATTATCCTGATAATAGAATACACCTACCAGCAAGAGTGCAATTTAGAGCTTAACACATGATTATTATGATGTGTTACGAACTGGAATTGCATTAATGTAGCGTTAAGTTCCACCCGAGATCCGCCAACACTGCGGGTTTTATTTCGGGCATAATTTTTTTTTCTGCTGGTTTACAAAAGCTACATGCACAATGATATTACTTTCTTTTCAGCAAATTTATTGTCAGAAGCCACGGTTGGGTGACGGTGTGGTGAAAGGTAAACAGTATTACCTCCTACCTTGGCCTAAAACGCACGGCTGTGAGCAGTCTGAGAAGCATAATAGAACCCTTGACAGCGGGACTCGGTGCAGGTAGTTGCCTAGGTTTGGCCAGACTTGTTCGTGTGGCCTGGCACTTTTATGCTATAATAATGTAGGCCTAAAATGAATGATTAGTCATATGTCCTTGCGTCCAAAATTGTGTTTGGATGTAAATGATATTCTAAACTTAGCTGGAAATGGATAATCGATTACTAGTGATACTACTCCTGATGGTAACACGCACACGACCACAACGTTCACTAACCAAGCTGACATTGCTACGAGTTGGTGTCCTTACTTTCAACTGAAGTGAAATGTGGTTGGTCTCCACTACCGCCCACACCTAATCTTCAGAATAAACAAAAAAAAAGAAGCCCAATCGTTTGATTTTAAACAACAAGTGACGGAGAAGCTTTATTACGGAGTCGACAGAGGTATGCTGTTCTGGATATTGACTGAATCTTGATGTAAGCAACGGGAGTTTTGAAAGTCCGTAAAATAGAGTAAGTGACGGTTTGCATTTCTCACGGCATTGCGATACCAGGACAGACAATTCGGATTCGCCATGGAGATTGACACGGCAACTTTGGTGGAGGCGGAGGCGGAGGTAGTTCAGCTTCAGCGGGCCTTCCTTCTCGCCGCCCTGGGTCTGAGCTCCTTCATCTTCGGTAGTAAGGTCGACCCCTCCGACTTCACCAGATGCGTCAAGAAACCCCTAGGAATGTGGATGTCGGTGTTTGTGTCCGTCCTCCTGTCTCCCTTGGTTGCTTACATCCTCAACCTCGTGTTCAAGCTGGAAGTTTCAGCTGGGATTGCGTTGTTGGTGACATCCTGCTGTCCGGCCGGTAACTTGTCGCCGATTTTCGCCTACTACACCCAGTCTGACATCTGTCTGTGGTAAGCCTGATCAGTATTGGGGCCGGGGAGGTGGATGGGGGATGGCTGGGTGGGGGTGGGGGGGGGGGGGGTGAGGGCACGCGTCTCTGAGGCGGGAGAGGTGCAGATTATAAGTGGAAACAAGACAATTACCAGAAAGTGGGAATATGCCCCCTTAGCCTCCCCAAACGCTTCAAGCAGCCGTGGAGCAAATGGGACGGGAAGGGAGAGGAACAATCATCGCTCTTTTTCACATTTTTTGTTCATGCAGACGTTGTCTGTATTTTACTTGTGTATCGGGCTTTTTTTTTTTACCCATCTAGCAATTGTTCAATTACACGCCCGTTTCATTGATATACTAGCCTACTGTCTGTGTTTACGCTGTTACCCGAGAGCCATTGTCACGCTTGATTGGTAGAGTACGTCATGTCATATAATTATTATATGAAAGGAAAATAATAGGCAAGTTTTGTGTAGAAAATGGATGACACTGCAAAATAAACACCGAAGCGTACATTTTGTATAGTGTCATCCCTATATATTATTACTATTTCCTTCTGTCAACCATGGACGTCGCCTTTTCCAGCATATTCTCAATTTATCATTTTTCGAGGGTGGGCAGGGACACTTGCCCCCACCCCATTAAATTAACAGCAATATGACTTCGCGCCTCTTTTTCTTTCTTTTTTCTCTCTCTTTTCTTCTTCTTTTTCTCTCCTTGTTTTGGCTTTTCCGGGGGGGGGGGGGGGGGGTAAGCGCCCCCCTTGCCTCAGCCCTCGCGACGCCCATGGCGTCAACTAGTGCCAGGTCAATAAACAGCTATATTGCCCTGAGTCAAAATACCAACTATTGCCCGGTCAGTATCATAACGATTGCCCTTTATTGTGTGGTATATAGCCTTTCTGTGATTGTGTTGTCCACTCTGATGTCTGTGGGTATGATTCCACTGGGCATGTTCATCTGCTCCAATGCATACAAGGAACTAGACCTGACTGTCATCCCGAATACTCTCATCGTAATCAACCTGTTTGTCAACATGGGCAGCATCACCATGGGAATGGTCTTCAGGTCATACAAGGAGAAGTGGGCCGACAGATTCGTCAAGGTTTGTCCAAAACTTGCGCAATCTCGCGGTTTTTAAAAGAATGGTTCTAAGAGAAAAACCATGTAGTTATGGCCTTTTTGAAAAGTAATTGCCCCCCCCCCAAAAAAAATTAGAGTGTCCGGACGTGTTGCCCTCTAAAATCGACCGTCTGTATTTTAGTTAGAACCCCAAGATTTTTCCTGATGTATACCAGATTATTTTTGTCATCACCAAATATTAAAATCCTTTCAAATTTAGTCCCTGCTGGATGCAACTGATGTGTATCTACTGAGTGAAATGAAAGGCACAATCAAGGAGAATGTGCTAACGTTTCACAAATGAATATTTTCACCCAAACCAGTCAAAATGAAAAAGAAAATAACAGGGCCTTTTCTTTTTCTTCATATTGACAGGCTTTCAGCAACGTACCCTTGTTGGTCATTCTGGCTATGATCATCATAGTTCGTATCAAGCTTCCTCTATCCCTCCATGTCGCTGTCAAGGATGTCTTCGCCGTCTTGCTGTACCTAGTCATCGTGCTATGTGGCACCTATTTGACCGGTCTTCTAGTAGGTCAGGACCATGAAACATGCCGTGCCATGGCCCTCTGCTCGGCCAACAAGAGCATCATGCTGGCACTGACTATCCTCCATGCTTCATTCACCGGTGAGGTGTTGGTCAACACGCTACCCATCCCCACGTTCTTTCTGATTGAGTACAGTCTGGTGGGCCTTGTCATGTCTGGAGTCTATCAGCTTTACTATTACTACAATTTCTCATCCTTGACATCATTGCTTGGGAATCTTCAACAAGGGACGCCAGTCTAACTTCTCCAGCAAAACCAGAAAAAAAGCTGACAAAAAGACAAGTCATTGTAGGTTCTATCAAGCGTCGGGAATTTAACGTTTTTTGCCCGCCCTCGGTCAGGCCGGCGAATTCCTAGGAAGCGCGAGAGAAAACCAAGGAAATATTTACAACGAAAGGAACAACTTTCAAAACAATGGTGAAATAATGTCCTCTCTTAAGCAAACATTCGTCAATCCTACCTGCTGATGATGGAATGAGCTGCGTTCAAAAATACCACACATTTTTGTTTGGATCGCACACATGATGTAGCCTGTACAGGGTGTTTAAAAAAAAGGAAACCCAAATTCAAAGAATGAGTATAGACAGACGATATGTTCACTGGCTATAAAACTGGTATCATCTGAAAGCGTAATCTCTATGCTTTTCAATAATACCGTGTTTAGGTTTTCTGAGTCATGCATCAGTGAGCATCATTTTCTTGAAAACTGGATGCAAAAATGCAGTTGGTTCACTTTCATGAAAAAAAAACACCACTGGGCACAGTGTGCCTATTGTTACGGAAATGTCTGTGAAATGGCTTGAATGTTAATCCTTGGGAAAATGGCACATTGTTTTTAACGTGGCTTGGTCAAAACGAGAAATTCATGACAAACCAATCCGATTTTGAAACCAATCCGACTTGGTTTTTTTGGTTTAATTTTTTGCACTCGTGTCTTCTTCTTGAATACTTATTCTCATGCACACCATGCCTATTGTGTTTGACATGAAAGTGAACCAACTGCAAGTTTGCATCAGTGGCGCTCAGTGATGCATGACCCTGGAAATGTAAACAAGGTATCATTAAAAAACATTGAGATTACGCTTTCAGATGATACCAGTTTTACAGCCAGTAGACATTTAGTCTGTCCATACTGGTTCTTCAAAGTTGGGTTTCCTTTTTATTGAAACACCCTGTATAAGGCAGTATGTCGGCCCTCTCGCGACGAAGTTTGGCAGTCTCTGCACCGCTCAACAACTCCCTATAAAACTAAATACGGTTGCGAAATTTTCTTTGAGTTTTGTTGCGTTTGATTTTATCAATTGGAATCCTAATCTTATTTTTGAATACATGTAATGATGTATGTCTAAACCTTGTGTAATAATTATTTGCTTTACGAAAGTATAATGTGGAGCTGTGGTCCAATGGTTACGGCGTTCGACCCGTGTGCCGTGGTACACGGGTTCGACGGGGAAACATGGTCCTTGTGTTCTTGAGCAAGGCACTTTACCATTATTGCTCCATTCTACGTCGGATGGGACCGTGTGTTGTGTAATGCACGTTAAAGAACCAAGTAACACTATTATCGTTTGCCCCGGTGTTTCTGGCAGTGGCTGCAATAGGCGCAGCAACACCTTATAAAGGTGCTTCATAATGAGTCCCAGATTTCTCATAAACTTCATTTACCTGTCTTTAAAAAAAGACATAATTGACAGCGCCTTGAGTACCTAATTGTTAGTAGATACCTGCGCTATAAAGGCTCCGGTCTTACTATTATTTTTATTATAAGAAATTATGTTCTAACTGTTTTTAGATCCATTTTTAGTCAATTTTATGTGATCTGATTTCATTTGATTAAATGTCACTTATATTTCCGGATCAATCGCGTAGGATGTTCATGTTAAGATGGTTAAAAAAAAATACAAAGTGAAAGCTCGGTTCTCATTGATAAGTTCCATTTTTTTTTAAAGTATAAAATATATTTGATTTAGAAATTAAGTCGGTTCCTTAAAATGTCGATTTTAAACGTTTTTACCTTTTCATTTTAGTTTTAACAGAATCAGCGTCGTGGATTGTGACGTGTGACAAGGTGACATGTGACAGTGCGACATGCTACAACTGACAATGTCACAAACGTTTCGAATATACATGATATTTTCGTTATCTCGCTCATTTCACATATCAAATACTCTCATTTTGTTGTTTTAATTACAATGTCACAATGAGTCGTCGGATAATTTCCAAAGTCTCACCTTCATTTGAATTCCGTGGTGTTGTTGTTGTTGTTGTTGTTTTTTTAATAATAAGAGTCCTAAAAATAAGACCTGCGAGTGTTCATAAAAACGTCCAATCATTACACAATACTTAACTGTTTGTGACTTACACATAAGAAAAACCGTTTGTTGAAATTAAGGCAGAAGGTGATTATGAGAGATGATTTCTCGATAAAAAGGAACAAGTCCTCCAACTAATTAATAAGCCTAGTTCGTTTATGATTCCTTTCATTCAACTGATCCGATGATCATCTGGGGGTACTATACCATGGCATTGTTAACAGCTCATCGAAAGATCGACCTAATGTTCCCAGTTGAATAACTATTTTGTATTATCATAAAACTCCGTACGAAGCGTAAATGAGAGAACTCAAGGTAACCTTACGCATTCATCGATACTTTTTTTTATATTTAGCAGATGGATCTGATGTGTAATTTACAGAGAACCCTTGACACCTTACACTCGGTATTTAATTACCATAAAATAAGCATACAGCGGCGACAAGTGACTCACTTATAACCCGTCAATTTAATAATTTTATTAAAATATGACCGGTGAGGGAGAACATGTCATTGTTTTAGAGACAAACTTTTCCATTCTCCAACCGAAGCGAAGAGATACATGGCCTCCAGCAAAGTGCAAAATTTGCATATTTTGTTACCTCGCTACCTATTTGCTTTGAATCTATTTATTTCGTTATTTATTTATTTGCGTTTTATTTTGCGAGGGTGGCTTCATTTAAAAACAAACACATGCTTTTCTCAAGGGCCTTGTACAAATAATTAAATTGATAAAATTAAATTAAAATTTGATTTAAACGTATCAAACCAACTGTTATAGGAATACAAAATATATATTTAAATCAACTTACGAGAAACAAATTTGTCTAAGTTTGAATTTGCTAAACTTAAATCGCTTGATTGTTTTTGCGAGGAATTCTTTAAAACTTGTGGATCATTCTTGGGTTTATTGAGATCACTGATATTGTGGAAGATCTCTCTAATTTAACTCGGGTATTTATAAATATTGTTAATAATTCATCATTTAATTTGCTTATTAAAATTATACAGTTCTTTTGTTCTTTAAATTATTACCTTCTTCACAATTCAAGTTTTTGTTATTGAGTTTCCGACAGAATTACCTTACCTATTTGGGTTTGAGAAATTAGTGGACACTTTTACCCATGAGCATATTGACGAATCGGACACAACAAGCTTCCATGCAAGGGCGAGACCAGGGTGCACTCTATTGTGCAAAAGCAACAGTCCAGTGAAGGATTTATCCGAACAATAGCTAGCACAATATGCTTCGCCAAGGCCGGGGGGGGGGGGGTCCTTCGTGATATAATTGATAGCCATAGTGACCATTTTAGCCGATTTTCGGCTAACTTTGACAGATTTTTGGTTAAAAAACGAGTTCGTCAGAAAATTTGACAGAATGGATTTTTTTTGGCAGATTCCTGGCAGAATTCTGCAAAAATGGTTATTTGACAGAAAAACAGCAAATTTGCAAAAAAAATTGTACATTTGTTTACAAAAGCTTCAATCTTTCCAAACAAACCCTTGCAAAATAGGACAGTTGTCTGATCTAGGTGCTGAGGTTCACTGGGAACCAGATTTTGTCGTGACGCAACCGCGTTTTGCCTGAAATTTACCCAATTTCATATTATCTTTATGTGGTTATAGATTGTTTAAAATATAATTTGAACATTAGTTAAGGCAATTTTACATCATCAGCATGTGAGTAATTCTGGGGAATTTGGCAGATTTTTGACAAATCTGACAGATTTTTGAAGTGCATTTAGCAGAATTTAGTCATGACCTTACGGTCACCCTGTTAATAGCGTGCCCACATTTTATCTTTAAATTGCATGGCTTTTCGCAGAAGGATTCAACAAATTTATGTCAAAGGTAAAAATGAAACTTGTAAACACTTTGCCAAACCAAAACGGACGAAAAGTATACGTTGCTGCCAAAAGGCTATATTCACGAGTCGGCCATATTAAATTGAAAGCCAGGCAAACTTTTTTTTTTGGAACTTGCGAATAGAAATAAAATCAATGAAGTAAAAAGTTCATTACAAAATAACTTGACCAGTCTACTCTGATAAATAATTTAATGTTTTGTGATTAAACATACCCTAATGTTGTCAGCCATATTCAAAACCATAAAAATAAAAAGTGAGGCTTGAAACGCGCCCCAATCATACAATAGTCTGGTACCATCCTATACTTAAAGGGAATATACAACATTTGCAAACATCAAAAAATGATCAAATTACCACGAAATTCTTTACTGAACTGTTAGGGAATGACAGTCTAAAGCATCCCGTACAATCGTGGCTCCTTGTGTGCTGACATCTTTAAGTAAATTGGTATTTTTGTATCAATTTCCAATGCTGGTCGGCCGACCAGCGTTGGAGAGAGTGGATTTTTTTTTTCAAAAACTGCTCCAAATTTTTAGTTATCCCGTTTTTTTCTTTGCAATTGATTACACACCTGTGAAGTGGTACAAGCCAGCTAGACTGATTCTCTGACCTTATAATCCCCCAACGTCTATAAATTGCTTCGTTTCATCTTAAGTGGGGTCAGGAAACCAGACCGTTAGAACATGATTGGTTTTCTTGGTGTTTCCAGCATCTACGAACCCATAACGTGAAATAAGCCAGTGTAACAATATTTGCTTTAACATACTATTCCTCCAAATCCATTTATTTCTGAAAATTGCAGCAAAAGCCAATGTTGTACATATTTCATTTAACAGTTTTCAATTTACAAAACAGATTCAAGTGACACGATTGAAAATGGCCCGGTTTCCTTATGAATAAGGTCCATTAGAAGGTGTAGATGTCCAGAAACATTTAAATTTCGTGTTAGGGGGCCTATACTGATGATCTCATCAGAGGGTGCGTTCGATTAGCTCACTCGGGTCGACTCGGGTAAGGTCCGTGCCGTTCGATTAGCTCTGACGTCATTCTCTGTGCTCACCCGGGTCAACCATCACTAACCGTGCTCGAAATTATGTCACTCGTATGCAATGTTCATTCCAGGAAACGAACAAAATGGCGGCCAGACATGGTATAAACTCAAGTGGACCCAAAACTCAACTTTATTTGAAGTCCAAACATAAATATTTATTGAGCTCTTTGTGACTTAGTAGAGGCCATTTCCCCAGTCCGACTTTGTTCCTTTTTGCCACTGACGGAAAAAAGGGTAAATTTCAAAGGATGACTCAGTCCGAAACGGACGTGTTGTCAATGGCTACGGGCGCGGCTATGGACGTCACGTGAGGATCACGATGGCCCGCGGTTGAGCGTTCGATTAGCCCGGCTCTCGTGGCTAACCCGTCTGCCTTTACCCGAGCCGATCCGGGTGAGCTATTCGAACGAGCCCCGAGTGATAGGACTCGAGTGATAACGCCCTCTGTCGATATGAGATAGTAATGAAATGCTCATGATTGTATCGTCAAAGACAATAATAAATTGAGACTTTGTGCAACCGTCGGAGTTTATTATTGAATGACGACATCTAGAGATGGATTAGATTTAGGAAGTGTTCTTTCTTTAGCGTGCTGGTCGATAGAAAACATTATTTTAACAGCATATTTGTGTCTTGTTGAGGATCTAGAGTATTGTACGCCTATGAAGGGGTCTGTGCCCCCTCCCCTGATCAAAATGTAAATGTTAATGACCGCCAAATTGTCCGATATTTAACAAACTATCTTCCATCCTATCCATCAAAGTTCGCAGTTACTACCTAGATGTCAACAGAAAAATTAATGTTCTTATGCAAACAAAAGACCTATACCTATACGTTTGTCGGCACAAAATTACGCCTCTCAGCCTCATGGGAAAATCCCTCATTTCAAATGAGTAGTTATACAACCGGCCTTTCCTGATAATTCAGAATACTACCCTCATCAGACAAACTAAATGACTTGCAATTACCAAAAATCCCCCCGGGACACAAAAGAACATTAGCAAACCATTCCTATATTGGAAATGTCAGTAGCAAGGCGCGTCTGCGTGTATTATTAGCAGAGAACCTTGAAACAACATTTGCAGAAAATGACTAACAGTCTCTAAGGACACTCGGCTCGATCTCCCAGCCGCATACTCTGATTGTCCTTACAGTGTCCGATCTAATGAAAGCGTTATTCCAGCAAACGAGCAGGCATCGATTGGAGTTGCGGACACCTCGAGTTGACGGAAATTGAATTACCTATGCAATCCCCGCCTGGATCATGGAGAATCGGAGACGATTTCAGCTCGATATAAAGCTATATCACAGATATGAAATTATAGAGAATAATATATTCAGAAATTTCATTCGAGTTTTGAAAAAGGAACAAAAACGAGATAAATCGGAAACAATTGGAGATAAGAAACGCAATGCACAAATTAAACATCTCAAATGGCGACCAAAAAACGTAGTGCTGTAAAAATTCAATTGACCACATTATTTGTACAGCAGCCAAGTTTAGAACCAGTCCTAAAAGCGTATATCCTTTATAAAACTTGATCCTAACTTATTTTTTTATGGTTGAGACGTCTTATTACTCACGTCCGAGTCCTATAAGAAAAATCTGTACAAATTATCTTGAATTGTTTAAAACAATTCCACAATTTATCGACGTGCTACAACGTGTATGCGAAAGCCTTTGATGTCGTGGGAGCGAATCCCGCAATGCGCCCAAGCAAGCCTACCCTGTAGGGGCCGTATCATAAGTCCGACGCCTCATAAGTCCGAAGTTTCGGACTTATGAGGCGTCGGACTTTTGAGGCATACATTTTATTTATTCCACCCCATAGGTCCGACACCTCATAAGTCCGACGTTGAAAAAACGAAGCGTACGAGGTGTCGGAGCTATGAGGCGTCGGAGCTATGGCGTCGGACTTATGAGGCGTCGGACCTATGAGGCGTCGGACTTATGACCTTCATTTGGTTGGGGGATGCGATTTGGTCGGACTTTAATGAGGCGTCGGACCTATGAGGCGTCGGACTCATGAGCGGACCCCACACTGTGAAGTTTCTTCAAAGAACGCTGGTAAAGTCCAAGTCCCTGAAAATGCTCCCGACAGTACCAACATTCACAGATGGTGAAATGGAATCGTCCAAATTTGGTGAGAATGCAGGCTGTCATAATGACTGCAAGATATGATTAAGGAGGAAGTTCTAAAAACAGTCTCGACAGACCCCTCAGGGAATTATGTTTAGACGTGCCATGCAGGTGGAGGTATGACACATCATAATATCTAGAGGAACAAAAGGCTTGCATCTTAGAGATTAATTTCTGTCTCAGGATGTACGTGCCTGAAGGTACTCCAGCAGCTACAAGTTGCATTTTGGTGATGCTAAATAACCCAAGGAGGTGCCCTAAAGCATCTTGGCATTATTATCGTGCCACGCCAAATTAGTCTTTGCATTAAAACAAAAAAGGCATCGGGATCGTTGTAATGATCAATACACATCTATAGACGTGTGGTGTGGGCTATGGAAGAACAATGAACACTACTGACTAAAAGACAATAACTCATTAGCATAACAAAGCCACATTTAATCTGGACAGTGCCATAGCAATTAGTTTTATTACATAAAGTAAGCTAGCCAGTCTAAAGTACGCATCACTTGATCATAATACATTCAGCCAATAAGTGCCTATCTTTTAAGACAGTTCCAAAAAATGCACAATAGCCGTCATTACACAAGAAAAATATTTCACAACTTTGTATTTTAAAAGTATTTGGTATGCCGCGATTGTTTTTGTCTATCAGTGCAGCGCATTACACTACGTGGTTCTTATTTGGAGATAATTCTTATAGAATATAATCTCCGAAACAATACACTACACACAATACAAGCGATATTGCTTAATTAATACATTCATAATATCAATACATAGTTATCGATTTTAATGCAATATTAGTATAAATATAGTGGCTTGCTTGCATTCCGCCACTAGTAAGCTGCTTTAAGTTCACTTTACACATTCAATACAATTACGGCAAAAATGGATCGTTCATTAGGCCTATAGGAAATTACGAACAACAAAACGAAAAAAAAAACACAGACCGGAGAATTATTTGTGAAAAAAATCAAAAAAATGTTTTGATAATGTAAATCTGATATTGTATCTGTAACACAATGAGCCTTATTATCTAGTATTACGCATAGATTTCAGCTGGACATACAGAATTTTCAGATGTAATAATTAAACAAAACTACGAAAATGGATGCATCTTTTGTCATTTTGAACTTGATGTTCCCCTTAAAGGGGAATTAATCACTACAACCTAAATTTACTGGGGTATCATTAAACATCTTTTAAAATACCTTTTAAGAAAGCGTGTTAACATGACAAGATAAACAAAACAAGATGTAACCATGTCTCAAGGGTAAATGATGTGAACGCCTTTAAAACGACTTCACATATGAACGCAAAAATCAATCTTAACTATAAACATTATCCATAAATTGTGATGACATCCGGCACATGAAAGCCAGTTTTCCAGACAGATGAAGATTAAAAAAATCATGCGCAAAGTCTTGGTAAAAATTTACGGAGACAATACTGCATAGTAGCGACAAGAAAAACATGAATTCTGCATATAAATTACAACCTAACCGCTCTGGTCCTTTACATTAACATTAATGATTAGATCACCCTTTCCCAACCTACATGCTTATGTTCAGTCCCCTGCAAGAACACCAACACCAATGAAAACTGGGCCTATGGCAAACCTCACATCAATATCGTTATTTTGCGCACTGTTTTGGTAATACAAAAATATTTTGGTCCAATATTGTCGCGTACACATTCCCTTCTTAGACATACAGCTCATTCATGTTCACAGCGTCACAGATTCGTCTCATGCATGGTGCGTTCTGGTAACATGGCTAAGTTCTAAAAATACTACAAGATGTATGTACAAAATGCGACAAGTGACAAATGCTATCATCACAACATTATCAGTGCCGGGTCGTGTCAATCGGCCGTCGGAGAGGGAAAAGAGAAGGTCCTAAGGGTTGGAATGTTAATTAATGAAGTCGTCTTGAGGGCTTCTACCGAGGGGATGATGCTCTTGCTAAAGCTGTTGTCAGACGAGTATTAATACGGTAAGATCGCCTCCGGAGCCCCAGCACAAACAATTAACACAGATTGAGTGTAGACTAGGACCAGCGTGGTTTGGGAAGCTTAGTCATCGTCCTGCACCGTAACGTGATGACGGGTCCAGTAAACGAGGCGAGAGCAACTCACGATCAATCATTATAGATCCGTTGTTCGGGTTCGTTCACCTCCCGTCTCCGACTGCATCGAGTTCGGCTACCGCTGAAAATTGTCGCGTCGGCTTCCGCTTATATGGCCTGCTTTTGGGAAATCAGGCGATCGACTAGGAAAGACTCCAGTCTGAGAGCTTGTTTTGAGAACATTTAAAACCGGTGAATCACATTTAAAAGGGAGATGGAGCAACGTAAGACGATTGCCCGATTCTAAGGTTGCAAACCAGTAAATAGGCCCACAATTGCCTAAGCCAGCCAAATCACGATTTGTATACTGTCATTTCTTCTGTTAAGAGGGGTTTTGTGGTACCTGCTCGAGGGTTGGTAGAAATGAAGGTCCAAGCTGTGAACCGGTCTGTGAAGTTTCTGTTAACTTTGGGTTGAAATTTGACCAGAAAGTTGCACTATGTTGCAATGGAGTGGAGGGGTCGCTGTTCAAAATGGCGATGGTCTTCAGTACTGCTTTTGGGTGTGTTCATCTTTGATGAGAAAAATCATCAGTTAGAACACCCAAGAACTGAACAGAAAGTGAAAGAGGGCGAAATCTTCGCTCGTACCCCCCCCTCTCAACCCTGTTTGCAGGGCGGGGGTACGAGCGAAGGCGAAATCAAGCTTTCATTATTTTGATGCATGTTTTGATCACCTGTGAGATTTTTTTCCCCCAGTCAAGTTTGTGGTATTTATCATTGGTGCCTACAGGAATATATTTACTGGTCTGCATCTAATATCCAAGGACCTCATAATGACGCCATTTTAAATCTCAATCCACAATGGTTGAAGTTTGAAACTCGTGGTGGCGCCAGACATGCAGCCTTCCTTTACATTTTTCAGACTTTCAAAAAGTCGTATTTGGGCATCCATTTGAAAAATGTACATGTTGGGATCTATTCTACAGCTTGGCGTCAAAAATGCCAATCTCTGCATCAATAACAAATTAATTACTCTCGAAGTTGGTCTGAGACCAACATCGCAGCTTGACAACCTCTGGCATTCAGTGTCCAAATCTTTGTGATGCAATCGTGGCAGATTGTGAGCGACGAAATCAATACTGCTCAGAGAATGAAATCAATTTTAATGGGATGACGTGTTGTCTGGTCGCTGTCCCGACCATGACCACTCTTTCATCTAACTACGATTATGTCGACATTCAGCGAGGGAATAATGGAGAAATAATTGCGCATGAAAAAGTCAAATGGTTTTCGCTTTATGCATGCGTTTATAAATGCAAGCAAGAGATATTCGTATTCTAGGATTAAATGAACAGTTTTGAGTTCAGTTCGGTCATTCTAATTGACTGCTGGACACTTGAAAAAATAGCGGGTACGAAACACGGATGAAATGGATGGTCAGGATGAAATGGGGGCCCCAGAGGGCCCGTTGGAAATGAATTAAAATGATGTAGAGAGGTTTTGATGGTCTCGCAAGCCCTCGATGCCAGCCACGCCGTGTTCAGGATCTATCTCTCCGCCGCCGCAATGCTTCGTCATACGTCGCTAGCGGGCGTCACCGATAATACACCGGACAGTCCAAGTACAAGGTGAAGACGAGCGTCTAAAAAACCCAAACACTCCTCGACAATACAACTCCCCCTACGTGCATCGCAGTGTGTTCTTACGTCTTAGCTCGTGGCACGCGTCATATCCGATTGCTGGGGTAAGTCTCACTTCATCGGAACGGTTGTCGACCACTCAGTGCCCCAGCCGCCGATCAATTTTGCTCCTGCCGAGCTGGCTGCCGTACCACGTGGAGCACGAAGCACGCGAACCACAGCCTATAAACACGCGTGGCGGCAGGGCAACCAAGGATAAACTCTCCACCAGACATACTTCGAATATTTTTTTTTCTCTCTCGTGAACTTCTTTCAGTTGGTAACTTGCATCATGCGACGAAGTTTGCAAATGTCATTGTACGGTCAAGCCCTATGCCTGGAGCTAGTCTCCAACCCAACACATTATTTCACATCTCTCATCTTCAACTTTAATTAGGGGTACGGACTTCCAACTTCACATCTACCCAGCCACAAAATACAGACATAAGTGATTATATTTGAGCAGTTGCACGGGATCTGCCTGGCACTACCCATCAATCTTTCATTATAGATGTCTATGATGCTACCGACATTTTCATCGCTGCTCGAGTCAAGACTAGCTTACCCTAATCACCGGATCGCTAACCTGACGACATACGGGTATCCATCCCGCAATCTCCTTAATTGCTCCCAGCCAATCCAATCCAGCCTATCTTGGCAGGTCTTGATTCAAAACCCTGATGAAAAACACGGACAGCATGCTGATACAATGAACCTCTAGTTAACAACAGTAATAACAGTTTGGGTTGTGCAAGTCGTTGACCTCTGACCTTAATGCAAGATTATTTTTTTTATAAAGGAGGATTTGCTATGAATATTTATTTATGGATATATTTTTTTAAATAGAAACATTGTATATGAATTCACAAAGTGCATGCAATTTTCCAGGTTTGACGACAAGATATATTAAGTCATATAGCTTTCGCCATATGCCAAAATACCGTAAAAGTACTTTAAGTTATACCAATGAATGACACAATAAAAGCGCGCCATTTTCACATGCAGCAGAAATCTTACCAACATCGAATCACAACATTGCTTTCAAAAAGCCCCAACGAGCATCGTCTTTCAGACTCACTCTAATATTCCCCTTGAAAATCAAATTAAGCTTATTATCCGTAAGACTTGGCTATACTTGGGATTACCTCCCCGAACTCTAGGCCTACACACTACATAAATCATTTTATTTAGACTGGAATCGTATATAATCGTCCAGAGTGACGCTTCAAGAGATCGAACAAACATCTAAGACCTGTCTTCAAGCAGAAGATTGGTTCTGATACCAATCAATATGGGTAACCAGTCAAACCTAGAACGCTCTTTAAATACACATTACAATGTAGCTGGATCTGATATAGGCCTAAGTAGAAAATGGTTAATTTGGCTGGTCGCCAGCCTCGCGTTTTGAATTCGCGCAATAACAACATTTAACAGGGTAACCAGCGAAAGACTGTTTTTTTTTTGTTTATAAACCCTTCCAAATCCCCCATCCCATCGTAAACATCTGCCTGGTTCTTATTCTATATTTGACTTGAGGGCGTTATCTAGATCCACGAAGAAGTCGATGAGGTTGCTGGGCAGCGCTGAATCTACCAGAGTCTTGGGCAGCATCCCACCAAGATCGGATTGGACCATGTTGATCACTCGGGTCCTGGTGCTCTCCCTGCAAAAAATAACCAAAGAAAAAAAATTCACCGATTTACTGAATATGGCTTAATTTCACAGGAACAACAGATGCAACATCACTGATGTAGAATGATCTTACTTGACCTTTAATCACGAAAATGAATGGTTCCGTAAGCGATAAACTGAGTTGACGCAATCAAGTCCAATATTTCCAGCCAAATTTATAAATACATGTAATTCCAAATGCATTACTGACAGACTTCTATCACTGGACAGTCGAGTTCAACCGGTTTTCTTTTTATGAATAATAATTGATTGACTGCTTCTGTGCTTCACAATCGTTCCAACAACTTCCGTCGACACTGATTTGCGGTTTACAACCATTTATTACAGGTACATCAGAATCACACGTATTATGTTCCCCTGACTCCCCACAGGGGGTGTTGGAGTAATCCATGGTGACTGGCTCCACATAGACGAACTCTAACCCATCCAGACATTTAATCAATTAATGTTTTCCGAGTGCAGTCAGCAGGTTTGGAGACATAGCTCGAAACAATCGGGGTTTCCAGTTTCCACCAAGTATCGTCGCGTCTCCATCTTGCGCCCGTTTCCCGGAAGTGCGCGTTTTAACGAGGGCGTCAGTCGTTATTCAACACTCACAGCAGACAACTCGATCGCAATGAGGCAGAAGAAACCCAACACTGGAAATTGTTATAAACTATTTATTAGAGTTTATTGGATTTCTGTAAAATGTGTCAAACAGGATTGCCCGTGGGAACGTCATGTAAGACCGTGCTAGCTTGTCTCCATTATAATCATATCTAGATATCTGATAAACCTAGGAGCGTTAGAACATGTGCATATCTCTACACTTTAAGGTATTGTTACGTGGACATTTCGCGGAAAATCGCCTGCATCTCAAATATATACAACATGACTTGTATGTTTTTCAAGTTGTTGGTCAGAGTGTTCAGAAATACGTTGTATGGCATGAACGTAGTGATCGAATATTTGCTTTGTAAAATTTAACACATGAATGACCTAATGACGTGTCAGTCTTTTGGTAGGAAAATATTTTTAAAAAAATAAATAACCAAAAAGCACACATTCATTCGGAAATAATTCAGTCACAAACTAGCGGGTCATTGAGACCTATATTATGTGAGCGCTCCATGTAGTGTAAACGCCCGTCTCAGTCCACCATCAAGGGTGAATCATTCGAGCAAATTACAAGATGATCAACGTCGTACTTAAGAAAACAATCGACTGGAATTATGGCCACTACCCTCTTAATTGCAAGGTCAGTGGGAAGAGAGCACGGAGCAATTACTTGCAGCGCAGACGTTCATTGACTGTCCGCCGTCAATGGACAACTTGAGACGGTATACTCCGACCATCTGCGGTCCGCTGACGGCTCCATCCTGGATGATATCACCTCAGGCAAAGTGATCTAATTTAGCGCTCAGTGGATTGCGATAATATTTGTCTAGGGGCTACGAGTGTGGTTGGTCTGCTGTCGGTTCGGACAGCACAAGATCCATGGGATGACAGAAGATGTCGGCAAAGAGGGGGTAAAGGACCTAAAACAACATGTGTTCTGAAAACATTTGCGAAATTAAGGGACATTAAAACCCCAGCTTTTAATCCACCTAAATCCGTCACATGAGTATGTAGTATTTTAATGAATTCAGGACAATAGAGACCAACCCATATTACATTATGGTTAGCGTACGCGTAGCGTATAGTTTTTCTTTTAATTTTTCAGAGTAATATATTTTGAGGGTTCAGGATGCTGGGTATAATGGGCGCCACAGCTATCGCAAATGGGAACCATATCTATCAAAACGATACCATACATGTACCTATTAGGAGCGGATATAATAGGCGCCACAGCTATCGCAAATGGGAACCATATCTATCAAAACGATACCATACATGTACCTATTAGGAGCGGATATAATAGGCGCCACAGCTATCGTAAATGGGAACCATATCTATCAAAACGATACCATACATGTACCTATAAGGAGCGGATATAATAGGCGCCACAGCTATCGTAAATGGGAACCATATCTATCAAAACGATACCATACATGTACCTATTAGGAGCGGATATAATAGCTATGGTATACCATACCTATAGAGAATGGGGACTATACTTTTCTAGTTTACAACACCTCTACAGAGAATGGACAGCACCGTGACTCAGCATGTATGCCTATCGAAATTCAGTGACATATGATGATAGTACCAACATGGGTACTGGTAGCCACTAGGTAGCACAACGTGGGCACCTCAATAGTAATACAGTACTGGTAGCCAATAGCTAGCACAATGTGGGTACCCCCATAGAGGTCTATGGTGCTATATGTAGCCGGAAGCTAGCCCAACGTTGGTACCTCCATAAAAGTCTATGGTAACACAGTACTGTTAGCCAATATCTAGCACAACGTGGGAACCTGCATAGAGGTCTATGTTTGTGCCATGTTGGTAGCCGGCCGCAAGCTAGCTCAACGTTGGTACCTCCATAGCACAAAAGTACTGGTAGCTATTAGCTAGCACAACGTTGATATGTCCATAGAGGTCTATGGTGCTATCGGCAGCCAGAAGCTATAGCACAACGTGGGTACCTTCATATAGACTATGGTGCTATTGCAATGGCCAGAAGCTAATCTATGATGCTACTGGTAGCCAATAGCTAGCACAACGTGGGTACCTCCATAGAGGTCTATGGTGCTATTAGTAGACAATAGCTAGAACAACGTGGGTACATCTATAGAGGTCTATGGTGCTATTGGAATAGCCAAAATCTAATCTATGGTGCTATATACTGGTAGCCAATAGATAGCACAACGTGGGTACCTCCATAGAAGTCTATGATGCTGTTGGAATAGCCAAAATCTAATCTAACGTGGGTAACTCCACAGTCTATGGTGCTATTTATATCATAGCCAACAGCTAGCACCTGAAGAGGCTTTGCTCCATTTCTCATCACCCCTTATAACTGCAAGTTTCCCAATTCTTCGAAAACTGTCTCGATTTGACATGTTCATTTCCACAAGACTCTTTCAGCCGTCTGCATTACCTAATCATTCCTTATCCAGATCTCGAGATGCACTGACAAGCTTGAGGCGATTTCCCCTCTGCCTCAGCACCACAGCACGACACCCGATCCATTGCGTTATTACAACGGGTTAAATGTTAACTTCTTAACCCGCAGCGTCTAATATACCTGTCATACCGTATCGAACATGCAGCCGAGATAAATTACAGGCAATATTGCAAGTCTTGGTCCTCGAGTAAACACCAAAGGAACAACAACCTGGGGCTAATGACACCCGATGCGGCTCATCTTATACAACATTCAGCTGCAGTGTTTGGGAGACATGAATGTTTGATGTAGTTTGGCTTGCTAAGGCGCACAAGATGTAACACGTTCTCATTGTTAAAGGGAATATACATCATTTGCTTTTGCTGTAATTTTCAGAAATGGATGAAATTGGGGGGTTGGAAATATATAACAAATATAGTTACACTGACTTTTTTGAGGTTTTGGGTTCGAAAATGCTATAAAAACCAAGAAAAACAATCATTTTCCTGTAGTCTGGTTCCCTGACTCCATTTAAGAAGAAACAGAGCAGTTTACATATATTGGGGAATTGTAAGGTCAGGGAACCAGTCTAGCTGGCTTGAACCCGTTCATAGGTGTGTAATCGATTGCAAACAAGTGCGATGGTCAACTGGGGCCAGTATTTGAAAAAAAGCCAGTTTCTTTCCAACGCTGATCGGCCGATCAGCGTTGGAAATTGATACAAAAATACCACTTTTCTTGAAAATGACAGTATACCAGGTGCCATGATTTTACAGGATGCTTTACACTGTCATTCACTAACAGTCCAGCAAGGTATTTCAAAATGATTTGGTAGTTTTATTTTTTGATGTTTGCAAATGTTGTATTTTCCCTTTAATTATGCGACATTTCAAAGCTCGTCCATATGAGCGATGATTCATCAAGTCCAATGTAATTATCCTCGAGGCTGATACGAGACAGAACCTTAACGATGTTTGCCCAAACCAATCTTTGTACCATTTATTCAACTTTCAAGCTGGAAAAGCAATAAGATGATTTGTCTGGATCTAGACCAGAAATCATAGCGAGTAGGATTACTTTTAATCAAGGTCATTTGTTGAAACGAAAGTAGGCAACCCACACTTTCCTTTATTCCCCTGAAAAATCATCCAGAAGGTTTAGTAATAAATTATCCCTTTGATCAATTATTGATATATACAGCCTTTGCCAGAGACAGAATGACACTTTCCATTACTCATAGTTATGAATTATATGGCCTTGGTATATTAATTATTAATGGTTGTGTTCCTTTATTCCTTTCAATCTGCTTCCCCTTTTAGTCTGATTCTCCACGGATGATGGACCGTGTTTGCGTGACATTCAGTGTTATGTCTCGAGCTCTTCCCTCCAGCTATAATGTGACAACATTAACGACTCGGTCTGCATCATCCGGTATGCATATCCATGTAGCTCGCGGCATATTGTGCTAAGGTCACGTGATCAGGTATAGGAACCGACATATCTTTTAAAGCTGCAGCGTATGGTGACGTTGCCCATTATCACTGCAGTGTTTTACTGCGTCATTTCCAAAGTCAGTTCATTCGACTGGCAATGACTGGAAGTAGGGACGAGCTCCGATTCAGAGAGAACATTCTCTTCTAATGAAGTTAATACGTTGCAAGATATCACAGAGAATTTGACAATTAGTTACATAACTCAACGACAAAATCAATGTTAATAATATACATCGCCTAGAATGTACAACCACAGAAATGTCGGTAACACAGTTTCTGCTGGGATTTTAGGTGTTCTTTTGACAGAAAAACTACTATAAACCGTTGCATAGGACAAAGCAATTTTATAACAGTGCACCAACATTGAAATAAATCACCCCTTTTCCTTATTTTGCTATAATTTGACCATCTACAGTTGGTGAACAAAGCCACCTAGGCTTCTTATAGACCACTATCATGTTGCGGCCATCTTGATTTTCCCCCATTCAAATTAACGTAACCAAAGCGAGGCTGGAGGGAAAAATATTCTGGTTCCTTTTTGTACAAAAAACCATTATCATTCAGTACTGTTATTGGATACAGGGAACATGACTGAAATGGTGGCAGCATGATAAAGGTCTTAATGAGGTATTTTCCCCTCGATATTAACTTACCCCTCCACGGGTATACAGAATGTGCCGCCATGATAGTTGGTACCCCGTATGAAGCCGTCACGTGATGCGCAATCCTTACGCTTGATACTCTTGGAGTGAGTGCACACCATGTTGTTGGTCGGGTACCGCTTCACGTAGATCAAATCGAGGAAATCTCGAGACGATATCAGCCCCATAGCCGCGCTATGTGTAGCGGATCTCGCGACGATTAGATCCTGAAATTGATAAACATTTGAGGAAAAAAAAATAGTCTGAAGATTTGAAAAATATTTTGGCGACTAATGCAATGTGCTTTTCAGTGCCGGCCCAAATTAATGTCAAGCGCAATAATTTACATTATTTACATATATTTTAGTTCACTTCAGTGATTATGTGGCAACCTGTTTTTTCTTATATCTCACATAAATGACCAACTTATTGAATTATAGTTATTCAGTTGAATTTTACAAAGATAATATTTAAGTTAGCCATAAGTCAATGTTAACGGTTTTACCGTTGGGTATGCAATCCGACGTATTTTGAATTGTGGCAAAATTCCACACATCAATAATATATTATAAGTACAATCATGTACTTGTAAATGAAATTGGTTTATGTTACATTTTGCTCGCATATTCTCGTTTATTGTGTACTCATTAATTTCGCTTTCTGTTTTTCACTTCCACTTTCTGGTCTTGTAGTCTAAAAAGCGCCCATAAGAGCACTTTCACCACACGAATTTAGCGCTTTGCCTAATTTTAATAATTATTTTTGATTATCATTACTCGATAAAGGCCAAGGTTATACCCAGACGCTCGTTTCCGATTCACTTTTGAAATTTAAATCATCTTACTCTGTGTGTGTGTCGCAGCGCTTGCTCTGTGCTATATTAACCCACCCCTTGCCCGTGACATGCAAGCAGCCCAAGGTCGCCTAATATGTAATGGTGTGTGTATGCATCACAATTAGTGATGGTTGCACGGCACACGCGACAAGCACAAATTAGTCTAACCTGCTAATTGACGGGCTTTTGGCACGTCTAACAGGATTACGCCCTCCATGCTGCTACATATGTGAGTCATCGACTTAAAACCAGCATCCAAAAGGGGTCAGCTGAACTTCTTTCTAGAGGAAGTAATTTTATTTTATATTTAATAATTGAAAAAAAAAACCGGTGCATGTGGAGAGGTGAGGTGAAGTTCTGGAACCTTTTGGTGTTGTTTATATTCCTTTCCTTTTTTGCGTGGAAACATGAGAGATTTTTTTTTGTCGATTGATTTTTAAATTTAGTCGTGAGATACAAAGAGGATGATGTTTTTTGTTGTTACAAATACAACAGCTCATAAATGGGAGTTCAATGTCCGTTTAGAGTTACAGAAAGCAGTATTTTCACCAAGATGTGAGCTAAAAATTTCCAATTTTAAAACAAGGGATATTGGAAATGCTGCGAAGGCAGCGTTTTAAGCCTGCGCGATTTAACACTGTTTACCGGGTCTGTTTTTGAATGAAATATTTATCTCTTAATATCTGCCTTTTTGTAAAATAACCAAATCACATGCTCCTATCGATTGTATTTCTCGGCGAACCTTGACCCTGACCAAGTGCTGAAGATTAATGATACAAGGAACCAGACTAATTTCAGTAAATTTTTCAAGGTCAAAGGTCAATCCCGAGAGGACGCCCTAACATTACCTTATTGATGTGTTCAATGACCTCGGATTCTTTGACATTCTTGTCCCATTTTCCCCGGAGTCCCTTCGGTGACGGGAGGATGTACTCCAGGATTCTCTCGGGAGACGAGTCCAGCGTGCACTCGGCTCTGTATCTGTCGTTACCAAAACGAGAAATCGGAGCTTAGACGCTGAGAGATGCCAAGTTTTTGATTTAAGACTGTTTAGGTGAATCACCGGAAGATAACTGGTAATGGGTGAAAGATTTAGTAGACGACGGTATCCTCTAAAGACCAGAGGACGAGGTATTTTCAGTACGGTGTCTTTGATGTGTCCTGCCATCCCGACAGACAGACACACATTACCGTTAGGGGAACCAAAACAGGCACACCAAAAATGTTGACGACCTTTAAGAATTTGAGTTTAATTGCAGGCGATTAATCATAATCGTTAACAAAGTAACAGAAAGTGGAAAAGCAGGCTCACCGGGACCCAGAAACGCGAACAGCTGCCATAACATGTATGTCATGGGCAGTTGGATTTGTATTTATTTCAGTGGTATGTTGAATCAATTAGGCCTATTTCTGTTCTGAACTAGACAAGTCACATTGAATTTCCAGGCATTTTTCGAGAGGTGACACTCTAAAAGCAAAGTTGGGAAAAAGTTCACTATTTGGCAATGGTATGTGCCTGACGTTGGTATGAAGTTACCTCATTAATTGTTGCGTAATATGGGTAAAAATCAACCAACTTTTTGGGAAGAATTTGCCCAAGAGGGTATAGTTAGTTAGTATGTTGACCAACATTGGGTAAAATAATTGTCACAAAAATGTAATACGATAGTTAGCTATTTGAATGAAGGAAATTAAATTCATGTCGTCGCATTTCACTCTTGGCCATGTATTAACGGTCACTCACCGCTACCTGTCTCTGACTCTTGCAAACTAATTTACGACACATTTTGCTGACATTTTTCAACGAAAAATCCACCACAAGTTTTCCTCAGAGTTATATAGTCCCTCCAAGAATTTGACAGCGATTCGCAATGAGCGTTGCTGTCAACTGCTTTAAAATGGGCATTGAACACTTCAAGTTTGGAAGCTTACAATTCGGGAAACATTTTTCACCATGGGTATTCATTTTATGGTATGTAGCTACACTGTTTTTCTTTATTTTTAAGACAGTGAAATTGTTGGTTCCATTCTCGCTCTAAGTCCTTTATATTGACAGACCCTCTGCATTATTTTTTTTATTTAAACATAACAGATCCATTCAGTGAATTTCAGTCAGTATTCATTTTGCTGCATTTTTGTTCATATTGAGATGAAAATAAAACTGCCAAAAATGCAAGGCTTTTGATTTCCGACCCATTGGTAATTAAAAACAGTGTACTAAAATGCTGCAAATTGATCGATTACAAGCAGAATCGATATATTTCCCATGGGCCTCTTGCAGTTTTGACAGTGACCTCCACAGCCTCGATCGGACCAAGGTCAGGCCAAGGCTGCCGTCGTCAAGCAGACTGGCGGGAGACTGGCTCAAATACCCGGCCCAACACCCCGAGGAATTACCGGTAAAATCATCGCCTCGGGCTGAAACGCTCATGACTAAACCATGTCATTATGACATGGATAGACCACACGAGGGACACGTAATACACGATACCACTGCTTCAAGCGGGTACTTCTTTTATGTTGGGTCTTGGATTTTCGGGGTGGGGCAAAGGCTTGAGGGTGCCCAATGGCCCAACCGAAATGGTTTGACGTAATTTTATAGGGCCTAAGTCTACGGGTGAATGACCTACGAATGAAAAGGAAAAGTACATGACATTGTATGGATCGTTTCATTACTTGGATTTGCTAGGGAAAACCGATTTAAATCCCGCAATCTTTACCTCGGTAACCATTGAAGTTAAACATGTTTTAAATTGCCTAATGATCTCACGTTTACCAAACATACAAAAGTTATCCTTATTCATCTGTTTGGCATTAGGATTTATTCAATGAAATTTTTGAGCTTGATTGTGTACCAGCTGAATATACAACAAAGCCATTCAGATGAAATGAGTCAGGGACAATGTGCTGGGGCGTTTACTCATTAATGTCATGGCCAATGTTTACTCATTAACATCGTGGCCAATAAGGAGCTGGGCATTAGGAATAGTTCGATTCGCAGACGATTCGCCTGACTGCACTGAAACTTAGTACAATAGTTACTTAACACATTTGTATTCGCAAAAACGATTTGAGATGTACGAAGACAGGCTGAAAATTCAGGCCGTTATTTTGTTCTCTCAGTAGCGTGATTCGGCGACAAGGCCATGGATTATTTCAGACCGAACATGATACTCTTTCACCGAGTGCTTTCGGGTAGACTGTCGCCGGGAATTTACTTTAAAATTCCCAAGACCATTTGGCCTAACTACGCCAACCACTGCTGGACACGCGTCGAGAAAATATTCCACCCTGCTGACAGAGCTGAGGCTCAAACAGAAACTACGCCTCGTACAAAATGGGGAAGAAAAAAACTCGAAGGTTTGAAAAATGAAGGGAAAAATATATGTCTGGGTGAGATCGCTGTGATTGAGTTATTGTGGAATTTTTCTGCCAGACTTTAGGACCACGTGGAATTACTTGAATCAACGTACAGTCGAATGGTCTGACGAGAATCAAGGAGGGTATGTAATGTCTTCATTATCGTATCAACGGGAGGGAATTGCGAGACTTGTACACACGGTTGAAGGGCGATTTCGAAAGCCGAATTTTCCTCGAGAATATAGCAAGACAGAATATTGTATCGCCACTGGCAAAGCATGTACAGGCCTACACTTCAGGCAAATTTGTAAACGCAAAATCAATTATTTGGTGTAACAAATACAAACGATATATTCGTTTTCCTTTGCAGTAGAATTCATCTGAAAATAAGGTGTCATCTGCTTTCAGAAACTATAAATTATCCAAATTTACAATAAAAAACATTCTCATTTTTTTTTTAAATCGAAAGGTTAATTTCCATAAAAAACGAATAATAATTAAGCTGCTGCAAACAGGGGGGAGCTCCAATCGTCAACGAAAGTCGAATTCCCCCGAAATTTCGAAGATGATGCTGTTAAGGCACGCACGGAGAACTTGAACATTACGTGTTTGTTGAACACCTTGGGTATACATGTATATGCACATGCGTCACCGATCAGAAAGCATCCATTTCAACGGCCCTTCGTATTTCCTTTCTCTCTAATAAGTAACATGGTTTCAATGGCTACGCCAACGCAATCATGTGCTCTGCTTTTTTCTGTTCCGGATCAATGGTTTTGTCTGGCTCTTGTCTGATGGGTAATTAGTGACTGTTATGTCTGAGTGTGAGTGAGGACATTGCTCTTTACGATGACGACAATGAATGATGTCACATGATGACTTTGATGAGGATGGGGATGCGGATGATGACTGTGTAGGAATGAGCGTGCAATGACAACCTCCGTAAATTCGGCACGAGGAAACTTTCATTAGGCCCCTACATCATAAATTCAGACTAAACAAGAGCTAGTGTACAATAAGCTCTGGCGAAAAATGCGACGCCGATGGTACATATGGAACATCATACTTTTGGTTAATTTTCGGGACAGACTGACAGACCATACGACCGACTGACCACCAAATGACATGTAGAGGCTCCTGCCAGAGCTTAAAAATCGCACCCGCCCACCTTTTGAGGACATTTCCTGATCATTTCCTCCTTCTGGATACCGTCCAACCACTACACAAAATGGATGCCCAACTCGTTCGAGGAAGATGCTGTTCAGCACAAGTGCACAATAAGTTCTGGCCGTGTTGCAAGAAGTCTTGCATGAAAGTCTTGCATGAAATCGATTAAAATGATCCCTACCAGAGCTTAAAATGGCGCCGAAAAATGCGACGCTGATAGCACATAATTATGGAATACCACACTTTTGTTCAATTTTCGGGACAGACAGACAACAGACAGACAGACAGACAAACAGACCGACCACCAGGTGACATGTAGAAGCTCATGCAAGAGCTTAAAAATGGGGGTTTTTTTTAAGCCCCAAAAAGTTAATCAAACGCATTATGTGATAATTTCGTTATTGAAATGTGGGTCCCCGCAACGATTCAAGCCCTGCAGTCTTTGATTTAGAGAAACATAATTTTATCAGTTGGTTTACAATTTCAAAAGGTAAGCCTTGATACTTACACATAGCCGTCAAATTCAGCGGATTTCTTGTACAGAACTCGGATGTCTTTCTAGTGATGGGGAAAAAAGTGTGAAGCAAAAGTTAAGCTTTTAAGCTAATAACGGTACCACAATCGTAACATTTATATGTCAATACACGTATAAGAAAAACTTCATAAAGCAACAGTTCATTTAAATCTAAAATGAAAGACCTATAGTTTAAACCCCAAAACACCCTGCTTTAAATGTTACAAGATCTTTTAGGAAACACTCGAATCCAAACGATAGTACAGCACCACACTGATATATTAAATTTAAATATCACTCAAAGTAAATTTAAGAATCAAGGAAACAAACACGAAAATAAGCAGCATGCACATGTCAATCCGGTACAATGTATAGTTGGAAAATGTTTTCCAAACAAAAATTTGTCATTCTTTATCGGGTTGTCTTCCTAACCTAACGGATACATGTGGGCGTTGTAGCGATGACAGTGAATTTATTGTTGCTTTTAGTGGTATTGAGCGGAGGCGGGTGAGGGTGGGAGTTTTACCAGAGCAATTAATCAAAGTGAGACAATAACGGATGAATATACGGTCACACCTGACCGGTTCATTAGCAAATTTGACCAAATACATAAGAAAGAAAATCTGCAAACAAAGGAAGTGGCAGTTTTATGTCATAACCACAAACACACACACGCACACTCGGTTTGCAAGCATATTTATCTGTGCGGCATTTTACAATCCCGAATATTGAACATTAACTCAAAACAGACAAGGCAATCAACCACGACGTACATTTACATGGTGCACGTGTACATGCAACAACACACTCAGACACATACAAGCTGGCGTACGTCTCCAGTTTGTCTTCTGAACAGTCAGACGGCAGGTTAAGTTTGACATTCCAATTAGTCCCACAGCTGAAATACACCTGTTCAACGTTAACCAATCAATGGACAGACCAGGCCAAACCTACAGGTGTAAGATATTATCCAGGTCACTCACCTGTGTAGACTCAATGGGAATATCCTGACAGTTGGCAAGATCATTCAGAAAAAAAATATCACAAGAGTGAGCTATATACATGTAAATGTTGAGCAAAATATCACTAGTATTTCACAAATACTGGGACTGATCGCTGCAGTAATTATAAAGGTGACATGAAATTTACTATATTTTATTTCTTGACAAGTGGAGAAAGTAACATTTTTGTCAACAACCAAAGTGAGCACGTAATTCATTTTCATAATTTCAAGCAAAAAATAGGATCATTTGCTGTTCATGCCTTTTGCCCGTTTCATTTGTGCAAGTAAAATAGTACCCAAACCCCCAAAATATAATTATAGTCGCAACCTAACCTCTTGAAGGTTCAGCTCAGTAGATATTACACTTTTCGAGAAAACAGTGAAAAACAATGCACAACCTTTGAATCAGAAAACACGATCATAATTTCGCTCATAGCACTCTTTATTTCCAAAAATTAGTCAATTGACTGACCGCTGGAAATCACCAACATTTTTTGATTTTTTCCATTAAATGACATCAAACCAGACGGGGTGTTTAGCACCAGTACGATCTTTCATCCAAGTAAGTTTTTACTTTTTTTGATAATAATTCAGTAGGTTCAGGGGTGTGAGTGACCACTGATAAAAATAGCTGAAAACAGCTGAAAAAGGTGTAAAAGAAGCTGAACTTTGGAAATCTCCTTTACTTTAATACACATCAAGTGAGGGAAAGATTTCACATCCCTGTAGGTTACTGTTGAAGTAAATGCAAATGATTCTATATGCCTTTAAAAAAAATCCATACCTTTCTGTAAACACTAAACAGTTTAAAATTTTAGGCATGAAGTTGTCATATTCAATTTCATGATTCGTGATATTCTACTATACTACATCCAGTCTCTCGCTCTCTGTGAATGAACATATAATACCAGTAAGAAAACAGATTACATGTGCAACAGGTGTAACGACACCCCCAGGTCACTAGTCCAAAAAACACCAATCAATCATCACGGAGAGGTACAATATTCGTGTTTTAATCTCTGCACCCAGGACTACCCCGTCTGCCCACAAAACACACGCGAAACTGTATCCCCCGTGGGTGCAACTGCGGTCGACACACGGATTATAAAGAACCAATTTGCGGTGACCCAAATTCCGAGCAGGAGGAGGCCATTTTGGCAAACATTCCAGAGGGGTTTCAACAATACCCCCAAAGCCACCAAACAGGGGTGCAATGCCTCCACCTCTGCCCTCCCCGCGTGTACTAACAGGTAATCCCGAAATTAAAGAAGTGAGTAAACCACATGGGCAGGGGTGGATTGGAATAACATAAAAGAGCTTGTACTTATTATTGTGCTTGACAAATCCTACCAGACTTCGCGATTGAAGCAAGTTATGTCAACCGTGACGATTTGTTCATACCAGCGAAGGGGTACGAAAAGTACGAACACCCTGGGAGCATGTTGTTTTCAAGTGTCAGAGGTTTTCTTTTTGGTACAGTCCATGTTGGTTTTTCCCCCTTAACCACATTTTCCGCCGGGGTGTAAGGTGATGCCTTGTTATGTCAAACTCTGCCCCACAATCTTTTGTCAAACTTTGTGCAACAATCTTTTTGTCAAACATGAAAGAACCACGGAGCCCTTTCTGAATTGAACTCGGGCCCTGGCACGATGATCGTCAATTTTTCCAACAATAGGTGAAGAAATCGAGTAAAAAGTGTAAAGATTCTGAAATACAGATATTCTGAAAACAAAAGCTTAATTGGTCAAAATGTCAACAAAGTAGCTGATATTAACTAATGTTACTGACTTCATATCTGGTTTCTTCCATGTTTCACACGTATACCAAACGACCAAAAATGCAAACTAATACTTTACACCGGATGTTTTAACATCACACCCTACTTCTATTTTTAAACAAGCTGTAGGGTTCAATGAACGTGGAACTTTGACACAAGTATCTTGGGTTGATCTTTATCATATCGCAATGTTGTGACTGTTGCATGGGCATCCGGTCTGTGTTTGAGCATGAAGCTACGGTTTGAGAAACAATGACTATTGCTGTCTTTGTAAGTGGGAGGATATGTACATGTACATGATGTAAGCGTCGATAACCAGACTACTGCACAGACAGACTGTGAGAAAACAGGAAGTAATGAGTCAAGCAGAAGCCATCAGAGAATTGGGTCCCAAATGTCAAATGTGCCACTTCTCCATTGTGTAAGATCGTGACCATGAACTTGTATTTCGGGGATGAAAGTTAACCGTTTTTTCGGGGATTAAAGTAATTCTGCCAATTTACCATTGTCTTCATCACGTGACCATCTCTTGTGTGGTCGAGGAAAGATGATAAGATGCAAATGCACCAAGAGCATTAGTGAGTTGAATTTAAAAACAAAAAACATATACTTGTACTAAAAAATGATCCATGTACGTAATTTCTAAAAAAAAAGAAGATTTTTTATACATCTGCATGGCGTCACAAATCAAATTACATACACCAATGAAATAGTTCATACTACAATCGTACCAGCAATTTTTCTGTAAACAAAGTCACAAAATAGTTTGTTCAGAAGTGCGAGACATTTATAAATCTACGGGTACATCTTAGATAACCACACTGCCAAAGAATAAGCAAATCTGGCACGGGTCACATCAGTGACCTTGGTGTCACAATTGTGTCAGGCCAGAGCTGCAGTATCCTCAAGTCAAGCATAGAATGCATAGAGCAAGGATTTCTTTGCTCTTAAACCTCAAGCTTGCTTCAATTGTCCTCCATAGCTCCCTGTTTAGAAAATCTGCAATGCATTAAGTGTACTGACCACTGGTACGACTGGCTCACCGAAACTTTACAACAATCTTTTGTTTCTACACTCAAAACACATGCAAAATCACAACACACACTCAACTTTTCAGCACCAAACGGTTTTGCATAATATCAAGGTAATGATTAAAAACAACATTTGTTTACAAAACGAGTAATGTGATGTCTTGCTACTTACCGAAGTTTTGGCAACCTTCCAGTCACTGTCACTGTATAATTCAAACACCCGCTGTGACATACGTTCAGCTTCTTCCTTATAATCCATGCTTCCAAAGGAGGAGATTCCAGTACCACCAGCGTGGCAATTTGCTGCGACCAACAGCCTCCTAACGGCAGACGACACACTGATTCTACTCGCCGCTGGTTTCCCACTAAGAATGCCCGCACTGACGGCGCAGACACCTAATGTCACCGGCGCCAAATATCTGAGCATAATTTATGCAGACAATGCACCAATAAGCGCGATTTATGGGCGAAGATCGATTGTACGATTGGTCGAGAGAGCGCGTGAGAACTTCTACCGCACGACGCGGTGCGCGAGCAGCTGCAGACACGAGGAGGGCGGATAACATACGATACCACAATAATGTGTCTGGAGCGAGATTGAGGTTGGGTGAGAGTTCCGGAAATGTCTGATGTGTTGGTAAGTGCGTTGGATCAGATAACAATATCGTCTCGACACCTGCAGATATCTAACAAACTGGCGACGTCAACAGTGTTAGCGAGCCAGCGGTGGAACATTCGAGTGTTCAGTTATTACACTCTGTGCAAAAGCTCCGTGAACGCTGTTGGGTCCACTTCTCTCTCAAGTTGCATGCAGTCGACAGTGTAGTGTGGTCAGTTCAGCCAAGGTTGTGACCCTCGACAGTTAGATGTCCAGTGGTCGCACATTCCAATCATGCCACTTAGAAACCAGATCACCCCTTGTCTGGCTGACCACTCAACTGACAGTGCAGTAAATTATGACCCAGTGAATAGTCTATGGCCAATATTACTAGGCATTGACCCTGCGACGTCATGGTCAAGCGCGGTAATGCCAGATTATTTTCGAAGGTGGGGAATGCTGTTCTTCTAAGTGGGTATAGTTTTTTTTGGGGGGTGGGGGTTACTGGGGGGGGGGGGGCGGGGTAGGCGGACTAATTTGCGGGTTTGTACCTGCGACCTCTGGATAGAGCGCTGATGCGGTATCCTAGAGGTTGTAGGTCCGAATCCTGCTTTTGTGAGTTCTCTTAGTTCAGCCATCAATATTGATGAGCCTTATTGATCAATCCCTTTTTGTGGATAGTCGAAAGTATTAAGGGGGCGTTCCCTTCGACCTCATACCGTATGTTCTGTGCAGATTGTCCCCGAGCTGATAAAGGAGCTTTAAAGGCTCGGCTCGAATTATTACTGAACGGGGCCCCAAACAGATCATAGCAAAGACCATAGGCCTATAACGTCAAGTTTTATGTCGAAAAAGTATATTACTAACTGGCGGATCTAAGGGGGGGGGGGGTAGGCGGTCTAAACCACCACTCCCAGGCCGCAAAAATAGGAAAATCGTGCGGACAAAAACGTAGCAAATGCACATGCCTGCCAGCCTTTCTTGACCCCACCCCCTTGAGACAAAGCTGGATCCCCTGATACTTATACATCCTCTGTGGTCTATTTTCCCTCTGGTCCCGATCACAGCATTGAATTTCCTGAACAATTGTTTTACAATCTTTCTAATTTTCACGAAACACGTGAAATTTGAATCCACCGTTTTGAGTTAAAACAGACGTAGCGAACTTGTTATTATTAAGTACCGGAAGAAGACAGAAAGGCCCATCACTTTTGAGTGTTCTTGGAATTTAGAAACCGTCCATCACGTGAGTGAGTTTCTGGGCGTGTAGAAAGACTTGCGTCACGTCGTATGGACAGTTAGTTCAGTTTAAACCACGCCCACTGACCATTCAGTAGCATTGGAACCATTGGAACCGGAAGCTAACGCAACTGGGTGTGTATGTATCCAATGGGCGCTTGTAATCAGTGCATGACGTTTTTACTAACGAACCGGATTGATGTAACCGGGAGAGGGGCGTGGCCTAAGTGGGTGGGACCAGTAACCTATTTTCCCATCCACGAAAAACGTCACGGCTCCCACAGTACAAATCAAGCCACAATACCCTAACACAGTACTTTGCCTTTACCACTTTTTGATGGCAGTCGTTTTTCTAATTTTTCGCCTGAATTCGTGCATGCCTGTTCAATTTCCGATGATTTTACACTCCCGCGCTTGTGTGCATCGTGCCGTATTTCTCCTCCTCACCTCAAATTAACTCCGTAATTGCACCCACGGGCCTAATCATTTCATCCATAATTTTTAAATTTGACTTACCTTTTTCTTCTTGCACTTTAACGCAAGACCATTTAGCATTCAATTTCCTGACGACAAAATAAAAGCTTATTTGCACAGAAATATATGATAAAAAAATTATTCCTGTAATTTTAAATATATGTATCTATTTTTTTTTTTATTGTGGGGCGCCCTCCTCTCGTGAAATTTAGAACTTTATATATATATATATATACATATATATATACAATCCAAGCAGTAATACATGAATTTATATATATATATATTTTTAAAATATTTTTTTATGCGTCTAATGACTGGATGCTGTTTTAAAATTGTCCTATGTCAATTTTCTTTTTTATCTATTTATGTGTATGTGAGTATATTTGTTTACTGTTTGTATTTTATCTGTTGTCTGGAGATCCCTTTAAATAGTGATTTGTTTCGCTTCTGGGAAATTCTCGGGCCTGTTTGTTTTTAATATTTTTATCTTGTTTGCCCGATAATAAATAACTAAATAAATAAAATAAATAAATAAATGTTCTGGCACCAGACTAATCCATATTGTTCCTTTTTTCCCTAACATTTTACAGATACATGCATTCCAGGGATATTTTGGTTTGAAAAAAAACAACAGACAATTTTTTGCAAGGGCCTGCGTCTGTCAAAGGAGACAATGCTACAAGACGCCATGTTAAAATTAGATTTGCGATTGAAATTGCTATTGTGATTCGCTATCAATGAAAACGAAAGTTATAGACGACTCTTGCAAAATGAAGATCCTAATTACGCGTCTCTCAAAGGTTGCTGAAATATACTTTCACTCAAGTAAACCTGACCGAGTCTTGTCAGTGACGCTTTTAACTTAACACTGAAAAGTTCCATACGGTGATCACCATTTTTATTTGCTTTTTACAGGAACACTATGAATCTCAGAACAAAATATGCTTATCAACCAGGAATTATGACCTTGAAAAGATTCGATTCCTCCCAAGTGAATTTAGGAATTTAAGGTTTCACTATGCACGAACACGATAATGAAAACGATCCATTATGATATGGCACGCAGAAAAGAAATGAGCATTTAATTAATTAAATCCAGTCGCAATCCTAGAAATTATCTGGAAATTCAACTTTTTTTTGTAAACGTACTTTGGTGGACTTTAATTGAGGCGCAGACGACAAAAAAGATTGGCAAGGTTGAAATGATTTCCTATCGGTTCTTCATTCCCGGAAATTAATCTCCGCGATGTAGCAGTCGATACAAACCAAATCTCTGATGACCTGTACTACATTTTGAACGCAGAGGAAACGTCTTAAAACGAGAGAGATTTATGACACGGCACTTGTGGGTTTCTTCCGTCGAAGTGATGCGCTTTTCGTAGACGAAATGAAGCCATAAATAAAGACTGTTGTCATTTATGACTTGACTCAAAGGAACCGCAAGTAATTATGCTAAAAACAATCCTGAATGCGCTCCGGACGCAGACGATAAATATGATTAGTTCTGAGGCCATGGACATGTAATTTCACGTCTTGTCACATGCATGTAGCCTAAAATTACGCTCATGCAACATCTCATATTTGAATGTTTACGCTGCACTATTGTAAAAATACTGATTTCCGTAGAAAATTGTCTCCGGTTTTCTTTGATCATTTCAGAAAGCAATTTTGGTTCACAGTTTTTGAAGTTTAGTAGGCCCAAGCACACTAGACCAAAATTTTCATTTTTTTAGGGAGATTTCGTTGTATGTTTTTTTTTATGGAGGAAAAGACATTACATTTCAAATGAACGGAAAAAAGCTTTGTGGATTTGCGAATCTTCGGCAAAATTAAAAGTCATACAGTCACGTCATACAAAATGTTTCCTGACTGATCACTGAAACAAGTTATATTTTATCACTGGATACAGTTTAATATTCCAACACATCACAATGTTATTCATCTGATTCTATAAAAGACATCTATTGACATGAATTATTTACAAATTACTTCTCTATAAACCTACACTTAAAACCTTTTGCGAACCACTTAATACATTTACAAATATAACTTGTAGGCCTATTCACTAATAAAGTGCCAATAGTGTTGTTAATATTTACAAACAATTCGTTACCGTGAACATGTTGCATAATAATTATTTGACGTCACAGTGATACCAAATTCATTCATTTCACCCACAAAAGTGTTACAATAGATAAAATAACTTGTTCGTTTTTCCTCAACACGTCACATTAATGTACATTAATGTAAAACTTTAATACATGTACACTGAAATCTTTGAACACAAGTAATCAAAATATGCAAAATACGACGCCGATACAATTTCCACTGTCTACTCAAGATGAATAATTATTGTACGCGCGCCTGAAATAACAACCGTAAATTTGTCTCTTGTTTTTCCACGAGTCGCCGATAATTATTACACCACAGCCTGTCCTCCATATGTGTCCAAACTACCACTGGCGGGGAAATTCAAGAAGGTGTGATTGCGAATAATTGGCAAATAGTTCAAAGGTTAAGAGATGAATATAGATTGGCAGCCTCAACTGCAACGATTAAGTAGATTTCAAAAACCGTAAATCGCCGACTTTATGGACAAGATAAATGCGTGTAACATAAACAATAGAAAACGTGGAACCTCCACACTTGGAAACGCATTGTGGAGAAATCAGTTTAGTTAATTTAACCGATAGTTGCCATTTTAGCCCAACTGGCATATTTTTTTCCACAATGTTGGAATTGATTTTGAAAACCAGTATGCAAACTATGTAACAGGCTTTGTATGAATTTGAGCCTAATTACAAGTAAAGATAATGATGATATAATTAAAGGCCTATAGGCTCCACACGTACGGTATGGTGAAATAATTATCGCATGCCCGGATTTCTCGTGATTTGGCCATTTGTATGGTTTTCATATAACATGTCCTTCTTTCAAGTTCAGGGCCAACATAATTTCATATATGAATAGTTCTGCTTGCGTTCTGTATTTCAGGACCGCAACGGTAGGTTACAATCATTGACAAACGTTTTACGAGAGGAACGGGACAAACTGGTGTTCTTAAAGGATTGATGGTAAGTGAATTTTGTCATTTTATTGAAAATTATGAACAATATCATTCTTGATCTTGAAATTGGCTACGATACTCCATATGTACGGGTCTAAATACTCGTTGTAGATACAAAATGATTACAAATTTCCCGCCAATAATTACACCGGGTTTCACTGTTTGTTAGGCAGGGGATGTGGTTGTTTTCTTCCCTTTTTGTGCTCCTTTGGTGTCCGGTCTAGGTTTCTTAGACATTTTACCCTTTACGACATGCAAGACGATCATGACCACAGCACAGATGATTCCTAGAGACACCAAGCAAGCGGCTATTGCTATGCCCGCCTTCTTAGAAGTTGGTACTGGTTTCTCCTTCACATCACCCTTAGTGGTGGAAACAGTTGTCGGCTGGTGATGCTCGTGGGAAGGGCGGGTCGGGGTGTGGCCTGGGCGGTGCGTGCCACCGTTGCCGGGTTTCTGAGGCTTTTCAGCAGGGGTTGGTTGCTGGGCGCTCGCATTGGGCCGTCGCTTGGGAGGCGGGGTGGTAATCATGGGTGGGGCTGTGGGTGGAGGGGGCGTGGTCGGGACTGGCTTGGGACAGATTGGAACATTGGTAGTAGTGCCTGGGGGGAAAATAGAACGAAAGTACAAATTAGATTTGAAACAGTTCAAGTTTTGTGCTATGAGTTTCGGTTCGGTCTCGTTAGCAGTAAACTTATCCCAGCCTACTCACGTGTGATTCGGAATTTCAATTCGACTTGCAAGCCCTCCTTGAAGCTGCCATCCTCGGGATCAATGACAAAAGCTGAAATCTAATCACAAAGAACAAAATCCAAAGCTCACCGTCACGGTACAAAACACAACACCGCCAACTGAGTTGGAAATTCACTCTCGTTTTTTCCAGAATTCATTTCAAGCTAAAATAATAACTGTAACAGATTATTGATTGATTGTAAAAAAAAATATTGCTTTTCGAATTAGCTTACACATAAAGTTTCCTTTCAATAAAGATTGGTACAAACTTTAGTAACTGAACAAGGAGTCGTAAAAAATTAAAACAAAAACGGTAGTATCTAAAAGCCCAGGCTCCGTATGAAATGGACGAGGTACCATCGTTCAAATCAAGTGAGGGCGCTATTCCATCAAATTGTACAGATGTGCATGAAGTGGTAAGATCTTCATGGGAAGTAAATTTAATGAAATGATCAAGTTATTCCGTCTTACGATGTCTTTATTTGCTTGGGTAGAATTTCATTTTGCGTTTTTCACAATTTTCACCCCCCCTTAATTCTTCAAAATGGCGTCGTTAATAGAGCGCCATCAGTTGCTCAAAAATCAGAATTAATATACTGACCAGCACTGTGTAAGATGACCCAAGCGTCATGTTCCGCAGATCGGTAGTCACTCTTCCCTACAAATCAAATGTTGTAAAGCAAATCAGATATTAAGACATGACACAAATACGAACTCACCATGAGGGAGGGGGCTAATCTATACAATTTCGGGAAGAGTCCAATGAGCTAGGTCAATTACAGATAAGATGTTCCTGCGGACGGCGGAGAATCTGAACGAAATTCAAATCTACCTTCACAGCCAGACTTCATGTACCGACAAACACAAGTATCATGGTAGAAGTTTTAGAAATAATAATGAGAACAACTTATCACGTATACTCTCAAGTTTTCAAGGGGTTTGTGCGCTCATGAGACATCATTAAAGGGGCATTACGGTCTGAAATCCCCGAAAAGTTCATGTTTTGGATTGTTTACTTATTGTAACTATTTCAAAGGTCTGGTTGGAAAGGAAACTAGCCTAATGTCTTACCGTTCCCGAGAGAAGACAAAGAAAACCCTGTTGTTTACATCGGACGCGGCGGGAAATTTGTGACGTATTTCAAGTCGTCTCTATTCAATGAACTGTACACGTTGCGTGTGTGTCACTGTCACATAATGCACACAGCACCAATACACAAACAATGTTTCTTTAAGGTCCGCAGAATGTGAACCACTGGGCGACAGGAAGTCACAACTAGCATGCATGCAACAGCTCGATTTTCTGGGACAAAATTGTGACTCCCGAAAGTCGTTCTCTCAATGTTCTCGCAAGAATGTAAACACAAACACGCCCAGTTTTTGAAGAATGGTTGTGTACCCTGGACGTTTATATAGGGCCCTTCTTTGAAATGCTCTTTCCAATTAACATCATTTCGTTTCAAACGCGTTTTGTAGCCCAACTGGGCGTATTCCATGTCGTAATGTCCCTTTAAGTCCACAAAACAAAACAGATGGTGAATTAACAGATTGTTATTGACAACAGATTTTGAATGAGCCCTTGATTGTAAATATGGAATTGTGCGTGTATCAGGTCATTTCCTCCTGTACCAGGTTGAAACCACCATCTTGGTATATGCTAGGCCTGTAGGGGTTTTCCTCAGATGATTTTCAAAACCTTCACCACCTGTTAAAATGTCGGTCCAGTAGTTTGATTATTCTTTACAAGTAAATGTCGATGAAACCCAATTCAGTTATCAAGTGGCAACTGGCTCTATAATATTATGTTAAAACTTCATCAAAATAATACATTCGATTTTTATGGGCTCCGTGCGCCAACAGAGAGGGCGCACTTTTACCTAGCAACGACGTCCCATGGGCGGGACATTTAGCTGGTTGACACGCACCGTTCCTTGTGTGTGACGCATGTGTACACCAGGGGCTTTGTACTATGTAAACTCAGTGGTACATGGTACGGCCGCGCGTCGCGGTAAACTTGCAGTCAGGCAAGATGGCGTCGGTCGGTCACCCCCAACTGTGCTTTCTTTGCCGGTGAGGGGGTACTTGTGAATGGAGCGGATAAAGACACACTCAGCAACTTGGGGTAGAGGGCAAGAGGAAGTCAAAGGTCGATGAACTCACCTCAGGTGTGGTAGACTCAGGCATTGCGGTAACCACCTCAGGCAGGGTACCAGGCGGGGCGTCAGGCTCGGAGTATTGCAGCTTATAGGCTGTGATGTGTCCATTCAGCTGGATGGGCGGTTCCCAAGACAAACGGGCTGTGATGAGGGCGCTATTCTCCTGCTGACATTGAGATTCAAGACGAGGCTCGATGGGGGCTCCAGCAGACTGAACAACTATCAAAAGATGAAGAGAAATGCCCAATAGGTCTCAGTGAAAGAAGTCAAAGGAAGCGACCAACGAACAGACCAATTAATCAATCACATTGTCAGCACTGGAAAATGAGATGTTCAAACTGATATGCTTTAAAGGAATTTTCTGTTACTTTGGCAACCATTGAAAAAGTTTGGCAAAATAATAGTATTAATTATGGTTTTGTATATATATATTTAGTATTAATTATTACTTATTATTGTTAATATTGTTACTATTTAAAAAAAAAAAAAATTCAGCGCATGTTGGCCCGAAAACAGCTATGGCGCCATCGCGTTACCATCGGCTAGACCACAATCACGGTCATTGAGCATAGCGCCCTCTCTTGGTCAATTTGTTTCAACTTACCGGCACCCCTGCAGAATTCCCGATCCGCTGTGGCCTGAAAACAGTCTGTGACAGAAATCGGTAAAGAGATGCAGTGAGCGTAAGATATACATGAACTACGAGGTAGTTGACCGATCTTAATTAGCTTAAAGTCAAGTTTTCGAAGGAAATTATTATAATCGATTAAAAGTGCAGAGTTGCACAATTTGAAAGAACAGTTTCAAATCTGGATGTCCGCTCTTTTGAAAGAAAACACAAGTTACAAAACGAAAATTGGTCTATTGAGTTCACTCACCTGGAGTGCCAAATCCTTTGGAGACCCCCACCAGCGACTTGGCCATACTGGTACCATTTAAAACGAATACCTATTAGAAAGATTGTCAGCGCCAGGGAGAGACAATAACGAAATGGTTGAAAACTTGACGATGCTGACCTTCCCAAAAAGCAATTCCAAACCCCACCCTAAGTTTGCGACCACTCAAAACTATACTTCTTGTACACATAGATCTGGAGACTTACCGTGAATTCGTATAGAAAACCAAAGTCCAAGCCGGTAAAGGTATGCTCCTCTGTGTGCTGTCGAAACAGAGAAAACATGGTTACTATTTAATACAAACATCTTACGTTACGCTCGATAATATCGGATCCGAGAAGATAATAGTTACGTTTTGGTGGTGGCAGATGGTCAGCAACCATCATCTTCAAGAGAGGAGGAGGGGTGGGTTGCCGCCCAATCAAATTCCCAAAACATTTTTTCATCCGATGAAACACTTTGATGCTGTTCATTTTAGCAGCTGGCGTAAGCACGTATGCACTTTTTACGTCAGTACCCGTTAGTTTCTACTGATCATAAGATAGTGAGGGAAATGGGGGGCGGGGGAGGGGAGGGGGGCGGGGGAGGGGGAGGGGGAGGGGGAGGAGGGGATGATGCGGTCCTTAACTTACCACAAGGACTTCATTTTCTTCCATGGTACAAAATTGAGGTGCCTGGAATGACGGCATCCGAAGCACGCTGACTGCGTAAGCTCCGTCTGAACCAAGTGCTGTCAAATACAAGATGACACCGATCATTATTATACAGTAAATTTAAAAGAAACCTTTATACAATTTCTTATTCGAGGAAACTTTTGTCTATCTATTGGTGCAAATCCCGTTCCCAACATTGTATTAAAGGCTCTTCCAAAATGTTCAAAATGTATTTGCTGCGGCAAAATTGCTTAACTTTTCCTAATATTAGCTTCCATGGAAGGTAATATCCATATTATATTAGGAAAAGTTAAGCAATTTTTTTTCCAAATTCCATCATTTCAATTCCATCTTAAAACAATTAAAAAACAAAACCAAACTGTGTTGTTCCTCGGATCGGGACTGCATGAACTTGTTTTTCTTATTAAAGGCATTATTTGCTTTTCATGTTTTTTTTGTTCGTTTCCAATAAGAACACCACTCCAAATCAAAACAAATTTAAGCGGCCTGACGTTTGGATCTTAACAAAGTCTTCTTCACTAGGCAATGAAAGTGGTACAAGAAACAACCAAGTGTGTCCCCCACATGTTCGTTTCTTGTACCCCTGTCGTTTGCCTCTGAAGATCCTGTTGAGATTCAAACGTCAGATTGCATAAATTTGTTTTGATTTGTATTATTTCAGGTCAATTAAGACAGAAAGCAGTTTGCAGTATTTTATTCATTTTCAAGTTACCACTTAAAATCTAAAGACGACTGTTCAAAACTTAAACCTGTTGAAATTTAAGCTCAGTGGATATGACAGTTTTCGAGAAAACAGTGAAAGCCATGCACAACCTTTTGATCACCAAACACGATTCGTCCACAGCACTCTTTATTTCCAAAAATCAGTCAATTAACTGATCGTTGGAAATCACCCATACATTTCTTGATTACTTCTAAAATGTCAGCAAGCCAGACGGTATAATTTGACGGTGTGTTTAGTAAATACAAGTACTAAAAACCTAGTAAGCTTTGTGATATTAATTCGGTAGGTTACTTTTTGGGATGAATGCAAATGACTATGCATTTAATGAGAATCATACTTTGGCGTTTTATTCGGCGTCACCACTTTGTATCCTCTCCATTCGTTTGAGGGCGCTATCCATATCTAATAACAAATAACAGATGAGTGCCACACCCAGGACACCTATAACAAGCTAAATGTTGTGCTTTTTCTCGCCGAAAGCAATAAAATTATGTAGCGCAACATAAATTAAACAGGTGGCGACAACAGCAACGAAGAGCTCAGGATGGGGGGGGGGGGTTCTAACCCCACCCCTCGCTAAGTGTTGTAAAGTACACTTAACCTTTAATACGAAAGAAACGCGGAGCAGGTAAAAGTAAAGTCAGGATATTGGATAATGATAATCTACATGTAGAGTGACTTCAGACATTTTTCTTTGAACTGCTGCGTGTTTCTGAGCTGTAATTCGTAGGGATTATAGCTTGATATTCTTTCATGGGTTGATGGAGTATCGGTGTCGCCCAGATAAGGATGAATCTTAGGAAGATTTTTTTACGAGGTCAGCCAGACCGTGTCATTAACTTCATTACTTCTTATCATTCGAAGCCAAGAGGATGCTCATTAACGGTAATACTGCGTTCGTTACAGCATTTTATAGGCCAAGTTAGTCTCTCAAGGCAACTTTCACCGGTCAATATTGAGAAGGGTACATTTCGTCACCGTTTGACGAAGTGACGCATTAGTCCAAAACCGAGATTTTCTGAAAATCTGAGATTTTTTGATATTCGAACATTTTATGATGTCCTCTACATGATTACCAAATTTCGAGACACAACATTCCAGTGTTGGAGCAAAGGCTTTGACCCTCAAGGCCAAGGCCAAGGCCAAGGCTTTGACCCTCAAGGCCAAGGCCAAGGCCAAGGCTTTGGCCCTCAAGCCTCGAGGCCAAGGCCAAGGCTTAACCCTCAAGGCCAAGGCCAAGGCCAAGGCCCTGTTTTATGAAATGACCACTAATATAGAACTAATTATAGTCACATGAGTGACACATCATCACGCAAGGGCGGATCCAGAACACAATTTGCGGGGGGGGGGGGCAAAGAAATTTTGGTCCCCCCAAAAAAAGTGGGTCAAAAAATTACGGCTTGGGCTTCGGAACTCGCTTAAGGGCCCCGAAAAAATTTTGGATTCGAGATGCTCTGTGGTGCGATTTGAGGCAATTTCTGACCATTTTAACCGATGTTTTTTGAGGAAAAGATGGTGGTGTACTCATTGCCTGCCTTTATTACAACGTCACATAAAAAAAAATGGTTTCGGGTTGTTGTTTTTTTTGGGGGGGGGGGGGAGGGCATGGCCCCTTTTGGCCCCCCTGGATCCGCCCTTATCATCACGAATTGCTGGTTATGAAGAACAACATTTCTTTAATTGCAATCAACATGCTCGCATAGGCCTACACCGTTTTATGACTGCACTGTATCTATTAAAGTATAAGTTCAGGTCTTCAATATGGTTTAACTAAACAAAATAATGATTTACTTCTATATTGACACACAATTCTCCCAAGTGTAACAAAAGGGGGATTCAAGAAACTGATTTGGGAAATTTTTATTTGCTGGCCCAACATGGTCAGAAATATCAGCATTATCTAAAACAGATACATGCAAATCTTTAGCACTTATCAGGGAGACATATACAACCAATCAGATCTATTCCATAGTTATATGCAATTAAAGTGATCATCTCATTAGCCCCACAAGTGTACGGAATATTTTTGCAGCAAGTCTACTACAATGGTAACAAAATGTGATGCTACAAAAGTGGAAGTGTGCCCAACACACAAATCTATAGGGTGCTTCCCTCCTCCATGGTAATACGATTAAAATGGTAACAGCAAAATTTCGAACAGATTTATCTGGAAAATGCAAAAATCTATGGGCCTTGAAGAGCCTTGACTCGAAATTGCAAGGCCCTGAACCCTCAAGGCCAAGGCCAAGGCCAAGGCTTTTGCCCTCAAGCCTCGAGGCCAAGGCCAAGGCCCTAAAAACCAGCCTTAAGGCAGCCTTAAGGCCAAGGCCCAGCATCAAGGCACTACATCACTGCAACATTCCATCGTTTGCTAATTACGCTAATTGCACAAAGTGTTGAAATTGCTACACACTAAGTTTTTCGTTTTGACGAAGTGACGAATCTCTTCTAATTAAACATGATTTTATGAACAGAGAGAATTGTTATGGGCTATTCAACTCCTTGGCTATTGTCTCAGTTATATATTTTTCAATTCTGGGGGAGAAATGTACACAAAATTGCCAATTAAAAATCCACTAACTTCAAACGCAATTTTCTCAAAACTCGGTTTTGCATCTGTGTGCACAGATGTGTCACTTCGTCAAAACGGTGACGATTTTCCCCAACCGTTTATAGAAGGGTCTCATTAGGACAATAGAGGGAATTGAAATGTATTGGTTGTATCGTTCTTTGATGGAGTGCCCTGAAGGTTACGGCGACTACATATCAATCAAATTTTGAATTGACAGTGATGGTTCTGGTAGCCATTAGTGAACGCCTATCACAAGTGCCACCTGAACACGTCACTGAAGGGGAGTGGCGCAGACTGTTTTTTTTTTTTCAGTTGGGGGGGGGCACCAGCATGTTATCAGGGGGCACCAAGGGCGGACCCAAGAACAAACTATCCCCATGTTTTCAGGGCACCGATTGTCCAGGCAAGTCGTGCAAATACGAAAAACGAGGGGGGGGGGCAGAAGGCTGGACCTCTTTTGACGCAACCAATACATTCACATACAGGGGGAGTCCAAAAAAGCGGAACCCAAACCCCAAAAATTATATTTCATATTGAAAAAAATATTTAGCATCAAAAATAATAATGACTGGAAAGCCAATTTCATAAGCTACTTTTGGATGAAAAAAATTACTGAAATTGGTCAATCCGTTCAAAAAAATCACCATTTAAACACAATGACCCTAAAACCCGTCTCGTCCAAAAATGCGATTTCAACAATCGTCGTCACAATTGTCTTCACACATCACCAGCGATGAAATCTTAGTTTAAACGTTAACAATATGCAACAAAGTCCTTTTAAAGACCCGTCTTTTAAAAAAGTAGATTTTTTAAATCATATTGTTTGCGTAACCAGGGTTGTTAATCAAAATATTGTGTGCTACAGTTGGTGACAGTTGTTGAAACAAGTATTCTGTGTCATTTTCTTTGTTGTAACAAACAGTCAAAACACACAATATATTGATTTTTTGGACGAGACAGATTTAGGGTCATTGTGTTTAAATGGTGTTATTCTTTGAACGGATTGAGCAATTTCAGTTATTTTCATCTAAAAGTAGCTTTTGAAATTGGCTTTCCAGTCATTATTATTTTTGGTGCTACATATTTTTTTACATATGAAATACATTTTTGGGGTTTAGGTTCCGCTTTTTTTGACTCACCCTGTACCATAAAGACCATATACGGCTAAAAAGGAAGTAACTAATACATGTACATGGAGTCATCTACATTCCTCATCTGTTCGATATCTAAAAAAAAATATTTTCCTTGGCAAACGGCAAGTTTTCTGGGTATAGTTTGTTTGGGGTAGGGGGCGGGTAGACACGGCTTAGAATTTGTAGGGTGGCACGTGCCCCCCACCCCCAGTCCCTCCCCGGCCTACTTGGTTATGCCACTGGAGATCAAAGTGTATTGGACGAAATACCAAAGCCATTTTTTTTTAGTAGCGTCCCAGTCATCGTAGAAAGCCGGTGGAATCCTGAAAAGTGAGCAACTCGGATATGGTTACGAGGGTGAAGCTTGGCTGGTTGTCAAGTAAAGCTAATCCGATTACGTACTTAGACGCTGTAACAGAGCAGTGAAATTCGTGAACCCCGAAAACCATGGCCTTTTGAACATTGTGTTTCTCAGAAAATATGCTCAGTATGATTGAAATGTTAAATTATCACGGAAGAAGACATTCTAAACTTCATGTCAGTGCCAATCGCTGTCATCGATGCCGAAACGTCAATACTGGTTACTGGTAAAGCAGACCTTCAAGTCTGGAAGAAATCGTTCAAAAACGTCCCCAAATCTATGTATTTATATCAATTTCTAGGAATTTACGAAAGTTATTTCAAAAGTAGTTGAACACTCATGTCATCTAAGTATGTTCCGAATTTCAGCTTAATCTGTTGTTGCTAACGCTTGTGTTACAGCTCAAACTATCTCTAAGGAAAATCTCAACGAAGATTTTTTCGACCCAAGCCACTGGCATATAGCACCGTAGGCGCCCGCTACGGTTGACCAATTTCGGCCTGGCACAGCACAATAACGACGGGTATATTAGCATATTCATTAGCGTCACCTAGCGTGACTTGGCGTGGGTCTCGGTATCGACCAATGGAAGCCGGCAAAAAGGGTGATATTTATCAATTAATAACTCGTGCAGAAGGCTTTTATGAATTTTTTTACTGCACGCCATAATGGATAGGAACCTTATCAATATTTGTGAGGCTTGAAAAGATTGACAGACATTGCTAACGCTAGTGTTCCAACTTTCAAAAGTGCACGTAGCCAGGCCTATTTTTCCAATTTCAACGAAAAGTATTGAACACATCACAACGATTTTTAGCACATACTTGGATCATTATGAGGAAAGTAAACCCTGAAAGGTGCATGAAGATACGGTCTTCCAAACGGGAGAAATTAATTTTTAAAGATTTCGCCCGCCAACGTGAACATGTGTGTGTACATGTACAGTTGTAGTTTCATTCACACGTAACCTTTAGAAATCGCCCTTCGCAACCTAATGACGGTATAGGTGCTTACTTTGTGGTCTGTCCCACGTGACTCTGGATGACACACTCCATAGCTGCCGACTGGTACCCGGCTCTACCGTACTCACTGTGGATACCTCCGCACGTACCGAAGCTTCATCCACAACAGCTACAAGAAAAACAACAGGTGGAGAGGAGAGTTGGGTGAAATGTGCTTCGATGATCAAAAGAAGCGAGCAATTAAAAACGCCGAGTTCTTACATAATGGTTCATTGTCGTCAAAGAAAACTGGGAATAGCGAAGCCTTTCGTAAATTTTTTTCACTAATATGTTACAGCCTTTTCGACTTTTTTTGCTATATCAGGTTTGAAAGAACTTTTTTGATACCCAATTGCGCCTGTGAGTACAACTAAATTGCCGAAGAAGACTAGAATATGCCAACTAAAACGTCCAGTTGGAATCGATACCAGCCTATTTTTACATTTTATTGTCAATTTAATCATGAGGCGTAAAGTAAATAATGCTGTCTTTCATTCAAGTGTTAATTGGGGTGCACGGTTTGCCTGACTTTGTCCAAGGGCAACGGTATTATAAACTAAAAAATAAAAAGCACCTGGAGCACAAGACTAACTCTGGATGGGAATCTACTTTACGTCGAAAGTGACTTGACACATCGTGTCGGTTCTGTCATGGCGTAACTGATATCACATCCAGGATCAACTTTTACAGATGCATGATTTATATTCACTAACAACCTCAGCTAATTTCTCATTTCCTGCAGATTTATTCATCGCGATCTTGACGCAGAAATACAGTAATTAAGAACACTGTTCTATGTAATCCCTGCAAGTGATGTCACTCGGCAGAAGGTACTCACGCGAGAACACCCAGCATTTTGCGATAGCCTGGGCTTGGGCCCGGAATGATGACAACCACAGCAGTACTAGGGGAATAAAGATAGCCAGTCGATCAACCAGGCTAGCTTGAGGGAACATCTGTATTGAATTTTTTTAAATAAAAAATGAAAATAGCGGTTATTTTGGTGCTGAGGTCCTGGTTATGTTCAAGGCAATCTGAACATTGAAGACAGCTGTGATTCATACGCTTTCAAGTTCCATTAGATTTAATAATGAAACCAGGGCTTCCTGAAAAGTGCACATGCACTAAATCTCAGAAACCTCAACCTAAAGGAAATTGAAGTGAAGAGGCCGATGAATAAATGCAATTAAGTTACGAGTGGGAGGAAAACCCCTGATTCATATCCCACGGAAAACCGCGGAATAAGGCAGGGAAGCCCAATTTACGTAGAGATTTCATTTGGGCGAGGATTCGAACCCGGGTCAGACCGAAAGGCGTGAAGGGTGCACCCATGTAATTATGCCAAAATTCCGTCAGCCGAGCTCATGAATAAATGTTTTACACTCAAATTCTTCTACATTAGAGAGTTCCGGGGGCCATGGAATTGGGAAATTGAAGAGATATGGCAATACCGTTTTCACGCCGGAGCCACATGTCAAAAATTACCATTTTTTTCGATTTCGATTCTTTTCAATATGAAGTTGATTTAAAACAATGTACTAACCATTTTGACATGTTTCTGGAAGCAAAGTAAGATTTGAGGCTTTGCATGGTGGAGATACTAAATAATGAAAGGTTTGCGGAAACACCATGTGCGAATCTGAATCTTCTCCTGAAGACGGTCAGAGCATACTGACCGGAACGTCGAGTTTATATCTCTGGTTCTTTTCAGAACCATTCTCTTAGTTGAGAAATTATTCGCACATGGTGTTTCCGCAAACCTTTCATTATTCTGGAAGCAAAACATCATTAATTTCCAAGTTACATTAATGTTGCAAGGGCAGAAATCTCGATAAATGCATTTTGCGTTTTCACGAAGAGCCACATACATTTGGCCCCTTGAACGCGTACAAAAGCCATTGCACGGAAATACGTAAAAGTAGGTCAAATGAGATTTCCGTTTTCACGAAGAGCCACATATCCTTTGTTACATTTTCAGCTGCGCGTGCGTACTCACGCGCGCCTAAATACACGTTGAACAGAAAGGGCCAAAATGTCGGAAACCTGAATTTTCGTTTTCACGAAGAGCAACATATATTTACTAATTAATTTTCACCAATTAATTGCTGTGTGAAGTCTAATTACTGGGTTCTTGTAAAAATTCAGCTCTCATAGAATCGTGTGATGGTTTCCTTGCTGCACAAAGTTGTTGCAAATTGGTATATTTTTGCAGTTTTAAAATAATGTGAAACTTCTTTTGCGATTATCTCGGAAACGCTTTTTCTTTAAAATCCACATTTTTTTATGTGGCTCTTCGTGAAAACGTCCTCTGGCCCGGACTTGGGGCTTCCAATTCAGAGCATTTTGGATGCAATCGGGCCCAAAAGTGGCGCTATCTAGCCATGTTGTGGAGGGATTCGTTTTCAAGATGGTTTTGTGAAACATCACTTGTTGCTGGGCTGGGCTCGTCTTCTGTGGGTGAGAATTTCTCGAAAAATCATCAGTCAACCCACCCAAAATTGAAAAGAAAACAAAAGATGACATGTTGATCATCATTTTTCTGTGCAGCCTGAACACCTGTTATGTGAGAGTTTTGAGTATTTTTAAATAGAGTTTTGAAGTATGGGCATTTATCACTGTTGTGTATGGGAAGTTATTTGATTGGGTGCACCCAGAGAGGTACCAAAGCACCAATCTGAATCCCTAGTGATTAATCCAGGTGCGCTTCCATTTCAAAAAATGTTCTAAAAGTTTCAACTTCAGATCTTCAAACATTGATTCTTTGCCCGAGTTATTTTTTAGCAATCTTCCTTATTCTATGTCGTGTCATAGCGAGAGAAAAAAACAACTAGTTTGATTGTCAGAAACCCTGACGTCAAGCGACCATAATTCGATCTGTCACACTAACAGGAAACGTAACTGGCCTGAGGGTGCCAGACAAAGGATGTCCCCTTGCGGCCCAAAATCATTGATTTCTTCCAGATTGTAACTTTAAATTTGCCATAAATTATGCAACATTGCTCATAATATCAGTCAATACTACACCGACTCTTGTGTGTCACAAAGATTTTAATTTATAGTCCAAGTTTGAAAGTTTTTTTTTTATCAGTTTATCAGTTTCAATTTCTATTCCAAATATTTTTTTTTAATAATGCCAGTTGTCAAGGAAGTAGGTTGAGCTGGAAATAGATAATATCCCTTACTCTTTCCGATTCTAGCCAACCATTTGCCAAAATAGAAACAAACTCATTTTGTGGTTTGGTTAGTTAGAAACTTATGCTATAGGAAGTCAAATGATGGATGTGTAACAGGTTGCAATTAGGACATAACAGAAAATGCATTCGAAAATTTGTTAGTAATTTTGAAACAGGTTATCACAAATTATGGTATTCGCACTTATACTCTTATGTAGGCGAAGGTAACCCAACCAAAAAGTGTAGATTTTGACCCTAACATGCTTCTGTAAAAGCTCTGGTTTATCAGAATTTGTCAACTTTAAAGAAATTCTTAAATGTCAACTTGGGATTTTCCGATATCTGTTCAAGTGCGCCACGTTAGGGAACACGCAGCTGATTTTTTGCCCAATTTCCGGACGCCCCCGTTTTTGGATTTCGGACTAAACATTTCATGACACTGAAATTGTTCATAAAGGTTCAACAGCAAGCACTATTAAGGTAAAATTACCAGTATTTCACTGAATGAATTTGAAGTTTGCCAACAAAGACGTTCGGCAACACTGCATGTGGAAAGTCGGGGAAACGGCGAAGTGCGCCACGTTAGGGAACACCACTATACAGCGTTTCGTACAATGCGTTTCATGTTAAATTGTCACAGTGATAAAAACGATTACAACACAAATGTGTACTCACCATTAGCGAATTCCTCTTCCGAATTCTTTCTCCAAAATCCTTTTCCAAGATCTTTTCACTCCACAACAAGTCTCAAATCGCCAAGTCAGACTTCGGGTAAGACTACAGATCTCATCATAAATTCCCGCAAGCAACCTGCAGCAACCAACCACTGCACTGACCGGTGTGACTGGGCGCTAGGCGCCGGTATGAAGCCCTGCAGTACAGTCAGGAAAGGAAGAATTAGATCTTTTCAACAACCAGTCAAGTTTAACACACCCTGTCAAGCTCAATGGACATTGTGACGGCATAAACCACCCTGTATGCTTACACACTGACGGCTCAAACTGCACTATTTTATGTCAGGCCACAAAATTTGCATGAAATTCGGTACTTGAAAAGGCCACAGGCGCAGGCAGAGCTGCGTAATGATAAATTTCCGAGGATAAAAGTCCCATTAAAGGCGACTTAAAACCATCTTTAGAACTTCCTCAATTATATTGGTTTAATCCCCGTAAGCACTTCTAGGTTGAGAGCTTCAATTCCCTAAAAGCAATCGGCATATTTCAATAGCCATATGGATTTTGACCGGGCAGTAGCTGATCTAGTGGGTGGGGTGGGGGGGGGGGGGTGGGGGGGGGGGGTGCGCGCCTTAGGCTCAAACCCCTTTATATAAACACCCCCCCCCCCCCGTTTCTTCAAAGCTAGATCCGCTCCTGCCGGGGGTGAATTGAACGAGAAATTTGGGAAACTGTCCGAAAACTGCGAGTTTTTTATCCTAAGTATTTTTGCTGCACCCAATGGTCACTATAATAAAGACCACAGGTTCATCAAAATTAATCATCAAAGAGGTTGAACATTATTTATTAACGTGACAGATAGCCATTCAAAAGTAATATGTGGTAACAATATTTTGTCTTCGTCGTCTCAACACCGGACAACTAGAAACACTTGACTCTTAGTCACTAAAGTGGGACACTATTGGTCATGAGGAGGGCGCCAAGTTAGCTGCTGCATTTAAATAATGTATGTAAATATTATTGTCAAGTGGTTTTGTGTGGCTTATAATGGCTTGCAAACACTTGGAGAGCCAACGACTTTACAAGAACTGATTTTATTTGTCTTGTCCTTTACCTTTAAACATGCCTCTTGAACCAGTCAGGGTACTTTTTATGTCAATAACTAAGTTTAATCCGGATACATGAAGACATGTGTACATAATCATATCCTGCTAAACAATGAGTCGATTTTATGGCAAAAGTCCAACATCAAGATGGCTGCATTTCCGTGCTCATGACCTGTGAAATGATTGCAGCAAATTAAATTTAGGCATTGTTAACTTTGTAAAAAGTGCGTGAGCCCTCAACGTTCCAGCGGGTCATAAATTTGATTTTATATTTGTGCCTTCGGGGCCATCATAGATGACAGTTAGCGTTGACGCGTTTCTGCAGAACGAGAAAAGTTGTCAAAAAATGGCGACGCACTGCATGGTTCTGTTAGCATCTAGTAGCATCCGTAAATAATATAATAAATCAAAATAAACCAGACCTGTATAAACACTCCTGCAAGGTCTTCTGTCGAGCGTTTCAATCTGCTATGGCTGCCTTTGCCACTAAAATTGTCGGCAGACGGACATTTGCCAACCGGCCGGACGCCGGACGCGCCTCAGTTGAAATGCATCAAAGCAATTGAAAACACATGGTAATAACGATACAAGAAATTATATAGTGTTGGTGCGGCTTCGATGAGGGACAGCAAACAGGATTAAAACAATATTGCTTTATGGACACAGATTCAAGATTACATTTTATGATATTTTTTTAACCTCTGGTCATGATGGTGAACCTTGTAGTTAAAATTTGTGGTCGCGTAACTTATCAAGTCGCTTCAGTGGAATACGTGGAGTGACGTAAAGGAATACAAGGCAGCTACGGTTAACAGCACATAATTAGTTTGCAAGTTGTGAAGACAACCAAAGACTGAGATAAAGGGATCATAAGGACGGGACTGAGAACCATGGACAGAACTTCACGTCTAGATCTTCAAATGAACCGCGTTTTACAAGTTTTCGTGTGACGTGACGTCATCAGTGCCGCCATTTTGTTTGCTTATCTCGATGCTTGCAGGACAAAAGTAAAAGGGTGCACTGAACTAATTCAAGTGAGAATTTCTACGCGAGTCATTAGCATAAAAAGTGCCCCCAAAATTTCTTTTGAAAACGGTGACCGTTTGGCTTTAAAAACGATGGAATTGTGTAAATATACCCAAGGATCAACTTTCTGGTTTTTGGGCTTCCATCTGAGGGCAGGCTTGATAAAATTACGGATGAAAAATGGGTCCTATTTGCCTGTGAAAGTGGAAGGATGCCATGGCTCCATGTAGGTTTGGGAACTATCACTTTTCGGGAGGTGATTTTGTTTGGGTGTGAATATTTAAAAATGTAATTGGCTAATGTACCTAAAATTGAAAAGAAATGAAAAGATGAAAGACAAGACAGTACTTTAATTTTTGTTTGAGAAACCCCAGTGATGTTGGCTTGCATGTTATTTGGCCCTGAACTTTGTTGATTTTACACTGTTTTCAATGGGGCTTGAATTAGTACAGTGGACCCAAAAGTATACCCTTATGAGCATTTGATAGGCACAAGATGAGCTTAAGTAGCTTGGGTATTAACGAGAAGACTCAGAAGAGCTTCCAAGTTTCTCTGTTCATGTATTCGTTTTGCCTTTTTTCAGGTGTGTAGAATAATCAAATTTAAGGCTGCAGTAATTTTTCTTCGATTGCAAATTGACGAATCCGCACACGACTATGTAGCCCATGCGAGCCAGTCGCCAATTAATATTTTCCCTTCCCTTAAAACACTTCTAAAAAAGATAACTTAGGTTAATTCGATAGGGTGACGATGCAGTAACCTTCATGGTTACCTAGGTAACCAATCAGGCTGTATGATTGAAAGCTCATATTAACAGGAAATGTCTCATTCTAAAGCCTAGTCCATTGCGAGCTCATATGAACAACCCCTTCTTGTGTTTTATAATTCGAGTTCCTTCACCTGGAGCAAAAAACCTGTTCCTTTGCCAATTTGAGGATAGTTTGACGTCGGTGATAATTAGGTGGGCAGAAAGTTGAAGGGCAACTCCTAACTTTTAACAGCAATTTTGCAAGCACAATCTGCAATGCCAAATAGGTGAACTTTTTTCTCTTCAAAAATACAGAGCTACATCTGACATAATTTGTCATTTAAAAACTTCTTATCAAAGATATTTTAATGTAGGGCTTATGTTGCATTGTGAGAGGATTTGGGTTTTTATTTCATTTCGGTTTGAAAAGTGGCCTTGTTTTGTGCTGTGTCGCTGCATAAGGAACACCTGTTTTCCATCCAAAAAAAGAAAAGAAAAGAAAGGGATAGCCTTGTCAATTTGGGAATCGCTGCCCATGTGCGAATATGTTTTGCCTCGTGCATAAGATCAGACGCCGAAAGACAAGCCGGGTCCCTTTTGAAGTCGCAGAGAAGAACAACCATAATAGTGACCAATTTATAATTACGGCGGTATGAATGATGAGCATGATCGTGTTTGATTGTTATCTGGTAAACTTGTTTACATGTATGCGTGGTAGAATGCACGGGTGATCATGCATTGAGAAAATAAAAAAAACACATTCTTTGCTCTACACTGCATTGTCGTTATCATCATCGTGCACGATATAACTTAATGAGGTTTTACTTCTTACACAGAAACTCAATCAAATTTTACAAATGTGTGGCGGCCGCCACTTATTATGTGGCGGCCGCCACATAATGAGTGGCGACCGCCACATAATAACTGGTGGCCGCTGCACAAAAAAATATTTTCACACGTACAAAAAAATGTATTCAGACTTATTGAGTGGCACTATCCGTCTTCCGTAATTTTAGCTTTTTTTCATTTACTTATTATATGAATGCCATAGTTGACAACTGTCATTCTGTTTGGATGTCCATAGATAATATGAATCAAGTATATATGAAAAAAAACCCAGAAATATAGGTTTTCCCGGCCAATTTCTTGAAATGTTCATTCACTTCTGAAAATCGGTGATTCATTTTCGTCTGAATTTGAATGCACGTTTTTAATCCCATTTCAATTCAAAGAAAGTTCAATCGCTTTCATTGTCCGTGCTTTCGGCTTTGAGAAACAGACGGCCAATTACGTTACCTGTGTATTAATTTATGCAAGCATACCTTTTCTAAATTGATTTCAGGTACAACTAATTTGATTGACGGTTAATGAAAAAGAAACCCCTAATTGTATTGTACCGATGGCATTAAACTAAAAGTGAAATAGAATGGTGAATGTTTGAAATCGCTATCTAGAAGCGAAAAAGAAGTCTTGTAAACGAATCTGAATAGACATAAACGAAAGGTGCTGCTCAATCACTTAATTGATTGAATTGAAATGAGATCGAAAGCTCTGGTAGCGAAAATGAAACGCGTGTTCAGAGCGATTCTCAAATTCAGACGAAAGTGAATGACCGATTTTCAGAAGTGAATGAACATTTCAGGAAATTGGCCGGGAAAAACCTATGCTTCTGGTCGTAGATTGTGTTTTAACAAAGTGTTTGTCTGTCATGTGATTCAGCACCAAATATTGCCACAAAGGTCGGACAAAGAGAGTTTATTATTGAACATAATTTCTGAATTTGATGTATGATTTCTATGGAGCTCAATGTGACCGAATGGACTTTCTCGTGCAAAACATGTAAAAGCGGATTTTGTGTGTGTGCATATTCCAAAGGCTAGAATCAGTGAAACATTCTTAATTCCCCCTCTCACTGGTGTACTTTGGAATTCTGCGTTTACAACAGCACGTAATCTATTGCAGTTTTAAAATTGAAACGAGATATGAATATTATTACGGTCATCTCTCCAAGCAATTTATTTCTCTTCACTTTCATTGCACTTCACACAACGAGTGGCCATCTGGCCCAGTGCTTGGCAACATCCTTATCAAAATATATTAAGTAATTATTTGGAATTTGAACACCATACATTTGGAAAACAGGAATCACATTTCTGTAAAATTGAAAATACATAGGGCCCACTGTGATGAAAAATGAAACAATAGTATATCCAGAGGCATTATTTATAACTGTGCCTTTTATCCGGGCAAGAAGACCTAATGCCAGTAGGTGCAAATGAATCTTTTAATAAAAAGAAATCATGAAAAAAATGAATCAATATATTTGGTGCATTGAACGGTCGACACGTAATTGTTGATACCGCGGTTGAGTAATTACTCCGATGCTCACAACCCAATGTTGTTTGACCAAACACTACTGTAATATCCTTGTGCAAATTAAAGGTAAGAATGTGGCGTAAAGACTTTAATAACGATTGCACGTTGATGGTAAATGTAAATTCTAATTATCTCCTCATAATACCACGATAGGCATCAGTGAGTGATTTACCATGTTTTGTTTTTAATACAGCCTCCGGTGTTATTTAGGCAATTTGATATAATACCAAATGCTTGCCAATAAAAAAAAAAAAATGTTATGTGGGAGGAGGGTGACAAAATTGTATTAACTGTCTCCCCCGAAAAAAAAAATATCAATGTAACTAGGAATAATTAATTTTAGGATCACTGTTTTGGTCCGAATAGTGGAATTTAGTGCAAAGTTAAATTCTTAAAAATTCAGAAAAATTATAAAGCACAATTATTTTGTGATTTGTTTGTTCAATTTGTTTCAATTAATACCACAATAATAATTATTTTGGTTTATAAAAACAAAAAAGACTAAAGTGAGAGTAAAATCGGCGTGCCAAGCCCCTTAAACTCAAACAGATTTTTGGCGGGCTGGCCTTTTTATCCCCATGGTGAACTGCGGTTACAGAGATCGACAGGCCGAATTGACTCAGCGTGCCAAATCTCACGAGATCACGACTTAGTCAGATCTCTGACAAGCCGTCTCACGAGACTCGCACAGCTCGGGCAAATTGCCAGGTTTTAAGACCCGTTAAGACAACAAGCCTGCCCGAAGACATCATAATCGGCCATTAAGAAATGATGTTGTTGTTTTCATTGATGGGCGGGAGGGTCGTAACGGACAAGGAAAATTAATGAATGAGATGTGAAAACGGGGATGCCTTATACGGGCAGATTAAGATTTTAATTCAAATAAATTATGTTAATCTCTGTGTCTGGTTGATCCTCAAGCTCTTGCACTACGGCATTCCATTTCCTATCTTTAAAACAAAATGTATACATTCCTTGACGGTTCAAAAATCGCAGAAATTAGGCCATTAAGAATTCAAGGGCGGATCCAGGGGGGGGGGGGCAAAGGGGGCCATGCCCCCCCCCCCCAAAAAAAAACGAAACCAATTTTTTTTTTTTTTTATGTGACATCGCAATAAAGGCAGGCAATGAGTACACCACCATCTTTTCCTCAAAAAAACATTGGTTAAAGTGGTCAGAAATTGCCTCAGATCGCACCACAGAGCATCTAGAATCCAAAATTTTTTCGGGGCCCTTAAGCGGGCCCCGAACCCCACGCCGTAATTTTTTTTGACCCACTGTTTTGGGGGACCCATTTTTTTTTTTGCCCCCCAAAAAAATTGTGTTCTGGATTCGCCCTTGTAAGAATTGAGCCTTGATTGAAAGCTCCATTAGACCATCTTTGGCCGAACATTTATTATAATTACCTCCAGTTTTCAAGAATTTGAATATACAAAATGAGCATAAATTACCCCGAATGATGGTCCTTAAAACGAGGTAATTTATTGACGCGGGAATTGAAGCATAATATAGGGCTGAAGATTTTTCACCCCCTATCCCAACTCTTGCTAACCAGCACCTGAACCGTCCTGGCTTGCAAATTTGAAAGAAAGAAAAATGTCCACTGACTGCAGTACTTCCCACTGCAAATTGTAACCGCGCTATTGTGAGTCTGGTGTCTTTTTATTCCATCATCACAGCTTGTAAAATCGCTCAACTGTCACCAATTATTACAATATTAACGTCTCGGTTCAGCGGCCAAGCTAAGTCTGGTCTCATCCATCATACAACGCCGCCTACTATGCCGCCTACTTACCCTAACTCATCTCGTCAATTTCACAAACTTTACCCAAGAAAGGAAGCCTCGTCATCTTAGTACAGTGCCATAAAGATCATCACCCGATTGCTCTGTGGTGTTTTCGTTTAGATTTTACATCTGGGGTTTTTCTTCAAGGCGGATCAGGTGTTTCAAAGCTCTCGATTTTAATGGTGAATATCAAGATGATTAGCTGACACATTTAATGTGACCCTTGGGAGGAGTACTACTCGGGTAGCCTCCCTTTGAAATTAGTGTACTTGGAAAACAAGTTAATTATCCTAAAAATAACTCGCTCTATTTCTGCTAATTGTTACATTTTCCCTTTCTGGCTAATTTGTCGCCTCTCTAATTGAGGGGGAAGATTTTTAATGATGCTTAAGTCTAAATTGATCTTGCGAGGATAACATTTCATTTTTTTTGTTTATCTTAAGACGTTTATAATTTTAATACGGCGCCTAATAAGATCTGTCTTTACGTAAACAGAGTTGTCATTCATTATTCTCATAACATTTCTTGATCCGTAAACAAACTTGATCAAGAAGCTGAGAAGATAATTCAGCCGCGGACTCCATGGAGTCTTTAGATCACGATAGCCGTGTTTCAACAGGTGATGAAAGTCTTGACCTGAAGCACAGCACCGAGGAAGAGCTACTTCCGTCTTCGAGTTTGACAGCTACCCCCCCCCCCCCCCCCCCCGCCCCATAGTATTGGGTAGGGGCTATTAAGGGGGTATGTCCACAGTGCTATAATTTTACTGGAATTCGTTTTTGTTTTTATTTCATCGAGCAGAAATTAAATGTTCATCTGAAAAGCGTCCTTAACCTCTGGCTTTCAGTTTCAAATCAGGTCACACATCTACTGCAACTACAAGATCATTTGATGTTGGACGACAAGCAATTTGCTCATAAGGTGCCCTACATTGAGTTGTTTTATCATTTCAGCATCTTTAACATTTTATTTTGACAATTAAATCAGTAAGGTCTGCATTGGTGTTAACATTTAAATATTGAAATTCTTCATGACCACGCCCTTCCCATATACTTTACCCATTCACCTGTTGTACTTCTGTCCTGATGTATTACCTGCGATTTTTTTCCAATTCTTCCAATCAATTTTCTGTTTACAGTGAATGTTGTACTAATGGACTGAGCGATAATTGCCCATTCAGACAGCGTGCGGTGATGGTCTGATTGGTGCCGATTGCTGGACCGATTAAGTCCTGACAAGGTCAACTATGACACCATTATTTCATAGAGATTTATCGTTACAATTATACGCACGGTGTAGTATTGGATACTGTTGTAGCTCAACGGGATATCAACGTGGGGGAAAGGGGGGGGGGGTGTCGAAATCTTGGTGTTTTGAACGCAGAGACCATCTTAGTGTTTATGCATTATTTGAAACTTTGTTTCTCGATGAATGAACATTACTTATTCATCATTTCTTGTTGAAAATTGGTCGATAAACACTTTGAAATTATTACACGAATGCAATAATCATGTTCAGTTATCCAGAGAATCTTATCTGCATTTTGTATGAAATTGTCATAAAATGAAACATCTAGCATCAATCTCCTCTCATATTGTGATACAAAATGCGATAAGTTGTCTTCTTCAGATCTGATGTACATAGATTTAATCTGCATGAGTCAACGAATAAAAAAACACGAAAATCTTGATTTATGATTCACAAACAAAGCAGTAAAATTCTACTAAATACTGTTCATTTGCATTAACCACGGCACGGCCCCTCGATTTGTAAACATCGAGTATAAAAATTAACCAGTTCGAAATTAAACTCTGTCTCGGTCGAAGAAAGGCCTGCCAAAAGCTGACGACTCCTAACCATGTTCAAGACTCGAAATCACGCACCCTGATCATCATTATGGTTTGATATAAGACGGAAGGAAGCTGGGAAAGTACAATGTAAGCATGGTGCATTGTCAGTGGCACGCTCACGTACCTACACCGGTAGTGATAAACGATGTGTTGTCGGTGATACGGTGAAATAAATGTGTTGCCTTTGGACTGTAAGAATAACATTGACATTGCGACGGGCAGTAGTTTTGGGAATAAGCATACAAAGGCTTCTGACATGCAGAGTTCTATGACAAATAGAGTTGCATAAAAACAGGAGTCTACTCTTAGACACCGAGTGCGCAGTAGGATCAAATCTATTTTCTATCGCAAGTGCAATATTTACAATAAACTAACCCATTAGTTATTACTCTGCCTTTAAGTCCACCTTTTGACACCCATGCCCTGATCGATATAGCATTAGGCACAACCTTTACTTGACCCATGGTGCTCTAAATGTTTCCGCGTATGTCACATTATTTCCTTAAAGTGTATTTTAAATATCACAAAGTTGAATATTGATGATATTTTAAAAACAAAGTTGAATTAACTTTTTCCCCATTTTGTAAGATGACTTTTTTGTCCACTTTTTCTCACAAAAAAAGGACATTTGTTAGAAACTAGGCCAAAAATCAAATCATTCACGACTCTCCAAAATGCAAATGGCGGCTAAGAACTAAAAGGGTGGTAGGGGACCGGTATGAAAAGGGGGCGGGATACATCATTTGAGTTGAGATAGCAAGTTAACCAGTCGTACATGTACATTATGCAAGGAATTGGAAAAGAAACCACGTATTTTCTTCTTGCAAAACCAGACTTACCTTTAGAATGTGTTTTCAAACTGGATGCTTAAAACTGAATAAAAAAACATTCACCGAAATTCCGTTCATCTTGCAAATAAGATGAGTATACAATTAACTATAGGAGTAGAGATATTCAAAGTTGATCCCATTTTTCATCTCTTTAGATATTACATTTTTTTCCTGCTTGTCATGTTCTTGTCAATTTCATGTTTCTTTTTTTCTCTTCAGAAACAAAAATCTTGCCCACTGTCACAGTTGTTCCATTCAAGGGAGGCACTTAACGTGATCTCAAATCGATAACACGGGGATCTTCACAGAAACCCCAAGACATCGCAGAAAGAGAAGAAAATACGGGGCAAAGAGAAAGGGGGCCCAGGGTCTAGAATTTACCTACCTGTTCGAAGAGATGGGTTCGATATCATGGATTGCAGACTGGCTTGGGAGCGGCGGGTCCACGGGACGAAACGAGCTGTCAGCCCCGCTGAGTAATCACAAGTGGACGGTGGTTGTAGAAATCCTATCCCGGAACACACGCCGGGCAGGCAGAGAAAAACACTAGAGCTAGGACTAGCGCGAGAGCGTGTAAGTGCTCATATGACGGTGAAATGTATCCAATGCTGCCTGTACTGTGTGTGCACTTGTTCTAGATGGAGACACACCAAAGCTCCTGGCCCGCCAATCACGATGAAAGCACGGCAGTTAATCCGCACAGGCTTGCTTGTAATAAGAGAAAAGACTTTGGCATTATGATATAAGAGACCCTTTGAAATGATTCATGGAGCTAGGATGATCGGGGATTTGGTTTCTGTACAAAGGTAATTTCCTAAACGAGTCTGGACGTCGCAGATACTTGACCTCAAAAAAGTTATTAAGAAAAATGGAAGATAAAAATGGCTTTGATTGATCATTATGATCGGATGGATGATTATTCAAATCAGAAATGTGAGCTTTTATGACTAACGCTTGAACAGGTGGATTTTGAAATGTTCAGCAGGGGCGTGGTGGACAATGTTCTTTCCTGGGGCGTGGACAAAACTATGCGTAGAGTGCGGTGGGATAGGGCAAGGGTGGGGCATGGGTGTGGTCACACGGGTGTGGTCACACACGGAATAAACAAAACTGCTGTTCACATTAAAAGACGTGAGTTTCTGGATAAATAACTAAACTCTTTTTATTTTGTTAGACGACGACTTTCGCAATGTGTATTGGCGAACGACAAAGCATAGCTCCGTCCTTGTATGTAATCCATGCTAAGATCTTTAAGAGCGATGATGGATCAAGTCATGAATATGGGCAAAGTGTCAACAAGAGCAAGTAATGGAGCCTCAACCTCTATAAGACATTAGGGGATGACGTTTCCGTTGGTGACTAATAAGGGTTAGTACTTCTTGCATGGGGTGATCAAATGATTATTCAAGGAAGATAGAAGGTACGTTCTGCGTTTTTCACGACCTTTCTCTTTAAAAAGAAAATCACTCAGTTTAAGTAAAAAGTTATCTCTTTTTTATGACATAATGCTCCGATCAGTTGGTTATCTGATTTTGTTTTAAAAAATCGGGAAATGTTAACCATATCAAAAATATACTTTTTTGCGGGGGTGTAACATTTTTTTATACAGAAGGGGAATGTCTAAACACTCTCAACCCTTTGACGCGCACCTACGTCACAGTGGAGAGTATAATCCCCATGGTGATGAGATCATCAACAGTCATCCTGATCGTCTTAAGACGCACCACCGTGCAATGAACACCCTGGACTCCTCCAAGAGCTGACGGGACGCAGATAAGGCGCGTTGATTCACCATCCGTACCGGAACAGGCTGATTTGAGAGAAGGGACGGTGGTTTGGGGAGCATAGCCTGGGGGGACCCCGGGGAGATAGGTGGATATGGGATAGCTCATGGCGTCATCAGTTTGTGGCAAAGTTAAGGTTGCAGTGGTGCTACAAAAACAGGGGGAGGAACCAAGGGTCAGTTGGGGTAATAACGATGGAACCATGACCCTGCGGAGCGCTGGTCGTTTGCAGCTTTTGGGTCATTCTATATAATATGGCGTCCAGTGTCTTCCTGTACCTGTTACAACTATGATTTTGTAAATCTGGCTGCAATCCTTAATATTCCTTCTCCATGGGTGATTTATGTGAAGCAAACGACCTTTGCCTACCAACAAAAACAGTAGTTTGTAGACATTTTAACATTACCAAAGTTCATAGGTAACAGGAACATGACACACTGTCACAGTTTGGACCATAAATGGGCGAGTCAAAAAGAAAGAAAGTCAGGACCATTTAAAAAAAACAAAAATGAAGTTCTGCATGTGGCACTTTCAAAATCTAGAATTTGAAAACCCAATTAACAAGCTTTCTTTTAGTACAAGAATCATTCAAATCACTCATGTACTTTTCAAGTTACGGAATTTTAAACACAAACACCGTTTTAAACTTCTGTCCACGGATCACAAAATAAGGCAAGTGCTCTATCGGCAAAACGAAAACAATTCACATACATCCCTATGTGAATTGTTTTACCTATGTGATTTGAATGATTCTTGTACTAAAAGAAAGCATATTACTTGGGCTTTGATATCCAAGTGCTACGTGCAGAACGTCATTTAAAAATGGTCCTGACATTTGGATTTCCGGTTTTTTTTTTACTCACCCTGTGTAGAAGGATTCTTCCGGGATGTTGGGTAGTTACAAATTAGTAATATTTCTAGATTTTTGATCGTGGTTCATTTATTTTCTTTGGTTCCATGAGTTGTCTGAATTCCGGATCTGAGTTATGTTTGACGTCAGTAATTATTAACGTTATTTTGTACCGTATGGTGGTTTTTTTCTAATCTGTAGATAAAAATGAATACTGCCTGGATAAATTGAATATACATGTACTACTTTTAATTGCATTCTCAACCTTAAGATCTTTTCTTAAAACTTTTTTCGTTTTTTTTAAATTAAATAAAATTGAAACTGAAATTGAATTTGAAGAGCCGCGGCAGATTTTTTTCTTCTCCCAGTCTATCAAGTCCAGGCCTGCAAAAACACCACTGGTCGTGCAACACGACGCAATGCCTACAAGACACATCTAGATTTTTTTCAAAAATAGTTCTGTTCCGTTCCTCCTAAAAAAAAACCCCCAAAAAACCAAACAAACAAATACAAGACAGTCTAAAAGTTAATGTGTCTCTTTAAATGGAGAAGATGGGATCTTTTGGTCGCCGTTAGCTGATGTAATTACCCAAGTAATTACAAAGGTTATCTGCAAAATTTTAAGATGAGTAACCCACGGCCATTCCCAGCAACCTTGACCGACGCTTGATCCAAGTGTACCCCCCCCCCCCCCGGTTTGATCTAAGGGGAAACAGCCAGGGACACAGGGAAGTATCCTTAATTAAACTACACAAAAATATTAATAGACGAATGATTCAACCCACCAAATGTGATATGATAAGAATTAAAAATCGAGTCAACACAGAAACTCTTCTACTAAAAGAAATATTTGAGAAGACTGTTGTTATGAAGGTGGTCAGGTATGGACGAATCCAGGCACATATTTACACTAACGAGGCCCCCTTTAATGGAGAAACCATTGTGCACACTTTGCAAAGCAACTGCCATGTGGCGGATTATCTGAACAATAGCTAGCACAATGCTTTCGCCATTGAAGGGGGCCTCCGTTATAGAAATGACAGCGTTATGGGATTGGTGTATACGATCGGGTACTTTTGTTAAATTTGGACACACACCGACAGTTATACGTCACCTTCATCTTCACATCAATAGCAGAGCACTTTTACGAGAAATCAATCTGTTCTTCTTATTTCAAAACTATTGATTCCTTATAAAAACAAATCTACCATCAAAAAACAAGAAGGGTACAGTTTCACTTGGTACACCTAAACTGAGCAGCAGGAGTTAGTGTTATCTAAACACATTTGAAAAATTTTGGTACACTGTACACTGCTGTTGGCCCAACCGACTCGGTGATGCATGTAAAACGGAGATGAACGGGAAAGCATCCGGATGGTTAAACCAGGAGGAAATGCCGTGGGGATTACGGGATAGAATGACAGGCTAGACGTAGATATCCTCTCACTCAATGAACAACAAAGTCATTCTCTACTATCAAATTGCCAGAGCTTTGTCTTTACATCATGCATGAAAAAACCTGACTTTTGAATATCTGGGGCAATGAAATGACAAGTTACAATGCATATCTTAAAATACCATTACGAGTCACATTGTCACAGTTAATAACAAAAGTTTGAAGTTGCATTTTATTGCAAATAACATTTAGCATTTAAAAATAAATGTTAAAGCATAAATGCGGAATGACATAAACCGCGTCCTGCATCACTAGATTAAAACAATTCAAACAAGCTCTAAAAAGCCTCATTTAACTTTAATCCCACTTTTCAGTTAGGTGTGCGTTGTTATTTTTTGGTTAAGACTTTGTCTCATGTTCTGACGAAAAGAACACATTTCAGGATTGTGGAAAGAAGTTTCATGTCATACCGACAACCGACTTCAAATTTCGAGGACTATGTCACCTCTCAGTGTGAGGTAATACATGTACTTGCATTTACATGGGAAGTATGAATTGCAATACAGTGGAACGTCGCTATACCGAAACCACTATACCGAACATTCGGCTATACCGAACATCATCCTTGGCTCCCGATTTTTGTGTACAAAACCAACCGAACATTGTTGTTGAAAACCGTCAACAGAAGAGTGACAAATGGCTATTATTTCCCCAAGGCATAGAAGGGGAAAGCCACCCATCGATATAGGTAGTAAGCTCAAAAACTGTGTAATTACATAATTCAAAAGTCGTGCAGGGTGAAGGACGTCCAGGACGTGCAGGGCGCTATTATGAAGGGCGCTATTTATTGAAAAGTGAGTACCAGAGCACCGGCAGCTTAAAACTGCTATACCGAACGATCACTATTACGAACATTTTCTGTGGATCCCGCGATGTTCGTTATAGCGGCGTTCCACTGTACCACTTTCTACTGATCTCAGACGGCCAGCCGTTCCTCCTCTTAGTACTTATCTCATTGACTGACTGACTGACTGACTCCCCGACTGTCATTCGTGACTTAGCCTGTTGTAGTCCGATGATGAAGAGAGTCGGGCAGTGCTATCATATAGGATTACCCTGTTACGCCAATGAATGGGTCAAATCCGGCCCATTGTGTACACCAGATGCATGAAAAGACTTCCAGTGAAAAGCCGTTCTGAATCAAAGGAGAAGAATTGTGTGCACTCTGGAACCAGTGTTTACTTGGCTTGACTGGTCTTGTTTGATGGAAATCTTAAAAGCGTGCCTTGTACTTACAACCCTCCCTCTCTGGCAGCAAATTTCAACAAGGCCAGCCCAGCAGTCAAAATAAATCAAGTGACTGTTTGTAACAGTTGAGTGCTCCCTGTCTTCACAAAGCAGGATTGACTTGCTGTGATTGTTCTGAAACCTGATATAACTACGCTTGGACTGTAGGAGACTGATAAGGCAGCTATGCATATTAGTCATCTGCTTTTGTCTGTTGATGGAATTTGACTAGTCACAGTGCCTATAAGAAATATTATCTGACTGTTGGTGACTAGTCTATGTAAAAGGCATGGCAGGGGAACGGAAGTGAACTATTGACTGTCTGTGACTGATCAAACAAAAGGAGGGTTGTCAAGTAAAAAAGATAGCACAGTTGCTTTAGAGTCGTCCTTCAAAGATGAGATCCAGAGCGGCCTGAACATTTCCCCCAGTCACCTGAAGAGCTTGTAAGGAGACAGCATCATCTGTGATGCCCATACTACGGAGCTGCTGTAACTGGACCTGTGAGGGGGAGTAGGAAAAAGGTGTTGGGTGGGTACAAAGACCAAAGGACCTCTTGGTGGTGATTCTTGAACTTCCATGAGGACGTCAAATTCTTTTTCTGGATTTCTGGACACCTAATAATTTTTGACTAATATATTTACTGCTGCATAAGTATTACCCCCGCGCATCACGACTATACAGAATTCCTCAGATTTGAACATTCTTTTTTGGATTTGGTGCGGTGTTATTTCTGGAAAACAACAAAATGCATAAAAAGCAAATGATCCTGTATGCCTTCAAACAAAGCACCGTCGATATATTGATATTACTCGATTATTCAAAATTATTCTGATATTGATATCGCCAATAGGATATTTTGGAATCATATTGAAAAGATGTCAGATAATCATCAAAATAAATCTCCGTTTGTGCTTTTACTTTGTGTTTATCGTTTGCTGTATAATTAACATGATGAAATATAACTCTGCGGCAACTTGTGCTTGTGACTCAAAATAAAAGCATTGGGAAATGCCAAGCGGCGTCGCTTTGTGCTCTGCGTTCGCTGGAATTCGCCGTCTCCCCCAATGTAAAACTATAAAAAAAAACGCCCGTTCTGGACAAACTCTCAGTGCTGAGATTTGTTTGAAAAAGTTTGAGCAAAAATAGCAATATGCTCCAGAGAATGCCGTGGAAAATTGGGACTTTAGATTTATTTTTTTTTAGCAAAGTGTCATCTTTATGGTCTACGTTTACATGATAATCGATATATCGAATATCCTCGATATTGGATTTCCGATATATCGATTATTGAAAATTCCGATATCGACGGTGTTTACTTCAAACAGGTGTTCATGAGCTACGTATCACTAAACACTGTGCACCAATGCTCACCTGCAGCTGTTCAGCAGTCAATGTATCCCCATCGGAATGATCAGCTGCTTGACTTGACGTGTTCGTTCCGGCTACAGTAGCCGCAGCTGCTTGTTGGTGCTGCTGTAATGCCCGGGCCAACAGGTCAGCTGTTATGACACCACCTGGTAATTGACCTCCGACCCTTGACCTCGAGGATGACCCTGCAAGAGGCTGGCTGGATGTAGAGGCTGATGGCGTGGAGGTTGTGCTTGCTTGAGTTCGGGGTGGTGAAGTGAAAGGCTGGACAGAAACAATCGAAAAATTATAGCATTTTCCCAACACTGCTAATCACGCAAATTTTTTTGCACAAAAAAAATCGCCTCTTGAACAAAGACATCGACAAAATGGGGAACCACCAACATAAGGCTGGATAGCTCAGTTGGTAGAGCACTGGAATGGCAATGCGGAGGATGCAGGTTCAAACCCTGCTCCAGTCAATTACTATTTTCAACTTTAAAATAAATATATTCATGACAAAATATGGGTTTCCAGCAAAACATCATGTGAACTCTACTTGCTTGTGACTGGTTTAAGTTCGTTTTTGTTTAGGATCAATATTTGCTGCATTTTTTATTCTTTGAAGTTCCATGAAAACTAGCTCTGTATTTACTTAAATTAAGTGAAATCAAGTTTTGTGTGACGGGAAACAGAAAAGGGTTTTTAAGAGGTAGAGGCTGGTGAAAGGAACTATCATTTAGGCAAAGGACACGGATGTAACCTCTAATACAATAATATAAGGGAACCATTGAAGGGTAAGAAAACTGTTGAGAAAAATCGGAAATACTGACAGGACCTCAAATCTGAACCCTTACCGCTGCCAATATCATCAACGCCTATTAACACATACACAATTTTGTCGCAACGACTTTGACCCGCGGCAATGCCTGTGATCACAGAGCAGTGTCTCGAACCGGCCGCGATCATCGCATATCTAGGATCGGGCCAGGTGAATACAAAACGCGGATTCAAAATTAACATACAAGTATTACATGGCTACGTCACTAAATATGAATATTTATAGCGTTTCACCCAAAACTTTCTGAACTGAAGCGCTATTTGAAACCACTTGTATAAAACTGTATAAAGGCCTGCAAATGCAAACAAGCAAATTTACTTGTAACAGGAAATTATATTTCTTCAAAATTCGTTCGAAAAAGAAACTTGGAAATTTTGAAAAAGCACGTATATACCAGCTTTAAAATTCATCCAAATTTCAGTTATTGAGCCAAGGTCTAATGTTCCACGGTTTGATATGGGTCAAAAAATAAAACGACCCTTCCTGTTCTAAAAATAACCCCTGGTCATTATGCACCCCATGAAGGAAGGAAACAAGTTTTTCACATCCATGAGGGATTGGACTCCACCCTGCATAATGTCCGAACGTCACGTCTGATATCAAGACACTCAAGCCATTGTGAAGGTTACTCCCACTTCCTGACCCCCCTTGTCTAGACAAGTTCTTGGGTCAGGGGAAACGTTGCTAGCAATGACTTATCAAAATAATCTTTGAAAATCATGTGTGCTGGATATCTTATGATAAGGCACAGCTTGTGAAATTGTTTGGCAGTGACATAGCATTGGGAGGGGGTATATACCCCCCCCCCCTTTTAATATCACGCAAAATGGCCCTATTCGCCTTATTCAAATAGATGAAAAATTTAGGTGAGTTTATACACAATGTAAATATCTTAAAGCTGGCCCTTTTCTTTTCTTCTTCCAATTTCCACCTTTTTTATGTCTAAAACACTACCCCCCCCCATCAAAATGACCCTGCTTTCCATCCCAAATACAAACAAGAAACAGTTTCATAAATAAATACAGAATGCAGAAATGTGTGAGCACAAGCATGCTGCATTTTGTATATGTTCATTCAAATTTTGACTATGAAAATTCTCAACTGCAAGCAGTAGACAATGCCCCCTCCTGATAAACCTCCCACAGTACTGACGCCACAGTATGTAGTTATTTTGATTCCAATGGCGCAGATATGCTCCAACAGAGCTTAGCAAAGCACGCATCCCCTCAAAATTTGACAACTCTTACAAAAGAATCTGAACTAACCTGCGTAAAAGCACCAGCGCTACTTCCCGCCGAGCCACCTACGCCTGCAGCAGCTAGAGCAGCACTTAGCTGAGCTTGAGTGATTAGCTGTGGACGACTGGAACTACGACCCTAAGAGACACCAGAATGTGAAGCAAATAAACATCAGCAAAATTAATCTACTTTGTGTATGATGGATTCCCCCCCCCCCCCCTCCACCCCCACCATATCAAAAAGTCATTGGCTGCGGTGCCCACTGCTGCATATTCCAACCGGCCAGCCTACCCTGGTCAAGACATCTTCGCCAGGAAGTAGGAGGTTGTGGGTTCGAGTCCCACCCGAGTGACCTTGTGAACTTTTTCTTTCAAGCTCTCGGATAGCACTGAGTCTACGAAATAACACTGATAAAGGGCAAAAGCCAATATGGAAATTAAAAACTCAAATCATGCACCAACAAAACAATTAAAGATTATTAACTAGCAAGGAAACTTTCTGGCAAGGAAAAGTTTTGGCAAGGAAAATTTGATCTTGAGCCTCCCAAATCCCAAGAGCCCAGTTACTTTTAGGTCATTTCCTTTTACTACTTTTAGATCATGTTTGACCTTGTGGCCCTTGAAAGTACACAAAATGTGTTGCTGGTTTCCTGAACAGTTGAAGATTTTGAGAAATTCAGGAAGGTTTTGAATAAAAAATGTCAAGTATTTGCCAGATTTGACGATTTTCCTTTTGCGATAAACAAATTGCCATATACATGCGTGCAAAATCACAGCAAGTACCAAAATTTCTTAACGTTCGGACAACAAACTTTTTCAGGTGTTTTGTATGCCCCAACAGTGAGAACGTAAAGTTCCAATGTCGTTTTGATTGGATGAAAAATTACAGAATGCAGATTCGGTTACCACGTCCCACATATACTTGCTCGCAATTCTTTGCCGCGTTTATCCCGAAGTAAAAATCATAGAATCTTGTATAAATGCACATGCCAAATTGGGATACCGATTTGACTTATTAGGTTTAAGCATATACACGAACTTGCCAACTTCTGCCAAGTATCGAGCAGTTTAATGAAATTGACCCAGGCCTATTAACGGATACATGTAGGTCAGGTCAGATATCAGTCCAAATCACAGGAAAGCAGAAATAAGTCTTGACCTCCTCTTCCTAATTCTATTTGGTTTCCAGCTCAGCAGGCCTTCTTTGAATGATCAGCCATGATTAGTTCTATCCTCTAAAGACCCCCAAAATAAAATTAAAAATGTGCATGCCATTTAAATTCAGATATGAAGGCAGTCACTAGTGCTTGTGAATATATCTTGTATGATCTTAATACCAAGCTAATACATCCTAAGTAAATAACTGCTGCGTGCTTTAAAGGTAATATACAACAAGTTAGAAATAAATGGATTTGGGGATTGGTAATTATGTAGATGGTTGAAAAACCAAGAAAAAATTATATTCTTGTAGTCTTATGGTTCCCTGGCCCTTCTTCAGACAAAAACGGAGCAATTTATCAGACGTCGGGGAAATGCCAGGTCAGGGAACCAGACTTGCTGGCTTGCACCCGTTCACGGATGTGCAACCAATTGCAAACAAAATGTTGACTAACCAAATTTGGTTAATTGGGGGGCACCATTTGAAGACAGTCAGTTTTTTCCAATGATGGTTGACTGACCATCATTGGAAATTTATTTCAAAATTCCACTTTTCTTGAAAACGACAGCACACCAGGTGCCACGATTTCACAGGACGCTTGAGGCTATTATTCACTTATAGTCAAGTGAGGTATTTCACATTAACTTGGTCGGTTTTTTTTGTTTGCAAATGTTGTATATTACCTTTAAAGAAAGGAAAAGTAATTTATATACTTTACATTCACCGTATATAAGACACCTGGAAAAGAAATCAAACATGCAAGAATGTTCTGGTGCATCAAGTGAATGAAAGTTTTTTGTTAAATCTAAAACGTATCCAAACCAAATATATTCTTTGACACGCACAAATGATGCGGGAGCATATGCGTGTCAAACAAGAAGATAATGACGAAATAGTCAAGGAGATAAATGAAAAGGTGACAATGACAAAAGGGCTTACTGCAAAAAAAGAAGTTGGAGAGGAGTTGTTGATAAAATCGTAAAGCCATCAAGAAGAGATAAACTAAAAACTTACATCTGAGGACGTGTCCATTTCATCATCAGACAAATCGGGTTGAAGGGACCCTGAAGAGTAAAAAGGGATAGTGCACTCAATTAAACCTCTAGCAATTCAACTGGGATCAATATTGGTGTTAATGTAGTGAGATCAAGTGCACTCTCAGTTGTTGTACGTCCAAAAGTTTTGCAAGTGATTTGCATATTTTCATGAAACACTTTGATTTGCATAGTGTGACCTTTGTGCTTCCGCGAAAAGGCAACTTGTAACAAGTTTTGTCCTGTGGGCTTTCAGCAGAGAAGACCGATACTAAATGTGGCTATAAATTCTCTCGTTTTTGTAGGGAGCATGGCTCCTGCCATGCTCCTGAGGTATATTACTGAGCGAGGGTGATCTTATAAAAACTTCCCAGTGAGTATTGCTCTGTAATATAATCGTTTTGTGAGAGAATTGTGGTATTTTTGTGACAGACATCATTCAGTTTATTGTACTTTAGTGTTTAGCGTTTACGTACACAGCTTGTGTTGAACTTTGACAGACATTGTATTTACTGTGTCATTTTTCTTTTGTGCAAATGGGCTTGAATGCTTGAAGTCTTGTAGGAATAAATTAATCAAGTTCAGAAGATGATTGTCGTCATAGTTGTTGATATTTCAAATTAAATTAATTAAATAGGGTTAAATTAGTTTGATCTGGGTGTTCTCAGGCTGTGGACTGACTCGATGCACAACCACGCAAAAATACGTGTCCCAAATCTTGGCCGTTCTGCAGATACATGTACATGCTTGCCAAATTCCTGGACACCGCCTTCTGTTTTATTTTTAGATCCAATCAAGATTTTACGATGAGAAAAATGTTTAGTGTTTTCATAAAATCAAAAAGCCTGAATTGAGGTATTATGAGTAACGGAATCATCAACAAAGAACCTCACTTCATACTTGAGAAAGTACAGGAAAAATCCGAAAGACATGGGAACCATTCATGACATGGTTCAATCATGTCCATGGTTCAACAAAACTTCGGAACAGCTGAGAGGAATAAGTGTCCCAAAACTAAAACGTCACCGATTGAGAGACGCTTCCGTTTATCTACCTACCCTGTTCATTATCAGCCCCTCTTGCCCTGTCGGTCTGTGCACCTTCTTCAGTGACTGACGCAGCTACATGCATGACAGCATGGCCAATGGCTGGATGTGCACGCACGATCCTGAAAACAAAATTTCAAGAGCAAAATTGCGGTTAAAAATCATTTTTCAGTGAATCAATAATTTCATTGACAAAAATAAAAGATAACACCCTACTGGATGATAAAATTTGCAGTGTTATATTATTTTATTTATTTGTTTATTTCATTCTTATTTTAACTCGGTAGCCCATTCAGTGGAATCCACTGTTCTCCCATTGGGCCCAGTAAAGAGAAGACAGTGTGAAGAAATTACAATTTGAGATGTGGGAGGAAAACCCCAGAAGAGTATTATGAGGAAAGCCCCCGGAATCAGGTAGGGACTGAAAACCCAATCCACATATTGTCCCAGGCAGGAATCGAACCTGGGTTATACAGCGGTGGAAGACGAGAAAAGTACCGCTACGCCAACCCAACTCCCCATTTCACAATACTCTGTATTTTTGACTAAACCAGCTCATTCAAGTCCTGAGCTTAAGAAGCTGGAATATGAACCTGGTGCACTGTAGTATAATATGATAAAGAAAAAATTCAACAACGTTTAGTTTTGTTTAGGTCTTACCTTCGCACATTATCGGCATCAGCAATCTGTATCAGGAGCTCTGGGTCTCGAAGCATTGCTGTGGAATTTTTGTTAAAAAAAAGAGATTATGCAGCATGTCTGATGACTGATTTTACAACATGTCTGAGGTTGATATTTTTGGGCAAAACTAAGTATTTTGGGATTTTACGGTTACAAGAACAAGGGTGGAGGAAAGCTGGGTTTATAACAGACTGGGACCTTAAGTGCTGAAAAACATGCAAAACGGAATCAGACCAACTGGACTCACTGTTTAGCGAGCAAAATTCTCCAAAATTGTCATTGGGCAAAGACAAGGTCCTCAGTATTTCACCAGCCAAGTTTGAGGTCCCAATCAATTTATAAAGAAGACTTATTCTTCATTTTTTTGCACATGAGAAGGAAGTAAAGTAATTTCAAAATGAGGCTAAAGACCAGACTGGTACATGTCCATCCATGGTCCACCAATGCCAACTGTTTGAAAAGACTGACCTCTTCATTAGTCTGGTGGCTGACTATGGAGAAATATGTAGAAATAGAGACCGGTACCAGATGTTTCTTTCGGCAGTACTGAAGGGGTGTTGGACTGGTTGTTTCAGGTGCCAGTCTATTTTCTTGTATTGCATGTTTTCAATACCTTAAGTTCTGGGACTTTCATACACAGTATTGAGAGTCCCAAATTTTCAAACTATTTTTAGACACAGTGTATGCATCCAAGATTTGTATAAGTAGCCCTAGGTCTTGAAGTATTAAGAGGAAGATTTTTTTGGTCAAAAAAGTTGAGTTAAAAAGAATCATGTACAACATTATGATTGTCTAGTAATAAACTGTACTTCGGGCTGTATATATGGTAAACAAGAAAACCATCAAAATCATCGGGTTTGTTAAATATTGAGCCATAGACTGGTATACTTACAAACTGCTGTGTGGTCTGCAGCCAGACCAGGGGTAGCTGTTATGATGTTGTCTATGGTTTCAGTGCTTGTAAGGATCTTATGCACCTACGTCAAAAACAAACAGGGCACAAATCAAACCTTTTAAAAAGTTAAAATGCTTCAGAAAATCTTGAGGAAAAAAAATCATCCATTTAATGCCATAAATCATTTAAAATATGGAAATAAATGTGTGATTGGGAGGTATTAAACACTCTGTTTAAGACTGGTTAATACCGTTTCGGTAAAAACAAATTTCAAAACTTTTCTGTCCATATGAGTAAAAAACGTCAAAAATTATAAATTATAAATTTCCAATGATTTTGTTCAACAAAACACCCCTCTAGTTATACAATGGTAAGGCCCTCTGGTAAACAACTCCTTATATGGAGATTGGCGCGCCCGTCGTGTGTACTGCGTGATGTCCCGCAGAATGCAGATGTAGTGGTGTGGTGTGAATTAAGGACTATGAATACTGACTCACTTATTGCGCATGCCTACATGTACGCGAGTATTTTGAAGGTTCAGCCAAAAAAAAGGTGCTGGCACCGGATTTCACAGAGTCCAAATTTCATGTGACACTGGAAAAATGACCAGCCAGCCGTGTCTTTGTCAACCGTTTAAAAATTGGCCACGTGACAGCCTCTCGACCAATAGGAATGGGTAAACTGACTTAGATATTTATAAATAGTTGTTTTAGATGGAGAATAGAATTGTTTAGCCAAACTTACAGCTTGTCTGTGGGCGGGGTTTAGGAGAGCAGCATGAAGGGCGGTCATCAAATGACGAATTCCGACGTCATCCAATGGTTCTAGAAGATGAGTGAATGGGTTATTTAATGAGGAAGACATAAGAAAGTTGTCTGTAGGGGTAAACGTGAATTAAATAATTGAAGACAAAAAATAGTTTCAACAAATCGCACAAAGTAATTGTAAAGGCAATTCTTTTTTTTTTCGTTTTTTTTTCAAAAATTTAAAATCAAAGATTTATCTTGACACAGGAGACTGGGCACTTATGCCATCATGACTGAAATATTAATTATCATCACTTACCATTTAGTCCAGCGGATATGTGACAAAATATCGATGAATTGTGCACTTTTGCATAAAAGCGTGAAACATTTAGGGGCGTGGCATCCATTTAAAAAAAGGGGGGCGGGACTTGTCGTGCCCGCAGTGAAAATGGTTTTTCCCACTTGTTACAAAAGCAGGAAACTTCACAAAGACATAATTATATAGATTATTAGTGTTTTCCAGATTCGGCGCCACCACAAAAGTACCTTTTGGGGGGCGTGGCAGCCATTAAAAGAAAAGGGGGGGGTTTAATTATTATGCCCACTTTGGAAAACATTGTGCCCATATGTCATGAACGAATAAAACGTCCCACAGACGTTTATATTCATGAGAAAAAAAATTCCAGTTGTGGAGCCATCTCGAACACACCCTTTTAGGGGCGTGGCAACCATATAAGAAAAAAAAGGGGGAGGGGTTTTCATTATGCCCACCCTGGAAATATTGTTCCAAAACTCATAGAGAAATGGAACTTTCCAGAAACATCGACATTCATAAGAAAAAAATTCCAGATGTGGAGCCATCTCAAACACACCCTTTTAGGGGCGTGGCAACCATATAAGAAAAAAAAGGGGGCGGGGTTTTCATTATGCCCACCCTGGAAATATTGTTCCCACATTCATAGAGAAATGGAACTTTCCACATACATTGACATTCATGAGAAAAACAATTCCAGATGTGGAGCAATCGCGAACACACCCTTTGACAAGTCCCGCCCCCCTTTTTTTAAATGGATGCCACGCCCCTAAAAGGGTAAATTTGCGATGGCTCTACATCTAAAACATTTTCTCGCATGAATATAAACATCTGTGCCAAGTTTCACGCTTTTATGCAAAAAAAAAAGTGCACAATTTTTTCACATATCCGCTGGACTAATTGTGCGCTACTAACAAGAAGTATTGCTTTTACTTAGAACAGAAACTTAACATGAATTACTCTTTTTATTTCTTTGTTAAAAACATGAAATTCCAGTCATATCATCCTACCTGCCTGTACTATTGGTATGGGTTCTTTCTTCCTCAATGCATGGACAGTGCATCCTGATTCCAATCCATATAATTTCAAGTTGTCTGCATCCCGTAAGAGTCGACCGCAGTAAACCATCGCTAACGGGTAAAAAAAAATATGGGAATATTGGAAGAACTATTAACACAATTATTGGCTCAGTAACACCATTTTGTGAAGCAGTCAAATTTGGTCAAACTCATCTTTCGTAGGTCACAAACAAAGCTTTTTGTCACTGAATATAGGCTCACAAAAGAATGCCCTATTGTAGTAAGCATACATGTAAATAAAGATGTCAACCGCTGCACACACTGTGAATATGCAAAACCGCATTGATTTGCATGGCATCAACTGTAAAATCCCATTTTCTACTGAAAGATGCTGTTCAAAATTACAAATACAATATTTCAAAAACCTATCTAAGGTTGCAGAAGTTGTTTACGAATGATAAAAACACTTTAAGGACTAAACCAAAAGAGGGTTCGTAACTACACAATCGCCCATACTTACTGCCATAGACAGGGATGTTAGGCAAGTCCATCACAAGTCCCTGCAAGTCATTGCAAGTCCTCCAGTCCCAATTCAACTCACACGCTTTTCAAATGAGCTTTGACAAAGGCATTCCTTTGTTTTTGTTCATCTTCTGTTACCTGTGGCTTGTTTTTTTTTATGTATTTATGACTAGACTTGTGGTGGACTGGAGTTTTTTTGAGTGGACTACATGGACTTGACTACATCCCTGCCCATAGACGGACGAGATGGTTAACATGGCGATTGTGTAGTTATGGGCAGGTTTCTCTGTAAGAGAACAAAATCTACAATTTAGTTGACTTACAAAATTGTACATGACTTACCAAATTAGTTGGTGACATTACGTACATGGAGGTATGTTATACATGTAGATAGAGGGCAGGGTTTTGATGTTTTGAAGAAAATTTGGGTAAAAATGACAATGACAACGACAAAACGCAACATGAAAACAAAGTCATGAAAGATGGCGATCACGGCCATGTACCGTGAACACAAGGCGCGCTGTCAATCGTGTACGAAAATCATATATTCTACTAATGAAGGGCTTGTAACTACACAATCACCGTTAACAACACTGACAAAAACTTAGCACTTCAAGTTCAACAATGTCAATAATGATGAAATACGACAATGTCAAATTCGTTACACTGGTGAACATGGTGAGGGAATGGGGAACCTTGTATTCATCATTTTCTATCAAGTATCATTACTAAACAATATGTTGAATTTTTCCACGTTTCTTGCAACAATGACAATGTGAGTGCAGTTAGCCAGTCAATGGCAATGCGCTAGTGCGTGCGCACGGCCGCTTCTTCAAGTAAAAAAACTGGCATTGATTTTGTACACAACTTGATTCAAATTTTTCGAGTCACGGCGATACGATTTTGTTTAACAGCCGACATTTCGGAAATATAAATCTTACAAAGTTCAGAAGACGGTAGACCGATGGCCGTGGACACTCTTTCTCGTAAAGTACTGACTGATCCAGAAAAATCGATTTCATCAAGTCGTGTTCGCCCAGTTTTCTCGGAAAATTTTACACAAATACTTCCCACGGAATTCGCCATGTTGACAATAATGCGCCCTCATTTGTCTCAATCTAGAAATTTCTCACTATAAATTCTCATGACGTCAGCACGCCTCCAACGTTTTACATGAATATGCATTGCATTGCTAATAGCATGGTGCTTCAACGGGAGTGTTATTCTACAGCTTTGATAAAGGTCAGGTGTCAATCTGCCCTCTGCTGAATATAAAATAATATGCAAATCAATTCAAAGCACATTCTGGAAAAGTAGGCGGGGCAAAGAATGATCTTGAACTCGAATTTTCCAGACGGAATGAAAAGAATGTTTGTCCCGGGAATTTTCTCGAACCATTTTTGTTAGTATAAAGTCGGCACATCGGCAGTGCATCGTCAGATTTTGGAACGAAGCAAACAGTCGATTGGAATAGACTGCCTGAACCGACAAGCGGCGATTCACGGACAGAATATTTTTCCCAGCAGGCGATATATTTTTTTGTCGGAACTTCATCAAACAATATTTTGCATCTTGATTAAGTGAGCTTTCTACAACTGTGAAGATGGCCAAGTCGAAAGCTATCGGGATTGATCTGGGGACCACGTACTCATGTGTTGGGGTCTTCCAGAATGGAAAGGTGGAGATCATCGCCAATGACCAAGGCAACCGGACCACGCCGAGTTATGTCGCCTTCACTGACACGGAGAGACTGATCGGAGATGCGGCCAAGAATCAGGTTGCTATGTAAGTACATCTCAAGTTCCTCTTCATCGGATAATAAATTAAGATTAATTTGAAAGAACGCAGGCCCTAGGCATAGAGTTGTATATTATAAACATTATAAGGCTCACATCGTGGCCAGTATCTTGACCATATTATTTTGTCTATCACATGAACGACACAATCTTGAGAGGTCATTATAAATTATCGATGCATCGTTATTTTATTAAATTAAACTAATATAAAGAAAAATACATCTTGCCGACACTTTTTGGTGTAAATAATTATTATACGATTGTATGTATAACTCTAGGGGTAAAATGATTAATTTTACAGCCTAGATTTTGATCTTTAAAAAAAATAAATACAAGACCATTTTGAAGATTTCTCATCGATTTCATTTGTACACAACCAACATACAAGTAGGCCTACATGTATAGTGTCGGCTGAAATGTACATTCATTCCCTCCACTTTTCATCTGTGTTTATATTGTACCTGCTGCTTATTATTGTATGGCACACACGATTGTATACCTTGACTCGTCTTGGTCTTGGTCATGGTCATGACATGGCCGCGACGTCAGGCCGGTGACGTGAAGTGTGAAATTTGAACTCGACAAAAATACGGACTCGATCATAATTATAACGCATGCCTAGTGGATCTTGGACAGAATAAGAATAGACCAGATTGTACAGGGTGAGTCAAAAAGCGGAACCCAAACCCCCAAAAAGATATTTCATATTTAAAAATATATAGCACCAAACATAATAATGGCCGGAAAGCCTATATTTTAAAGCTACTTTTAGATGAAAATGACACAGAATATCTCAACAACTGTCAACAACTGTAGTACACAATATCTTTATAAACAGCCCTGGTTAGGCAAACAACATGATTTATATAATCTACTTTTTTTTTTTTTAAATGGGCCTTCAAAAGGACTTTGTTGAATATTTGCAACTTTTAAACTGAGGTTTTATCGCTGGTGATGTTTGAAGACAATTGTGACGACGATTCTTGAAATCGCATTTTTGGACGAAAGAGGTATAAGGGTCATTGTGTTTAAAATGGTGAAATTTTTTGAACGAATTGAGCAATTCCAGTATTTTTTTCATCTAAAAGTAGCTTATGAAATTGGCTTTCCAGTCATTATTATGTGTGGTGCTACATATTTTTTTAAATATGAACTAATTTTGTGGGTTTGGGTTCCCCCTTTTTTGTTTTACTCACCCTGTATTGGAGTCCAAATTTCATACGACACCGGGTCTTAACGTGCACAAACGCATGGCCGGGTTTGATATGCTTGAGTGATTTTCCCGAAAAGAGCATTTGTGTGATTTATTCGGTTGAATACATGTATTTAAAAAAAAATGCAAAATTTAAGGGTATGTTTGAACCTGCAGGCAACACTTGAACTAAAAGATGAAATAATAACTTGATAAATTGGTAAAAAAACAACTTCCACCTTCCTCTTAAAATCATATTGGGTAAGTTTTTTTCGGCTCACGATGTTCTTCAATACTTGAAAAGATGAACTTTATTTAGGGATATGGCCTATGACATGGAGGATTTTTGTGTTTGTCTAAGTTCCGAGTGAAGTTTTTGAAATAAAAAGTGTGGATTTGATGACAATAATAATTTCATAAATTTATAAACTTTGCGTATTTTTCTCACAATATTTTGTACTTTTTGGATTTTGTTTACAGGAACCCGAAGAACAGCATCTTTGATGCCAAGCGCCTGATTGGCCGCAAATTTAACGACCCACCCGTCCAAGCTGACATGAAGCACTGGCCGTTCACTGTGATCAACAAAGGCGGCAAGCCGATGTTGGAAGCAGAGTACATGGGAGAGAAGAAGCAGTTCACCCCAGAGGAGATCAGCTCCATGGTCCTGGTCAAGATGAAGGAGGTAGCCGAGGCGTATCTGGGCCAGAAGGTCAAGGATGCAGTGGTGACCGTGCCTGCGTACTTCAACGACTCCCAGAGACAGGCTACCAAGGATGCTGGCGTCATCGCTGGACTGAATGTCCTCAGGATCATCAATGAGCCAACGGCAGCTGCTCTTGCCTACGGACTTGATAAGAAGCTCAAGGGAGAACAGAACGTGCTCATCTTCGACATGGGAGGCGGCACCTTCGATGTGTCCATCCTGACTATCGATGATGGAGTCTTTGAGGTGAAATCCACGGCTGGGGACACTCACCTTGGTGGAGAAGACTTTGACAATCTCCTGGTAGGGCATCTGGCGGCTGAGTTCAAGAGGAAGAACAAGAAAGACATGTCCAACAACCCGAGGGCTCTGCGCCGTCTGCGCACGGCTGCTGAGCGAGCCAAGCGCACGCTGTCAAGCAGCACCACCGCAAACATTGAGGTTGACTCCCTCTTTGAGGGAATCGACTTCTACACCAGCGTCAGCAGAGCCCGCTTCGAAGAACTTTGCTCCTCTCTCTTCAGGAAGGCTCTTGGACCGGTAGAGCAAGCCCTGTTGGATGCCAAGCTGGATAAGAACAAGGTCGATCAGGTTGTGATGGTAGGAGGCTCCACAAGAATTCCCAAGATCCAGAAGATGTTGCAGGATTTCCTGAACGGGAAGGAACTGAACAAGTCCATCAATCCAGACGAGGCTGTGGCATACGGTGCTGCTGTCCAAGCTGCTATCTTGACTGGTGATCAGAGCGATGAGGTGAAAGATGTTCTCCTGGTGGACGTAGCACCTCTGTCTCTCGGCATCGAGACCGCTGGCGGTGTCATGACCAAGCTTGTGGAACGCAACTCTCGTATCCCTACCAAAGCCAGCAAGACCTTCTCCACTTACTCTGACAACCAACCAGGAGTCAGCATCCAGGTCTTCGAAGGAGAGCGAGCGATGACCAAGGACAACAACCTCCTGGGTACCTTTGAACTCTCTGGGATCCCTCCTGCACCACGCGGTGTGCCTAAGATTGATGTCTCCTTTGACATTGATGCGAACGGCATCCTGAATGTATCCGCTAAAGACGAGAGCACTGGAAAGTCCAACAGCATCACCATTAAGAACGAGAAGGGACGCCTGAGCCAAGCAGACATCGATCGTATGTTGTCGGATGCTGAGAAGTACAAAGCAGAGGATGAGGCTCAACGGGATCGCATCAGTGCCAGGAACGGCTTGGAGTCATACGCTTACAGTCTCAAGCAAGCCGTTGATGAAGTCCCTGAGGGGAAACTGACTGATGATGATAAGAAGAAGGTACGAGATGCCGTCAAGGAGACCGTGGACTGGATGGAGAGAAACACTCTGGCTGAGAAGGATGAGATCGCTCACCAGCAAGAAGAGCTTTCAAGGATGTGTTCTCCTGTCATGTCTAAGCTCCACGGAGGAGCCGGGCAGGCTGGTGGACAGGGACCATCTGGAGGCAGCCAGGGCCAACAAGGGCCTACAGTTGAAGAGGTTGACTGAACTTACAACTCGAAAAACTTTTAATGGTTCTTGTTTTGTTATACGCCACTGAAGCATTAGTTTCGATTGGAACGAGTAGCTAGGATGAGCAGTTGTAGTTTCATTATTTTAGTAATTTAAAAACGAGGATAGACAGTATTCCACAGCATATTAGGGCAAAACATTTTTTTCTTGTTTGTTATTTTTTCGTAATGAAAAAAATATTAACAATGAACTACAAAAGAAATATCATAAAACAGTTTACGATTCATGTGCAAGTAAAATTTGTTGTATATAGCTGAAAGGCAGTTGGTTAACATTTATTGTAACTGGTTAGTTTATTTTTTTATAAACAGTTACCGAAGAACAAGTAACGTTATGCTGAATTATTGTTTTTGTTACTAATATACTTATTATGTAATGTAGAAACAAAGACTTATTTTTTTTTCAATGAACTGGCAAAAATTCAAGAAGTTGATTAAGTAGTGACAAGTTGTCAATGACAACGAAGATTTAAATGGAGCTTCTTATTCAGGCATGAGATTTTTCAGACTTTTGTCTGAAATCAGACTTTTTGAATATGAGAGAAAGACATTATTACTTTAGTATAGAAAGGTATGCATCTTTCAGATATGTCATCAATTTTCAGACTTTGTTTTAAATTGACAATCTCATATCCCTGCCTTATTTGAAGAAAAAAAAATATAAGAAGTAAGCCCAAAATAGATTATTAAGGGAAATGTGCCAAAAGTTTCAATCAGCAAAAATAGCAAAAGAAAAAAAATACACTGTATACCTTAAGTTTCAGGAAGCTTGAGAAGTATGTCAGTTTTGCATTGCTTAATACTTGTAAATAACTCATGGATATTCTTGTACTAGTTTTAATGACTTGAATTCATTAAATTAATTGTTCGTTAATTTTCTTGTACTAGGTTTAATGATATATACCTGTTGATTTCGGAGAAGAAAAAAAAACATTTTTATTTAATGTTAACGTGTTTTACTTTTGATTTCAAGAAGCTGATTCATCAATACTCTTGGAAAAGACTTAATGACATGAGTATGTTAAAATCTCGGTGAAATTAAAAACAAGTACATGTAATGCATCGAGGAACTTAGCACTGTAAAGAAAAACATAAGGAGTTTTTACATATAAATGTTTAAAATGCCAAAAGAAAACCTTCAAAAGATTCCTTTGATATTGCTGATTTTTGCTCTTACACAATTAACTTACAGTATAACAAACTTTTAATTAATATTGAAATTGTTATTCAAACAATATTGTTTAAAATTATAACTACTAAAGGCAAAGAGTGAGGCCTCATGTTTTATATTTCTAACGGGATTCGTTTTCAATCTGTGACTATTATGTTGTCGCTCTTTTAAAGTTTTAAAAACGTGCAAGAAAATCTGAGGTTCAGAGTTTTATTGTTTACATTTGTTAATATTTTCTCTTAATGATTATATAAACTGTTAATGCAATAAAGTGTTTTGTTCAGTGTTTAACGGCATTATTTGTGTGTCGGCAAAGGCATTTTGATGGTATTATTGTGACATGACATACATTTCCTGTATTAAACAAAAGTGCAATAATTTCGTTTTCCTTCTCTGGTGACGTAAAGAATTCAACAGACAGAATTGTCATATGCCTCGTTTTGGAAAAATATTCGGAAATAATAGTAGAATTTAGTCCGCAGCTCATCAACTATATTAGCAAGACTTAGCATAAAATTGAAACAAAGTATCGAAACCATGACACCCAAACAGGATAGCTAAACATTATGTCGAAGATTATGATAAGGTACAGAGCAAAACAATATTCAATAAACTGGTGACATAATCTTTTCTGTTGGGACAATTATTGATGTATGATTGGGTTTGTTTATGGTGTAAATCGTCCTCAAACGTGTACAAAACCAACTTGTGGGAGCTGTTGCAAAAAAGTTTGATTATGAACAAAAGCTCGATGATAAAAAAAGGAACACTAGGAAATCTCGATTTACACCATAAACAAACGTGTGCCAACCTTGCCATCTTTGTGTGGACCTAAAAACAAAACAGGTCCACACGATGCAGGTTATGTGAACCTTTTGTGGACTCAACGTTTCCCCCTCTGAAAAAAAATCAGGTTTAGATGCACTTTTTGGTTAGCAGGGCTTTTTGTCGCAAAATGCAGAGGAACACTGGAGGAAATTGTAGTAATAAAATTGGGTTGAAAGAATATTCGCATTGCGAGTAAATAAGTTTTTGTCCCCGGTTTTTCTTAACTACACGAAAACAAAGGAATATCCATAGTAGGCAGGTAATGCAAGTCTATGGGGAGGGGGATTGAGGGGGCGTATCATACCGTAAGGGGCACGTGTCTCCCCCTCCCTCCAACAGATGTCCATGGCCACTGCCTTCTCCACCCCCTCCTCCCCACGTTGAAAATGTTAAATTGAAAAATATATATTCAGAAAAATTTTATCACCCCCAAGTTCCGCTTTAGAAGTTTGACCCTAGTTACGTCGCTGCCCGATTCTTTTACCGCGCGGCGCTCTGAACTAGGAAGACGCTTTGGAGGATCAAAGCCGCCGGTGAGGAAGCTTATGCACTTATAAAGTGATATTCAAACCGGGGTCGCCTAAAACAGAAACTCGGGATGCGTTGCTGTTCCAGCTGGCAAGGGTTGAGAGGGAGATGGGGTTTGACGTATTAAAACAAAAGTTGGCGGAGTGACGATATAGCTTTCGTGGGCGCGACTTTGGTCTCCCCTTCCAATTCCAAAGGTTGTCCCCACTAAATTTTCTGCAGTGCAGAAGCATGAGCACTATACAAGAATTGTTGCAATAACGTACATTATTATAATGCCTCGGTTGGTGTATGCGCCCATACCCCCACTCGATAGTGGCACTCTCACCCCGATTTACGATGCCGGGCCACCCACTTTAGTTTTTCGGTTCGATTAATTCCAGGATCCCTGCAAATGCAGGGCGGGGGTACGAGCGAAGCTTTTCGGCTGATAGTCTGAGAAACCTGACAATAGAGGGCGTATTGGCAACGCAGCGATAGACTGGTGCCAGTATCCATTCTAGCGCATACTTTATGTCAACGTGTCTGGGAAAGCGACCTCGCTCAAAACGAGAAACCTCTTTCTACCGAAATTCGTAAAAACTCTACGAAATATTTGATCAAAATGGGATTAATTCCAGGATCCATCGCCAGATATATCGGCCCTAGGTATATTGAACTATCAAGGAATTGGTAAGTTATTTCCTTTTCAATACATTGATTGGAAAAAGTAATATAAAATTCAAAGTAAAGTGATCAGGGATTCGACCGGCGTGAGGTAGTGAAACCGCTGTACCGTACGAGGAGGGCGGCACGTACGCGCACAGTGCATGCGATCAATGCGAATGTCAGACAAGTCAACCGTTGAGACAACTCGACTCGGGACAAGTCGACCGTTGAGACAACTCGACCGTTGAGACAAGTCGACCGTTGAGACAACTCGACTCGGGACAACTCGACCGTTGAGACAGCTAACGTTATAGGCAACAAAAAAAGGTCATGTGTCATAACTCCCAAACGGCGATCAGCCGCCGTCAAAATCCCCGGTACTATCCCCAAAACTAGGCCCAAAAACTAGCGAGGCGACTTGTCTCAACGGTCGACTTGTCTTTCCATTTATCGCACATACGGTCGAGTTGTCTCAACGGTCGAGTTGTCTCAACGGGCGACTTGTCCCGAGTCGAGTTGTCTCAACGGTCGACTTGTCTGACCCCCATCAATGCGATCCACTTGCGACTGGCACGGCGCGGGGTCGCCGCGCCGGGCCGAGGGGTAGTTCATAAGCCGGAGGGTACTGAGCCCCATTCCTGCTCGTGTCGATGTCTCATTGCAATTGGCATCGTTTATGATTACCCTGTAGTAAATTTGGGGGCACAATTGCAGAATACCCCGCCACTCGATCTATCATGCACCTCGTAGTCGTAGCCGGAGTCAGGGGAGTTGGTTTGGACATCAGCAACTCCCATTCATTTTGTGTTGCTTCATTCTCAAGCATTATCAAGGGGACTCCCACTCCGACCCGTATCCGCGTAGCCGGCAACACGGTAGTTGGTTTGGACTTACAATTTTTTTAAGCAACTGGAACTTCCATTCATTTTGTGTTACTTCGTTCTCAAGGGGACCCCCACTCAGTATCCGCGTAGCTGGCAATGGACTTGAATTGTTTCTTTTCCAGTGATTCCAACCGCGTAGCCAGAGATTTTAGGGTCGTACAAGTGGTGGGGTATTCTGCAAGTACTCCAATTTGGGAATACAATTTTACTGTCATTGTGCAAGTACGGTTTCAAGGCGGGGGGGGGGGGGTATTTATTTATGTCACACTAACCAACTGACACTCAGTTAAGCATGGGTGCCTGCACCCACGCGTATTTTACAGAACCGCGCTATTTTCGTTTTCACGAACTGACACCTGGCACTGAAACGAAACGTGAAACCAACCTTTATTTCATCAGTAAAAAGGTTTTCAATTAAAGTTTTGTGTAAGCCCACAAGTGTTCAGATGGATAAAATTCTTAATTGTATTGCGTTTCAGTTCGTGAAAACGAAAACTATTCTATATCGCGTCAGTGTGAGAGTGCGCGTGCACACACAGGTGCCAATTCGTGAAACTGAAATGAATGATAACGTGGTTTTCACGAACTCACACCACACTGCTTGTCAGTGTTAGTTTGTGAAACTGACAATTTATTATCAAACACATGTAGAGGAAAGTGAAGATTTTTTTAAAATTTGTTTTTTTTTAATGAGGTTCCAAAATGTAATTGTAGGGAATTGTGTTAAATATTTAATAGAATCTGATGCATTGCAAACAGCTTACAAGTAAATAAATTAAAAGATCTTAGTTCTAACGAGAAGGTCAATTTTGTTCTTGACAACTTCAAAGTACAATGAAAATTTTCTGGTAGAAATCGATGAGTTTATAGCAGTGAAGTACATGTATATTTGTTTCAGGAAAAGAACTGCAGGACTGTGGGGTGGAGTGCTGGGCATCACCTTTCTCTTTGCAACGGACTGGCAAGTCATCATGGGATACGTGCCATTTGTCAAGGGAAAATACAAGACAGAGGATTAATGCCGACTTACAATGCTAGATTGCTAGGAGTTAATTTGTTTAGGTAAGGATATTAGCATGATCGTGTGTAATTTCTTGATTTTACACTTTTCTGCCCCGGATTTTGTGAGTAATTTAGGTAGGAATCCAGCAAATGGCATTATAATGCTCTTGTCCATGTACAAGTTTTTTGGGACAATTTGTCACCAAGTGTTTCTCTCCATCCTGCAGTAAAACCAGTTGGGAAATTTTGTATGCGATACTTAAATTGGGAGTCCCAAGGCAGTGTTATAGTACTCGTACTCAGAACTCGTACTCGAGTACTACTCGAGTACTTTTTTGGTCGTACTTGTACTCGTACTCGAACCTCAAAGTACTGGTACTCGAAATGACAGTACTCGTACTCAGGCAGCAAAGTACTCGTACTCGAAATGTCAAAATTGTACTCGATCATCAAAGTACTCGTTCTCGAATAGCAGTACTCGGGGGGAAAATAGTATAGCTTGACTTTATACCAGAGCCTTACTTTATCGATACTTTCAGTTTGAAATGGTTGATTGGCTTGTGGAGAAGTCGAAGTGTCCTGATTTTTCTCTGTGCACGTCCGGACAAACACATTTAACAACTAGCCGTGATTGGGTCTGTATATCAGTCTGACTGGGCCTGGGCCAATTACGCACAACGAACCATTTGCCGTATGGCCGTGTTCGGAAATAGAAGTACCCGTACTCATACTCGGTAGTACAGTACTCGTACTTGGATACCTGTTCTTGTACTCCGAGGTACAGTACTCGTACTCGGCAGTACTCGGTACTCGGAAAAAAGTACTCGACTACAACACTGTCCCAAGGTTAATACGAGAAAACTGGCACACAAGACAACCAGTCCAATCCCCAAATAAATGATAGAAAAAAATTGTAATACATTGTCAAGTACCTTAAAGGGAATATACAACATTTGCAAACATCGAAAAATAAAACTACCAAGTTTTACGAAATACCTTACTAGGATGTTGGTAAATGACAGTCTAAAGCATCCTGTAAAATTATGGCACCTGGTGTCGAGTCATTTTCAAGAAAATGGTATTTTTGTTTACATTTCCAACGGTAGTCGGCCGACCACCGTTGGAAAAACCTAACTATTTTTCAACTACTGCTCCAAATTTACAATTTTTTTCAGTCCAAATTTTGTTTGCTATTGGTTACATGTTCATGAATGGGTGCAGGCCAGCTAGACTGGTTCCCTTATCTTACAATTTTCCGACATCTATAATTGATCCATTTTATCTTTAGCGGTGTCAGGGAACCAGACTTCATAAACAGTTGTGTTTTTCTTGGTTTTTCAAGCATTTTCGAACACAAAACTTCAAACATGTCAGTTAAACAATATTTGATCTATTATACTAACCCCTCAAATAGTTCATTTCTGGAAATTACAGCAAAAGCCAATGATGTACATTCCCTTTAACTAAGACCCTAAACTCCCTGGGCATTTTTGCTAGGATGCAACCTCAATCCTGCAAAATCTTCAAACTGCCTCCATGTAAAAAAAAGGGCATACAGCCTCAATCCTGCAAAATCCTCTGTTAGTGCTTGAATGTGGTCCTTCGAGGGGTGACCACTGCCTCAATAATGAAAATCATGCCGAGGCAGAGCCAGTGACATCCTGGAGCATGTGCAGAGGATTTCAAGTATAATCTAGGCCTAAATTTATGCATGACTGCGCAACAAAGGGTCTGGCCTAATCCTCCAAAATTTGCTGTATAGTCTCAATCCTGCAAAATCCTACATTTGGCAAAGAGGATTTTGGAGGATTTGGGAAGGTTAAGGTTCTGCAGTCAAAAGTTATATTTGTGTGTAGTACCAATATCTCAACTAAAACCATCCTTCATTTCTTTACTTTTAACAGATGTTGCAGTTTTTGCCAGATTGACATGTTCCTGTTTAGACATCTACCCACTTAGTCGCAACTGAACCTCCAGCCCTTCAACCATGGATCTCCTTGCTCTCTGGAACACCATGCTGAAGTATACGAGCAAAGAACATTCAAGCACATGTACATGTGTGCTTGCCTTGCTAGATAGGACACAAGTTACATTTTGACCCAATTTCAGAGTGAGACCCAACAAGATTAAATGTTTCCGAGTAACTTACTTAAAAAAATATTGAGCAACAAAGAATCCACTTGATCTATATCTCTCTCAGAAGATTCTTTCGTTGTTCTAAAGGTTAATTCAGATAGCATAAAAACCCAAAAGGCTCAAATTATCCTCAAAAATGGCAAACCGGACACAAAGGTGCATTTTCAAGGATTGCATTAAACAAAATTGCATTGCATGGCCCTTTAATTTAGAGTGCATGCATTTATTTATGTGTTCTCAATGCATGAAGTACAATGTAAGTTTTCGGCTACTGTTTTGGGTAATTTAGCTTCACCCAACACTTTTATTTTCTAGTAAACTGTCCTACAAAATCACACAATTCACTCTATTCATCAAAAGTTCATCAAAAGTATTATGATTGACATCTTAATTTATATTTGATGCCTGGCGAATATTCTTAAAAACAGTTTTATGTTGCTGTGTTATTATTTTCAAGGTAAAAATTGAGAATAAAGAAAGTTTTGAATTAAATAGCAAGAAAGCGTATTATCTGTGTGTGTGTCAACAAGAGTAAGAAGTAATCATAGAGCTATATTAAATTACTAGAGCGCTAACTCCTCATTCTTGCGTGCGGAAACGCTTTGAAGCCGTCCTGGGCGCAGACATTTTGAATGCATGTGCATATTGGAGAACACAATGAAATTAGATGGATTGAACTTTGAAAGTGTACTCTAAATGCAACGCGCAAGTAGAACATACGCAAACATTTTAAACGCGTCAAGACGGTTAAAAAAAACGTCGAGGCAAAATGCATCTGCAGCGAATACGCGCACGCGTTGCGTTGTTTGCGTAGAGAAAAAAGAAATGCTCATTTGCTGATCGTGCATTTCGGTTTTGGGCGTATCGGCTTCGAAGACGCACTGGTATGGAATACAAACGCAGATATGCAAATAGCCGTATAAAAGCCGTACAAAATTTCGAGTTTTCCATAGGTTTGTGTACAAACATGGATGCGCCCATCAGGCATCTCTTTGTACATCGGGTTAGCGCTCTAGTAATTTAATATAGCTCTATGGAAGTAATACATGTACATGTATAAGTTGGACTAAATGAGATCCACAGAAATGTTGTTTCATGATCGCTTGCTGGCTTAAGGTGGGCATCCTTCAACAATTAGAATGACACGCTTTTAATTGAAACACTTTAAAATTGAACGTGAATGTTTCAAGAAAGACACGTCATGTCCCTGATATAGCTGCTAAACAATAATTCAAGAACAATTCAAAAATAGGCCTACATGAAGATGATAATTGTATAAACATTGTTAAACCCAGCAGAAAACTTTGGCCTAAATTGTAGCCTTGGTCAAGGCGCTAGTTGTTATTCATCCCGGCCGTAGCGCAGTAAACGATATCCTCGCTAGCGCTATGCATGCAGTGCATTAAAAATACAGCGACCTGAGATGTTATAACTTTTTAGCCTGGAGCCTTGCGAACCTTTGGCACCAAAAATCTAAATATTGGACCAGGGGTTGTCGCGCAGTGAAAGATTTCCAGCACTACGCGCCGTGAAAACTGAATTTTCCCATATAAGTCGTATACACAGACCAGAATTATTGTTCGTACATATGAACAATTAATTAGCCATAATTCCAAAACCCTTTGACCTATAGTCAGGAAATTTCTTGGGTATGTTCATGAAGAATTGCTCTATGCATGTACCGAGTTTCAAAATTTTTCCTCACTCGATGGCCGAGATCTTACGGGGGGCGGGACCCCCCCCCCCAACAGATGGTCAAAATAACCCGGCCCTTTTAGGGTTAACACCAGTTCCTAGATCCACAACCTCTTGGGGAATCTCTTCATATGGTGATGATGGTGTGTTCACATAGTTCTTCCAAATAGAACAACCAGATAAGAAACATGTGACACATCGAAAAGCACTTTCATCGGCTCTTCCGGTTGTGATGTGTTTGGACACAAGACTTGAGATAATCGCAGTCCTACTGCTGGGTAATGTATCAAGTCTGTTTCTGCTCCATCTTAGAGACACTTGCTGGCAACGTCCTCTTATCAGCATCACCAAGTTCCTCGGAAGTTTCCTCCTGTTCTTTGTTTCGCTCCTGCGCCTGCTCCAAATGGTATTTTTGCAAAATTGGTTTGTAGATGTAGAGTCCTGCAAAACCTCCGACGACGGTTGCTATAACCATGTGGGGAAAAGGTATCCTGGGAATTCTCAGAACCATGTTGATGTTGATGATCTGCTTTCTGAAACAAAGCAAAAATATAAAAACTGTTAATAATTAACTGTTTAGATTTTAACACAAATCAAAGTTGCAAAATGTAACCCTGCAGTGACCAATCACTCAGCCACTGGAAAGCGATAACATGTCCTAAAAAAAGTCAAATTTAGCAGGAAAAATATTGCAGCATTTTGCGAAAACACTTGAAGTTGGAATTTTTCAGACATGTAGGCCTAAGAGTCCTGTCCAGGCATGCCAGGTGTGGTTGGATTTGGAACTCTTTCCCAAAAGTGCTAGGACGGTTACGTTTATACACTAGGCTAGTAATGATTTATGGCGCAGCAATCTTCAAGAAATGTGCAACTGTCAACTCACAACTGTTGAGACTAACAACACAGGAAAATGTTAAATGAGATATTACCTGCCGAACTTATACAGGATTTGCGGCAAAAGTAAAGTAAAAACTGAACAACTTCAGCCTTTTTGTATTGACAACTAGTTCCCAGACTACAATTTCCAAAATTTCCCTCATTTTTAGCAACCGGCATTTCTCTCCCCAGTTGGGTAACCAGACTTACTTGACTATTAAACCACGAGAGGGCGTTCTACTTGGCACATGCCTTTTCTACGTACGGGCCGGTAGCGCGCGCTGTGACTGTGTTTCGTTTCACATCAGGTTTGTAAATTTCTCGCTTTATTCTGCCCAACCAGAAATTTTCTAAGCCAGCATGATACCGATTGTTGTGATTATGCCTTGGGCTTGGGTTTGTTTGTTTGTTTGTTTAAACTTTAATATCTTCACCCTACTTTATAAAGATTATTGGCTTTCCTGTTCGTTTGACTACTCAATTCAAGGACTTCAATTCATTGACATTGCATGGTAGTTGTACTGTGTATGCAGCTGGTTGTGAACAAAGATTTATTTTGAGGGTCACATCTACATCTACGCAGGTACTCAGCAAAGTCCACTTCTGGATGTTAACACTGAGGTGAAGCTTAAGGTGCATGCGAAGCAGGGGGAAGCTTGTGCAGAAATTTTTTTTAAGTGCAAGTCAGATATTTTAATAGTATTTTCCTAACAAATTTCTCAGTCCCTTATTCTGTTCTTTACCCTTGCAATAAGTAACATGTTTTTGGGCATCCAGCCACATTGCATTCATTACCAATTCCACCCCATAGCTTTTTTCTGGATTTGTCATGTTTATGTACATTTTTATCTCAACAATGTTCAAACTTCTAATTTAATCACGTCTTAACTTAAAAATTCACCTATAAAAACTGTCCTCCCCCCTCCCCCACCAGGCCCGCACAGCCTCAGGTCTTATTTTGGGGTTTGGTAAATCACAAACATATTTACCATACACATTTACCCATTGTTCTCCATAAAGACAATATTATGTGTGTACCATAGTTCTGTATGCATTATATGCATTACTGAACTGACCAAGTAAAACCATGACTTGGGCAAGTCTACATGGCTGCATGCAGCTAACTAGCTGCAGCTGATCTGAGCGCCAACAAATTTGTAAATATGATAACGAAACTTGAAATTGGACGATAAAGGACGTTATTAGTTTCGGCGGAGTACTAATTTCGTTGCAACAGCCTCACCCATGCATGTTGGAGATTGTCACTTCAATTTCGATTAGGTCACTTCAAAAGTGACAATCCTCACATGTTGGGCAGCCTGGGGGAGGCCGTGGAGAGGAACAATTGATAAGTGCACAATAGTAAAGATACCTAAAGATTTTTGTTTGGAAACAAATTGTGAATCGGCCCCGTCCTTTGATTACTATTGACTAGTAGTATGAGTTTTTCCCCCGACAGAAACTTTCATCGTTCTTCCAGTTATGCAGACTCAGTCCACAAATGATGTGATGGCTCACAACTTGAGGTCCAGACAGGTCCCCGCCCAACCATCAGATGAACCAGAAGCCGATCCACCCCCAACATCCGTACATGACTCCGCCCACCGACTACAATCACTAAGAAAGAGAGTGACATTTCGATCTGTAAATCAGGATGAAAATAACACAGACAGCACGCCAATGACAGACTCGCCTAAACCGGTCCTAGCGAAGGAAAAAGTTCCTCCTGAAGATCTCAAACCGTGGCCCAGGAGTCGGATGCTTATTGTCTTGATTTTGTTTCGTTGGGTCAATGCTGTCTTGACACAGACTTTCTTTGCTCCGGATGAGTATTGGCAATCTCTTGAAGTGGCACACAACATCGTCTTTGGATATCCTTTACTGTTCGCTTTTAACAGCGACAAAAATTTTTACATTTTTTTCTAAAGGAAAAAATATACAGCATTTGTCAATGTTGTACACAAGTCCATTCCCAAGTTCAGTGACAAGTGACAAGTAAGGCCAAAAAAAAAATAATAATCGGTCTCTGGTCAGACCGAAGTTCCCAAATTGATGCGGCGATGCGGTTTTTTTTGGGTTTTTTTTGGCTTTTTTTTTTTTCAAGCTTGAATTGTACAGACAAGGTGGGTACTATTATTCTTTTTTGTGTCCATAAGTTGCCTTGGTGCCCTTTATCATTTGCCTTGGTACAAGTTCCCCATTCCTTGGTGCTCCTTGGTACAAAAATTTGAGGAGTCGCGGCAATAGAGGGCGCTGTTCTAGCTTCCGTGTTAATTTGAAGAAAAAAAAAGGTTGACGCACATGATTAAAATCGACGCGCGCGCTGACCAGAGACCGAGTACTTTTTTTTGGCCTAATGAATAGTAAAAATGCCTTGTAGTTCATTTGTATAGACCCTTATCGTGCTGCCACCATTTCAGTCATGTTCCCTGTATCTAATAACAGTACTGAATTATAATATTTTTTGTGCAAAAAAGGAACCAGACTATTTTCGCTTCAAGCCTCACGTTGATTTGAATGGGAAAAAATCAAGATGGCCGCAACAACATGATATTGGTCTATAGAATAAGCTTGTGACTTGACTTGGGACAGGATGACTTGTAAAAGGCTTGACAGCACTGACACTTTTATAAATTTTATAAATTACCTTATTTACCCAGCGTTTGTTTGGATCAGTTTCACTTCTTGTTAAGTACATGTAGCAGTAAAATTAATTAGCCTTAACCTTGAGATCACCTACGGGTATCTAACATGGGAATGGCGAACAGGTCTGAGGGGATTCACCCATCCCATCATCTTTGCAGTCTTGTACAAGACGCTTCAGGTGCTGAACATCGATCATCCCATGCTCTTGGTAAGATGAAACTCTTGGAATTTACACTAAGGAGGAGAACGATGTGATTTTTCATTCATTTGTCAGTATGTGAATTGTTTTTTTAACAGACATTCAAAATCACATCGCAGGTCACCAAATTCTGCATTCTCTTTCGAAATTCACACCTTCCAAGATTAACTCACAAGTCACTGTCTGATTTAGTCCCTGTCTGATTTAGGGGTGTGCATTTACGGGTAGTACAAGAAACGGATACCCTATTGAAAAAAATACGGGTACCCGGGTACCCATTAAAAATAAAACCAACCCAAAAATGTTAATCTCGGAAGTTGCTGTTCAGATTATTCATGAAAGTCTGCATGCTAATACTACCCCATATCTGTGTGCCAGTACGCAAGTTACAAATGTGTACAGTGAGCTCTTAAGCTTTATGTTAAAAACTGCAACTATCACGAGCGTCTTAAACATGGAATTGGTTTTGTTTTCCACGTTGTCTGTTTGTCATTTGAATTTCTCTATCAGTGACATTCGAAGCTGTTCTTTTTTATTTTCTGAGAAGTTACTGAGTAATTTGCAAAGTTGGTTATGGGTACTCGATTCCATAATCTGGAACCGTTTCCTGACATTGACGGTCGGGTACTCGGGTGCCCAGTTCCGATGCACACCCCTGGTCTGATTCTGTGGGTTTTCCCTGACATGACCTGGGGTTTTCCTGTCTCTAAAACCTTCCCCCCTCGAAACATTTCAGCATGATCAATTAGCGAGGGTGGAACAGGGTGTCTTTAAGTCATGGAAACATTTGTGAGGTTTTTTCTTTATATTTCAGGTTTTACTACCCAAGATACTGCAGGCTACATTTTCAGCCATTGGTGATTACCACTTGTACAAATTTTCCCATTGTCTGTGGGGAGAAAGCGTTGCCAGATGGACTGTATCCTCTTTTTCTTTCAAAGGACGATTACAATTTCCAATATCACTCTCTGACAGCCTGAGATATCTGAAAGTTTAGTCAAAAAGTTGAACAAAGAAATTGACTGGAACGGGACTTCAATCCACGACCTCTGGATTACCAGCTGAGCTATCCAGCCCTATGTTTGCAGTGTCAATATCTTTGTTCAAGGGGCGCTAGTCAGAAGCCATACACCCGTATATATGTCGTTTAGCCAGGGATCACACCGTAAGTCAAGATGCTAGCAACATTAGCAATGACTGCAAGTCCATCGATCAGGGGTAACAATATTATCCGAAGCCATCAATTTCTGTTTATACCATTAAAGTGAAGATACAACATTTGCAAACATCAAAAAACAAAATGATCAAATTATCATGAAATACCTTACTGAATTGTTAGGGATTGACAGTCTAAAGCATCCTGTAAAATCGTGGCTCCTGGTGTGCTGACATTTTTGAGAAAAACTGTATTTTTCCAACGCTGGTCGGCCGGCCAGCGTTGGAAAACACTGGCTTTTTCAAAAACTGTTCCTATTTTTTCATATTTAGTTATTCCGCATTTTCTTTGCAATAGATAACACACCTGTGAAGGGGTACAAACCTGCTAGAGTGATTCTTTGACCTTACAATTCCCCAAAGTCTTTACGTTTCTCCGTTTTATCTTAAGTGGGGTCGGGGAACCAGACTACAAGAAAATGATTGGTTTTCTTGGTTTTTCCAGCATAAACAAGCCCAAAATGTGAAACAAGTCAGTTGGACAATACTTGCTATAACATACTAATCCTCCAAATCCATTTCTGAAAATTGCAGCAAAAGCAAATGTTGTACATTCCCTTTAAACCTGTATTTCACTGTATATATTCCCTGATACATACAAAAAACAACGTAGAGTGCTCGAGCAGTTTGAGGTGGTACAGAAAATAATGGCTTAAAGTTCCATATTATACAAATACAACATGGTTTGTTGGGAAATAGTGAAAACTAATAACCCCAAGAGAGTCCCAATTAATCATCCAACACCAAGGGGTCACTTGTTTTCACTATTTCCCCACAAAAACATGTTGTATGTGTGATAGTACCTCCCTGGTTTTTGCGCGTCACGCGCGCGTACGAAGACGCTGGATGATAGTACAAACTTTCACATGGTTGAGTTGCTGGAATGGACCAATGAAATGCCGCGGTTGCCTGATGAATATTTATGAGGTATAGTAATAATTACCTAGCTTATAACATGCACAATCATTCCTTTTCAACTTGATTTTTGTCCTTAATTTTTTTTCCTGTTCATTCAAAAATAATTTCCAAATTTTTTGGAAGTTTGAATTTTTTTTCAAAAAATTTTGCCCAAAATTTTTGGCCGCAGAAAATATATATATTTTTTTGGGGGGGGACGGACTATTTTGACGTTGGTGGCGACATTTACACCCCTATTATACTACTTGAAAATAGGCCACATACATATCACCACGGTCAAATCGTGGGACTAAAAAATAAATTGACGGGAAAAAAAAGAAAAGACAACCTCTTGGGTGGGGGCTGAAGCCCCCCGTGGCTCCCCCCTTGGGTGCGCCACTGTGGTCCCCCCCCCCTTGGGTGCGCCACTGTGCTCTCCCCCCCCTTGGGTGCGCCACTGTTCTCAAGTTCCCCATATGTTTGATCTGACATCTCGCAAAGTGCTTTAATCCTTCATTAGAAATGTCATAAATGCTGACATGTAACGTCCTTAGCAGTGCTCCCAGCTTTTCTGTCATCTCAGCTCTTGGTTTGTGTTCTACACGGCTGCACGGACTCTCACTAACACCATGGAGATGATCCTGACAGTGTGTGCTATGTATTATTACCCATGGCCTTCCTCTATGATCAAAGGAGTCGATCCCAGTCAGCACAGGTACAAAATTCTCTTCAATTTTTAAATAAGAAGCAATATTTCCTTACTTGTGATATTTTCAGTAAAAACCCTCAACTGCATAATGCATTTTTTAATACATTGATGCACATAAGTACTGCAGTTTGTAGGTAGACGGGCCCAGGAAACTAGACCTATAATAAATGGAATGTAAACTTTGTATCTTATTGTCTTGCAAATAAACCACGAAGGGAAAGTGACTACGTGTATTGTGATAATTTTAATGTTGAACAGTGAAATTGACTGGAATGGGGTTTGAACCTGTGACCTCCGGATTGCCGTTCCGGTGCTCTACCAACTGAGGTATCCAGCCCTATGTTTGCGGTTCCCCTATTTGTCGAAGTCTTTGTTCATGGGACACTAGTCAGAAGCCATAAACCTGTATATGCCATGTAGCCAGGGATCAAACTCTGGAAATAGCAAACGGGGATCACTTGGAGAGGATACAGCTTTTTATTACATTGCTTTTCTCTTAATCTTGACAGGTATTCGACCGGCCTGTACCTCCTCCTAGCTGCCCTTGCTTGCATCATGAGACCCACGGCTGCTATCATCTGGATTCCTCTCTGTGCCTGGCATCTTGTAAGATGTAGAAATCTCATTCTGGCTCTGCTTGTTGATTTCATACCTATCGGGTAAGTAAAATTCTTGGATGTAAATGAACAGTTTTGTTAGGGGTGTGTCTGGGGGGGGGGGGGGGAATGCTTATCGTCTTTACTTGCAGCAGAACTGAATTGCAAAGGCAGCAACTACAACATGGTCGGGCTGGAAGTATGGAAAGGCGTCTTAGGCTACCACCATACGACCCATGTCTGACCACGAAGCACAGTCACATTGAAAGTGTTGATTTTCGTCAAGGCAGGAAATTTGCAGAACCCAGTCCGAAAAAAACCTCTTATGGTACAGGAGAGAATCAACGAACAACTCCACTCACGTAATTATGACCCGAGTCGGGAATCGAACCCAGGCCACAGCGGTAAGAATGGAGGCCTGCGCTTCACTGCACCACCCATGTAACACTTTTGTTACTCCTGGCAAGGATTTACTTTTGTCGTCCAATTGTTGTCATCCTTGCATTCTCCTTTGACTTGAACAGTGTGACATTTGGACTCCATGAAATATGGACTTAGTGCTGGGTATTGTGCATGTAAAGAACATAATTAGGTCAGTCATAGGTCACGTGTTAGGGTTATTGTCCATATAAGGTAAAGGGAAACCAAACTTTCACGGAGTCAAATTTTTCATCATCTACGCGAGCAGATTAGGCAATTTATTTATGCAACTAGACTGCGTATGACCGAGAGAAACTGACCAATCAGCGGGTGCCTTCTATACGTGTGTAATACGAACTCCCCGTGCGCATAAACATCATGCCCACGATGAGTAGCATTTGCTAACAGTACAAAAATGTGGCACCGAAATTGACCAATCTTAGTCCAGATTTTGGAATGAAATGACGCCATGAATTTCTTTGCATGCTTAGAAGTAGACGTTGGACCGGAGAAAAGGAGGGCTCTGTTTGACAACGGGTGTTACTCTAAACATTTCATTTGACACCAGCCAGTTTTGTCATTCATGTTTTAATTTCGCCACAGCAAGATTCCAACTTTGACCATCATGTAATTTTGCAGATGGGAAAAAAACTTCAACAACACATTCAAATTATTTCATTGCACCATAAAATCAAACACTTTTATTTGATGGTAAATCATCTGTCTTGAAATGTATTCTTAAACAGTTAAATAATTAAATGCAAACAGTGTGTGACATTCCTTTTTTTCACTTCAATGTATGTTTTCTTTCTTTCCCTAGCTCTGCTGCCCTCAGTTGTTCGTTACTAATGGACAGAATTTGTTACGGCAGGGTGAGTCATTTTCTAAGATATATATGAAACTGACATGTTCCTTCCGAAATCAGGGTGCAGCGATATGTAGAACAATGTTGGCCTTTCATAGTTTATGAGTGCTCTTGCAGTCTTCAAAGTGTGATTGCAGATTTTGACTGTCCAATCTTTTCGCTGGGTGCACCAGAAAGTGACGGATATAATAGTTTTGCTGCACCATTTGAAGTGACGGATCCTCTATAGACTTTGTGCACAGGATAAGTTACTTTGTGGTGTGACCAACAATTTGGACATAATTTATCGAGTGATAAAATGTTCTTCTCTGAAAGTCAGAAATTTCCCAGCCTATCATACCGTGTTGTACTAGAAACAAAAAGTGGTCTATAGTGATGCCACCTCCTTCTCAGCTCAAGTTATTTATCAGGCATGAAATGTTTCAGACTTTAATCTGAATGCAGACTTTGTTAATCTCAGAGATAGACATTATCAATATAGGAACAAATGCATCTTTCGGAATCTATTCATCATCCAATTTTCAGACTTTTTTGAAATTGACAATCTCGTTCCTCATTTATACACTTGAACGTTGTGATCATGTTGAATAAAGAATGCAGGACTGACAAGTGTCAGGACTTTTCCTGATATCAGCATTTTTTTAATAATTCGTTTTTAAAATGAAAATTGAGGTGTTGACATCAAGGTATTTTAGACTAAAATTTTAGACAGAACAAAAGAAATGGGTGCTGTTTGGGGTGCCTTTAGGCAAATCCAAGCATATACCATAGACCCTGTGTTGCTTTCTGGTTCTCGGTGACCCTCAAACGTTCTGCCAATTATTTTGTGGATATTTCCTTTTCCGCCCAAACTCATCCCTGAAATACATGAAGTAGTGCAAGATGCACTCTGTTAAAGGGAATATACATCATTTGCTTTTACTGTAATTTTCAGAAATGGATGGAATTGGGGGGTTGAAAATATATAGCAAATATAGTTACACTGACTTTTTTGAGGTTTTGGGTTCGAAAATGCTATAAAAACCAAGAAAAACAATCATTTTCCTGTAGTCTGGTTCCCTGACTCCATATAAGAAGAAACGGAGCAGTTTACATACATTGGGGAATTGTAAGGTCAGGGAACCAGTCTAGCTGGCTTGTACCCGTTCATAGGTGTGTAATAGATTGCAAACAAGTGCGATGGTCAATTGGGGCCAGTATTTGAAAAAAAGCCAGTTTTTTCCAACGCTGGTCGGCCGACCATTTTTGGAAATTGATACAAAAATACCACTTTCTTGAAAATGACAGTATACCAGGTGCCATGATTTTACAGGATGCTTTACACTGTCATTCACTAACAGTCCAGCAAGGTATTTCAAAATGATTTGGTAGTTTTATTTTTTGATGTTTGAAAATGTTGTATTTTCCCTTTAATGCCCTTAAGATTAGAAGCTGGTTGAAAAATTTGAAAAGGATAACAAAATAGTTCACAGTATCAACCCCATGAGAGGTTTTAACGAAACTGCTCTTTTTTTTTTTGGCAGTGGGTGTTCGTCCACTTCAACTTTCTCCGCGTCAACACCGTCTACAACATCAGCTCGTTTTATGGGACCCAGCCGTGGCACTGGTACTTGACTCAAGGGTTACCAGTGATCATTGGTACCCATGTGTTCCCGTTCATATTAGGGATAAGGTTAGCGGGCCGGGCCTATCGGCCGTTGGTGCTGCTTATGGTCTGGACGCAATTCGTTTATAGGTGAGGATGCTTTTGTTTTCGAGGTGTGTTTTTGCTTAACCCATTTGCACTTGTATTACATGTTCACTGTATTGATGAATCTGTACAACCATACAGTGTTAGGGCAGCATAAGAAATAACAGGCAGGGTGCTGGGGGGGGGGGATACAAGGAATAATGGATTAAACCCATTAGCACTTGTACTACATTGTATTACATTGTGCTTATTCACTGAAAAATTGATAAAACCATAGAGTGCTCAGGCGGTTTCGGGCGTTTCAGTGAGTAATAGGCAGGGCTACTGCGCTACAGTGCAGAGATGAAACTTTTCCGATTTTAATCGGAAATCCGACTTTTTGAATTTTCCAACGAAATTTCCGATTTTCTTACAATGTGTCCCACAAAATTTGATTATATAACGATTTTTTCACAAAATGTCATTTTTTTTTCAATCATAATGTCGAAGAAAAGATGATGAAAAGTCGATGGAAATGGCACGTTAAAATCATCGCGAACGTAGTTTTAATCTCTTTCACCAGTCGTTATTGGAGTGTTTAAACGGTAGAAACACAGGCCATAACACTGATCGGACTCTTTTCCGGCTGGACAAAAGGTTAAACATTGACAGGTGACATGGAAAAATCACTGTGTCGCACGTGCGGGCATCTATGTACAAAGATGATATGCAATGGTACCAGCGTATGTACCGCACCGTCCTCTAGCACATGACCATTCGGGAACGGGTGGCCTCGTGAACGATCCAGTGGATAAAATCATTATGTTGTGCGATTTTCGGAGGTTTCAGATTTAGTTGTACAAAATGCAATGCTTTAAAAATCATGATGATTATCTCGAGGATAGCGAAGAGAGCATTAGCGAAACATTTCGCATTTGTTGGAAGAGAAAGACGATAATGCCTGATTTTTCCCCACGTACGAATGCAAGTGGAGTAGTGGAGTTGTGTGGTTGAATCATGGACATGATTGAAGCACCATGAACGGTGCCCTTGTCTTTCGGACTTTTTCCTCGACTTTTTCAAGTAAGAAGTGAACTTCTTTGTTGATGACTCCATTACTCTAACCGTAATTCAGGCGTTTTATGCAATGAAAACACTGACCTTTTTTTTCATAGTAAAATAAGGCAGGAGTTGGTGTCCGGAAATTGGGCATGAAGTGTATTGTACATGCATGTTCATGTGTGTAACTGCAGCGCGGCCCAGATTTCGGACATGTATTTTTGTTTGGCCTATTTTCCGATTGTTTTGCCATATGCCAGGTTCATCTCTGTACAGTGACTAAAGGGTTCAAGAACACTACAGAAGCAGTAGAAATGTTCAAAATATCGAAGAGCTCATCTAGGAATGTCTTTTCAATAGGTCACGTTCAAATGATGTTGTTTCCTACAGACCATCCACGTGCATCGGCATTTTGAGCGTCAACTTGCATAACGCGCATCGGCTGCGCTGTATTTCGAATACATTTTGAGCAACAAGCGCGCGTGTTTAGAACATTTTCAACACTGCGCAATGCGTGCTTGATTGCGTAAAATACGCAGTTGCAGTTCTCCTACAGAGATGGCCGTCAGTGAGCGAGCCCATATAGAAAATAGATAAGCATAGTAGAGGAAATAGCTGAAAAATTGTTGATTGCAAAAATGTGTTAAGTTTTGTCCATTATGATTAAACATTTGAATTACTTTTTAAATTTGTGAGTCCTTGACGTTGTTGAATTGAAAGATTTTATTCCAATTTTTTGTTATTATGTTACCTTGTCTCACAGTTTACTACAGCACAAAGAATACAGATTCCTTCTACCGCTTGTCCCCATTGCAATGTCTTTTTGTGGTAAGTACAACAGGGAGAATTAGTGATAGGTGGGCGGGACCATTTATTCTTTTGCGTGAAGAAGTACGGTTATGAAATGAACCAATAGTGGGAATGTCCTCAGTTGGAAAAGTCATTTACCTTGGTCAAGGCCAGATCCAGAACACAATTTTAGGGGGGGGGGGGGGGCAAAAACATTTTTTGTTCCCCCCCCAAAAAAGTGGGTCCAAAAGTTTCCACCCCAAAATTAATACATGTATGAAAAGCAAGGGTGGGGGGGGGGGGGCACAAGGACTTTTCATAGCATTGGTGCATGGTGGCCCAATGATAATGCTGTACGCAGTGGCTGCTTGTTTTACGATGTAACTTAAGCAAAAAACTAAACTTGGTGGGTTTTTTTTTGGGGGGGGAAGGGCCAATGGCCACCCGCTGGATCCGCTGTTGGCGCCCCACTGCATCCGCCGTTGACCTTGGTAGTCCTGTTAAACAGTTCTTGCAGATCTTCCATATGCCCTTTTCCGTTCATCATTGGAAATGTTTCCAGCATGACAGATCCTGCAGATTTTTTTTTTTTTTTAAATGCCATCGTCAACTTTTGTAGTCATGGTAGTAGTTTCAATTGTCTGACTTTCTGTTGGAATTTCTTCCCACCTCTTAAACTTTTAATTGGATGGCTGTGCAACTTATTCCGTGTCTAAAACGATTGTTCAAAGCAGTAGCTCTGCCTATTGTCAGCATGGGCCGCATGAAAGGCCTAGACGGAGCTCTCAAAGAAATTTAGATGTGGCCTCAGCATTCCACTAATCATGTATTATTTGCATGTTCTCATATGATATCGTAGCTCAAGACGAAATTCAAACACACCCTTCACATTTAACAACTCATGCACTTTTAAAAACTGTTTTTTTATGACAGGTGTAAGCCTTTGTAAGTTATCAAAATCCGGCCGAGCAACGAGCATGGCCATGTTTATCCTGGCGAGCAATCTACCAATATGCCTATACACTGGCCTGATCCATCAGAGAGGGACTCTAGATGTGATGGGGTACATACAGACGATAGGGCACGCACCCGACGTTCACATCAGGGTGCCGTCTGTCTTGTTCCTCATGCCTTGCCACTCTACACCGTTCTTCAGGTGAGATTTTTAGCTCTTGGACGGAATGACGTCACGCTGTGTTGATATGTGTGCTTCCTTATGGGAGCCAGGTGGAGACAAGCCTCGTTTCCATAAGAAGGCACATGTGTAAACAAAAGTGTGATGTCATTATGTCTCAGGTCAGTCGCCGTTCCACTTGTGCCAGTGACAACAACGTCACTTTATGAGGAATCTAATATTTTGAAATTGCTCGGAACATTGGAGTGAACGAAGAGCATCACAGACTTCATTTGTGAATGCAAAAGATGACAGTGTCTCAGCCTGTGATATTTCATTGGTTGCTGGGAATGTGCTGTGACAGTAGACCAATCCATTATGAATGTCTTGCCCTTTGACCTTTCGGGTGCAGGCTAGTATAAACGTTCCGCGCAGCCCCAGTTCAATGAAAGGCGATAATCAGGGGTTATTAGCCGTATGCCTGCTGCATAGCATAGCAGCTCTCGAGATCTCATTCATAGACAATGACCGGACACATTCCACACAAAGTGAAACACAGATTCGTTTGGAGTCCGCAGCTTGCGAGATCAAATTCAGACGTTCCGGTCAGTATGCTCTGAAGACGGTCAGAGCATACTGACCGGAACGTCGAGTTTATACCTCTGGTTCTTTTCAGAACCATTCTCTTAGTTGAGAAATTATTCGCACATGGTGTTTCCGCAAACCTTTCATTATTCAAATTCAGCTTGTTCTTATGCAAATGGAAAATGAAGGTTTCATTTTTAGGCAGAAAGTGTCCCTAAGACATTCACTAGTTTGAAGTCTACTCTTGAGTCAGGTCAGGTCAAAAACAATTAAGTTGATCCAAACAGAGTTCATTAGTAAATGCACATGTCCAAAAAATCTAGCCTAATAATACTTTGCTTCCACTTGTGTGAACATTTACGTTGCAAACTATTGAAATGGTTTGATCTGACATGATTTGATTTGAATCATTTTGATTGGATGTTCTCACTTTCAGCCACGTACATGCGAACATCTCCATGCGATTCTTGGAATGCCCACCCAACCTGGGCCGGTATCGGACGGAGGAAGCCACCTATCAAGACGAAGCAGACGTCTTCTTTGAAAACCCCAGCGATTGGTTGAAGACCGAGTTCAGACCAGGCAGTAACTTACCACGATATCTGGTGTTTTACGACGTTCTCCTACCTGTAAGTACATTTTGTAAAATGCTTGTTTTGTAAATTTGCTATTTAAGCAGTCACAAGCAGTCAAAATTCACTTCCACTTCCCCTGCTATACTTTTAACAAAGGGTAGTCACCAGCAGTCAGATCATATGTCAAGTAAGCACTGTGACTAGTCAAACTGGGTCAACAGACAAAGCAGGCAAGTTGTGGTCACAGCTGCTTTATCACTCACCCGGAGTCAAAGCATAGCTGTATCAAGTTACTTAAGCAGTCCAAGGCAGTCAATCCTGCTCTATGTGGGCTGGGAATTCTTAAGGGTTGAAAATAGTCACCTAATTGGTTGATTTTGACTGCAAGGACAACTTGGTACAGAATGTATGTTTGCATAGGAGGGTTAATGATGAAGTCGCTCCAAAAAAGTTTACAGCATTTCTGTTTTCAATTTTTACCTCACTGCCTCATAACATCCTCCAAAATTCAACATTTGGGTCGTACTCTTCATGCATCCAGGACAGTACAAACCCGAAGAGTTACTCCACTCTGAAGATTGATGAAGGCAACAGGGGGCGGACCTAGATTTTGCTCTGGGTGGGGGTGGGGGGGGGGGGGTGTGTGGGGGTGGGGGGGGTGTGTGTGGGGGTGGAGTGGGGGGTTAGCTGCTACCAAGAAAGGGGGGAGGGGGTCCGGTGAGGGGGGGGGGGGGGCGGAGAGTTAAAACACTTTAACGCTCCAAAACCAGGATGCCTCCCTGCGAAAATTCCCAGCTAAACCTTACCTGATGATTTCTACCTGTAGTAGTCTGACCCAAAAGTAGTCACATACAAAAACAAAAACAAAATGGTATTAAACATCATTCCCTCATTTATATTTGCTAGTCAGTGTTACTTTTGGAAATTTTGTGATTTTTCTCTCTTTATTGCAGAAAATCAAAAGATTCCTAACAAGCAGAGGCTATTCAAAGGTAATGTTTTTGTTTTCTTACAGAGATACTGAACATCAGTGTTGTAAGTCTGGAGACCTGGTCTCGGACTTGGAAGTGTTGGTTCGGTCATAGTCTCGGTCTCAGCCTGCAAAAGTCTTGGTCTCAGAAGTCTTGTTCTCGAAAGAGTCGGTCTCGGTCTCGGTCTTGGTCTTGATCTGGGACATGAAGGTCTTGACTGCAACACTTCTGAAGATTGAGTATTTTCAGGAAAGTGGAATTAATATCTCCATCAGATATCCCCCCCCCCCCAAAAAAAAGAACTACTGAGAGAGTTAAGGTATAAGTTATACAATTTAATCAAAAAATAAATCTGAAAATGTTGTATGAGCGGTCATTTCACTGACCAATATTTTATGCTAAAAAAATGAAATGAAAACAAGCAAAAAAATTAAGACCCAAAGAGTCACTTATCCATTTCTCAATTTTCTTTCTATCCCCTTTTTTCCCTAAATTTCAGACAGCTTCATTCTTCCACACGCATGTGCCGTTAGAGAGTCGTATAGGAAGACATGTCCTAGTGTATTCTAGACCTCTCAAGATACCTCTTGCTCAGGCGTGACGATGAACCAATCAACTCTAAGGCAGGGACTTATCCGGTATTAGAAATAAAAAGGTGTACAAAGATGACTTGAATTGGAAAACAGGGTGTCTAGGTTGTCCAAACTCCGTACTTAGGGTGTTTCTTTTATTTCTGTAGTTCTAATATATTTTTGCGTCTTATGTACGATCGATCAGATGCCATAACATTCTGAAGGAAACAAAATTGCAGGTTCACCTGTAAAGATGGTTAGTTGAATAGCGCCAAGTGTGCCCTTTCTCTAGTTACCGCAGTGGGATTGTCATGGATTGATACCACTAGGCAACGTACTTATAATTAAACCATCTATGGTAAGGATTAGTCTTGTGACATTATTAACTGCACCATGCAGCTTACTGATATAGTGACAGCTATGATATAATAACGAAGGTAACTATAGACCCAGACTTTTTAATTTTGTTTCTTTCTGGTAATGACAAGCATTAGATTTTTTCAGGCTTTTAGTCTAAAATCAGACATTGTAAATCTGAGAGAAAGACATTACCAGTATAGATAGAAACACATCTTGCAGACTTTTTATTCAAGTTTTCAGAATTTTTCTTGAAAATTGACAATCTCATCGCTGTAATGAAACCAAAGATTCCTCAAAAGGGCCTGAGGCATTGTAGCTCGCAAGCCTGAAGAACCCTGTAGAGAGGAGAAATTATAGTTTTAGAGGTGGGAGGAAAACCCCCGAATAATATTCTGGGTGAACCCCATGGAATCAGGCAGGGACTGGAAACCCAATCCACATGTGGTCTGGACGAGAGTCGAACCCGGGTCACAGCGGTGGAAGGCGAGGAAAGCAACCAGTGGTTGCGTGGCAGCCATGACATAACCAAGGTAGAGTATAGACCTGGATGTGATGAGAGGCAGAAATTACAGTTTTAGAGGTGGGAGGAAAACCCCCGACGAATATTCTGGTGAAACCCGTGGACTCGGGCAGGGACTGGGAACCCAATCCACATGTGGTCTGGGCGAGATTCGAACCCGGGTCACAGCGGTGGAAGGCGAGGAAAGTAACCAGTGGTTGCTTGGCAGCCATGACATAACCAAGGTAGAGTATAGACCTGGATGTGATGAGAGGCAGAAATTACAGTTTTAGAGGTGGGAGGAAAACCCCCGACGAATATTCTGGTGAATACCTATGGTATCAGGCAGGGACTGGCAACCCAATCCACATGTGGTCCGGGCAGGAATCGAACCCAGGCCAAAGGGAGAGAAGGTAAGGAAAGTAATCAGTGGTTGCTTGGCAACCCTCGCATCTTCTTGGATTGCACTAGTTCACCTACTTCAATGCCTCAAGTAAAAATTTGATATTATTTCTTTAACACCCCATCTTGCTGTGCACGGCATAAAAGGCTATATACATTGGATGAAAAAGTTGTATGCAAAGCAACCAACGAAGCAACCAGTACAGTATCCATGCGTGTACAATAATAACTAGATACTGCCATGTACTGATCTCATTGAGATGGCAATTATTTAATTTCATTAGTAACCTGTTGGGGCCCAGACAATTGTCGTGCTAGCATGGCTTAATTCGAGTTGAGTTATTCCATTGACACTGGATGGAATTTACATGGCATTTACATGTACATACTTTTTTTATTGTCTATGTTGTCTTCATCGATGCAAGTGGCTCTGACAATTTTTGCAGGAAATTGTCATTACACACGAATACCAAAAACACATGCATGGTGCAAAACTGTCTTGTGTAAATACAAAAAAAGGTAAATAATTGATACTCAGTTATTGCAGGTGGGTACTTAAATCCCTGACCCTGTATAGTACTAAGGCCAAAACAAAAAAGTCTCCGGTTTCTGGTATGGAGCTTGCCCAAAAAGTGGTGCGGCGACGCGGCTTTTTTTTTTTTTTACCTGTTTTTTTTGCTTCAAATGTCTGCTGATGACTGCAAATGGTGCCCGACTAAACTTAGTGCAAATATTATGGGAGACCAGAGAGGCTACATAAAGCTTATTCTCGATCATAACCCCATCTAAAAACATGTTAAAATTGTGCAGCAGCAGGATTCCAGTCAAACCAGTGAGTTTGGCGGTTTTGAGACATCATCTTTCATTGAAAAAAAACTTTTTCATTTTGCCGACGCGCATGGCTACGGCGACGCGCGCACATACCAGAACCGCCAGAAATGGCTTTACAGACCTTTTTTTTTTCAGTACGCAAAACATTTTTTTATAAGTAGCTTCTGTATTACAATTTCAAACCAGTACATTTAAAAGTTTTGAGTGGGATTTCAACTCAGATTCTTGCAAAACATGTCGAATTATGCAAATCCAAGCATAATTTTTATAGTAAGTGTAAGTATTGAAATACATAGAGTTCCAGCAGTGTATTTATTTGTGCATAGTTTTAAGTTTGTTCCAGTTGTACTGAATATTGTATAGGAAACATGAATTGTATCGATATATTTTATTCTGTTGTTGAAGACAAGAATCCAGATGTGTGCCCACCAAGTAGGAATTAACACAGAAAAATAGGCTTTCTGAAATTAACTTTTTTAATTTTAGGGTCCAGATTTCATGGTTGCATTGAAAAAGGCAACCTGTGTGATTACATTTTGGTATAAATTTGAGAGGCCTATAACCAACATTTTTATGATTTTATATTTTTAGAGCCAAAAATGAGCTGTTAATGTGTAGATATACATGTTTTACCTGAACTTTATTTAATTGAAAACCGACATTTGAAGTCGTAGACACTAACAAATGGCCACTTTTAGTAGAAACATTTGTTGAAATAAATTAAGAAATAGATTGGATAACAGGTTGAGAGTATTTTTGGAAAAATAAATGACCAAAGTGTCTGGCCAAAACGAGTTTGCAGTTTTAGGAGAAATGTGATCCAAAGAGACGGGCATTAATTTTAACCGGCGGCATTTCAAAACGACGTTTTTAGTTTTTTTTCTTGCGCTTTTTGATGTACTGCAATGATAACTCTGAACAAAGAAAAATAAACATAGCAAACGGCAGTTCTCTTTGGGTGTGTTTTTGTATTTCCTGAGATTGAATTTAACATGGGTTTTTTTTGTTTTGATATTACAGCGTGTGTCAATAAAAACGCAGGATTCAAAGCGATTTTTTTTCTGAGAAAATTATGCTACTGGTGTGCCTAATTTGATAAGGATTTGATTGTCCATAATTTCATCTTTGACAAGATTCTTGTTTGGTGGAATTTGGACTTTTGGTTCAAAAGTTATGACACGTTTCGTGAAGCCCTTCTGAAGCGGGTTGGTCTGATTCAATGACCTTAACACAACGACCAGTTATGTACAATGCAGGTATGCATTGAAGACAATTAAACCAGAACAAAACTTTCTTTGAAACAACTGATGATAAGTATCACTTAAATTTAATAACTGGACTATCATTGTTGGGGTCACTTGGGCAATTATTGACTAATAACATTGATTGTGGACTAAAGGATTATGTAAGCCTAATCCTGCCACACATGTCCTTCTTTGTGATCCACAAATACTTTCACCTGTACTGAATTCAAACCTTTCATTAGGTATGTGTGATTTCACAAATCAGACCAGCTTGGAATTTATAACCCTTCTTCAATGTACTCTATCTCTGGACAGGATTGTCCAAATGAGATGGGATAAAAAGCATAGTGAAGAGAAGGAAAGGTACTTTGAAAAGAGGGTTAACATTATGATGAATAGGGGTGGTTTATATTCTTAATATTTTTGTTTCTAATCCTGCGTTTTTATTGACACGCTGTATAACTGTTAAATCTGACAGCAGCACTTATGCCGTTGCGCAAGAACCAGAACAAAAGTTGTTCATCATATTAAGGTAAGTGAACAGGGAATTATATTTCACTTTTGCTTTCAAGACAAAGCAATAATAACACTGAAATGAAAATGCTGCAAGTGCAAAGTGAGAAAGTCAAGTACAAGGACACGGGAAAGGCATGTAATTTTGATATCTCCAAAAAAAACCACCTCAAAACCGATTCCCGGTTATAAAAAAAACAATTTTTAGAAAATGCACATTTTATCCCCAACTCAAATTTTTAAAATCTAAGTCATTTTAATGCTCTTCATCCGATGTAGTGTTTACCAAAGATTGTTGAATAATCCCAAGGACTGCAACCAAAAACAAGTGATTTCAAAACTCATATACTTGAGAAAACATCAAAAGCGAAATCTTTTGATGTCGCAACATCTTAAGGTCACTTAAATCACAAGACGCATTAAGTTTGCCAATCTTGCCATAAAAATGTGATTGTTTTCTTCAATCGACCAGATCCGGCAACCTCTAAATTACAGCTAAACTCTGGTTTGATATCAGAAGTTTGCAAGCTGCAAAAGAGTGCACATGGGGAGATGACACAATCGGATGAAGGCAACTATGTATGCTTTTACAGTTGAAGAAAGACAGGAGCCGGTTGATTTTGACATTGAAGCGAAGCAAATCATCGATTCCAATAATCTAGCTGCTAAAATTATTCCGCCAATCGGTCTCATCTTAAACTTTGTCTTTCTTTTTGTCGTAGCTCGAGTGAAATCAATGCGAACAATCATCAATGTCTACTTGACCAATCTGGCAGTGGCTGACTCCATTTTTCTTCTCATATTACTGATTTCATCATCAACACCTCTGGATAGAGAAACTCAACAACTGAATGGGATTATAATTGCATTAGTGAATGGTACAGGGCGTTATGCTTCTTGCTGTTTTGTGACGGCCATAGCAGTGGAAAGATTCTCAGCTGTGCATCATCCAATTAAGTTCAAAGCAGTGGCTAGCAAAACTCGAGCTGCTAAGATATCTGCAGGACTTTGGGTTCTCTCAGTTGTGTTGGCAGTGATTTTAGCACTTCTTAGTGACCCAGAATTTGCTTCAGACCATATCGCAACTATTTATACTTGCTACATAATAAACTTCACACTGTCCCTGATATTCTATGTATCAACTTTTACAGTCACTGTGTCTATGTACATCTACATTCTGATAAAGCTACGGCAACCAACGACTGCCTCACAGCAACATCCACAGCCATTCTGCAAGGTTGCCCGTATGTTGGTTATTAACACAGCTGTGTTCTTCCTTTTAGAATTGATGCAGATTGCCTGGACAGTCATGACCATTGTATTAGATGACGATCCACAATATATAATAAATACACTAAAGGTAACTGCAAGTGCAGTCATCTTGGAACAGATCAACAGTTCCATTAATTCCCTTGTCTACAGCGCAACCAACTCCATGTATCGAGCTGCTGTAGTTGACGCGTTCTCTTTCTTAAAATTTGTTCGCCGCTGCGAAAGTCAAACTCACGCAGCACCACAAGCAGTGAGGGAGCAGGTAAACCTAATTGCTATCGTGCCTAAAGATGCCACACCCAAACCAGTACAGATTCAGGTACAACCGTCTACAATTCGGCCAAGGGATGCAGCTCATGAGCTTGTACAGGAGCAGATAGAACTGTCTGCGATTGGGCCAATTAAGGATGAAGCTCAAGAACTTGTACAGGTGAAGATAGAACTGTCTGCAATTGGGCCAAAGGATGCAGCTCAAGAACTTGTACAGGAGCAGAAAGACCTGTCTGCAATTGGGCCAAGGGATGCAACTAAAGAACTTGTACAGGAGCAGATAGAACTGTCTGCGATTGGGCCAATTAAGGATGAAGCTCAAGAACTTGTACAGGAGCAGATAGAACTGTCTGCAATTGGGCCAAAGGATGCAGCTCAAGAACTTGTACAGGAGCAGAAAGACCTGTCTGCAATTGGGCCAAGGGATGCAACTAAAGAACTTGTACAGGAGCAGATAGAACTGTCTGCGATTGGGCCAAAGGATGCAGCTCATCAAGAACTTGTACAGGAGTAGATAGAACTGTCTGCAATTGGGCCAAAGGATGCAGCTCAAGAACTTGTACAGGAGCAGATAG